TTATTCGATATATTATCCGTAGTTAACCCAAATACACGATCCTAGATATTGTAATCAGTAAGTATCTCTAAGAGGACACCACTTAGATTAGCACCAGTGTAAGTACCTTCGAGGGGTTTAAACCTAAGAAGCACCTCCCGGTAGGACCAATCAATATCAATAAAATAGCCAGTAATAGCTATAAATACTTATCCGAATAGTGAAGTCCAGCAATCCAATACAATTGAAATTTTTGTATCTACTGGAAGTAGTTTAAGTGTAGAGTGTTAACGTTCTTTTACACGAGCAGATAGTCGACGTCGAACTGTATCAGCAGAGGGGATAGATAGTAGGCTTAGGGCCGAGTGTGCTTGTGATATTATCCGTCGAAACGTTAGATATTCGATAAGGTAAAAGGGAAGTCGATTAATCGTGATAAACTGTAACAGATTGTCCTCCTAAGCTACCTCGGAGAATGGCTCTCGGATAGTATTTTCCTATTTTAATTATATTAGTGGTACGAACCGTACTAGAGGGATATCTATACTGTTAACTGAATAAACTTATCGAGTCGCCCTCGTTGCTGATCTCCACTTATAGCCCTTTTATAGGTAGAAGTCCGAAGATACCTAGTTATAGTAGTTGTACTATAACGCGTATCCTTCCCGTTCGTATCTTTTTTGGCTGTATAAGGATACTTAAGGATCGCAGAGCAATACTTATATATAACCTTTGGGCTGCTATCGCTGCTATAGGCTACCTAGGTAAAGTACTCCCAGATATATAAAAGATGATTTGAGTGCTATACGACCTTACCCTTTGATCTATAATCAGTTTGTAACCACCACTCTACCTATTCTTAGTGATTTATTCTATTATACAAGAAGTATAACCTTTTCCGATCGGGTCCGACACGTTCAAATCGTTTAAGCTGGGGGAGTAAGGGAGGGTCGTCTAGTCGAAGAAAAGCCGGTACGGAGATATTAAAAGTCTGTTAGCTTATCGATAGTGTAGCTAGATAATTAGAGGGTATAAGGTAGGATAAGTTATCGTAGTCACCTCCGAATTGGGATGATATAAACTCGGACTACTGACTTTAGGATATCGCAGAGTTAATAAAACCTATAACTGTAAGGGCTTTTAAGAATCTATAAAGGAGTGTTAATACGTTACAAGAAGCTCGACTACCTAGAAGTGTTACTTAGCTAGTTAAATCAATAATCGATAGATCAAAATAGAGGGTGATAACAGTAATAGATAATTAGTTAAATTGTCTATAATAAGTGGGACCGGCTCGAAGAAAGCCTATAAAGCTCGAAAAAAGCCCACAAAGCTCGAAAAAGAGCCCGTAAAGCTCGAGAAAAGCTCGTAAAGCCCACTAATAACCCGTAAAAAGCCTATTCCCGGCCTATTCCTAGCTCGTTAGAAGTTGATTTTCCTCAAAATATTTCAACTGATTAGCTATAAGAAATTGTTAAACATAGGTAGCTTATCCAGAACCATTAGGACTAGCAATCTAAAATGTTCCTAGAAATCATAAAGGCATAGACTTTCTTTTTATATAAAATTTGAATAAGTCAAGCCACTTATAATTAGTATTGATCTAAGATTGATACTCGACCATAAAGATATACATGGTTCCCAGTACAGAATATATATCTCAGTATATATCAACTTATAAGCGTAGAACATTTCTAACAAATTGATCTATATAGTTATAAAGCTTAGTTATTATACTAATATATCAAAGATAAACATCTATTCACTAGAATTTCTAAATATTTCACCTTCCTGATTATGATAATAGAGTAGAATTCTATGTTTGAACCAAAACATGGGTAAAAGACTGTCATTTATTTGGGTGATTCAGCCATTTTATGAACGCCAAGACCATGGTTTATGCAATTTCGAGCCTAGGGGGGGGGGGCCCGACGAGCCCCCCCCCTTCGAGCCGGGGTCCGGGTCGAGCCCAAAAAGTTCGACCCCCAGCTCGTTGAGGGTCGGGTTTCGAGCCCGGACCTTGGGCCCAAAGTTGGGCTTTGCGGAAGTCTAGTTGAACGCGGCACATTGAAAGTGCGAGCAGCGAGAGTAATATTACTGATATCTCTATTTTTAAAAGCCTAGATAGCTAATAAAAGCCTACCCTCTTGCTCAATTGAATTTTTCGAGCTTTGAGAGCGAATTGGTGGTATAGTAGGTGGTTAAAGAAGAAGGGATTAAATTAATTAACGCGTTTTGGGTAGGGTGGCCACTCGGTGGTTGTGGCCACTCGGTGGTGAAATACGTTACATAGTTAACTAACTAACTAGGTAGTTCCAAGGTAGACGGTGGTAATTATTAGTAAGCATTTACTCACAGGTGGGCAGACGGGTGTAGTGGACCTACCTATGTTGTAGGTAACCTTCTATCCATGGATGGATGGATGGATGGATGGATGTTCCAGGTACGGAGTACTAGTTCACGAGTACCTACAATATTTAGGTAACCCTGGAATAACTAATTGGGTATAGAACCCTTAATCTAGTGACTGAGTGAGGTGAATTCATTAAATTGTGGTTTGCTTGACCAGGTGACTACTTTGTAGGTCATACCTACATAAGGTTGTGATAGCCACGTTTAGAATCCTCTAGTCAAGGTAATGGGTGTTGCATACCTAAGATATGTAAGGACCGGGTCTGGTAGGTAGATATTCAAGCTATCTAAGCAACCTTGGAACATGTGTCCCATAACTTCCAAGGTTGTGTATTCAAACCGATCCCACTCGTTTCTCGGCCCCTTCGGCCTTTCCCCCTCACATCTTCTCTTCTAACAACATATCACGCCAAAATGCCTCCCTCGGCCCAAACAGTAAGTCATCATGACCTACTTTTCTTTTTTCTTTCTTTTTTATCATACGCATTTCATGATCGGGACACTTCCCCAAAACTTTGTTACCTAGAAGCCCCCAAGGCTACCCCGCACTGCCTATAAATGCATCTCCCATGCGCGTCTGATGCAGAAACCAAACTAACACAATGGAATCAAAGACCAGACTAGTTTCCACCCTTCGCTTACTTATCCCCCGTCTCCGTCTCCTACAGAAGAAAGACACAGCTTCCTCAGTCGTCCAACGCCGCGAACTCTCCCAACTCCTCAGCGAAGGCCGCGACACATCAGCGCGCATCCGAGTCGAAAATGTCATTGCAACCGATATCGCAGTGGAGGTAATGGAGATGGTAGAGCTCTATTGTGAGCTGTTGCTAGCGCGCGCAAACGTGTTGGATCAAATGGCCTTCAGCGACCAGGGGACCCGCGCCAGACTTCGCGCCAAGGAATTGCTCAAGAAGCGCACCCAAGAGCAAGCTGTTGCTACGGCATCAACCACCGCACGTGTCAAGGGTGCTGGGGAAAACACTGGCTCACTATTCGGGTTCTCTTGGCTGGGAGGAGGAGCGCAAAAGAAGGAGACTGAGCGGGCTGCGCCCATAGCATCTGGTAGCGCGGATGACTCTGATGATGGGCTTGCGGATGAAGATAATCCCTACATGGATACTGCTCTCGACGAGGCTGCGACTGTGGTATTCTACGCTTGGCACCGCTTTCCGCATGAGGTACGCGAATTCACTATGCTCCGTACTATGCTGGGCGAGAGATACGGCAAGGAGTTTATGACTTTGGCGCAAGATAATAAGGTCGATACTGTCAAAGTTCCTGAGCGGCTTCTAAAGAGCTTGCGTGTGCGTCCGCCAGGACAGGAACTTGTCGAAAGTTACCTCCGAGAGATTGCGAAGGCATACGGCGTGGAATGGTATGGAGCTGAAGAAGAGCTGGGCAGTGCGCCGCCAGAATTTGTGGATGATCTTGGTGATGGTGGTGATGGTGATACAGAGGAACCGCAATTACCGCAAACCCCTGGCAAGCAGCAAGGGGACTCGGCGTTGAGGCCGAATCTATCTGAAGCGAGACGTGCCTCGGAGACCAGCGAATTGACCAAAGCTACACCTCCACGTGGACTCGCTGCAGGTCGAAGTCCTGTTAGCGTTGCACCGCCAGCTCCCAGAACGGACAATCCCAATCCCAGAGTCAAGCTTCCTGGCACACAAGGGAAAGCTGCTGTTGTCTCAAAGGAGGATAGCTCTAAGAGCAAAAGTAACAACAGCGGGATACCCGAGCTGGATGAACTGACACGAAGATTTGCGGATTTGACCAGGAGACCATGATTAAGAAGCTCGGCGTCTCAATACCCATCGACACTCGGCACTCAAAGTCTTGATTTTAGCTATTTTTGATGTTTCATGTTTCATTTCCATTGCCTTTGACTGAGATTAGGTCGAATGTCTTGCTTCTAGCCCTGCATAACACATCACATGTTCTCATTTCAAACGACTTGTGTTAATTGCAATTGACTCGCTATCCGCGAGATGCCAGATTGCGAATGAGACCAAGCGATTCCCCAAAGATATGACCTGTCATTTTTAATGCGGGAACGACGACGTTGGGTACGTACTTCAAACGGTTGAATGCACACAAATCCGAGATACTGTTACATTTTAATTAACACAGCTCCACTCAATAGAGTATTCTAAGAAGACCTATCTCAATGTATTAATTGGGGATAACGAGAACCTAAGAACCCATACTAGTGCACGGAGTACTCCGTAGCCAATCTATAGTCCAACTAATAGTCTACCACGTGATAGAAGCAAGGCACACGACCCTTCTCCAGAGCTGTGGGTTTGCAGTTGCCACCTAAGTGTTAATTTATATATTACTTTAAATATCGAATTTCCCCCAATATTTAACGCATTGAATTAGTGCAAATCGGAACCCCGTTGGAACTACATACGCACGGGACCCGCAAAACCCAATCGCGTCAATACACCTCCGCCCCGACAAACGCAAGCTATGACACAGACTTAACATGAACTCCGAATCCCCTACAAATCTGACCGTCCCCCTCAGCTAGCAGTTGCTAGATACTGCGACAAATCCCCGGTACCCCGAACAACACTACCCCCAAAGAAAAGGCCCAAACACATACTATGCCGGTCTATATGCTCCACGGCTTCCGCTGGCCCCGCGCTGGTTTCACGGGGATCCGCGTATACATCGTACTCCACAACCTGGAAGAAGCAGCGGCGGAATACATCCAGCAACCGCTGACGACAGAGCTCCTCGCAGAATCCTTCCACAAAACACAATCTGACCTCATAACCCGCTTGCCAGAACTGTCTTTTATCGAACAGTATGACCCCGCCGATGAGGGCAGTGCCACTGTCAGCCAGGACCATGCGTATATTTCAACGCGGGTTCTAGAGATTCCAGAGGATGGGAGTGGTGGTGCCGGTGGAGAGAATATCGAGGATTGCGTGGAACAGGGCTCTGGGTTGACGGACGATCAGACGGCCGCACTGGAGGCATTGCGCGATCGTCTAGCGCCCGGCGAGAAGATCGGATGGTATCTTGTTTACAATGGGGATCCTGAACGGTGGTTCCCTGATTCTGAGGATGAGGAGGACTACGAGTCTGAGGACTCTGAGGATGAGAGCCAGACTCAGCAACAGAGTGAGGCCCAGAGCCAGAGGGAGAGTAGGAGTAGTTTTACAGAGACTCCTAGCCCGCAAAGCTATACAGTATGTTGATTTCTTTCTTTTATTTTCTGTTTTACTTGGAGAGGAGTTTGCGGAATTCCCCTCGGTCTCACTCACAGCTACATGCTTGCTAATGGAGTATTTCTAGAGTCGTCTGACGCGATTCTGGAATCGGATGAGCTCGGGATGAGAGCTATGGCTGGGTGCTATGGAACATGGCAAATCATATCGACTTATTCCGTCACTAAGCAGTGTCACTCATTGCCTCGTTGTTGCATGTGTTACACCGGGCTGTGATGGGAGCTTTTAACGAATTCTACGCTTTATGTCTGTTGATACTCTATGTTTTGCAAATATTGCTATAATAATTCAATTAATATATTGGATGTCCAATGGGAATTGAATTGCTTGAGGGTTTAATTAGAATAATTTGATATCATTTTCTATGCGCTTTCATCTCACCTGCATCTCAATGTACATATGTACTTTGTATAGAATCCGATCTGGGCGGTGAGTTCAGGCAATATGGGAGGGGAGCTTCGATAACGGGAACAGCGGAGCACATCCAAAGCTTGTCGCGACACTCCCCCCGAGTGGTTATAAATGCTGACCAGGTAACATCCTGGCTTTCAATCGCAATGGTCCTCTCATTTATCCTGGTTCAGAATCGCCAGTGGGTGGCTGTCCGCTCCAATCATTTTCGATTTCGATACTAATGACGGTATAGGGGGAAGACGCGCCTGGCAAAATGGTATTCACCGTACAGTGTGAGTGTCGCCGGAAACCCATAAGTCAACCCATAACTGGGAATTTCAGCTGACACTGGCTTACAGGATGAAGAGAAAGTTAAATTGAAAGGCGAGGTTCGTTAATGCAATACCACCCTTACCCGCACTTGCCCCGAGGTTCCCATCCAACTAACCACTGACAACCCTCTAGGTCCATCGCCTCGTCGCCCCCCGAGATCAGAAATACCAGTCCAACTTTGTTGAGTTTCGCCGGAGTACCAAGGTTATCTACCGAAGATATGCTGGCCTGTTCTTTTGCGTCTGCGTCGATGCGAATGACAACGAACTAGCCTATCTCGAGGCTATCCATTTCTTTGTCGAAGTGCTGGACCAATTCTTTGGCAATGTGTGTGAGCTGGATTTGGTCTTCAATTTCTACAAGGTGCGTGCAAGTCGCCGGGAACGCACTGCTCGGAATGAACCAGGGCTGGCGTGAGATATCGGATTTGGATGGACCGTTATATACTGACCATATATGCTGGATTGATAGGTCTACGCTATCCTAGACGAAGTCTTTCTCGCAGGCGAGATTCAAGAGACAAGCAAGCAGGTCGTTCTAACGCGATTGGAACACCTGGATAAGTTGGAGTAGAAGTGAACCGTGATATTCGGATTCGGGAACGATATGGGACCCTTATCGATTACGGAGCCGACTGCATTGGACAATCAAATCAAAACAGTCATTTGCATGGAGTTTCAGGTGTATCGGTGGCTTTCAGACAATATTAGTGCTGTTCATGTTCATATTAGGGATTATTCTGGAGATATCAAATCATCAGTATACTTCTTGCCACCAATTGGGGCCAGTATCGAAATCACGGGCCATGCGAGTACGCCGTATACAGTTCTCTTTCTAGTCTATATGCTCATTACAAAGTACAGATGAATAAACCTTTAAGAGCAAGTGTCGCTTTATCATAAGGCTTGTAAGGTAAATGGAATAGTATCCGAGCAGGATATTAAGCTTTACAGATGTGCAAATCAACGCTTTTTAGGTTATTCGAGTCGATTCTATGTAAATTCCATCTATAAACGTCTTATGGTAGAGCGGAAACATGTGCGAAGCTTGGATATATAACGCCTACGAGCCGCAGCTTCTCCCTCCACCTTGAGGCTTTTAATTCCTGGCATCTGATAATGTTCTATATTGCTTTACTCAATCTCTAATTCGACTCTATTTTTCTTCAATCGTAAGGATCGCCTCCTGCTCCGTGGGCATGCTGTGATTGCCAGGACTGAGACAACGAAGCTGACAATCGGGCTAGTCAAACCAATCTGCACATTTGGTTGCCAATGCCAAGCTTTCTCGTATTCTCTTTCTGTCAGGGAACCCGGAGTCCTAGCTCATAATTTGGAATATAGCTGTGTTGTGATCAATTGCCGAAAACACTGCCGGCGGATGTCTGGCGGATGTCTGGCGGAGACGGAATAGGCGCTTTAAGGTCTAATTAGATTGCAATATTCAGCCTGTTTCCATTTTGTGGAGGAGTTTCCTAATTACAAAGATGGCTTGGTGAGGTGATCATAGCTGTCGATGGCGAGCATTGGTCTAAGAGTCTTGGCACAGCACATTTAAGGAGCTCTGTCGCTGTTGATCCTTAAAAGGGTCTGTCCTGCTGAGAATTCTTCTTCTTTTTCGAACTTACTACATTCGACTCGCGCAAAGGGTCTATTTCCCTCTAGCTTCTATCTTACTCTGGTTCTATCTTGCTCTGACTTCAGCAATGCATGTTCCAGGTGCTCTATCATGATGGGTTCTTCGGAACAACCCCATCCGTTATAGGCCGACTATGACATCGTACCAGCCGCCCACACAGCCTCACAGATATCTGCTCAGTCTTTCTAGACACGTGACAAAGCCCTGATCGTCCGGCACAGAGTTTGCAAAGTACGATTCCCCGAATGGAAAATATCTCAGCAACATCGGGACGATCACTTCAACTGTGACAATACCGATGCCTGACAGCACAACCGCGGGAATCCTCATAAACCGGACGCCTGTACCCCTGGTGATGAAAAACATGTGAAATTTGATTTCCAACATGCTCAAGGCCAACTCCCCCTTATCGATACTTTTGTTCCCGCGACATATCAAACATCTTTCCCATGATAGGCAGTGTGGCCCGTCGATCCAGGAGAAGGGCTCATCGCGACCGACAGACTAAAACTTTTACATACTTTCCGCAATGTTGAGGGTAAATTGGACTGGGCTTGGCATGTGGAACTCGCAACTACAGCCTCGAACGAGCCAGATGCAATCAATCTGACGGAGCGGGGGCACCGGGCTCTTGTACCCGGAAAATTTCCTGGGCGATACAGCTACAGCTACGAGATTGATCTGCGTGGAACACTGTGGGTCAAGCTTGTCAGACACAATTCCGGCCGTTTTAACTGTCATGTGCTGGATATGAGATGGCATACAGAAGCACAACATGCAGGCCCATACATGGATGAGTCTACGACGATGGGCCTGCGATGTATGTGATGCGCCAAAGCATGCACCCAAATATGCACAGCCTTCAGATATATGAACTCTCCACAAGTTCAAGGTGTACGCGTTTTCATTTCAAGCTCCACCAATGACCAACACTACATGGATACAAAGTACGCCACAAATTTGGTCGTTCGAATTTCGAAGCGTACGTGGATAAGTCTTGGCAAACAATTCCTGGTAATTTTCATTACCGAAATTCCCGACTTTTTTGCACATTGGCCGTACCATACAGACTATACCATACACGACTCCACAAAAACGTTGACCCCCCTGACAATCCTTTGACATCCCTTTGCGTCAGCCAGTGACGCTGTGTCTCTATGCGCTTGCATACATTGTAAACAATATACAATGACTTTTCAAAAGGTACGTGCCCGGGCGTCTTTTGACGGATTATACAACTTTGCATACACTGGCGCTTGGGTCTTGAAACTTGTCCAAATAGGGCACCTTCAGAAGTCAGGAATGAAGGAATTGCCAGCCAAGACTCGAACTTAATGGGTGGACACATTGCCACTTGCGGGGAGATGTGCATATTACTTTGGAAAAAGTGGTTCGAAACTCGTCATTGGCACTGCCACTATGAATGTCCACTATCGTTGTATCTCCCTTGATCAGTTCAGGTCCGAGGTCTGGAATTTTTTTTTAGCTGATTGTTTTTTATTTTTTGCATTTATTCATTCAATCTCTCCCTTATCTCCATATCAAACTCTTAAAAACCCCCCTTCCTTCTAAAGTTTTTCTATAAGTCTTATCCTTTCTTTATCCAGCTCTATTACTTCCTTTCGTTTATACTCTATACTTCTTCCCTTTCTATAGAAGTTGCAACTATATTGAATTACAATTGAGCTTATAAACACCCACCATGTCACTCATGCTCTCTGATAATCTGGCTCCCCAGCCCATGACCGACATCTTCACCGATGATACAAACATTGACCGCCGACAGTGCCACCGCACAGTTCCTATGAAGGTCCTTGCTCTGGGTGTTGGTCGTACTGGAACTGCCTGTAAGTATGATGTGCTGGCTGTGTTGCATTGGACTTGGTGTATTGGTGTTGTGTATATACCAGGTCTGATGGGAACGAGAAACATATAAACTAACTATTATTTGGTAGCTCTCCGCAAGGCTTTTGAGCGATTGGGCTATGGCAAGTGCTACCATATGATGTGCGCAAGCGTTGAGAACCCGCCTGATTGTCTGATGTGGCACGATGCCCTGAACGCGAAGTACGACGGAATCGGCGAGTTCGGCCGCAAGGAATGGGACCAACTTCTGGGTGACTGCCAGGCCGTCTGTGACTGGCCTGCCTGTGCTTTTGCAAAGGAGTTGATCGAGGCCTACCCTAATGCGAAGGTCATTCTGACCACCCGTGAGGTTGACTCGTGGCACGCGTAAGTAACACCGATATCTTATACATCTGTATTTCTGGTATAAAGGACATGATACTAACAAACCAATAGCTCCGTCATGAAGACTGTCTACTGGCGTGTCTCAGACCCAGAGCACAAGTTTGTGTCAAACTTCAGCTGGGCCGCCGGCATGTACTACCCCATGCTGAACAAGTTCTTTGAGACATTCTTCCGCGGTGACTTCCCCGGAAAGGGCAAGCAAGTCTATGAGGATCACGTCGCCCAAGTCCGCAGCTTGGTTCCCCCCGAGCGTCTGCTTGAATATAACATTAACGATGGCTGGGCCCCGCTCTGCGAGTTCCTCGAGGAGGAGGTCCCCGACACCCCCTTCCCTCGTGGAAACGACATGGCCGACTTCTACAAGCGTTGCAGCACCCGCAACCGTCACCAAATGATGAACGCTGCCCTCCAGGCCGTCACTATTGGCGGTTCGCTGCTTGCCGCTGGCTTCGCTGCTACTTTGGCTTTCAAGCGTTTCTCCCCTCGCTAAAACTATCGTCCTTGCACATTTCGTTTTTCCTTTTTTTTCATATTCCCCACATCTCATATTTTTGCTGGCTGCAGTGTGCGCAGGCGCCTCTGTGTTGCCAGACCCTCTGGTCATTCTTGTTACCTATTTCTGTTATCGTTGGGACAGACTACTGCATCTATCACGTCGATCTCTGATATCCCTTGTTTTGGTCATCTTCATTCTGTCATAATTGATTCAACAGAGACTTTTGGGAGAACAATCCGGTAATAAAACAGTATATACTATTTCTTTGATTTTCATCACCATTCCTTATGCATAATCTGTACAAGTATGGCACAATCACATCAAAAGCATCTCCAGCTTTCCAATCGAGGGATAAACCACTGAGTACAAGGGAGCCGTTTTCCTAAGGCACTGTGCTCATCATGCATTGCCCTGAGGCAAGGGGCGCCTAAAAACTTGGCTCAAAAAAGCCTCACCACCGACTTTTTCAATATATCGGGATCAAATGCAAGGCGCACATGAAATAGAGCAATACAATGTACACCAGCTTCTCAAGTCCAGCAGGTCGTCCACACCTGGTCCCAACATTGAAGTTCTTTTCCGCTCCACTCTCGTACTCGTACTCGTACGAAATAAAGAGAAAATGTACGTATGTATGTACCAGCCACACTTCATTCGAGAAGCGCTGTGGAGACTTAATGACTAGTGGCTTGGCAGTGAGAAAGATATAATGCGGTACACACAATATTGAAAAATACGTATATTGTTATTTACCGTTGTACTTTTTACATTGGAATTTTGTACTCACACATACTAGGCGGTACGGTATATTATGGTACAAAAATGTCGCCCACTTTGTAGGTCCCACTGGAACAGACAAATAACCGATACAACTCCGTGCTTCTCTTCCTTCCAATAAAAAAAAACAATTGCTTGTTTCATTCTAGGCTCGGGAGCGGACCCTGTTAGAAGGCTTGAAGGCTCTGATTAAAATACAAAATATGTACGTAATACAGACAGGATTGGTTTGGCGTACGTGGACTAATGACGCCTCGAGTGTTTCATTGTTCGCGGATTATGTTGTAGATTATTTTGGAATTGAAGAGTCAGAAGGCCCAGTGTGAGCTTTAATATTTGGGGCGGTGATTCTGGGAATTGCACCATGTTGGAAAAGAGGTATCAACTGTGACCACGGATACTTATAAGCCAGCCCTCTTTGGCTCTTGTGCGTGCTTCTCACACACAGTTCCATTCTTTCAAAATGTTACCTAAAGGTCAAATGACATGTGTGGGACGACAATATCCATATTGTTATAAGATTCTAAACTATGCTTCTAAGTTTCCACATGCCACTAGTTAACATTTTAGTCAAATCTAAGATGTACCAGAATAGATGTTACAAGATAGCCTGCGTAGGCTCTGACGACGCACTATGGGCCAATGCGGTGCCTGAACCGATACTCCCCCCACTTTCAACTGGCACACGCAGCAACCAATGCATTTTCTCAGCCACATGCACGTGGCTTTTAGCTTTGTCAGAGTGCCTATCCAGATGGAGGCTTCGAAATCGGATGTGTCGGGCCCTCCCGGACAGGATAGTGGATCCAGCTGTCTATCTAAGTTTGGCTAATGGGTAGGTAGGTGTTCGTCCACGGTCTCGTCCCCGAGACACGTTCCAAGGTTACGTGGCCGAAGCGTCGGACTTTTCCTGAGCCTTTAGTGAATTGAGGCTATCGGGTTTATAGTACACGTACGATCTCGGAGCTATGGAGTTCGGGGCTTGTAAGCCGCAGCCACATTGCCTTAGTCTGGCAGCCATGACGCGGCTCCTACTAAGTAAGAAATACCCGTACCGTCACACCGTTTGGGACATGTATTTGGGGGGAAAGAAAACAACCAGGTTTTCCGTAGCAATAGCTAGATAATAAACCCCCTCATGAGGGCCTCATGAGGGGGATGTGATCTTTAATCTTGATTTTGCTTGTATAGTATCAAGCCCCCGAATACTTCCCAAGTTAAGCAACTGAGACAATTTACATATCTTGGCAATGGACGGGTATTGCCTACTTGGGTAGGTGCCCAGGTGGTCTATTGCCCTTGACTCAGCATCATCGTTTGGCTTTAAATGGCTTTTAGCCAATGAAAATAGACGATCAACACAATGTATGCCCCACTATGTATAAAAAAAAGCATGCATTGACAGATGGAGAGGGACTCGTATACATACACTGTTCACCTTTGGCCCCCTTGGGTATGGTTGAGCATTATCCAAGGTTGGCTTCCATTCTCTTATAATTCTCCTATATGCTTTGCCTTCAACCCAACCTCCCTTGCGTGCAATATCTGGGGTGATTGTTGTTTTATTTGGCTCTACGGGCTTTTATATCTTTCATCAGGAAGTGATGCAAACGATCCATGGGTGTCTCCATATTTTTTTCTCCGAGGACTGCGCCGTCGCTCTTATTTCTTGGTATTATCTGGTTATGCGCTATTGATGGTGTACTTGGAGAGGAAACCTCTTTTTACAAATCAGTAAGTAAAATTAGTCTGATGTCTCTATGTGTGCTTTTTGACTGAAATTATCATCCGTGCAACAGAGACCCGACATATACCCTCCCGTCTTCAATGTTGAAAAGTCCGATCTAGAAAAACTTAGCCCGGGCTACATCTTCATCACGCCATACGAACTTCAGAATCCTGGCCCGTACATTTACGACAATACAGGGGTAGGTTGCAGTGCTGATGATCCCCGACCATAGAAAAGCTAACCCGGCACGCGCTCAGCAGGAATTAGTATGGAGTGGCTGGGGTATTTCGGGGCCGGGCAACGGCCACGGCCTCCACGTGTGTAAGTATAACGGCACCGATCACCTATGTTTCTTCCAGGGCAACCAGCAAAAAGGATACTGCCGCGGACATGGTATCATTATGGATAAAAACTACCGAATTGTGCGATCAGTTCAGCCGGGTGGAGGAATGGCCTCGAGCGACATGCACGAATTCCGTCCCATCAATGATGGCAGAACCGCTCTCATGACCATCTACCAGCAACGGCAATTCGATATGACGCCGTGGAACATCAGAACTGGCCTAGGGTGGCTCATGGAGAGTGTTTTCCAAGAGGTTGATGTGGAGACCAACGAGGTCCTGTTCGAATGGCGGTCTCTCGATCATGTTGATCCATCATTGAGCTATACATGGCCGAGTCATACGGATACTTCTGGGACGGGGTTGAATGTACATCAGCCTTGGGATTACTTCCATATCAACTCTGTTGACAAAAACGCTGCCGGTGACTATCTGATTTCGTCGCGGCATACTTCTGCCATCTACAAAATCTCTGGTAAAGACGGCTCCGTAATTTGGCGGCTTCACGGCGCGCAGCCCTCTTTTCGGAACATTAATTTCAGCTTTTCGCATCAGCACGACGCCCGGTGGTTACATGAGAATGCTACGCATACAATTCTCTCACTTTACAACAATGGTTATAACGGCTTCAACAAAACCCATACCTATTCAGCGGGTATGATAATTATGATTGACCACGAGGAAAAAACAGCAATCCAGCTCCGCGATTATGTCCCAATTCAAAACGACTTAGTGAGCTCTAGCCAGGGAAATCTGCAGATGCTCCCCAATCAAAATGTCTTCATTGGATGGGGAAATAATCCATTCGTATCGGAGCACGACGAAGCGGGCAATCTACTGTTCTGGGGCTCTTTCGCCAAAGACACTGTGATGAACTACCGCGCAATGAAGTTCGAATGGGATGGTGTGCCAACAGACTCTCCTGCCCTATGGACATACTCCCGCACTTCAGAACCAGTCTCTTCCACTAGCTTCTATGTCAGTTGGAACGGCGCGACCCGCGTCAACACGTGGCGATTTTGGGGAGCGATGAACATCACTGGGCCTTGGACTGTGTTGGGCGAGGTTTCCAAAACAGGCTTTGAGACCGAATACACCAGCGACAGATTCTTCCTCTGGTCTAAGGTCGAAGCAGTGGATCGTGAGGGCATTGTGCTGGGAAAGTCTGAGGCCAAGTATACATTCGTGCCCTCGTCTGGGCTGCGCGAATTCTGTGCCGCTTCTACTTGCTTGGATGCACCGGGATATGGGTTCCCTGGCGAAGAGGCAGCCCTCCCTTCCATTCCACCAGCAGGTGTCAATACTGTACCGTGGATTGGCTCCAATATTTGGACAAATGCCTCGGCCTATTTACACCCTTCTGGTGCTCCAAAGCACCCAAACTCAAACGAGCAGAATAATAACCGTGAGTATATCTTGAACAAGCTTTTCATTTCACCAAGTCGAAGATGCAAAACTGACAACTTCACAGACCTCATTGCCTGGAGCGCTGTTTTAATCGTGGCGATCCCCCTCTTCGCTGGAGTCTTCCTCGCATACCGATACCATAACAAGCATTCGCTTAACCGACTACGAGATGGGGAGTCCTCCAGGACTATGAATGGCATGGCTGAGCGGAAACATCCTCCCGTGCAAGCCATTGATTTACCCTGGTGGTATTGGCGCCGGTGGATTTCTGAGGACGAAGCAGCCTCCTACCTCCCGCTAGGCGAGCGGAGTCCATACAGCCACAAGCGTGAGCGAGAAAGGAACGAATAGTCAATGTTTTTCTCCATTTTTTTCGGTTTGTCTTTGCATTGATACCGCTCTGTACATATAATACTACTACATACTATAAACCATATATTCGAAATATAAGCATTATCTCTCATATCTGCTACACAAATATGAATATGGTCTTGAGTTGCAATTATGTATGCTACAGACTTAGGAATGGGACAAACAGTCCACAGTCCACAATATAGGAAGAACCATGCTGTGCAATGTAAAGAACACCCTGCGGGTATTTCCATATAACATAACACATATGTACGTATACTTGAAAAATACATAATGCTGATGCCTACACACTATATCTAACTATGTAGGGTATACGTACAGAGTGTGGCGGAGTTGTTGATACCAGGCATTTATCCTTTGCATGAACTACCTCGTAGGAGAATATGGTATATTGTTAGTTTTGCTAGTATAGATGTGGCAAGCGGTACAATGTGCTATACAGGACCACAGTGGGACCTATGGAGTATTGGGCACTTGTACATCTACTCCGTACATACGAGGCGGTATACGAAAGTACAAAAATGTCGCCCCATAGTACTTCAAGAGGCCCCACTGTACTAAGTTATACATGTCTATCACTATGTACGACATATGTCGATCAAAATACTTACATATGTACGTACATAGTATAAGGAGATCTGAAGTATAGATTTTGAATTGTATGTGATATATCGAGGTGATTCTTCTGTTCTACTATTTAGTGACGTGGAATGTGGCTGAACCGCTTTACTCTCGGCGCTAGGTTGCCGCCAGTGTTGGCTTGGCGGATATTGATTTAAGATTTCGTTTAAAATATGCACTTCGGAAATATTTTCGTACAAAGTACAAAGTACTAGCAGTACTATTCAAAGGTCCAATGCATTCAAGCTTAAACGTGAATTCCATGGATAACTTTGAAGGGACTTGAAACAGTTATGAAACTGAGATCAACACATAACGTGCTACGTAAGCACCACATTCTAAAAAAAAAGTGTCCAAGGGGGTATTTATCCGATCAAATTGGGACTGTAAAGGACCGTAAGTAAATCTAAAATAACTTCTCCACTACGGTTCGTACTTTATATGCCAAGACTTCCGTCAAAACGCCTGATTCAAGGGAGGAGGGCTCGGCAGGGAGGTGTGGAGTAGTCGTCGCAAGCTGTCGTTCTCAATGGTATCAGAGAGTGGTATTGTATCTATGGGATGTTTACTTTTGTAAGTACGTTGTGTAAACTACATCGGCCCGGTAGAATCAAAAATTAATTCCGAGAAACTGTATCTTAGCAAGGGATTATTACATTCCAAATGTCCCTTAATTCCACGCGGTCGCGAATACCTTTTTAATCACGCTATACTCAACATAAAAAGGTGGAATAAATTTCTCCACCATGCGATCCCATGAGGCTCTCCAGTGTGGAGTATGCATGGCACGGTAGAACTCCCAATACTCCGGCCAAAATCCAGCTAGACCCCAGTCCAGTAGAACAACACTGCCATCGGCCCGAACAAGGATATTCCCCGGATGTAAATCCCCATGTGTAAACACGATCTTGTGGTTTTTGAGACCTCGGACCGTCTGGTATAGTATGTAATCGGTGTTGAAAAAGTTAGACTCCATGTCATGTTCACCTTCGAGCACTTTCGGGGGCATTCGATCTCGCAAAGCTTGGATGATTCCTTCGTCAAAGCTTTCCTCGGATGGGTATGGGCCGTAGCTATACTTCGTGTAGTCACCGTAGCCGGCCTCGAAGATGCCATCTCGACAGGGCGATTCGTCAAGTCCGCCGATGAAATCCCCTGGAATCTCCCGCATCTGGTTCACGTAGTCCCGTAACTGCTCCAGTACGCGATCTTGCTCGGCACTCGAAACACGGTCCCAGTATCGTTTGAGTGGCTCGCCTGCTTCATATGACATTACAATGTATCCAACATCGTCGAGAATATATGCACTCAGAAGCCTTGGTGTTGCTATGGTCGTACGGGTAGATGCCAAATGTAGCGCTTCGGCTTCGGCTAAATAAACATCAGGGCCGAATTTCACAACCATGTCTGAATCTGCGAAAACAACACGCGGGCCCATTTTACCGGGACAAAGGTCATCTGCTGTCTGCAAATCGCCAGGGTCAAGTATGATAGATGGAGGTCCAATGGTTTCTGAGTAAAATAAGCGAAGTTTCTGCGCCTCTGTTTCCAAGCCTTCGCGACTGGTGCAGCTGATATTCACAGCGGAAGCTGCAGTTTCATTTTCCACCTTGGTCTTCTCCACGTCAGTATTTGCTGCTGTACTGATCTCTGGCGTCTCGAGACTGCTGTTCCCTAAATTCCTCGCACGGCAGTCGCTATGGAGAACATCGGATTCCCCAAATGATTTTCCAGTACCGCCATATTGAGGTGGGATTTGTGATCCAAGATATAGACTAAGGTCCTCTGGTTTATTCAGCAATATTGTCTCTCTCAAGAGACCTTCGTCCATATCAAGGTATGCGAGGTATTCATCCCGAGCATTGATGATGTATGCCCTTTCCAGTATATTGGGATAGTGGTACCGAATGAATGTCACCAATTCTTCGAGGGCATTGCGTAGCTTTTTCTGGAAGGACTGTTGTCCTTCCTTTGTATTTTGAGGGGCATGTATCTTGAATTCGATCACACAGGAAGCTGAATAGCCATGTAGATCAGAACTAGCGGTTGCATGCAGCAGAAGCATGGAAAGCTTTTCCATTACAGCAAGACCTAACTTCACCAACCCTTTGGATGTCGTCAGGATTTGATGTATTGGCGAGTATCCCTTAATCTTCATCTCATCAATGCTAACCCATAGCACATACTGACCCTCATTTAAAGTAATATGGCACACGTCCAAGTCACAAAGCAGAGGCTCGAATTCAGTGAAGAGAGCCCTCGGGTCATAGAAGCGTCGCCATTCCAAAGTTTTCTCAAGTGAGACACTTGCCCTGGAGAGTTGAAGTGCGGGGATTGCAGAATGTCTTCTGAGGAACTATAAATAATTTAGTGACGAATGTCGGTGTGTGCTGTAGTCCAAGTACCTTTCCCAAAATCAGCTCCAGTACCTGCCACTCTGCGTGCAACAAATCAACACCCCAAATCTCAGAATTTCGGGAATTTTTCAAAACAGAAGGAAGAGCATCCCGAAAGCAACTAGCCAGAGAATTTGGTTTATCCAAGGAAACAGACATTGTCAAAAAGTCATTCTCAAAAGGGAACCGAAACGCTGTCAGTCAAACTAGTATCTGAAATTTTAATTGTAGGTCTATCAAAGGCTCGCATACCGTGTAAAAAATTAAATAATGACTATTTTCTTACTTGCGGTAGGAGAAAGTGAGGCAACGTTCCATATCGAGATTGCCGGTTGGCCTTATCTCGATGTGTTGAGCCGTCCAGGCCCCAAGCGCCGGGCCCCGGGGGCCCAATGGGCTTAGTCACTTAAATTTGATGCCCCATGGCTGATCCACTTGACATCCAGCTAGTACTCCAATACGCGCCGAGGCACTCCATGAGGCTCTTATTACCTTTCTGTAAACTTCATACCTAATGTAAAGAGCAAGAGAAGGGTCAGCTACTAAATGTAAGATGACCCGACTCAGACATAATATCTGTGACGGGTCAATACCCGAAATATAATCCAGAGATCAACCTAGGCCGCTATATCTAAGTCACCATAGGAGCATTTAACCGCCAGGACAAAAGATCATAAGAACAAACAGAACGTGTGCTTGTCATTGTAACAGTATATATATTAGGTAGGTCCTAATATCCATTACGGATCACAGGAATAGATTCTGTGTATCACATGAAACTCCATGTACAAAGTACATAACTACCCGGGAGTGGTGCGGGGAAAGCACTGGGAATTGTAACTTAACCGCCGACATCTAGCTCCCTTTCCTCCACCAGCGCTAACCATGGAATCTCCCACTTATGGCCTTGCAATAAGCATCTACAGCCGCGGCGATGCCAAACTCGGCGATGGCCCCTCACACATGGGAATCGCCATTTACAAGTATGGCGCCTCAACCTGTGAAATACACCATATACGCAACCCCACAGACGAAGACTTCATTTATGATCCGCGGACACAGCCGCTCGAAGACCCGGTTCTCAAGGGTCGCTGTGAGCTTGCTTCACTCAATTATGAGCAGATGCAACAAGTTGCTAGCTTGATCTCTGCGTTTGGGAAGGATGAATCTAACCACCCCGAGTTTGGGGTTGGAAATTGCCAAGATTGGGTTGCTGGTGCTGTTGGAATGCTTGAGCACGCTAGTTATGTTTCGCCCGGAGAAGGGGCATTCTGGAAGAGTATGATTAACAGAAGCTCGGAGGAGATGAAAAATGAGTGTCTTCAAGGGCAGAGGAAATGGATAGATGGTCCGGAGTCGACGTATGAAGGAGAGCCCGATGCAAGGTTTGTGGACAGAGAACGGGACACAGTGAAGCCTGTTGGGAAGTTAGCTCAGAATGAGGTATTCCGGGCGCGAATACAGTCACTTTTGGGTCCCAAGGGGAGTGGAAGGAGTGATGATAAGACGCCTGTAGAACGGCCGTTTTATGTGTCAAGTCCTTTCTTTAGCAAGATGAATGAGAGGAACAACTGAATGCACTGTCTAAGCATTAAATTATCGCCACAAACAGTATACCTAAAGTACATGATGCATAGAAGTTAAACCTATAATAGGATGGAGTCCACGCATTAGAAGCAAGTCTATATTTGGACGGAGCGAGACTACGAGACTACAGCATATACCCAGGTGACTATAGGTCCATGGCTACTACTAGTATGTATTTAATATGTATACTTAGTACCGAAGAACTTGAAATTTATAAACATAAATTACAATACCTTTGTATTTCCAATATGGTAATCTCGGTAATATAACCTGGTGGGCCCCGACAATAAAGTATGGAGAAAAGGACGTCATCTCCCCTGGGCCGAGATGGCACATATACAGGAGAATAATATTGAAAAAAAGTAATAAAAAAAAGAAAAATAAAAGATTACTATTTCTCTTTTATCTCTCACATAGAGCCAATAATAAAGCCACAAAGCCACCCAAACCACAAAACAAACCCAAGGTGCCTACACAGTACTGCTTTTGAACCTTACGGCGCCTCCGCTTACGCTAGTACATTCCTCAATGCCTGCCAGGTCTGGAAATAATAAAACGAATAATGCCCGCCATGCACGTACAACATCCTGGTCGAGTGGCTTCCATTTCATCCAGAACGCCGGTGAATCCTCTGAAAACGCCCAAGGCCGCCGACGACGCGAGTCCAATACCTCCCTCGCCAGTGTTGAAGAACGCTCCTCCTCACACGACTCGCTCGACTCGCCCGCCATCGATGAGAACATGTTAAGCAATAGCTCGATGAAACTGCATAGTGACCGCAAAACCCAGCATGTGCGCGACCGCTCTATTAGCCAGGGCCAGCCACGGGTACTGACCCTGCAAGGGCATGAGCTCCCGACTGTGCAGACGCCAGTGCGCCCTGCGCTCGTAACGTGGATGTCGCTGCCGCGGAAGGGTCAATTGGCGCTGCTAGGGCTCTGCCGTGTGTTCGATTTCCTACAGGTCGCTTCGCTACAGGCTTACATGTTTTATCAGCTCAAGTCCTTCGACCCAAACCTCTCCGACTCCGATGTTGCGACACAGGCGGGAATTCTCCAGGGTGCTTTTACCGCTGCTCAGTTTGCGACGGCGATCCCCTGGGGCCGTGTTGCTGATGCTGAGTGGGGTGGTCGGAAGTTCGTTCTACTTGTTGGTCTACTTGGCACTGCGGTGTCTTGTTTGGGTGTCGCATATTCGACGTCGTTCGCGCAGGCCGTGTTCTGGCGTTCGTTTGGTGGCGGCATTAATGGTACTGTTGGCATTATTCGAACTATGATTGCGGAAAATGTTAAGGAGAAGAAATATCACTCGCGGGCTTTCTTAATTTTGCCTATTGGTTTTAACATAGCTTCGTTGTTTGGGCCTGGTGAGTATCTCATCTCATTCTGCCAATGCTGTTCGCGGCTATGCGACAATCCGCTAACCAGTTTCGCAGTGATGGGTGGCATGTTGGCTGATCCCGTTAAGAGCTATCCCCGTCTCTTCGGTCTCAATTCTTCCTTCGGAGGTGCTAATGGAGTGCAATGGCTCGAGAAGTACCCTTATGCACTACCAATGTTCGCGAACTTCTGTTTCCTCTCTGCAACTGCAGCTTTGGTTGCGTATGGATTAGAAGAGACCTTGGCATCCTGCAAGGGCAAGCCTGGCCTGGGTGCATTTGCTAAGAAATTGTTTGCGCGCGGCGTGAAGAAGTTGTTCCCCTCTTCATTGTCCTCGTATACAAGGCTTCCGCTCGGTGACTACGAGGAGGATGGGCCTGTGACGGGTCAACCAATGGACCGCTCAGAAAGCTACGAGCTTGAAGAAAAGGCGCATAAGCCTGCCCACCTTCGACCTGTATTACCTTTCCGAAGAATCTGGACCAAGAACGTTTTGTGCACACTCGGCGCACAGGCTTTCTTCGACTTCCAAATGGGTGCTTTCAACAACCTCTGGCTACTCTTTCTGTCTACTCCCCGCTATGACTCCAATGACCCCGCGAGCCCGGCTCAAAGCTTGCCATTCGCCTTCACCGGTGGACTGGGTATGCTGCCGCAGAGCGTTGGTTTCGCGACTGCCATCTTGGGTGTGATTGGTATGTTCCTTCAGTTCACCGTCTACCCTACCATAAACGGCCGACTGGGAACAGCCAGGAGCTACCAGTATTTCCTCTCCCTCTTCCCGATCGCATACTTCATTGCCCCCTATATATCGCTTGCTCCATCTACAATTCCCCCTCCTGGCCAAGCCAACGGTCCCTGGGTCTGGTTTTGGATTATTATCGTCCTCTTCTTCCAGGTCACTGCCCGAACCTTCACTCTTCCCACCTCCATAATCCTGCTGAATAACTGCTCGCCGCACCCATCGGTTCTCGGCACAATCCACGGAATTGGTCAGTCCGTGTCATCAGCATTCCGTACCATTGGTCCTATATTTTCAGGTGCATGGTACGGATATGGCCTGGATATTGGTATGGTCGGCTTCGCCTGGTGGTTGATTGCATTGGTGTCCGTGTTTGGCTGTCTTGCAGCTGTCTTCGTATATGAAGGTTCTGGACATGAGATTCTTCTTCCTGGCGAGGAAGAAGAGATCTAATATGATACGATATGAGCGTGTCTTTTTTTCCTTTCAAGGATTGAATTATACATTGCTTTAACATTTTGCATATAAGGTGTCGGTTGGTTGGGTGTGTTTTGTTCTATTACACTTTGGTTTTGCTGTCCTGCTGGTGCAGGTCACGCCAATACCTGCGACTCAATATATTTCCCATTTGCATTCATTGCTGCACCGGTGGGCAGCGGTGATTTTGCATATTGAACATTTTGATATTATGCCTGCATCTGTTTTTTCCCATTTCTGTTTGATACCATTTGATTGCTTTGCATCTTTATGTTGTAACACTTTCGTTTTGTCTTATGTTAGAATAGAAAAATTCCAGACACTGCTCTGGTCAGTTGATCCTCGGATCAACCTGAATGAAGCCCAATATACTAAACTTTCTTGTTAAACTTGATCATCCAAACATCAGTGTATAGCAAGTACATCCGTCCTCATTTATAAAAACTTATCATGCATTTTAATCTTGAAATCATATCTTTTCACAGAAGGTCGATCCTCACAAGCTAGCCCCATATCCCTTGACATAGCTCGCGTCAAAAGTCTCCTTATTGACTGCATATTCACGAATGTAGTCCCTCTCAAGATCGTGCGTCCTCCGGCCAAGAAGAACAAGACTGTGCAATGGCGCGCCCATATCAACAGTAGACAACTCCTTAAGTGTACCAGAAACAAGCTGTTGACTAGCAGCGCCACAACGCGCAACACCAACAGCCAAACTGTCTGGCCCGTAGATACCCTCCTGTCGCTCCTCCTCAGTCTCCAGCATCTGTGCCGCACACTGCGCAACAGTCATGTAGCGAGGCGGCTCGAAAATGCGGCGTCCGCGTGCCATGTTCTCCAGCGACTGCTCCTTGACCTTAATATCGAGTAGGACTAGTGTGTGTAGGCCGATTTGTATGTTCTCGCGCACACGATCGTAGTATGAGGAGGGCTTCCAGGTCTCAGTGAAGAAGACCATGCTGACTGTTTGTCCGAAGTTGTACAGCTGGAGTCCTGTACAACCGATTCCGGACATGATGGAGGCGTTCGGCACGACTTTGGTTTCAATGCCAAGTTCGCGCGCACGGAGGACGAGATCGGTATGGGTTGTTGCGCTGTTAGTGTTATGGTGTTAGCTATAGATCTCGAAAGAAAAGTGGACTAAAACTGTACCCGAACGGATCTCCCACTACTAAAAACACAATATCAACATCTTGGCCGCCGGCTAGGATGTCATCGCTGCCGGTTTCGACTAATTCACGGTCTGCCTCGATGACGGGGCGGCCATAGAACGCTTCCTACTGGTATTATTTTTCATCAGCTCATCTGCGCAAAAGATATGGAATGGCTCATTGGGATATAGGATTGGAAGTCAAAACCTGGAACTTAACTCACCAGTTTTTCCTTATCGACAAGAAGAATACTTGTGTATGCCTCTAGATAGACTCTCTCGGCCCGTTTCACAACTTCCAGACCACGGACGGTGATATCCGTCTCATCAGCGAGACCGAGTCCAACTAAATGAAGCATCTTGGTTGTAAAGTCCCAGGTTATGTAATTGAGAAAAACGCAATGGATCTCACCATATAACAAACAGGTAGAAAAAAAGAATAACCGTGCCCCGCGATACAGGCAGAATACTCCGCCACCGCCGGATCAAACAATATCCGGTTATCGCTCATCTCCCCCAGATCGGCCTGTGCACGTCCAGAGCTTCGTCCTCCTGTGATCATCATCTCTCACTTTGTCTTGAATCAATCCAATATTCCAAGTTCATCTTCTTATATAAGCCTTCATATCAATAGACAAAGACATCCTCCCCTGGTAGGGTTACCGCCATCCATCATGAGCACTGATCGGAATCCGAAGTATCGACAGGAGATACAGCAGGTGAGTTCCTTCACGATCCTTGGTTCATTTCGCTTGCGGTTTTCAGTCTCTCGATATTTCTGGCTCTCGAGTATTTGAATTTTGTGCTGTCGTCAGGTCTCCAAAGAGTTTTGAACATATTGTCACCGTCACCTGGCTTTGCGACACAATATACTTGCGAGGCGCAAACACGTTCTCTTAGGGGACAGTGCCACAGCGTCCTCGATTCCCCAAGTTCCACAGGAAGAAGCCATACTCTGAATTTCGAAGCTGCCTTTCAGGTCAGCAAATACGATGGGATGTTCATGGATGAACTGGCTGGGCTTGTGACGTACACTTGCCTTTCGGATGAACTCATTGGCTGGAAAAACGCCGTGTCATTCTTGACCTCTTCAATTCTTTATAAACAAGATCGACATTGGCTATAAAAATCTGTGGCCCTGTCATATCATGGCCCAGCTGGGCCTTTCGGTGTTGCATTGTTGGGTTGTTGGGATGCATGCATCTTGTGTCGAGCAAAAAAGACTGCAATCCTCGAACTGCTCGCATCCTCTATGCAACTGATTCTGCCAAGATCGAAGCTTTGACGCTGGATTAATGAGTGATACCGGTTTGAAGACTGAGGATGATGTCAGTGTTTCTAGAGTCGAGAGCAATTGGCAACACGGTCGTGCCTTCTCTACGATATGTGTGGGGCCACGAGTGAGCTTATCGATATCGAGGCTGTGAGGGCTGCCATTCAGCCCATTGAGCTGGCGAGGTCCTTCGATACCTCTATTCTTCACTTTCACCTTTCCTCTTCGCCTGTCACTCAGCTCTTCTACCCGAGATCGGAACTCTTCAACTCTACGCCTTCGTCTTTTCGGCAGATCATTTACTGCCTTGCTTCTTTGTTCAACTGAACTCGTCTTCTGAATACCCCTGTCAACCCCGTCTACAAACCAATCTCGCGCGTCCTTCGACATTTCATCTACGGCATTAAGCACTTCATTTGTTTTTCATCATTTGCCCATCATGTCTTTTTTCCAGCTCTTACTTCAAACCCACTGTTAAGCACTGGACACAGTATCGGGAAGAACTCGACCGTAATGGGGTGGAACAGATGGAAATTGATTCGCATGTGCCCTTGAGTGATTCTCAAAGGAACTTGAACGATCCTGATATGATCATCAGTAATGCTGATGAGCCCTTGACTGATCCTAATGTGACCATGGGTGATTGTACCGTGAACACCTCTATCAATGCGCCTTGTGCAGCTCCAGACTCAGGCTTGGGTTTCTCTGATGATGTTCCCATGCATCCTGTTGAAGAAGTCTCTGGTGCAAATCAGAAGCACCTGGCCGGCGATGCTGAGTCAGACTTTTTCTCTATGGGAGAGTACTTTTGCGGGCAGTACACCAAGCATCATGGCACTGCCAAGGAGCGACTCGTTCGCGTTCGCCTTTGCTTGCTGTGCACTCGTATCTTCAACTCGTTCAGTTTTCAGAAAGATAGTGCGACGACCAACTCCGGAACAATTATCGAGAGCCAGGAAGATTATGAGATGGGAGAGGCAAACATAGTTGGAGGATCCATTACTGACGACAATATTAAGATGATGTTTGTTTCTGGAGAGACAGCAGAGCCGTCTCCTGAGACCACTACTTTGATTGAAGAAATCACCCGCCAACAAGTGATCGAAATTGTGCGTGCTAGTCATTCTGCCTTGAGGAACTCTTGTCACTGACGAGCAAATAGCTTAGCCGCAGCACCGCATTGGCAACTCGCCGCGGAGTCCGCTCGATCTCTACCGACGACCTGATTTTCCTGATTCGTCACGACAAGGCCAAGGTTTCCCGCCTGCGAACCTTTTTATCCTGGAAGGACGTCCGCAAGAATGTGAAGGACTCCGACGACAAGGGTGGTGGTGATGCCGCCGACTTCGCTGCCGCCGACGATGCGGCTGGTGTCGTTGCAGGCCCCCAAGACGTGGCCCCCAAACCCAAGAACAAACGCGCCAAGGTCGGACTTGCGTGGGATGTCAACAGTTTCTACTCAGTTCAGGTCCCCGAGCGTGAAGATGAAGAAGATGAAGAGGAGGAGGAGCAGAACTACGCGACTCTCCAGCGTCTTGCTGCTGCCGACGAACGCACTCGCCACATGACGAGAGAGGAGTATGTATTTTGGTCTGAATGTCGCCAGGCTTCCTTCACCTACCGCAAGAGCAAGCGTTTCCGTGAGTGGGCAGGCTTCGGCATCGTCACCGAATCCAAGCCAAACGACGATATCGTGGACATCCTAGGATTCCTCACATTCGAGATTGTCCAGACTTTGACTGAGCAAGCTCTCAAAGTCAAGGAGCGCGAAGACAATGAGAAGCACCGTCGCGGTGGCGCCGAAGCCGGCGAGAACCTCAAGAAGCGGAAGCGCGAGACGGGCCTGTTCGACCCGCCCGAGGAGGGCCGCACTCCTATTGAGCCTCGGCACGTTCGCGAGGCCTACCGCAAGCTACAGGCTACTCCCCAGAAAGCGGTTGCCATGCTGTTGCACGAGGGTCGTGTTCCCCCCCGCCACCCTCTTGCTTTGGTGAGTCTACATAAAATACCACTTTATCTTCTTATGCTAACAAAGTCACTAGGTTTAAATGTTCGCTCACTTGGGCCTCCCTCCCAGAGGCCCCTTCATGAATTACGCGCGTGGGACCGGGAGTTTGCGAACGATACCCAGTTTTACCTTGTTTGATTTGCGGTGCATTCGGTGGTGGTGACAATTCACTAGTTTAATTGAATGTTTGATTAGTTCAATGTTGTATCTTTGCTTGTAAATTCACTGTGGGTAGTAATAATCTCAACTAGAATCTCATCAAAGCTCTCGCTCAGTATAACTGTCCCACTTAAAACAAGAGCTCGAAAATACTTACATCATGAACACAGTAAAGTGATTCTGGGCAGAAGACGAGCCAGGAGTGAACTGAGAGTGACATTGAGAATGAGCAGCAGATGAGATAGATAAACAGGAGCTGGATTATTTAGATTTATCATACTACGTATCTTGGTCTGAAGCGATGAGAGAAGAATGGTATAAGAATAATGAGGGTCCCGTGGCTATTATTTACATGTCTTTGCCAGTTGAGTAACTATGTATAACTGAAGGCCTAATGGATTCCTCTTCTCTCGGTATTGATAATAGTAATACGGCTCAGGAAACAATCCATAATTCTCCTGGTCAGCATGTGGACGTGTTATAGGTCTAAGCAAGGCAAAAAGAAAGTGAATCAAGTATGGAGTTCTGCCATTGCTATGTAGGTCTAGATTAAATTATATAAATGATAGATATAGATGGTTTTGCCTAGAGTGAACTTGCTTGTCTGTTTTCTCTTATTTGTACACGTACCTGTTAATAAATGGGGTTTCCCCCAGACCAAACTTCACCGTAGTTCAAGCAGCACGACGTTCACGGAAAATACGCGGAAAACGAACGCTCTGTAGGAAACCGAAGACCTGCAAAAAGATGCCTGCCCATCTTGTGACTAACTGTAGGGGTGCAGCGTTGGGCTCGACACGGGAAGGAGTAGGAATATACACACCTGGGGCAGGGAAACGGCTATATAGGTCAGCATTCCTATATAAGGCGCAGTAATCAAGGAATATACCGGTCAAACAAGCGTTCAAAAACGAACCAGAGGAAGAGGATACCCTTCACTGCGATGACCAAGATGGAGACCAGCCATATCAGGTTAAGCCCCACAGTGTTCATAACCCCGTCACCCTTTTCTTCGGCCAAACGTACTAGTTCAGCAATTGCCAATTCCTTTCGTTTGTCGCGGCGGACTGGGAGCGCAGGTAAATCAGTATATTAGTGGAGGGCCAAAAAGCTGAAAAAGGATATCACACTTACCAGATAGGAGAAGAAAACGCTTGGTGCAGGTGCCGAACAAGAACAAAAAGACCCTTCGTCTATACGAAGGATTAACGAAACGGCAATGTGCAATTCCGATCCAGATGCGCACAATGAGGATCGGCATTCGTCACTTCTTGTTCAAAACCAAGGCCTCAGAGACAGACCAATGCAGCTGCGATGCAGGTTCACAGACACCGAGATATATCTTGATGAAATGTCCATTGTATACCGGGCTTCGGGTAAAGATGTAGAAGCAGCTCGACAAAGTTGGAGTGAAGGACAAGGACTACGACAAGCTCGTGTCTAACCCGTAGGCCATCCGCTACGTGGCCAACTTTATGCACCGAACAGGTCTCCTCCAGCAGTTTCAACACGTGGGACTCGAGGAGGACGACGACGAACCGACAGGCCTTGCGGTAATAGAGCTAGGTGTGGAAGACGATGGGTAAGCTCAGCCAGAGTTGACAAACATACCAGGCAACTGGCCATGAATAATACACAACCAATTGCAACTGGAGCAGGGGAAGGATACAGGGAGGAGAAGAGGGAGAAAGAGAAAGGGAGAGAGGGAGAGACGTAGGAGGCGGAAGGCGCAGGGTGCACTCTGCCGCATTCATTTGATATTTTTTACTATGTATGGGTTTGTGGGGTTACAACATGCGGGAATGGGCTGATTCCACGCTCTTTACAAATCAACCTCTGTATTTACTTCCGGGAGTGATCCCAACTCGGCGTTTGGCTTCGAGTTCTTGCTTCAGCTGGATGAAGCGCCTGCATAGTCATACGCAACTAGTTAGACTGCAACATGTTAATTGAACTTTGCTTGCTTGATTGATTGATTGATAGGAGAAGAAAATAAAAAAATCAAGAAGAAGATATGTTTGTAATGCATTTTGTGTGATGCAGATGATATAAGTAACTTGAAGTTCTTATATGTTCTACGAAATTACTTTATAGACTATTATATAGGGCAGATATATAGAGAGTGTACTAGTATATAGCAATTTCTTAAAATATATAAAAACTACAAGTTACTTATATCATCTGCATCACACAAAATGCATTATAACCATAAATAAACAGGAGCTGGATTATTTGGATTTCTGCCTGCCCAAAGATGTTTTCTCTGAAGGCTTTAGTATATTATTTACACTAATAACATAAACTAGTACAATGTCGTGGACATACCCAGTACATCTTCAAACCACTGATCATTTCCTAAGTCCATAGACTGCATCCAGGCCATCTGATCTAGATCCGGGATATGGCTACTGTGAGAGTCACTCTGACATGGCCTGATATCACCGGTTTGCACCTGAGAAGATATGTTCCACCGAGTTTCAGCCCACACCCGACATTTGGATAAGAGCTTGGATAAAAATTTCAGTAAATGGTCATTGCACTGAAGTTCCGGTTCCTTGCTGCCCAGATCGAGCTTCTGAAGCATACAGTCCATCGTCGATATTAAGTGAACTGTATTTCGCACCGCTTGACAATCCCATTCTGGGTCTTTGAGTGTCGAAAGATATTTCAAGAGTGTGATGCTAAGAATCATCTGTGACCAAAGGTGAAAGGGTTGCCCGACGAGTTTTGAGCAAGGGATTTTGTAGAAACTGTCCAGCCACGATTTGATGTTCTCGACGGACTGCCATAGACAATCAAGACGTTCAAATCCTAGTAGGATCCCGCCATCGCCCCTTCGTCCAGCTAAATCTAGAGGCGTGTCTTGACTGATAGAATACGCTAGCTGATTGATGTATAGTTCGACGTATTGCGCGTGTGTGTTGAGAATGTCTGTACGTCAAGCCCAGGTGCACCCCAGGTGAATGTTAGCCATGCTGCAGCCGAGGTAAATTGCGATATATTTTACTCAAGGAACTACTTACAGCTCTGTTGGAGATCTGCGCGGAATGAAGATTTTAACTCATATAGCTGCCTTCGTAATGTTTTCAGATATAATATGCGAGGAGCCGAGGCCGCAGGAGCTGTTCCTATACGAGCATAATCTGTCTCATCCTGCTGTCGGACATCATCCGCTCTCTGCTTCAACAGCTGCAAGCGTACTTGAGCGACAAACAATTCATCAGTGGCGCATGACTTGCTTATTATAATGAGTTGAAGCGCCTCTTCCATTTGTGAAGTCCAGCGTATAGCATCTTGACGCCCAAGGTGTGATGAAACACTACAGATAGTCATATGTTAGTATGGCTCGCTCCTCAGATATGTCATGGTAATTAAGGTTGATGGAAAATCAGGAAGGTTATGCGCACTTGGAGCTCAAAATGAAACAAGCCAGTACTGCCCGTTGCCCTTCTAATAAGCTGTAGGGGGTTCCCTCGCTGGGACTGTGACCATCTTGGTCTTCCCGCCCCTGGGTAATAGTCATCATGAGTTTTACCTCTGGTGAGGATGGTTTGAATAACCGTAGATCATATACTAGCGAGATAGCGAGCATCATGAGACGAGAGATCAGGTCCGCCCTTCCAAGGAAAGCATCGGTACTCCATGCTAGATAAGTTAGTAGTCCAAGCAACAGGTCGATATTTGACTCGACTTTGATTAAAGCAGATGTGAACAGAAGACGCTTCAGTTCCTCAACTTGAATTAATCTTTCCTGTGTCGAGAAGGTGGTAACGGTGTGAATAGCTTGAAACAAGAATGGCCTGTTTTGGCGGAGATACCAGCTTGTCATATCTGGGGTAAGATTGATGAAAGGGAAATATGGCAGCATTCGAGATCGGAAGAAATTGAGCCGTTCGTCTGCTTGATTTGGCAATGGAGTAGAGGGCGATAGAGGATAAGGATGACACTGGAAAGTCGGATTTGGATTTACCGATACTGTGGCAATCGAGTTGGTGGAGTATGTAGGCCGCTCATTGTAGCTCATATTAGTGCTTGTGGGGTTTATCAGAGTGTTATTCGAATAAGACGTGGCTGATGAAATGCTGTCTCCATTGAGGGAAGGGGGTTGTGGGATGTTGAACGTAGACCCAGAACCAGCCGTGGAACCGATAAAAGATTGCATTGCAGATAGCAAGCTCTCGATCTTGTTTTCCAGCCGAGCGATGCGTGTATCGGACACATCGGTTGGAGTTGTTTGAGCATTACGCTTGCGAAAGGACTCTGATGGCTCACACCTTTTCCCAAGGCGAAGACATCTAGGAAATAATTAGCTTGATGTCTAATGTCAAGAGCCATACACTGATTACTTTTCGCAATCATCACTATTTGCAGAACGCACACACCGGGATTTTGCCTTGTAGCAATGGGTGCAAGCCTGGCCATAGGTGCTAGTTTGGCCCGGGGCTAGTTTCGATCTGTCCATAGTCATAGCGATTGGTGAGACAGGCTAGGCTAGATGGTCAAAATATCTCGATGGAATTTAGGTCCCCAGGTGGCAGGCTTCAAAGATACCTCCATGTTCTTTACTTATGGAACGGAGTTAACGGAGATGATTCCGCCGGTTACTAATATCCCGTGTTATATCGTGAGAATGCCGTCGGATTTAGCCCGAAGTCCGCCACCATAGTATTTATTTTGCCTTATCAATAAAATATTCCGTTTAGGTCTTGTTTGCGCCATGGCCTATGGAAGAAAGCTGACGCAAATCGGCTAGTCATCTTGAAAAACTATCCCCCAGTGCCAGAAGATGAGGCGAAAGACACGACCGGCCGAGAGCATGTCTCGCAAAAGAGCAGCTCGCTGAGATGGTAGCAATGGGCAAATACTGCTGCAGCTTTCATGTCGATCCCGGGGATACAGGTGGAAGAATGCCGCTCGAGTCACAATGAACTATCAGAGTTGGGGTAGCGCCTCAACCGGACTTCAGTCCTCTGGATACCGTACAGATTCCGTCGCACGTACCTTGCAGCCCCTGGACTGTCTAGAGCCTTTGACCACTATCCTGTGAAGACATGCACATATAACTCCGCTCGAGCCTTTGGCGGGTTTGATTTTGCTTCAGTTTTTTCCTGCACACATCGTCCCCTCTAATTAGTGCTGCTTCATTTTGCATACCCGCCTGGTCCCTTCGCAGAAATGGCACCACTGAATCAGGCGGCTTGGATCCCCGCAAAAAAGGTCCTGCCATTCAAGGTCAGCGACGCGCCCTACACCCGTCCTGGCTCAGGCCAGGTCGTAGTCAAGAACGCCGCCGTAGCCATCAATCCTTTCGACTGGGTGTTGCAGTACATTGGCCCAGCGCTTGCTGGTTATATCAAGTATCCCTTCATTCTTGGCACCGATGTTGCTGGTGAAGTCGTCGAGGTCGGTCCCGGTGTGGAGCGTTTCCGCGTGGGCGACCGAGTCTGCGGTAGTGCTGCGGCCATTGCGAAAGAGGTCAACCGCCCGGCCGAGGGAGCTTTCCAACTCTATACAGTAATGCGACAGAACATCTTGACGCCGATTCCACCCGGCATCACCAATGAGCAGGCCTGTGTCTTGGGACTGGGTCTCGGGACTGCGGCTTACGGCCTTTTCCACCCGGATTATCTGGGCCTCGACATGCCTCAGACTCCAGCAACCATCAAAGTTGTAGGCAAGTCAGGCTTGCCGCGCACTGTCATTATCACTGGCGGTGCTTCGAGTGTTGGTAGCAATGCCGTACAGCTTGCTGTGGCTGCTGGCTACCAAGTCTTCTCTACGTCGTCACCTAAGAACTTTGACTATGTCAAGGGTCTTGGTGCCTCTCAGGTCTTCGACTACAAGAGCAAAAGGTTGGCCAAGGATCTCCTCACCGCTCTGAAAGGCCACGAGCTGGTCGGTGCTTACACAATTGGCAATGGTGCCGTGGAGGCATGCACCACGGTTATGAGGAAGCATGATCCCAAACTCACACGAAAATTCATTGCCGTGGCCGGCGCTATCATACCTGCCGAGAAGCTAACGACATTTGTTGGCAAAGGTACGTACTTGATGGGCATGATGGGTGGCATGATTAAATCGAGCGGGACGCGCATCAGAACTGGGGTGGAGGCCAAATTCATCATCGTTGATGGCCTAGTTGATCCAGATAGCGTCGTCTCTCATGTATACATGGACTTTTTGCCGCAGGCTCTTGAACAGGGCCAGTTTGTGCCAGCTCCTCCTCCGTATGTTGTGGGCAAGGGACTGGATAAGATCCAAGAGGCTCTCCATCTTCAGAGAAAAGGTGTATCCGGAAAGAAGCTTGTCGTGACGCTTTAGCTTAGTGACGAAAGATACCCAGTGTCTAGGATAAACTTAAATTAGGTGCAGGATTTCGGTTATATATTAATATACTCTCCTATTACTGCGATTTTCTGACAGTCATATCTATATAGTAGCCACTAATCTCACTATATAACCAAAATTCTCCTACTTGGTTATGTCTTTTAGATTCAAATAAACATACACCCGTACAAGGAAGTCAGAGGCACTTATAGACGAACAAGGCGTGGCTAGTGAAGATACCTAGGCGGTGCCTATGCGCAGGTGTTAGTATGGATGTTTATTAATTCTTAGTGTGGAACCTCTTGGTATGGTGCAGTAAAAGTGAAAATCGTGACAAAAGAATAAATTTAAATGTTGTACAAACTGTCTGGACAATGTTGATCCTAAAACAAAAAGCAGATTCCCCAAAGAAAAACGACAGCAGACCGACTAGTTGACCCCTGAGGGGAGTGCTAGAATCGGCGGCGTCGAAAACGAATGTAATTGCATCAGTCGAAGATGATATGAAGAAGGATGAGTATAACCCTCCCTGGGGTCGCAATTCATTGATGATCAACGAGGCTACCTTTCACCAATCCCTGCTGAATCTTTATAACTGCTATCAGAAGACTTCTCAGTAATGACCTGAAGCTCCTTGACCTTCCGGATGTCCTTCCATCCAAGCCCTGGGGAAAATACCAAGACAGCAACGCTGACAGCAATACCGAGGTACATCACTTTGTCGATGCTTTTGGCGTAAGCGGCGAGCACAGCAGTTAGCTCGGAGCCAGATACCAGGTTACGGATCGAGCGGACTCCGATATTTATAATGGCGTCTGGAGAAACGCTGATTTGTGTAGCGCGTTTTTGAAGCTCTGAACGAAGGCTATTGCTGAAGATGGCATTTGCGGCGATCAGAGAAGTGGCAGCACCTATGTTTTGCCAGAAGATGATAATGGCCATGGCAAGGGGAATTTGCTCTGGAGCCACAAGACTTTGTATAGCGATGTAGGGCTAAACGAAAGATACAGATCAGCTGGCGGGGCCATTATTTGACAAGAATCGAACTTACAGCTGCAGTCGTGCAACCGCTTCCAACACCATAGAGAACTTGGTACCCAATCCATTTTGCAACCGGAGTCGTAGCACTCAATGTCGACAGGAGTCCGTAGCCAATAGATGATATCACACCCCCTGCAAGAAGGAATGGGAGATAGTAGCCCAAAACGGAAACTTTTCAGTATCAGCGACGGTGGCCATATAAATTAACGGACTAAAGGCCACAGTTGGAAGCACTTACTCAGAGTGCCCGAGACCATGGTAAACAGAACGATACCGAGGGTGATTGGGAGCATGTGAACACCGCTCATTAGGGGCGTGTCATCGTGGATTGCCTGGAAATAAATTGCAATATAGAAATCAGCCACAAGAACACTGGACAAGCTGAAGAACATTGTCATCGCAGCGGACCAAATAACTCGGTGTTTGAGCATGGCAAGTGGCACCATGGCATTGTCCCCTTGGTGCCACTCCCAGACAAGAAAGACAACAAAGGTAATGCCAGCGCCGACCAGCAATCCTATCACAACTGAACTATCCCAGGTATATTCGTTACCGCCGAACTGGAGCCCCAAGAGGAACATGACAACCGCCGGGCAAATGAGCGCAAATCCTGGGAGGTCTAGAGACTTGATAGCAGAGCCAAGAATCTGGAGAGGTGGATCCTTGGGTTTTGGTTCGGGGATTGTGTTGAAGAGAAGGAACCCGCCGACGATGACGCCCAAAGGGAGGTTGATATAAAAACCTAAAAGAAGAAAATTTAGCCTTTTGGTAATCTCCAATGTAAGAAATGGAATAACATACACCACCGCCAGGACACATTCGTGGTGAACGCGCCCCCAATGATGGGCCCCGTCGCAAGGCCTATCTGGCCCATGCCCATGTTGAGCCCCATGAAAAGGGCCTGTTTCTGTGTTGGGAGGACGGCGGAAATGGTTGTCACTGCGCCGTTGGACACTCCAGCAGACCCAACACCCGCGATAACACGACCGACGATGAACATGGCCGATGAATGAGCGGCTCCACATATGGCGGATCCAATTTCGAAGATTACGAAAAAGACAAGAAAGGTCCACTATATGACGCCCCCGTTAGAATTTGTTTTCAGTGGAGTTAAGATGCGTGAGTCTTGAGCTAGAGTATACCTTGATGGAAAATCGGCTGTAAATCTTGCCGCTTAAGGGCTGAAATGCTGCACTCCCCAGCTGGTAGGCGCCGCCATACCTGGAAAAGATGAATTAGCATCTCACGAAAAGAAAAGACCAGTAATTGTGGCCTAGACAAGCAGGATGGGTACCCACCAACCGACGTCTACCAACGAGTCAAACTGGGAGGTAATGGCCGGAGCGGCCGTAGAAATGACAGCAAGGTCAAGGAAGAACAGGAAATAGGCCAGAGTAACTGATGTCAGGATAAGAGCAAGCGCCAGGCCCGACGGATATTGGGCCTTGAACTCTGCATCATCGCCGGAGGCATTGATCTCGGAACCATGTTGCTTTTCCATCGAGTTCTTTGGCGACGTCTCGGACGAGTCTATAGGAATCTCATCGAGAGTGGAAGGTTTCATCTCGGCTATTGCAAGACAGGAGGTCTAGTCAAGTACCGTAGCTGGAAGACTAATTTATTGGTATGATACTGTGATGAGTGATGGCTGTTAGGTCGTGATCAAAATAAAGTAGTCATATTCAACTTTTATCTGTATATCTCAAATTCCGCCTCCTGGAGATAAAGCGGACATTGGCTTTCGAAATCCGAAATTAAACAGGGGCTTCCTTCACCTGCATCTATTCGGATTTTGGTCGGAGTATAGGGTGAGTCGGAGTCTGCTTCTGAAATCCGAAGCTTATGTCGGCCCGAGCGCCTTTGGCGACAATAGTACTATAATCGACCACCGTCAACTACATCAAAGGTTATGCATAAAAACTCGTCTACTTAATTCATGTATTTTATCGTCTTTATATACATCTAAAAAGAGGTGTCAAGAAAACATTGAAGAGCACATCGGAGTGTTGTTCCATTTGAAATCCCTAATATCAGGCCCGAGGTTATCAGAGTCTTACGTCGTCAACACAACGGCCGAATATTCTTGTACATCCTTAGGCCCAAAGACTGCAATGAGTCCATACTACCCATATCAATGCTCATTGACACACTCAATCACACTTTCTACCCCCTTTCCAGCGCTCCATACTTTCACAATTTTCAAGCCTGCCTTATTCTCAATCAAGTCGTACCATGCTGTACTAGTCCGTTCTTCGGAAGAGAATAGGGTCAACATCATCATATCAAGTCCCGTAGTTTCCCAATGGGCGCTGTTATGCGGCATAACGGTCTCGTTGATCAGTAGTCTGCTATAACCAGGCTTCATGGCCTCTTTCACTCGTGCAAGTATGCTCTCACATACATCGTCCGGCCAGTTATGTAGCATTGAGTGAATATAATAGACACGGGCACCTGAGAATATGGTAAGTAATCCCTCGAGATTGATAGGGAGAATGTGAACGGAATTGAGGAGATAACTCTGCACTCTTGCCTTTAACGGGTTGTTCATTATGGAAGTCATACTCCATTCGGATTATATCCGGATCTAGATCTTTGATCTGGTGAATCATCATAGGCAAATCTTGAAGTATTAGCTTTCCGGGGACGCTTGGATAGCGACTGTGAAATCTCTCCAAGTCATGACCGACGTTGCCGCCTATATCCACGAGGAACGGTGCATCCGGGCTAGGATCGGCCTCATCGATGAGCCTCTCCTTCACAGGATAGACACCAGGGTCCATCCAGAGTGGGCGACCCAGGTTATAACCACCAAGGTAATCATTCAGCTGTTCTCCGTAGCCCAAGTCATGCACCCAAGAAAATAAATTCTTGTCGGTACCATAGGCATGCATCAAAGATGTGTCCTGGCTCCTTGTCGGGTTCATCCAGCCCCTCTTACGCGAAAACTCATGAAATCTCAAGGTCCCTGCAACAGTGCACGCGGTACTAAGCGAGTGGCAGGAGGCATGAGTCACACTGTTACCTTCTAGAACTTGACTTGGGCTTGAATAAGCACTTACAGACCAAGATATCCATGTCCAATCTGAGGAAGGCTTAGCGCCTTGGTATAGTTTGTGGGCCTGTACTCATCTTGATCGACCTCGATGAGGAGTCCCATAGCAGAGATATGTCGCATCAGGCGACCTATTATATGGTCAGCTAGACCTCTGGAACGGGTTATATGAAACCCACCAAGAAGTCTAGGATCAACCCCAAGGCTCACGGCCAAGTCGGTAACCTTCTGGGATTTATCGCCATTCCGAGCCATCAATACCCACAAACCTGAATCCACACCAAATATTATTGCTCCGATTGCACCAATCTATTATGTCACTGATTTTGCTCGACCGATGAGACTCTAGAGCGCTTACCTGTCCCCAACAATGGTCCACCATCGTCTCCCGAGGAGTCTCTAGGGCTCTAGCTAAAGCTCGACACTTGACTAACACATCCTTGCGGTCCTCATCAGTCCCAGTAGGCAGGCTGTTAACACCTTCAATTACCTCCTCTAGCAAGCCTGGGACTGCCTCAGCAATGTTTGGGCGCGTGGCAATAAGTAGGTTGACAGGGCATGAAGTACAACTTGCGTTCTCGGCTGCCATGCTGACGAATATGAAAGCTAAAAATGAAAAGAATTGTTGAATATCAAGAAGAAGAAAAAAGAGGGAGAGGTGGTGGGATCGATTGCGTATTTAAGCCCTTCGGAAGGTCGCAGCCAGCAACTACGTCACCTTTTGACGTATATAAGAAGGGTGATCCGTGTTTTTGGCGTTGAAAATATTATATATTATTCGTAGTCCCTACTATGGATAGTCACACGACCTTAGCTTTGTGGAATTTTCAAGCAAGAATTCAATATATATCAAAATTAAACTGTAAAATAGTGATTAACGAAAAAAAGAAGAAAGTACTGGAAAGCTAGTGAAGTTGCAGCCAACACTAACATCCAGGTTGGGAATCTTATGAAATCTTGTCACAGTACATTTATTCGTGATTCAGGAATTACTAGGTGCTTTTTCCATTTCTTCAACCCCTAACCCATGCCATTTGTGAAAAATGTTCCCTGGATCAAACTTCTTTTTCACTTTTTTTAATTTCTCCAAGTTCGAACCATATGCTTCAGATGGCATCAACGGCTCTGATTCCATATTGAGATAACGTCCCACTGGCTCTTCTCTAGAGTCCTCCTCTCTATCACGACCCAGGTACTCGTATCCGTTCGCACGGCGTATCTGTGCGCATAGTTCCGAGTTAAACAGCCGAACAGTAGAATCGAGTGCCGGGTTGCTCCACCCAAATATAGTAACAGCATCGTAGTACTCCCCGCGGTTGGCGTATGCAGTAGTGCCTTGGTGCACTTCGCGCAACTTGTGTGTTGAAAAAAGTTCAACTGCTAAGGCGCAGATCCTTACGTCAGAATGCATATCGTGGAAAGACCAGATGGTATCGGCCATTTGTTGGAAAGCGGCTGCGTGGAGAGGCATCGTCACATTGCCAGAGCCCTGGAGGCGGCGGATGCCATATTCGCACATTGGGTTTTGCAGTGTGTTGACTTGCGCAATGGACATCATACTTGTGCTATCCTCGATGGATCCGATGCTAAGAAGGTTTGAAAAGTATCCCTTCGCTTCCCATTCTGGGCCATGGTAAAGCGGAATAGCAGAAAGGATGCGGTTTGCTCCATCTGGTGTGAAACCCACAGCTATAGCTAAGCAGTGGCCTTCTCGTTGATCCCGACTGTGAAACTCGTTTGCAAATGCCACCAGTTCACGCAGCTTGCTAGGTATGAATGTTATAGTTCCGCTCCAGACCTGTCCCTGCTTATAGACGCGAGATCTGAAGCGTGTGACGACTCCAATCTGAGCCCCAGCTCCACGGACAGCCCAGAAAAGGTCTGAATTTTGCGATTCAGAGGCTTCAAGGATGGATCCATCGGCTGTCACTATCTGAACCGACATCAGGTTGTCAATTGTGAGGCCATATTTTGCTGTCAACCAGCCGTGGCCTCCCCCTAGGATAAGCCCACCCACGCCTGTGTGATTCACTGTACCACCGACAGTAGCTAGTCCATAGGCCTCTAGAGCAGTATCTACATCGCCCCAAAGACAGCCACCATCAAAAGACACGGTCATACTGACTTGATCGACTTCAACATTTCGCATATTTCCAAGATGAATGACCATGCCTTTTGATGATGACATCCCACTTGTCGAATGACCACCACCACAAACAGCCAGCGGGAGCTTGTTTGCGGTAGCAAATTTTATGGCCACAGAGACCTCTTCGGCACATACAGGCCTAACAACCACAGCCTAAATGAGAATTAGTCAGCGTAAAAGTCGTGTCTGAGGAATTAGAGCAAACTGGCCGGTGCTATTTCAGCTGCTACACTCCATCTCTTGAGACTTGTGGCGTATCCATCATCCCATGGAATCAGCACATCACCTTTGGCTATGTCGCCGCGTAGCTCGTTCCAGTTGGGCATCATGTAAGTCCTAGGAAAACTGGTTTCACTAAATTGGATGTGGCTCGAATCAAGTTTAAGTGTTACCGTGTATAATTAAATTACGTTAAGATTGCGTCTCTCACCCAAAGGAGACGTATACCCATCCCTGAAATGGCGAGTTGTAGCGAGAATATTCTTCAAGGTAGTATCTATGGATGCTACATAACCATCAAGTCATGCATCATTAAGCGAAGATTTAGTCCACATGTAGTGTAATGGATAAACCAGGATCTCGGAAGGCGCGGGAGTTGCTCGGGGTACACATGGAAGGCAAGGTGATGGTTATGAATTGGTAGCCTAGAATATCGATCAGGATTTGACATAGATCACCTGCCTCTCCCTTTTCATATCTGCAGTAATCTGAGTACGGGTGACCACGAGTGATAGCCGTACGGAAGAGACGGAGGCGGCCAAGAACAATATTTCCAGGCTACTGGAACTGGTGCACTTGAATATCTCGGATGATCGGCTTACTGCGTTGACAAAAAGGACTAATACTTTTGGGCATGTTGGGCTCCTTGCTCCTGATATTGTAGAAGTGCAGACATACCTTGAAGCACAGAGGGTGAAGGTGTGGAGGATTTTAGCGTGTCTGTGCGTGATTCGACGGGCATTCGAATTCTCACTCCCACTTTCTCAAGCAAATAAACTCATGCTGGCTGGCCTATCTAGATACCTCCCTATTGGAAAAGGAATCTGTACGGTTGAGGCCTTTTTCTGCCGTTTCTTTTGTCTCCTTACAACTGGAAAAGGCGAGAAAATATTTAGCAATTGATGAACCTAGAAGACTGCATAGTACCAAATAGTCTGAACAAGGCCGCATATGCAGCCGGCTATTCTTGTCATACATAGATCAAGGTCTTGAAGATGTAACACGTTATTATACTTAACAAGCGCCCAGTTATCAGCACAATCTCAGCCAAAAAAAAAGAGAACAAAAAGGAAGAACAAAAAAAGAATCAACGACTTCTTCGAAAGAACCTCAAACAAATCGTGATCATTCACCCTAACAAGCAATGTCACGTACGGCAGAGCGGAATGAGAGTGCGGATGTCAAAATGACGGACATTGGGATGGTAACACAAATAGACCTACAAAAGATCTGGACATGGAACAAGGTATCTCCGAAACCAATCGAACGATGTGTTCACGAAATATTCGAAGAGAAAGCACAGGACCAGCCTAATTCTTTTGCTGTTTGTGCCTGGGATGGAGAATTACTTTACAAGGAACTGGATCAGCTCGCTACAAAATTAGCGAACCGGCTCATAGAATTGGGAGTTAGACCCGGTTTATTGATACCTCTGTGTTTCGAGAAATCGATGTGGACGACAGTTGCTATGCTTGGTGTTCTTAAGGCCGGCGGAGGATTTGTGATGCTCGATCCCTTGCTCCCAGAGCAACATCTCCATCGCATCGTCCAACAAGTCAAGGCAGACCTCATCTTGTCTTCTTTTTCAACCCAGGCGCTCAGTTCACGGTTGGCTCAAAATGTGGTTCCTATCGATCGAGCATTTTTCATAAATCTGGATATTCAAGCAAACCGGTGCCTTCCCACCGTTTCCCCATCCTCAATCCTGTATCTGAATTTCACATCAGGCACCACGGGGGCCCCGAAAGGGGTTATTTTGACCCATAGCAGTTATGCATCAGCTCTCTACTATCAGGCACAACACCTTGGATTTACAAAAGAATCGAGAATCTACGACTTTTCCTCATACAGCTTCGATGCATCAATCAGCCAAACTTTTACAGCTCTGGCTGCAGGAGCTTGCTTATGTGTACCAATGGAGCAGGATCGGATGAACAAGCTGGCTCAGAGCATAGCATCTCTACGCGCAAATGTTGCTGTCCTTACACCCTCCGTTGCCCAACTGCTGGACCCCAAGGATACTCCTACACTACAGTCAATGCTCTTTATTGCTGAACCATTACATCTTAGAGATATTAACCCTTGGTGGGGCAAAGTACGAGTTCTCAACATATATGGGCCAAGTGAGTGTACTCCATACAGCCTCATCAATAGTAACGCTTCTTGTCCACAAGAAGCCACTCGAATTGGCATTGGTGCTGGCCAGGTGACATGGGTTGTCAATCCAGATAACCACGATCACTTGCTTCCGCTTGGTACCACTGGCGAGCTACTTCTAGAAGGGCCACTCGTAGGTGAAGGGTATTTGAATGACCCGGGGAGGACAGCAATGGCATTTATCCACGACCCAGTGTGGTTGCGGCGAGGAACTTCGAAACAACAAGGACGATACCGACACTGCCTCTATAAAACAGGAGATCTTGTTCATTATAACGAGGATGGAAGCTTGACATATGTCGGTCGCAAAGATACACAGGTTAAAATTCACGGACAGCGAGTCGAGCTTGGACAAATTGAGCACCATTTACATGAACTCATGACAGAAGCGGAGAGAGTCATGGTCGATTTCATCATGCCGAGAGGGGAAAACTCAAGTAAAGTGTTGGCGGCTTTCATTCAAATCTACCCAATTTCAGAAAATCCCAAACAGCCGGAGCCTACCTACACCACGGAGATGCTTCAAATTTCCACTGATATCCAAGACATGTTGGCTCAGCGCCTGCCAGGCTATATGGTCCCCACCATGTTCTTTTCCATACGTGAAGTCCCCATAACGGTGACAGGGAAACTGGACCGAAGAAGGCTATGCCAGATTGGTACTTCATGTTTCCATGAATACATGGAAAAGCAAATTCAAACGGTGAAGCCACAGCCATCATCACCAGTCGGACTGGAGTTACAAAAGATAATGGGCAGAGTTCTGGCCATTGACTCAGCGCTGGTAGGACTTGAAGATAGTTTCTTCCGGCTAGGGGGAGACTCGATTGCAGCGATGAGGGTTGTTTCCGAGGCTCAAAAGGCTGGTATTGAGCTCACGGTCTTAGACGTGTTCAAATATCCTACACTTGACAGACTGGTCAGTCGGTGCCAGGATGTAGCTGACAAGGCCCCGGCAAAGATTCCGTCTTTCGCTCTTCTGGGTGACAGATGCAATAAAAGCATGCTTCTCCGAGAAATTGAGGGTCAGTACCAACTAGATCCTGCCATGATAGAAGATGCATACCCGTGCACTCCGCTACAAGAAGGTCTTCTATCTCTATCTTTAAAGCACCCAGGCGAATACATGATTCAACGTACTCTGAAACTACATTCGACCATTGAAACAAGAGATTTCTGTCGAGCATGGGAGGAAATGGCTCGGAATGTGGTAATTCTACGTACACGCATCGTGCAGTGCAGCGGCGTGGGTCTTTTGCAGTTAGTATTGAACGAAAAAATCCAATGGACCCATACGATAGGATTGAATGAGCATCTCGAAGAGGATAAAAAGAGGCCAATGGAACTTGGAAAGCCTCTTGCACGCTACACCATGGTCACAGACAATACAGGCTTGCATCGATGGTTTGTGTGGACGCTTCACCACGCGCTGTACGATGGCTGGTCATTGCCACTCATGGTTGACATGGTTGATCGACAGTACTGTGGCACCTTGACACAACCAACGAAGCGCGAGTTCAAAGAGTTTATTAAGTATATTGAGGAACAAGACAGTGAGAGGATAGCTGACTACTGGCGCAATACTCTTGAGAATTGTGACTGTACCCCATTTCCGGTGCTTCCATCATCGGTACAGCGTTCAGTAGCAGACAGCGATATAACGCATCAAATACCATGGCTCAACACACAGCCGCGAGATGTTACAACTACGACGCTCGTTCGTGCCGCCTTGGCTCTGCTTATCAGCTGCATGACAAACTCGGACAGTATCGTGTTTGGTATCACTACATCAGGACGCGGGGCACCCATTAGCGGCATCAACGAGTTGGTGGGCCCAACAGTAGCAACAGTTCCGTTTTATGTCAAGATATTACGGCACCAGAGGGTTTTGGACTATCTAGCGGCCGTACAGCAGCAATCAACGGATATTATTCCTTTCGAGCAGTTCGGCTTACATCGGATCGCTAAAACATGTCCCGAAGCCCAGCAGGCATGTATGTTCCAAACCCTTCTTATTATCCAGCCACAAGAAAATACCCGGTCTGGCGGTACACTTGGGGTGTGGGAAGAGAGTTACGAGCCGGAGTGGGTCAACACCTTTGCATTGGCTCTTGAAGTACAAATTGGCATGAAGAGGGTCAATGCCAGATTTGACTCAAACGTGATCAAGCCATGGATTGTGCAGGCATTGTTAGAAGGGCTTGAGTTTGTGATGAAGCAGCTTGACAAGGCAGAATTTCAACAGAGCATAGCAGACATCGACTTCGTCACATCCCAGAGTCTTGAGCGAATATGGGACTGGAATCGTACCGTTCCATCGCCAGTGAAAAGATATGGTCATCATATGATTGAGTGGCAGATGCAGAGCCAGCCGATGGCAACGGCTATATGTTCTTGGGATGGAGAGCTCACATACGGTGAGCTAGACCGACTTTCGACGACGGTAGCGGACCAGATTGTCAAATTTGGAGTTGGCCCGTACCTACTAGGGCCGGATATCCTGGTGCCAATATGCTCCGAGAAGTCCAAGTGGACAGTAGTATCCATGCTTGGTGTCCTAAAGTCAGGTGCAGGTTTTGTGTTGCTAGACCCTTCCCTCCCTGAGCCCCGACTACAATCAGTAGTCCAACAGGTGGGCTCGAAGTTGTTATTGTCCTCCCAAGCCAACATCGGTTTAAGCCTCAGACTGTCAGAGATAGTAGTTCAAATTGGCCCAGACATATCGCAGATCTTGAATAGCGTTCCGAGTGTCTCGAGTTATGCTACGAGTCTCACACTGCTACAACCATCATCGAGGATGATGTATGCAGTCTTCACTTCCGGAAGCACTGGGGTGCCCAAAGGGGTGTTAGTGTCGCACGAGAATTTCTGCTCTGCTGTACACTATCAGTTGGAGCTATTGGGATTTAACAGGGAATCTAGGGTCTTGGATTTCGCATCATATGCTTTTGACGCGGCGATTCATAATGTTGTAGCCACACTCATTGCTGGAGGGTGTCTGTGCATTCCATCAGAAAGGGATCGTAATAATATTGGCAACATCATGGCCATCATGCGGCCTACAATTGTCAATCTGACTCCCACGGTAGCACGTTTGTTGGATCCGGTGGCGGTGCAGGGCCTTAGGACTTTGATTTTACTTGGTGAACCAGTCACAACCAGAGATGTTGAGCGATGGCAGTCGCATAAAATTCAAATAATAAACGCCTACGGGCCCGCCGAATGCACACCAATTAGCACGATCAACACCATTGGATCCAACACAGAGGAGGCCACTCGGATAGGAAAAGGTGTGGGTTTGGTGACATGGATTGTGAATCCAGAGGACCACGATCGCTTATTGCCACCGGGATGCACCGGTGAACTACTCCTCGAAGGGCCGCTTGTTGGCAATGGCTATATGGGGGACCCGGGAAAGACCGCTGAGGTGTTTATCGAAGACCCTAAATGGCTACTAAAGGGTTCAGATACTCAACCTGGGCGTCACGGCCGCCTTTATAAGACGGGTGATCTGGTGCAGTACAACGATGATGGGAGTTTGATGTTTATGGGCCGCAAAGATAGTCAAGTCAAGATTAGAGGGCAGCGTTTCGAGCTTGAAGAAGTCGAACACCATATTCTTGATTGTTTACCAAAAGCGAGTCAGGCTGTGGCTGAAATTGTTGTGCCTGAGGGCGAGGAGAATCCTAGACCGGTGTTGGTGGCCTTCATCCAGACGAGTGGTAACGGCATGAAGATTAACGAAAAGTCGACTTTGGTAGCCAAGAAATACCCAGCGGCTGCTGATATTAAGAAGAAGCTGGAACATCATCTGCCGAGATACATGGTGCCGACGGTATTCTTTTCTCTGCCGGGTCTGCCATTAACTGCCACAGGGAAGACGAACCGGAGAAGACTTCGTGAGATCGGCCGGGAACTACTGTCGGTTGAAGGGGAACACCCGTTCAATGCATCTGAAGAACCCCTCGAGAATGAGTCCCCACGCGGTAGAACAATATTGAAGACTGAGCAGCCAGCGTACGAACTAGCTCAGAAATTACATTCCATGCGTGCCTCATGGACCCGGGAGAATCTGTCGTTCAAAGAGGACGAGTCACAGCAGCACCAGCAAATTGAGCTGAACGATGTGTTTTTACACTCATCTGGTCTAGACTCGGTGGACATGATGGAACTCATGTCTTTCATCTCCCAGAATTTTCATGTTCAAGTTGGAATGCAGCTTTTGATGAACAAAGCAACCAGTATCAGGAGCCTAGCTCAATATATAGTCGATTCCCAGGCGATTGGTGCTCAGGATCACTCAGTTCGACACTCTTTAACTTGTGCCTTGATCTCAGTTGATCTCGCGGCTGAGATCAGCCGGCATGACTCTAAGATTTTGAGTGCCCAGCAGAGAGCTGTACAGCGTGACATTATAGCGAGTAATGATCAGCCGATGGACGGAGATAATAAAACGTTTATCGTGTTATTGACTGGTGCCAACGGTTTTATCGGTACCCAAATCCTCCGTCAGCTCCTCGAACACTACCAAGTTAGTCGCGTCATTTGTCTTGTACGCGGCGATACGGACAATGCAGCCAGACAGCGCACTATTAGTGCGGCCGTAAAAGCGCTCTGGTGGACTAATCACCACGCGGAGAAGCTGGAAGTCTGGCAGGGCGACCTGGCGCTCCCACGCCTGGGACTTGATCCGATGCGTTGGGATTCTCTAACCAGTGGCCAAGCAGTCAATTTGATCATTCACAGCGGCGCTACAGTGCACTGGACAAAAAGCTACGAAGTCCTAGAGGCTGCCAATGTTGGCTCAACCATCGAGCTGTTACTCCTCGCCGTAGGTCTCCCTCGCATGAGATTTCTTTATGTTACGGGTGGCCGTCCTTGGAACTCTTACGAAGAGCTGGACGTTTTGAAGGAGCTCTCAGCCGTCGATGCCATCGCGTATAGCCAAACTAAGTTTGTTGCCGAGGCTGTAGTCAGGCGCGCGGCGCGACGGAGCCCATCCGAAACCAATCGACTCGCTGTGCTAAACCCAGGATGGGTCATTGGCACACCAACTGAGGGCTTCTCTAACTTCAATGACTATATATGGCGACTGGTGGCAACGTGCATCGAGATAGGAGCGTACAATGCTGCTGAGGCGGACGGGTGGCTTACCATATCAGATGCTGCGACGACTGCGACAGCCATTATTGATGCGGCACTAGGCAAAATGGTGGACATAGTGGCTGAAAAGCCACCCGTGGATGGCATGACATGGAGGGAATTCTGGGCTATTCTTGAGGGCATGGGTTATAGGCTTGAGGCTAGGGGCATGGCAGAGTGGCTGGCTCTTGTCCGTGCTGACATTGAAGCTGTAAGAGAGAAACATCCCCTGTGGCCACTAGCACACATGATCGGGGGCCTACAGAGCGATAAGCGAGTCGCGGGTAGCTCGCGAGACAAGGGTAGCAGCACACCATTGCCATTGAAACTTGCTGTAAGCAGGAGTGCCGAGTATCTTGTCAAGATCGGCTTTTTACCCGCGCCATCAAATCAGGTACAAGAGACGATATAGGCAGGGCGCAATAGACCAATGCGAAGCCCACAATATGAAGCAAAAACATAATTTGGGGAAAGACATTGTTACCATCAAAGGTCATAAACTGACAAGGGGGAGAAATAACCAAAAGTCATGTAAAAAGAGTATCTGAGAAGATCACTAAAAAAAAACCATCGACTACTCTTGTCAATAGTATTACAATATTTCCATCATTTCATGTATCAGGCAATGTCATTAAGTGGTACATATCTAGCTATGTCATTCTTTCATGTCGCATAATCAAAGCTTCAAATCTCCAGTCATTCATAGTGGAGTAAAATGCACTTATTCCTGATGCGTTCGGCGCCCTACAGAGACTAGTTAGCATTTCTGTTGCACATATCTAAAAGATCAAAAGGCAGAGGGAAAAAAAACATACACTCAGCCAATTCCTGCATACTCAACTCTCGGATGCCATTGACATGAGGAACATTGCCCTGTACGGCACCCTTGACAGTTTCATAGGCACGGCCAATCAGGCCCTTGTGCGCAACAACATGCGTGGCTAACTTGGCCTCGAGCTTAATAACTCCAATCCGGGGGTCTGAGGGCCCACCATCGTGCAATCCATCACCCATATCGCCAATCCATGCCTTGAGTGTGGGCGAGTAGTACTTCTCCACGGTGGCGGGGTCACCAATCACTGATGCAGTGCCTGAGATTGAGGCCCAGGCTCCGCTGATGGGGTCGAGGAAGGACATGTTGGTTTCTTGTGGATGTACAGTGAGATCCGTTGTTTTTCCGGAGAAGAGGTTTGTGTGGAAAATGAGGTCGATGCCGCCATTCTCCTATTTCAGGGGATGTATTAGCACGTTTACCCCTCTTCGTTGTGGCTCTGCTCATACCTTCGCTGTTAATGCCATGCATCGCGAGGCCAGATAGTCACCCTCTGATTGCTTGGTCGTCAACATGCCAAATTTAACTTGGGTGATGAATTCAACCAGCTCTTCGATCTTCTGGGAGAGAGGCGGGTCTTCGAAGTTCTGGGTCTTGTAGGGGTCCACGGGGTGGTTGCCCGTCTTGGTGTTGATGGTGGCATCTGTGGTAGACATTTTTGTTTTTTATTGAAATGAAAGGATATAGCAAAGTATAAAGGTCTTGAGAAAGATGGAGAAGCTATATACATGTAGGAACTATAGATGGTCGTCAATATGACGTCACCGACAAGATCCGGATCAGGGCCCAGCTTCTCCATAAGACATGAGGTCAAACAAGTTCCTGCATCATGCCTGGGCAGTATCCTGAAAAGCTTGCAATATGTGACGATCAAGTCTCCACAGCTCTGACCCTGTGAGGATGCACTTTCCGTCGGGGTCCATTTCAATTGTCCGCGAATATTCTGCGCAACTCCATTACACCACGCCTATGCAAAATGCTCTTGAAAACGCGCGCACAGTGTAGCAGGTGTGTTTTCTTTGTGGGCATGGTTGCTAGGTCGCATAGTGAGTTATCTCTCGTGAAAAAGGAGTCCCCATCTGTACAGAAGAATATGCCAGATCAACTTCATAATTGATCATATAGAGCGAAATATGTCGGCATGTGTCAATTAACTTCCGAGCTCGGCGTTGGCATGAGATATGGCTGTTATTTCCAGTCATATGTCGAATCACTGAATTTGAATCACCGCTCAATGAGTAGTCGTGAGGTATCCTCTCAATCTGCTATCAAAATACCAAGTTCTGGCGAGTCCAATCAGCAAGGTCTCCAAACCACAACCCAGGACGGAACAATGTCTCACCTCTGGGCAAAATTCCATAGCAAGTTCAGTAGAACAGCTATTATTCCAATCACAAAGGCTATGCAACACAATATTAGCCGAATTTCGTTATCAGATGGGAAGCAGATAGAACTAAACAGGGAACGAACCTTCATGCCCCCAGCTCTCCACCACCTTGACAGCTCTCCTATTTCCCTGTGCTCTCGCTTTGAACCAACCAGACATTAAATTTGTCTGACAGGTTTGGCCATTGACAATCAGACAGCCATTCTTAACCCGGCGACACTCAAGATGCCACCGACGGCGCTCCATAATTCCGCGCACGCGTTTATTGCAAAAGGACTCGTCCGTACTGAACAAGCACTTCTCCATGGGGCATTCGAGCTTATGCTCGAACCTTTCGACGAGCCAGTCAACTTTTAGCCGCACGCCTGTGTAGACAATCGAGTAGAAATGGCGACTGCTGTGTTTTAGGGCTAGCGCGTCGGGGTAGGAAAGGTAGGTGCTTATTTGGATGTGAAGTTCCGAGGGAAGGGTCATTAAATTGATGCTGGTGGATTGAGAATCTGAAGAAGGGTTGGATTGCTCCATATTTGGATTTATTTCCCGAGGCTGTTGCTTGTGGCTCGATTGTGTACCTTCGAGGTGAGGGTGGTGTTGTTCATCTTATACGAGCGGGGATGAAAGTGTTGCCTGAACCGCACTCCACTGACGCTAGCTTCTAATGGGAGCTACATTTTGTCCAGATGTAATCATCAAATGCTCGATTAATCCAAATACAGCTGCCTATTTTCAGCCTCCTAAAACTGTGGGATAATTGTGAAGATGTTGTAATCATCAAATCCTACTTATGTGCTTATTATTATGGTGCCTAATAACCGCCAAGCTCTAGGTAGTGATTCTTTTCTAGGAGATACCTGATAATAAACAACTGGAATATAGACAATGACAAAGATGTGTTCAGCTATCTTGTAGCTATTCCAACCTTCCGACCTCAGATCCACTGGAACCTTGGAACATTGAAAATTAGTGTGGCTTACATAATCTTCAATATCGGCCTCAATCCGGCCTGAACCTTGGAAGCTTCAACTTTTAAAGGACGCCACTCACCAACTTCCCACTACAACCTCCTAAAACAAATATCTACACCAACCACAAATATGTCAGGACCTAACGCCTACGGCGCCCCGGTGTCGGACACGGCCTTCCGTAAAACTTGGGACCGTGAAGAATACGCCAAAAAGGCCGCCGACGATGAAGCAAAGCGCAAAGCCGAAGGCAAAGCCCGCTATGAGGCGAAGCTACTGGGCAAGAAATACCACGCACCGGTCGACTACAGCATACTCGAGGATACCACAGCCCGCAACCAGCGCCTGGACGTCGCGTCCATGGTGGGAAAGACGATGATTGTGCCCTCAGGCGCGGGGATGGGCAAGCGCGGCCTCAGCGCTGGATTCTACTGCAAGGACTGCGATCTTACCTACAAGGATAACTTGCAGCTTGTGGAGCACTTGAACAGCAAGCAGCATTTGATTGCGACAGGACAGAGTGGCGAGGTGAAGAGGGCGAATGTTGAGGACGTGCGTATGCGGTTGAGGATGCTTGCGCATCGGAAGCGTCAGAGGGACGAAGAAGAACGCAAGGCTTGGCAACTTGATCTAGGGGTGCGGCTCAAGGAGCGGGAGGAGATTGATGCGAAGGAGAGGGAGGAGAAAAGGCGCAAGCGCAGTGAGAAGCGGAAGGAAAAGAAGGTTAAGCAGGAGGATGATAGCTGGGAGGGCCGGTTGGGAATCATTTCTTGAGTATTGTTCTTGGGGTGCGCGTTCTATTCTTGATACCCATGGTGTTTTGGCATATTTTCCAGGCTTTTCTTTACTGATCATGTTCTTCATGTGCAATAATGGCACTTCCAAAATTCAAATTGCGAGCTAAAGATCTAACAAGGGTAACCCAACACCTAGCATAACGCCTAACATGTGAATCATATCATCCGGAAACATAGTAGAACCGTTGATTTAGTCAATGCACTCGATAGCTTCGAGTCGTCGCATTGCTCGGCCACCTTCCTTTTCGAATTGGCCGACAAGCCGCTCACATTCTCTCTTCAGTCGTTCTTCGCCATTCTTCGCGTTCCACGCGATCCATTCTTGGACCGTCATCTTCTTCTCTGGGCTAGTCAAGCCAGCTTTTGCGCCTTTGAAAAGTTCAGATAAATCTGCGTTTTCCTTGTCGCTAGCTTCTCCAAACAGTACTTCATCAATATCCACTGGTGTCCATGGATGGCTGGAAGGTCCGAATCCGCCGTTGGCATTGCGCTTGGATGGTGACGGGGTACTAGCTGCCAGAGGGACTCGAAAATCGGGATGCTTGGGTGTTGATTGAACAGGTGGACGGGATGCTGAGGGCCGCGACGATGGAGGCCGGTTTTCAGCATCTGATGACTGAGGCGATAGCGAGGGAGTGTTTTGGTGAGCTGGCGGAAGTGGTGAAACTGCCCGATTAGAGCGTTTTGAATTCCGCCGGGACTGGTGCATTTCGTGGGGGGAATCCTGGCTTTGGACTAGGGCCTCTGCAAGATGCTCTTCATGAGGGATATCGCTATACCGTTTGGCAGTCTTTGGCGGTAGACTGAGCGTCTTCTGGTGAGATTGTGGCCCCGGAGACATTTCTTGTGGAGGGTTGACCATCTGAAGCTGGTCAGGCAAATCGTCTGCAGTCTCAAATTCATCATCATGTTCCTCCATCAACGCTTCGGCGCGAGGTTCTTCGGCTGGGGGTTCAATAACAGCAGCTTGCTCCGCCTTTTTCTCGGATTTCTTAGATTTTTTGTCTTTGGTTGATGTGGCATCCTTCTTCTTGGAAGTCTTCTTCGATTCAGCCTTCGCCATGGGTTCTTCAGGCTCCGATGCATACTCCGGCTCCTTGCTCACAATCTCGACAGAGATGAAAGAGTCATGACGTTCGGGTTCATCCCAATCATCGGGAGCTCTGAGCTCTAAAGATGCTCGAGGCTCTGGCAACTGTGCTTTTATCGTCTCTTCGGTCTTGGTCTTTTTTGTCACCTTTTTCTTGGATCCTTTTGCTATCTTGGTCTTCGGGGCTGGCGGCTCGGGTGCCGCCGGTTCATCATCAACTGGTTCCACATGAGGATCTGAGCGTTCATCGTGATCACTGACATCCTCTACTAGATCACGTACGGCCGGCTCGGGGGATTTAGCCACAGCCTTGAACTTCTTGCTCGATTTTATCTTCTTCGATGCCCGTGGCTCTGACGGCTCTGCCTCGATCTTAGGCTCGGGTTCGGCAGGTTCAGGGATATCTGCTTCGAGACCTGCTTCGATTTCCGCGTCGATCTCGGAGTCACGAGGGGCTCGTGCCTTCGACAGACCTTTTAACGCAACAGGCACATCAGAGACCTTTCGAGCCTTGGCCCCTGCCTTTTTCGTGGGCTTGCGACCTCTCTTGGTTTCCTCTTCCGAAGCAGTGTCATCCACCGGCTCTGCGTCCGCCATTGCAGAGTCACTGTGTTCATAATTGTAGTTGCGAGCAATGCTGCTGCTACGTGTTTTTGTAGCGCGTTTCTTTGCTGGGGGTTCTTCTGGCGGTTGCGACGGCTCTCTTTCCTCCATAGTGACTGGATTTGGTTCATCCTTGACATCCTCACTGGCCCTCTTCTTTCCTCTGCCTACACGTTTGGATTTGATAGGCTCTGGTTGGGCGACTTCTCCAATGTCGGCCTCAATTTGGCTTTCTACCTCTGCTGATTCTTCCTTCTTAGTCTTGGTCGCCTTTGATTTGCTCTTAGGTGCCTTCTTTGTGGATTTTGATTTCGTGCTGGGCTGGGACATGATGCTCTGGTCCATCGACTCGTCCATTTCTGTGTCGGGCGCTTCAGAAGTAACTGGGCCAACGGATTGGGTTGAAAGCCGGGAGGACGTTTTGGAAACACGGGGGGCTTTCTTCGCACGGGTAGATTTGCTTTTCTTTCCTGGCGGCTGGGCGAAGACAAAGAATGAACAATCTGAGGAGCGGCGATAATGTTCATCACTGGAGAAGTTAGCAACCGTCCTACTAGGAAAGAGCGATGGGTACCCACAATGGGTCGTCCTTGGGTTCCCACCCATCCAACGACAACTTGCAATAAACACAGCTAGCTAGATCATTGCTCTCGTCTGTAGGGCAGAAATACCATCCACCTTCAACCATCTATTGTCGTTGTGAGCCAAAAGAATGTAAATACCGTGAAGTCGCGCGTTACCTTATCAGACTGGCATACCCAGCCCTTTTTCCCGTCGTGAGGCCATTTCGTACTAAATGTTGACAGTCTCGCTTGTGTAATCCGGTCGCCTGTAGGGTCTTCAATTGAAGCGGGGTTGGAACTATTTTGTTGGAGGTCCATCATGATGGCCCATCCGCAGTCGGGCGCATGCTTGAGATGCTCTGTGACGGGGTTGTCGTCCTCCTCCCAGCCGTCCAGCGCCCGGTGGCACTCAAAACATGTTGTGTTGTCAGGATTTGTCTCGTATGGTTTATAGTAGAATCCAGCATGCGCCAACTAGAATCCCCCAAGTCAATCATCTTAAAATGGGCCCATTTAATCTCTCTGCAGAATGACATACCTCGGCTGGTGAGGGTCGCTGGTGTGGCCATATAATCGATTTGGGTGTTTTTGTACCTGAAGAGCGGCGTTTCTCCGGCTTCAGCACTGTATCAAAGCTAGCTAGGCGGGCCGCAAAGGTGTCCATTTCCGAGCCCATGGCGAGGTTTGAGGGCAATCAGAGGCAATGAGCACAAATGCCAGACATGTAGATACACTTTTTGTGGAGTAAGTAGGCGAATATTGTCGAAAGCGTCGTTGTTGTTGATCCTCCGCGTCTGTTTACTTTTGGTTGTCACGCATCTTCGGCACGCGTCCACGTGACCCTTACTCAGCACCCGAATAATCGCGACCAGGACGGGGAGTACGTCAGAGCCGGAAATGTTGACGGAGCATCCCAATTCGCTTCACTTCAATTCACTCATTTGCTTTCCATGCGGGACAACTCATGCTCTTTGATCTGACTCATTCATTGCGCTACGCGCCCCGATTTCTTTTGTCTGAACGCCAATTATGCCGGGAGTAATAGTATGTCAGATCCCCCACTCTCCGCAATGATCCCGCTACAACTTATCTGCTAGATGGTTGCTTCTCGAGGAGCTAACCCCAGCTCTCTCTGGCGCCCTCGCACCCTTCTCTCATCACCACGCATTGTTCCTTCTCCGGCTCGTTTTCTGTCATTCAATCGCAATCCGATTACTCCCTACAATGGTCGACTCTCGGCAAATAACGGTGTTTCGGCATCACATCTGCTATGCAAGGTGACCACCAACAAATCATCCTCCTCCTTATTTTCGACATCTTCGTCTTCGCTGCTATCCGACTCGAACTGGGACGAGAATCCGAACTTATCAATTACCAATTTCTCGGAACTTCCCTCGAAGGACTTCGGAGTCAACCAGCACATGATCATAAACCAAGATTTCAAGGAGGCTTTGCGAATGATCCTTTGGCAGTTCAAAGCACCAATTCGATATGCATTTGCTTATGGATCGGGTGTCTTTCCGCAGAATGGCAGTGGAGCTCCGTCCAGCTCACTTCACCCCTCGGCACCCACAGCTATCCAGAATATGCAAAAGGGCTCCGGGAAGATGATCGACTTCATTTTCGGAGTGTCATACTCCCAGCATTGGCACGATCTCAATCTGAACCAACATCGTGATCATTATTCTGGATTGGGCTCGATGGGGTCTTACGTGGTCTCCCAAGTACAGGACCGCTTTGGTGCGGGTGTCTACTTCCATCCTTATATCACCGTGAATGGGACGATGATAAAATATGGTGTAGTGAACCTAGATACATTATGTCGAGATCTCACCCAGTGGGACACCATGTATCTCGCCGGTCGTCTGCAGAAGCCCGTCAAGATCTTGCGGGATCACCCGAAGGTGCGATTGGCTAACCAGATGAACCTGTTGTCGGCTTTGCGGGTCGCACTACTGCTACTGCCAGAAAGATTCAGTGAGTTCGAGCTATATAGCACAATTGCAGGTATGAGCTATATGGGAGATCTGCGCATGGCCCTCCCAGCCGAGGATCCCAGCAAGGTGCGAAATATTGTTTCAGGACAAATGGCGCACTTCCGCCGGCTCTATGCCCCCCTCATTGACACTCTGCCCAATGTCACTTTCCAAGATCCCCGCTGCAACAACGATGATTGGATTGATGACCCGAACGTCATCTTAGCCATGGAGCAAGATATGGATCCGGTAAAGCGTGGTAACATGGTTCGTCGTCTGCCTGAATCTTTCCGGCAAAAATTGTACTTCCAATACCAGTCTCGCTTTGGAATTCCTCGAGCCGATTTCAATAAGATGATTCAGGAGAGCAAGGATGCAGATGAGGTTCTTCGCCGGCCTCAAGGTGGTTCGTTCGAGCGACGGATTGCCGGTGATGATTTCCTTCAGGAGGAGGTCTCCAAGTCCATTGAGAAGACAATTCGCTGGCCAAGTACTGTGCAGACGATCAAAGCGCCGTTCACGGCAGGCCTTGGTAAAAGCTGGACTTACCTGAAGGAGAAACGCGACAAGCACAAGAAATCCCAGATGGCAGCCGCTTCAGCACTTGAAACCCCTCCTGGGGTGAATAAGTCCCCCACTCCGGCACACAAGCCGTCAGAGCCGAAGGAAACGAAGAAAGAATAGGCGATTCAGGTGTGTTCTGACGAATAGCCCTAGGTTTTAGACATGGGGCATATAGAGGCGTTGTGGGTGTTTGTGACCCATGTATCAAAATCATCGATGTATCTGATATCTGCGCGTCAGCAGGAAATTTTTCATCGGACCCAATACATACGGACTGCATAGAGCCTTTTTCATTTGTTGAATAAACCATACGGATGCTTTTTTTTTTCTCTAATATATCACTATATCTGATCCCCAAAGTTTTGCTATTACAAGGTTTTCTAGAAGCTAGGAACCGTTTATCAAGGCAGAGAGACTGGCTTATATCCACTTGAGATTGGAAGAAAACCTGGTAGCTACCAAGCAGACGTGCAGAATCCAGGGCAGACTACAGGACCATCTAGAATATAACTTTTTCAAATGCCTCTTGTAGTCCTCTACTCCCTAACCACGCCTCTAGCGCTTGCATATCACCTCGATTAGCCCGCTGACCACCCCGCTCTCCCAGCGAATCCGTAATTTCCTCCATCCCCGGAAACACCCTCTCGACGCCCTCTGTCTCTCGAAACCTCTCGCTGACTTTTTTCTGATGACTGGGAATATCACCCCAGGAATGTGTCTTTATGAAACTCATGTATGAATCAATATCAGGCGATGCACCCTCAAGACACAATACACCTGGCTTTCCTGCTAGCACAAACCCCGTCAGAGCATATCCCGGTGCGAGATTGACCATATCATCCCTCTTTTTGCGGGTTGATAGAGACGGGAAATAAAACCAGACTCGGACGGTTGGCCCTCTGTCTGTATCTTCTGGGGCTACAGTCTGAGATTGCGTGCTTTCATAAAAGCGGCTGGCTTCTGCCTGGATATATTCGAATGCCTCCAGAGCATCATCGCCTTGAGGTATTGAGGCGGTAAGCCCAGCAACTTCGGCTCTAGACATCCACTCTGGTTGCCGAAGCGAATAGCCCAATGACAGTGATTCGTCAAGTGTCTCGGGGTTATCACATTGTAATGGTACGGAAATGTTCACTTGTATTGTGCTGTCTCCGTCTGCGATTGGTAGACAGACGGTGAGAGAGATACTTGAAGGGATTCTAGGAGGTTTGGAGTTTGGATTCTCGCACCAGTCGCGGAGTCTCTCGACACACTGCGTTGTGAACTCAGGGATTTCCAGCTCGCCCGGAGACGGAAACATTGCCATTAGGAGGTCAATTATGGACAATCGGGATTCCATGGTATCCACGGGTAGAATAGATGGTTCTTCAAATGCCATGACGTTCACTACAGACACAGGGATCACCGATATCGAAGAACATGCATAAAAGCAAGTGTAGAGTGATTTGCGGCTTGTGAGCCGATAAAATCGGAAATGTGTGGAATAAAGCGATTGTGGCTGTCAGTTGCAGGCGTCGAAATGAATGTGCTAGAAGGGACGCGGCGATGTAAAGAATTGAACGGTTGGTTTCTTGAGCTTCTGTTTCATTTGAGGTTTCCGAATTGGAGTCTCGAAACTACTACCTATCTTAGAACCAACCTCGCACTGACGGCCGACCTCGGGCCCCAGGGCCGGCCCCGGCCCACCTGCAGGGACAGACAGTTCTTATGTAATCAATTATCAAAATCCATCCATTCATGGATGGATGGATTCCACCATTGGCAACCGCTAGCTATCTCGGAAAATCAAACTTAGCGATCGAATATGAGTCTCAGCGTCTTTGTTGGGTTGAAAATCTTTGTTGTGGTCTTCGCGGTAGTTATGAGCAGATTTGCATAGTAGACATTATTGAACTTTATGAATCTGAAAAAAGGAATAGGCCCCGAGGTGACAAGTAAATGGGCAATTCTTGAGGCCCTTGCAGATCCCCGTAGACAGTTTACGCTAAAAGTGGTGCATATCTAATGTGCCTAAGACCTCCAGGGCTATCTAGGACTAAATTGGGAAATATCAAAAATGTACCCAAGGCAGGTACAGCCCTGTGGTTACTATGAATGTAATCCGTGGCTCTCAGGTGTCCAGGTGTCTTGTATATCATCATACGTAAAATATGTTCGTTCTATTTTTTATTGTTCTTGTTGGAGCTACTGGAGAGAAAGAGAGGATAGAAAATAATTTGCCCTCAATTACAGGGCTCCACACTCCACGTTGAGAACAACACTTGACGTATCCGTCGCTCTTTATACCATCTTGTCACTAGACATGCTCTCGGCTTCAGACGCCTTTATGCGAGAAACCATCAATCGCTTATTGCTCTTTTGGTTTTCTCTCTTGGACCAAAGAATCCACACGAGTATGGTTATAACTGTCAATGGCACGGCTACTGCCCAATATATCCAGATACTCGGCGATGCTGTCAGAGAAGATGGTTCTTCACTGCTAGTACCACCCCAAGTAAACATGTCCATGCTGAACAAAGTAGCCACAAACGTAGCTGGCAAGTAAACAATGCCAAGAATAGAGATTGTTCTCATGGCTATACTGTCGCGCTTCGCGTCTATCGCTATTGCGGCTGTGTATTCGGCATCGCTTTGCGTGATAACACCCAGCATCTAAAGAGCTCAAGGTATCAGCTATTACCCATGTGGTTGAGATGTTAAGATTATCAAGGATAACTCACATAGCTAGTCTGACTCTGCGTTCTGTCACTCATTTGCTGCACCTGTGACAACAGCATTACAGTCCGTCTGCGCATATACTCGACTTCTTGGCGAACCATCCGCTGTATAGCCTTTAGGTGCTCCGATAACTGCTGGCTTTGCTGCTGGGGATTGGAACTACTGCTCTGTTTCCCTCCGTCATGTGAGGGTTGCTCATCTAGAAGCCTCCCGTCGATAGCTTGGACAAGCCATTCTCCGCAATCTAAGCAACATCGTCCAACGTGTCCAATAATTGCAAGATCCGTTTGGCAGTAGCCCAGCTGTTGAATTGTTTTTTTTGGATCGTCAAGGGCGGGATACTCGTCCATGCTAGGACGACGCCCTTGATCCAACCTCCCCGGGTTTCCAAAGCCCGTTTGTCGCTCAATTCCCTGGATTGTATCATCAATGGTATTGCGGTATAGTTCAATACGTTGATGGTGCGAGCGATAGAGGGCAGCGACAAAAAAGTGAGAATCGATGCATCGTTCTGGTGTCGAGAGCAGGGTGTTGAAGACGGCATCTTCATCGAAGAGATGGTGGTATAAGACATAGGTTGTGCGATGAGAAGGGTCACAGGTTACTGACACGCAGTCGAAGCCTGTTGTGCGCGAATTGGCTACTTTCATGACGAGGGAGGTTCGTCCGGAGGAGTGGAGTGTCGTCAGAACTCCATTGTTGGACAGGAATATCTCGATTGTGCGTGGGTGAAGATTCCACGAGTCTTGGATCTTCTGGAAGGCCTGCTTGGGAACGGATAATACAAGTCTGCCGGGCCGGATTCGGGGGAAAGATATCGCTTTGAAGTGCCATAGACTTGGATTATCAACATTGTCGCGTACTATACCCTCATCCTGGGTATTTAGGAGACAGTCCTCAATTTGATTGAATTGGATTCTGTCCTCCAATATGCGCATGCGATTCCCTAACTCGTTTAGATTAAGCGACAGCGAGCCTTTCAAGACCCTGAGGCCTTGATATGAGGTAATAGAAGGTTCAGCCCAAGAAGCTAGCTTTTCCTCTCGCGTCTCCATAGCAGATCTTAGATCTTTAGCTGGAGATGACGAGCAATTATTGGTCGAGCTAGGGTCCAGACAAGAGGAATCTGGATGATGGGAACTGGGCAGCAACCTGTATGACGTGCGACCAGCGGTGGGGTTCAAGTATTTATCTATAATATGCATAAGTGCTGATTATTGAATGCTCGGAAAGAAGTGTAAGAGCATGGAGTAGAGGCTGTCAAGGTTTCGGTTTTGTATTGACAGACTGACTGTGCGCAGTCAGTGGCAACTGAGGCGCAGGTGGTTGGGCGTTTCAGAGTCGCCTGCCATTGGCCGCTAGCCATCGCCTTGATCAAAAGAAGGTTACCAGATGATTGATCACTTCAATCTGACGTCGGGGGTCCTCAGCTGAATGCTATTATCTATGTTGTACCCCGTATTATTGACTTGTAACTCACATTTTAACGCTCCACACAGGCCCATAGTTTGGATGGCTAGCTAACTATCTCTTGGCTTCCAGTTACGTGCTCATGGTTCAATGCTCACCAGGCAGCTTCTCTAAACCCGAGTTACGTGACTTGTGTAAGCTCAATTAAAATTCATCCATCCGTTGATGACCTGTTGCCCATAGACTGGGCGCGAAAGCGATCCGTCTCCTTGGACTACTTTTGTTGAGCGACAGTCCAATGCCGTCTTTCTTCCCATATGTGCCACAACGAGGCTTGTTGCGACTGTCCCTGCAACAGTGAAGCTTCACAGGCACAACTGACACCAAACAAAAGGTAAAAGATACGAGGACGGGAAGAAGTTATAGAGGTGATGAAATATGGACACGGCTCGGGTTATCTTTCAAGTTTGGCATCTTTGTTATGTACATATATGTACTCAGATGAGCAGGCTGAAACGATTTCAGCAATAGACTAAATCAATTAATCGGGTTATTAGTATTTTCGGTTATACAAAGTACTACAGTCGAAATTCCAAAGCGACTGTCAATAAGCAAACGAGCGGGGATCATCTGGGCACTGATCCCCGCTTACCCTAAGTAGTACCCCACCCGTAATAACCACCTGGGCAGGGCTGTGGATACCTAAGAGCGAAGGCTTGGCAGCTGCGCTACGGAGTAATCACGAACTACATGAAGTACGGAGTACATATGTACCTAATTTCTAGTGCCTTATGCATATGTGCGGTATCAAGATATTTACGGGCAAAATTACGCGAATCATATGGTAATTCTCACCACTTTTCCTAAAATTTTGATGCTCCTCCTAAAGGTTCCCGAAATGACAGGACGCTATTCCAGTCAAGACATTAATACCTAACATTGAAGGTAATAGACATCTATCGATCAATAGGATAGATAATAATATTACTACCTGCTCGGGCCCGAGTTAGGTGACCTATACAGAGGGCTATGGGTTGCATTTATACCATTGCGCATACCTTTTATCCCTGGTTCCCGGTCCCACATGCATCCTAAGTGCTCCCTTGGATTTGATCGGAAGGTCTGACATGAAAGCTCTCCTAAATACTACCGACAAGCCGTGAGAGCCCACGCGATGCACTAATGTGCGGGCCAATCTGATCTACATTTAAAACGATTTGACACATTTTAAGCATATGTACTATTATTAGACAGCTGGTATATTACCAATAAAAAATACTATCAGTAGCGAAGCAGAACCAAGATAATATAACAAATCAAGAAAGCAGGACTTTCAGCCGACAGATCCAGTCAAGCCTAAAGGCCTAGTTGAGTCTGCAGGAGGTGGTACTAATAACGATGGACATCATGAGCAGAGTATGCACAGTCATAGCGATGATAGGGCTGACCTTACATATATGTAGGGGGAGGATCCAGGGCTGATTTTATGAGATACTTAATTTACTGAATCTCTGCCCATATTTCACTTCAAAATGATTTGGCTGTTTTTGTACTTAGTATATATATCTCTCTCTTTTCCTCGGAGATACCTAGGTAGCTTCTTGTACTTATGTTTTCTAGTATTTCCTATTCTTATAGTCAACTAGAGGATTGTAGACGTGCCCACTAGCAATAACCTTAGATACTCCGTATATTAATATTCCGTATAGTATAGCCTAGTGAGCTAGGTAGCTAAATAGCAATTTAGAGAATTGTTCTCACTAGATATATAGGTTATAGTAACCCCTATGCCTCCACTCCGTCCTATGTACATAATTAGGGTTTGGGCTAGATCCGATTTATCCTTCACTTTTTCTACCTCACTTCTTCTCTTCGCTTCTTCACTTGACTTTTCCGAAAATGTCGAGGTGGATAACAAAGCGGGGTGTGCACAATATGTTTGAATTGACAAAAATTGTTGCCCGACACACGTTACGCACAAGTCCCAGATCGGGAATACGAACAGATACGCCTACTCCATTTTAATGGCCGATTTTTCGACATCGCCGTTTTTGTGGATATTATAATAGCTGAATATCTTCTCCGTGAAATCGTTCAACGAGAACAATTTCTAAAGAACAAGGTTCGGGCCTCAAAAAAGCTTGCCGAAGATCAAGACAAAGAAACACGGTATGATGAGGCGCTTAGAAATCTACTCCGGCAATATAGCGAGGCTGAGTATGAGCTTTACCTTACCGAAACAATGCTTCCTGTTGGGCGTATCAAACAGTCCTATGATAGTCTACGACAAAACCCAACTTGGTATCTCCGAAAAGAACTGGTCGAAGACTGTGTGAAGAGGGGGGCTGCTGTAGTCAAAGCTGTGGATGCTGTCAAACTCGCCATGAAAAAACTGAAAGAAACAAGGTATTGGACAATGTACGCCTGCGTGCGGATGTTGTTCAAGTGAACGAGGCTTCGAGTATACTACAAACGAGAGAGAATGCCTTGTCGATGATTTCAAACCGAAATTATACGACAATAACCCAGCCTGTGTCATCCAAATGGCGGAGGCTTTCTTTTTGCTGCCACCGGAGGAGAAGCCCCAGGAGGAGAGAACGCAGGGCAAGAGTAATAAGAATTCGGCGTTGAAGCGAGTATTCAGAAAGAGTTGAATGGCCGAGTAACACTGCTTATTGCTTGATTATATTTTGATGCGCTCAGGGATAGATACTTGCTTCTTGCTTCAGAGCCTGTCCAAAATGTGCTTCGTTTGGCTCAAGATAGAGAACTATAATAGCTTTATTGGACACATTATGTGTGATCATGGCGATGAACTCGGTAGTCAAATCAGAGAGATAATATTTATTCAAGCCTCGTAGATAATGGATTTACCGTACTACGCTCGCTAACACGCTTATAATATGGTGTCTAAATGTAGAATCTAATAATGTGTAGTATGTTGTACAGAATGTATTATAGATCGGCATTTGACTCATAAGAGTTCCGATAAAATCCCCCACCCCCCACCAACTCTCCCCCAACATCTCACATTCCTCACCACAATGGCTCCATCTCCCTTTAATTTGGCCACATGCGCCCGTCCTAATATCCTGGCATTGCAGCCCTACCGATGCGCCAGAGAGTACGCCGCCCTTCCCCAATTACCTGCACCGGTACCGGCGAGCTAATGAGTCAGTGACTACAAAGATGATGGGACGAACGTCCTCCTCGACGCCAACGAGAATGCCTTCGGTCCTGGTCTTGCCCTGAACAGTGAGGGAGCAGTGCAATCCTCTCAGACTGGCAATGCCACAGGAGCCTCCAAGCCAGAGATTGACTTTCTCGGCCTGAATCGCTACCCCGATCCGTGAGTGGAATTCTGCTGTCGCATCTTATCAAAAAGACCAATTTGACTAACAATTCGTCTCCTAGTCACCAGATTGAATTGAAGCAGCTCTTCTGCAACCTTCGAAATACCCACCACCACACCCCGAAGACCCTCCTCCCCGAGCACATGTTCTGCGGCGTCGGCTCAGACGAAGCCATTGACGCGCTACTGCGCTGCTTCTGCGTCCCCGGAAAAGACAAGATCCTCACATGTCCCCCGACCTACGGAATGTACAGCGTCAGCGCGCAGGTAAACGACGTCGAGATCGTCAAGGTACCACTGGATGCTACAAACGGATTCCACCTACAACCCAATAAAGTCAACGAGGCTCTATCAGCCGACCCATCTATCAAGCTGGCCTATATTTGCTCGCCAGGCAACCCGACCGCGAATTTGATCCGCAAAGAGGACATCCGCAAGGTGCTCGAACACCCGACATGGAACGGTATCGTAGTGGTCGACGAGGCGTACATCGACTTTGCGCCCGAAGGCTCCAGTCTGGCGGAGTGGGTGACCGAATGGCCCAACCTAGTTGTCATGCAGACACTCAGCAAGGCATTCGGTCTGGCTGGTATCCGCCTCGGTGTGGCCTACGCCAGCGTGGAGGTCGCCCGTCTCCTCAACAGCCTCAAAGCCCCTTATAACATTTCCAGCCCAACGAGCGCGCTTGCCTCCGCAGCACTCACAGCGCCAAATATGGCAGTGATGCACAGCTTCCGCTCGCAGATCATCGCGCAACGTGAGCGTTTGCTCAGTGAACTACCAGCGATCCCCGGTGTGGGTCAGTTCCTTGGCGGCAGCGACGCGAATTTCTTGCTCGTGGAGATTTTGGACGCCGAGGGCCGGCCAAGTAACGTGACCGCTCTTGCTGCTTACGAGGCTATGGCGGAGAAGCGTGGTGTGGTCGTCCGTTTCCGTGGCAAAGAGCTTGGATGTGAGGGCTGCCTCCGTATCACTGTCGGAACCGAGGCGGAAGTTACCAAATTCCTTCAGGAGTTACGGAATGTGTTGGGCGGACTGCGCGCAGGGGCTGGAATTAAGTCTCTTCGGGATGAGGAGAGGCGGGAGGATACGGCGGCAGCTGTGGTTGGATGAAGGTTGCGCGATTAATTATCTAGGGGATCATAAGGTTTAGGGAGATAACATTGTCACATTTTGTTTTTTTTGGGGGCTGAAAATAGTGTGATAGAAGGGAATATAGATGTATTGTGCTCCTAACCCGCTTATCGGAATTATTGTCTTTTGGTCTTTTTTTTTTTTTATAGATGTGTCCATGTGTTTATAGAGGATGCAACGTAGTACAGCCTTTATGGCTTTATCTTATAAGTAATCGTCCACGTGTACACCGAGTATACAACGTATACATCGTGTTATATTAAACACATTAAACACATTAAAATATACTACATCTATGGATATGTAACCCTAAGTGCCTACCTATTAACAATCTCCCCAAAGACATCAAGGAGACATAGGTATAGCCAAGACCGTTCCCGTTCCTAAAAAGGTAATCTGGTTAACACGGACAATGACAACATATGAAAGCTATTGTGGACGTGTGACCGTTTTCCTTTGTTAGACGTATTACGCGCTCACCGCAAAGATCTGAGAAGGTAAGATGCTTAAAAAATACCAAATGTGTGATATGAATTTCCTAGATTAGCCAGTTGAATTTCAGTGGCTGTGTGGGCTTATCTAGGTAATCTTGTGCTTGAATATCTTTCCCCTCTTCCAAGGTTATTTTTCCAGTTGAAACTATTAATTCCCCCCTATATCTCCCGACTTATTACATCCCTTAGATCTCAGGATCGCCCAGAGCATCATTTTAGTCTCCGCAGTTCGCCCCATCGTTCCTAAAAAAAACACCCCACACTTCTCAAGTTGGCACGTGTGTGAGGAGCAATGTAAAGAGCACTTAAAGATTCGCTTTCTGCGAGACTGTCTGCTGTTGTTCCTTAAGCATGGCCTCTATGGCCTCCATGGCCATATCGCTGGTTACGCGTGGCATTTATCCCGACAGCCCGCCAGCCGCCCAGACCAGAAACCAGATCAATCCGACACTTATGATGAGCTGGTGGGCTACTATATTCTCGTTGGCTATCATCATCATACGCCTATTTGGTCGCTATGTTCGTGTGGAACGTTTTTTCGTCGAGGACAAGGTCATGATGATCAGCGTCATTCCCCTGATGATTCGCATGGTCCTCGTGCATTTCGTTCTTATCTTGGGGACCAACAATACCACCACCGCAGGCTTGACAGACCGGGAGATATCAAATAGAGAGCTGGGCAGTAAGCTGGTCCTAGCGGCGCGTATATTCTACGCCATCTTGTAAGACGAAATACACCCTTATCTACACCTCGGATGTGCTAGGCCAAAGTGACTCACAAAAGAAAAACAAATATAGCATCTGGACAGCCAAGGTGACCGTCTGCGAATTCTTAAAGCGAGTCACAGGGCTTACCTGGCGCCGATCAACAACTTTCTTCCTCCGCTTCATTTCCATCTTCCTCTTCTCGACCCTAGTAGCCGTGGTTATCGCAACCCTAGCCGAATGCCAACCCTTCAACCACTACTGGCAGGTCACGCCAGACCCAGGCCCAATATGCCGCACTGGCTACGTCAACTTAATAACAATGGGATCCTGCGACGTGATAACCGACGTCTTACTCGTCGCCATCCCAGTGCCCATAATCCTCATGGCCCAAATGCCTCTGAAGCGCAAACTCGCCCTATCACTCCTCTTCTGTCTATCCCTGATATTGGTCGCCATAACCTCCTACCGTGTCCCCTCCGTAATCGATCACAAAGGCTCCCAACAATACCGCTCCCTCCTCGCCTCCCTCGAAATCCTCGCCGCAACAGCAGTCTCAAACGTCCTCGTCATAGGCTCCTTCGTTAGAGACCGCGGTGTCAAGAAACTAAAATACAAACGCACCGAAGGCTCAGCCTCCGTCTCAGAAAGCATGGACAAATCCTACGTCCGCAGAAACACAGTCATGCAAAACCAATGGGGCTCAGACTCGGAACTCGCAACTGGTCTATGCATCCGTCTAGATCCAGATTTATACTCCATCCCCGGCACATCAGACGGATCACGTCAACCCAGACCAGCACCTATCGCCCCACCAGCTCACGTCCCACTAACAGTCGCACGAACCGGAACTCTCGATCCAACGTGGTCGTTTGCAACAACCCGTCGCTCAGGAGACACCGACCACGCCTCGACAACAGACAGTCTCGAGCCCAAAGTCTCGCCGCGCGAATACCTGCGTACAAATCACTCCCCGCGCGAGATCTCGCCACTATCAGAAAATCCACGTCGGGTGTCGTTCTCGGATGTCGGCGGTTTGTTGACAAGAGGACTACCGGAGACTGGGCCTGGTCATGTGCGCGCCCAGACTTGCTCGTCACCAGCGGAGGCCGGACAGCGTCGCAGAAGTGGCGGGGGTAGGACATTTTTGGAAGATTTGGGCATTTTTGGTCCACGCTCTACATATGTACCGAGACTGCCGCTTTCTGGTCCTGCGGACCTGCCGTTTCCCGCGGCGGCCTTTGGTAATCCCGAATTTGGGCTTGAGATGGCTCGTTGTCCTAGTTCGTCGGATTTAACGCTCGATGCTAATATTGAGCTTCATGATGTTGGTGGGTTATTATCGCGACATGATCATTAACCACTTGATGCGATGTGATGTGACATGATGTAACGGCTGTTTTACTTCTACCTTTTTCTTCTTGATTAGACACTTTTGGGCTGAGACTTGTTGTCTCCTGTATCTGGAATATTTGGCTGGAGTCTCTCGTTTTGGTTGTCGGGACTACATATCTCGTATCACCCTGTACTTTCTTCCCTATTTACTGTTTCTTGCTCCCTGTTCTATTCCCCCTCATGCGATTATTAGCGTTGGCGTTCGAGGTATTACCCCATGAGACCCCTTGGACACTTCCAACGGCTCGGACATGACTGGCACTCTTTCTCTTTGGAGCCTTGCTAATAATGTATCCCTATATGCTACATACTCTTTACATATATTTACAACAAAATAGTAAGAAATACAACCGTTTGGAAACTAATTCAATATCGTATCAATCAATTGAGTATGACTGGGCTTTCTGGGGGGGGAGGTGGGGGCGGGTTTGCAGAGTATCCATGGATGTGTTGAACTGTGCTGAAAAAAAAAGAGGTTAGAAAAGAGGTTGGAAAAGAGGTTGGAAAAGGATTCGAGGATGTAGGAAGTAAAAAGGCCTCGATTATATGAATTTTGAAACAACCAGATGTCCATTTATGAATCTTAAATACTATAATGCATATGCAAGAACCAAACGACAAAAAAAAAAGACGCAAAGAGAATGCTAGACAAACGCTAGACTTCATGTATAAGTTGCATGTACGGATAACCTCCTCCTTGAATCTATGCCTTATCCTCGATCGCGGCCGCCTTGAGCTCTTCCTCAACATCAGCCACGGCATCCTGCTCCTGAGCCAGTTCAGCCTCCGCCGAAGGAGTGCCGTTCGCTTTGGCAGGCTTCTTGGCAGCGTCGGTAGCCCGGCCGTTGGCCTGAGGGGCAGAGGCCTTAACTTCCTCCTTTTCGAGACGGTCAATCTCTTCCTGGGCCTTTTTAATGTTCTGCGGGGTAATTAGCAACTGATTACATCAAATAAGCTTGGAAAGGATAAATTTTACCTCTTCGGTCTTGCTGGCCTGGTTCTTCTTCCACTCGATGATCTTGGCAGCCAGCTTCTCCACAGCGGCAGGGACATCCGCCTGGTTCATAGGGGGGTCGATCTTGACATTGGCGAAGTCCTCAATGATACCAACGTTCAAATTGAACTTGGTGCTCTCAGCACCGGCAGCACCGCCCTTCTTGCCACCCTTCTTGCCCTTCTTGCCACCGGAACCGGTGAAGTAGTCCTCCTCGTCGTTCTTGCGCACAATCTTCATTCCCTTGATCTCGGCGGCTTCGACAGTGCGGCCAACTCCGGCACGGAAATTGCTGCCCTCATCCTTCTTCTCGTTCAGACCAAGAGTGGAGAAGTCAAAGGCGGGATCAAAGTGACGGATCAGACCCTGTGCAGTCAGGATCTCGTCGGCATAGGCAAGCTGCGAGGCCTCCTCCAGCTTCTTATCAGCGGCCTTCTTGCGCTTCTCGCGCATAAAGGCATCCTGCTCGGCCTTCATACGCTCGCGGCGCACACGGTACATCTCATCCTCATACTCCTTGTGGGCACGACGGGCCTTGAAGTAGGTATCCTTGATAGTGCGGATGGCAGTGTACTTTTCCTGCTGCTCGTTGCGCAGCTTGGTGCGCTCATCGCGCAAAGCGTTCAAGTTCTTGAAGACGCCATCCTGCTCGGCCTTGATGGTATCGAGCTCCTTCTGGATCTCGGCGTACTTGTCGCTCAGCGCCTTGGCCTCGGGGTTGTCGAGGGTCTTGCGCAATTCGGAGATCTGTGTCTTGATGTCGTTGATGCCCTTCTGAGCCTCATCCAAGCTGGCGAAGCTCTTGCGCTGCTTGCGCAAGTTAGAGACCTCAGTGAGAGCCTTGCGCTCATCAACCAGGCGGAGGGTGCCAGTGTCGACCGACTTCTCGAGGCGGGCGATCTCCTTGTCAATCTCCTCGACGCTCTTGAATGACAGGCGTCCGCGAGAGGCGTTCTGCTCGGTAATGCGGGCCTTGAGGTTGGCATCCAAGGCGTTAATCTTCTCCTGGGTGGAGGACCGGCTGGACTTAAAGCCGGACTGCGTTTGGCGAATGGACGAGAGTTCGGCGCGCAGCTCTTGCTGCCTCTTAACGGTGGGCGAATCCTGGTTGTTAGGTTTGGCGTTATCCAATTTGGCCTTGATTTGGTTCTGTTGCGCATATCAGTCATCGGCCCGAGGACATGTATGCAAGTAAATAGTGAACACGAGGACAATCAACAATCAGAGTGGGTCGAGTATCATCCTCGGGACACAGAGTCAAATGAGAGCTCAAGTGACGATCTCCAAAAAAACAAAAAAAAAAGGCTTCCATACCAATTTCTCCTGGGCAGCAGTGTGCTCCTTCTCAGCCTCAGCGAGACTGGCCTTGTAGGCGGCCTCATCGGGCTTGGTGGGCTTAACCCGCTCCGCATCAGTGGCAGCCATTGCGACGAATTGAATGTAGAAAGAGAGACAGAGAAGGGAAGATTGCCTTCTGATGGTCCTGAAAGGATTAAATAGCCCAATGAGACCAAAGGGAAACTGAAAAGGGGAAACTTGAGATAATTAAAATGGTTCGGTCGGTTTCTCCGCTTAACAGTCGCTGGCAGAAAGTTCCGCCGATTTTTCGACTTCACCTTTATCTCTCCACCACCGGAGCTCTTTCTACCCGTTTTTCTTTTTGCTCTCTTGACAGGCTAACCTTTTATTTCCTTTTCTATCCTAGTCATTGACTTCTCACTCCATTATGGACGGAGATTCAGCACACTCCATGGAGGCCGAGCGCGAGATGACTCGGCTCTGGCGCACCTTTAGAACAGTCTATGAACTGCTCGCTGACCGGGTAAGCACTTCAGATCGAGTCCCTGACTTCTCGGTGTCTCTCCCATAATGCCTATTTACCCAAGGCTAACCATCGGCGACACACCAGGGCTACGAAGTTTCTGATAACGAGCTGGTACTCCCGCTAGAAGACTTTCGCGCAAAATATGCTGACCCTCTGGGCTACCCTGAGTATGCTAAACCCTTATGTCCACTGTTCCCATTGTCTTGTGATGGTGAAAACTTGAGCTAAACAATGCCGACACACATCATTGAAGAAGAACATATCACTAACAAACTGTTTCGCAACAACAGTCGCACCAAGATGAAAATCCAAGCCCGCCCCACCGAAACCATGAAATTGAAATACACAGCACTGCCCAGCAAAGCAAACCCAAACCCCCAGCCAGATTGCGGTACAATTTACGTCGACTTCTGCCCAGACTCCTCGGGTGTCGGAACCAAGCAGGTGCGCGCCTTCAACCACCTTGTCGATGAGAACAACTTCCACACTGGTATCTTCATCACGCAGACACCGATCTCGCCCTCTGCTGTGCGCCTGCTTTCTGGCGTCCCCGGCCGCATCTGCGAACACTTCCAGGAACAGGATCTGCTTGTCAACATCACCCGCCACGAGCTTGTCCCCAAGCATGTCCTGCTTAGCCCAGAAGAGAAGGCCAAGCTCCTCGAGCGCTATCGTCTGAAGGAGTCTCAGCTACCCCGCATACAGATCTCCGATCCTGTCGCACGCTATCTTGGTTTGCGCCGGGGTCAGGTCGTCAAGATTATTCGCAAGTCTGAGACTGCGGGTCGCTATGCCAGTTACCGCTGGGTCATTTAAGCTGCAAAACAATGCTGGAAATGGAACAGGAAGATTGATATCGGCTCTTCGTGGGCCGACGCTAGATCTTTCTCTTCTTTTTTTTCCTTTCCTTTTCTCTCATTTGAAGGTTTTGCAAACCCAAAGAGTCAAAATTCGGTTCCTTTGAACCTTGATCTGCAAATTCGAATCGCATCAGGTCCACTTCACTGTCTCTGATATGGCCCCTTTCCAGACTACGCAGTTCTACAGGAAATACCTAATTGGTAGTTGAGAAAAAGCAGCTGATGTCAGACAGAAGTGGACACTTGGGAGTTATTTTTTTTACTCATGGACTCACATTCAACAAACACAAAAAAAGTTTTGGTTCCCCCCTTGTATTATGGGCAGCATGGCGTATAGGTGCAAAGTTTCTCCTGCTTTGGGGGTTGCGATGGGGGGTTTGCCTATGATTTTACATAATGGCCGTGTCTTTGTATGTCTAGCTAGATGAACCAATCTATGAATGGCTGTCATTTCGAGTCGAGCTGGTTGAGTAGGAAGTCGTAGATCATGACTAGTGTCTGCTTATATCTATAGAGGCATATAGGCCACTGATTCCATATACTATACCTACATACCTACCTATTTGTAACCAGTTATCTCAATCCTCCTAGCTAAAACACCAAGGGAGAAAAGCAAATAGAAAAAAATATATCTCAATTTCACTATTCTTGTAGATCTACTAAAATGAGGCCGCGTAAGTATAAAGCCTTGGAACGTGGAAAACCCTGGAAAATGGTTGACTAATCCCGGAACTGCGCCACTGCAACACTTGCTCGATCCCGGCGCTTCCTTTTCATTTCTATCCTCTATCCTCTCTCTCTCCTTATTGTTCGCGGGCCTCGAGTTCCTACCAAACCCATCAGACAGAGAACCAGCCCCCACACCCACATTTGAAGCGCAATCTCCCCAAATCAGCACTAAGTCTGACAACTCTCCCGGGAACTCCACCTTCAAATCCCACCATGTCTTACAACAAGCCCGTAAGTTCCCAAAAGCAATCAATCGCAAACAATCCTGAAATGCAAATTCTTAATACTAATTTCTTCCAGACAAGCCCACCACCCTCCTACCCCGCCCAGGCCCACGACGCCGGCGCTTACTACCCACCGCAAAACCAAAGCCCCGGCGCTGCAAATGACTACTACGGCGGCGGCCAGCCCCAACAGCAGGGCTACTACCCACCCCAGCAAGGCTATGGCCAGCCACAGCAACAGGGCTATTATCCCCAGGGCCAGCCCATGTATTACCCACCCCAGCAGCAGGGCTACCCCCCTCAACAGCAACAGGGCTATTATGCCAATGACCGCGGGAACTCCGCCGGTGGTGGCCTCTGCGCAGGTATCATGGCTGCCATGGCATGTTGTTGCTGTTTGGATATCTTGTTCTAGGCCTACTTGTGGTCTTGGTTTCTGATACGCGACTACGTTACTGATGTTTGGGTTTCTGGCTGGTGTTGGTCCGCCTTGTTGAATCGCTATGCCATGCATACACTACACTCTTGAGAAAAATATCGAGAGATATGAGACTGGCGTTTCCTGGGATTGGCTTTTGACTCGGGATTTGCTGATTGGTGAATCCTGGGTTGGGAAATTGTCTCAAGGTGTGAATTTTTATTTTTTTTGGCTTCCCTGGTATATATCCTTGGCTTCTATTACTTACGTCTGGCGCAAAACAAGACACGGCGTTCTTGAGTCCTGAGATTCTGGCCTCAATTGTATTACACTTTTATTTTTTTTTACCCTACTTTTTGTTTATTCTCCCTCGAGCTTTATTTTTTTCGACCTAATTCATACTTTTCAGTCGCTCTACATACAGTACAGTCCGAAGTTAATCTAGGAAGAAGTTTTACAGATAGACTGAGGTGATACAGCTTGAAGGGAGATATATGTCCATTTCAATAACACAGAAGCATACTCATCCATGCTTACAACCTTGTGACTAGATCTCTGTATAGGAATCTGTTAGCATATCTTCCTAAATGAAGTCTTCTTCACTTGCCTAGCTCTAATGTGCTCCTGCTTTTCTGTATTCCATTCCAGATTCCATATGCCCTGCGTCCGAGCCAGTCGTCTCGATACCCATGAAAGAACTAGTTCTATCCCTTGTAGGTGTTTGCGGCTTTTTCTCTCGGCTCTAGTCTTCTCCATGTTGAGTACAGAGACAAGATGAGATTGATTTGAGGCGAGGAATCAGAGGGCTTTGGCCTTTACTTGGTCTTGTTCATGTCGGCGACAGTATGGACCGAATAACGACTATCATACGTTAGATTAGAGGTAATAAGACTCAACTGCAGACTTGCTTTTGAATTGAACGAGCCAAGAACAAATGACAATTAGAAGAAAGGAATGCAAAACGGATAGCGTAATCCAGTCCACCAACCTTGGAGTCTGATTGAATAATGAGGTAGACAGGATGGACAAATGCATCTGCGAGCAAAGGGAAGGATCTTCCAAGGCTTAGTCGAAGCCAACTTTGTCCTTAAGTTGAAAATCAGTCTTTGTTAACGAGATGAGCTGAGCTGAGCTGGGTAGAGAATGAAGTGAGATTACGGGAGATAATATTGAAGTGACTAGCTACATTGTTTTGCTGATACTAGGGAAAGTACGTCCAGGGCTCTTTCCTGTTATGTACAGGATAGCCTGAATATACACGGAATAGAACAAGTAGCATCATCAATAACATTAAAGAGAATAAATCATAATACATTAACACATAACACATAAGGGTATCGCATCCCAATCCTCAAAACAAACATCTCCCAAATCACCGATGACTACTGTAATCACTACCTCCACCATAAGCAAGGGGGTCAACATGCCTGACCCCACCCCTCCTCGATCTCCGCGGCGGACGCGGCGAAACATCAGACGGCACAGTAGACTCCTCCTCCTCGACCTCAATAACATCCGCGTCCGCATCCCCAGTCGTAGAAGTAGCCAAAGATTCCTCGACAACGACGAGATCATGCCTCGACGACGGCTGACGCCGGTAACTATCACGGTAATTCTCTCTCTCCTCCTCGACCTCGATGACGTCGCGTCGTCGCCGTCCAACCGCTGATCCGCGTCGACTGCGCACCTCCACGATCTCTTCGTCGTCCATCGACATCGACATCGACATTGAGATCGATGATGAGGTTGGCGCTGCCACCCCGCCCCGCGCGATGCCTCCTGGGTTCACGGCCAGGAAGAGTATGTACATTAGCAGTACGAAGCCTGCTACACTGCCGAGTATGATGCCCACCACCGTGCCGGCAGCGGGGCTTGAGTTTATTCGGCCGTAAGTTGACGGGATTGAGATTGTTGTGTAGCGTTTTTGGAGGGAGGTGTCCGTGTGCAGGAGGTTTGGGTCTAAGTCTCCTATGTTCAGGCTGGGCTTGGTTGGACCTAGGTCCAGGCCTTCGAGAGGGTGGGTCGACATGGTGTCTGGTTGTCTAATTGTTGGATTTGTGGTTGTGAGGGTGGGTAGACGTCGAGATGACTGTGCGACTGTTTAAGTATCTTAATCCCAGCGAATGAATGGTTTGAGGTCAGCTTCCGAGCTAATATGCGCTTGTGGGGTTTGGTGGCATATGCGGTGTCAGAGGTGTGGATTTGGTTGGAAATATGGAGCACAATGTTGAAAAATATCGAAAAGAATCAATTGAAAAGTGCGAGGAAATAAGAAAGATGCAAATAGTCCGTAAATGTCAAAACAAACACAGAAGATAAGAGGAGGTTGGGGGGGGGGGGGGCTGGGATCTGCGGAGAAGTGGAGATGACCTTGGAAACCCTACTTTTTGATGTTTCGGACAGTTTGAACAACAGTCTGATCTATTTAGGCTAAGGTGATATTACGGAGTAGAAATAATATATTCAAGTTAACATTACAATATCATTTTGATTGTCTTGGACTAATTCTCTTTGTATTGTATATCCTCCTCCGAACTATTTATTTACTTGCGACTGAACGCCTAATAAGCTCCCTTGCGCTTCTTATACTGCGGCTGCTCAACTGACTTGACCTCATCTAGAGCAGTCAGAACAGGAGTAGTATGGATCATGTCAAAGCTCTCCAGCTTAGCACCATTCGGCTCAAGCACCCACAGACTCAAAGCCAAATAGTTGGTACCCCGGTAGTTGAGAATACCCTCGGGAACAGGGAAGCTGGTCTGGGGACCAATGTTGTTCACATACTTTCCATACTGGAATCCGTTGACATAGAGCTGAGCACGGTAAGCCGCGGGCGAGGAAGTGCTGTTCCCGAAGTCAAAGTACATAGGAACATCCCATCCCTTCTCCACATTCAGATCGAAGCTTGCACTGTAGAACTTGATTCCAGGCGCCGACAGACCGTCGAATGGGCTGCCAGATTTCCAGCTCTCGGTCGGCGGCTTGGGCTGGTGGAAGCCCTGGCGCTCGGCGTAGAGACCACCCTCATTGAGCGGGCCGCGTGCGATGTCCAGGTAATCCTCGCCGCCCAGGTTGCCGGTCAGCTTCCAGGTAATGTCACTCGCAGAGCGGCCGGACAGTTCGTAGTTCAGAATACCGCGGGGGTACTTCATCTCGTCTACGCCGATGACCCAATTTTCGTCTAGGCCCATGTTGTCCAGCACGACGGTGAGCACGTACGACTTGCCCTTCTTCAGAGTTGGTAGCGCGTAGGTTCCGTTGTGGTTGTTGTCGACGGATTCTCCGGCCCATGATCCTATGTGATTCTCGTTCAACCATACGGAGCTGCCGAATGCGGTGCCACCTTGAGTCTGCACGAAGAAAGTCTTCTCGTTGCCAGTTGCGACGAAGTGACCCCGGTAGATGAGGTATCCGGTGTGGAAGCCATAGTCAGAGGCGTACAGCGAGGTTGGGGTCCTGAGTGGATTCATGCTATTTTGGGTGGCCTGGTCTGCGGAAACCCATTTGGAGTCATCGTATGAGCTTTGGAGCTCGGGAAGAGAATCAATAGACTTCCACTTCAGAGTCTTTAGAGTGGGAAGCTGAACCTTCGGTGCTGTGTAAGTGACGCTGCTGGACCAGATTCCGTTCTTGTCGACCTTGAAATTTGCTTTCTTGCCGTTGATAACCAGGTTCTTGGCTTTGGATGGGGCGCCAAGCACCTCAATCGGGGTGGTGGCATTGAAATCAGCAGTGATATGAAGGTCATTGCCCTTCACATAAGCAGTCCGCACGAGGTAGCCGGCCTTGATGATCAGAGACTCGGCGGCGGCCTTTTGGGTGCTATAGCCAGGGCTTTCTCCCTTGGCTGGAAGCTGAGGGACCCAGTAGTTGTAGGCAGAGTTCCGATCTAGTAGTTTAGTCAGTTACGATAAAGCAGGGCGGTATTTGAGACAGCACTTACCCAGAAGAACAATCTGCAGATCACCAAGTTGCACGATACGGCGAGTGGTGGAGACGTCCCAACCGATAACAACGGTCTTGCCCACCTGCTTAGTGGTGATGCTTGACGATGACCCTTCAATAACCGATGCCTTCGACTTGGAAGAGACAGCCAACTCGTGGTGCTCGCCGGGGCCGCCGTACAGCACAAGAATTTTGGATTTACCAGACGTTGTCCAGGTGAACACCTCAGCGGAGGAGTACAGGATGTTGGTGCCCGCCACATCATAGTCAACGACATGAACCTTGGAATCACGGCCGCTGAGAGTAAGGCTTCCGCCAAGCTGGGGAATAGTCAAATCGCCGGCGCTAGTAGTAACCTTGAGCTTATAGTCAACAGAGGCTTGGCTCGAGTAGTCGGAGTGTCGGACAATGAAGAAGGAAGAAGCGGTGTCATTGCCTCCGAGCAGGGGAGTCACGGCCAGATCAGGTGAGGTGGTGTACTTGGAAGTAGTCAACTCTCCCGGTGTTGTTAGAAGGTAGGCCGGTGACACTTTAGCAAAGTTGCCAATCAGCTTCAGCTCGCTGTACTTCTCGCGGGTGACGTTGCGAGATTCAGTAATCGGGGCACCATAGTCATAGGATGTGTATCCACCGGGGTGGCCCAGGTTACCCCAGTTGGTACCACCAAAGGTCTACGAATGAAATATTAGAATTGGTGAGTATGACGGGATTGTTGGAACATACCATGTACAGGTTGAAGAATGCAACTCGGAAGCCGAGACTGTTCTTGTAAAACACTCTCTCGAACTCGTGGTTCAGGAGGGCAGCACACTTGGCGAACCCAACACCTCCCCAGGGGTCAAAGGCACCAGCTTGGAACTATACTCCAGTTAGCTTAATAGTCCACAGGGCATATGTCCATATAACTTACCTCAACCAGAGAGTATGGGGTAGAAGGACTCTGCTCCATGTGTGTCTTATAGAAATCTGTGGGCAGATTACCCTCTGGCCAGGTAGAAGGGTTCGCGCAGTCAAAGCCGAGAGGGTAGCTATCGTGGCCGTAGATATCCACTTCACCCTCGCCAGTTCCAGGAGCATTGTGGCCGCCACCCCAGGCATCGTTGCTAATAAAAGGCACGACAATTCCAGCATTGTGAGCCTGGTCCTCCACGTATTGCATATAAGCTCCGTCTGGGAAATCGTCATATCCACAGCAACCACCACTGTACTCGTTCTCGGGCTGGTAAAGAATGACAGGTCCTCCATTGGTGATTTGACCCTTGGCTATGGTCGCGGCAACATTGGCAATATAGCTGATTAAACATGTCAGTATTCATTGTGCTTCCAATATTATGTCTTAGCAGAGTCACGTACTTGTCCGTTGACTTCAGGTAGTCTTCATCGCTGGATCGCAGAGTTCCATTCACGCGCTGAAGCCATCCCGGGAAACCACCACCCGATACCTCAGCATTGACGTACGGACCAGGGCGGGCCAGAAGATAAATGCCGGCCTCTTTGGCAGCCTCGAAGAATGGCTCCAGAGCGAAGACTCCCTCGGCAGTATAATGACCTGGCTTACCTTCCAGCAGAGCCCAATCAATATAGAAAGAAACGCAATTAAATCCCAAAGCCTTGACTTTTTGGAGCACATCAATCCATAACGATGGAACAGGTAGACTACAGGGATCTTTATTAGCACAATTATCATTTGGAAGAAGCTAATTGGTGTCTTTAAACTTACCGATATGGGTGAATCTCACCACTGAAGATCATGATCCTCTCGCCATTGACAAAGAGAGACTTGTCGTCCCAAGTGATCTATACAACACGCCCGTCAACACAGCCATCCAAATCCAGGAACCAAAATCAACATACATGTTTCTGGAGCAATTCCCGCTTAGCTGGATCGGGATGCTCGGTGATAGTAAAGCCATTCAACGAATGGCTAATGGCAGCACCAGCAGCCTGGGCTGCCAGATAGGCAATGGCCCAAGAGGACAAGAGCTTCATGGCTGTCTCTACAGTTCACACAGGGGTGAAGCGGGGTGCTACGGACAGAAAGGAGAAAAAGCACTTTGATTCAAGTCCAATTTCCCTGTAATGCAGGGGTTGCGCCATTCATATAGTATGGAGACAGGAGACATGGAGACTGGGTACATCATTATTGACACGGATCAATGCAACAACATGCAATGCTGTACTACTGTAACAATGACCCCGTTTTTCAAGCGAGGCCGTTCGTCATTCTCCAGATTGAGGGGGGTGCCCCGGATACTCCGCATTGAATATGGGAGGAGGTCCACTATGTATATTTGCGGCTATACTGAGAGGATTGTGGGGGGATATTAGGAGAAATCTGATTCAAACAAAATAAGAAAGTACACTGGTTTTTAAATGTGTAATTGAAATCTTCAATAGATGACAAACATTTTATCTATAAGAGATGATAAGTATATTTCAAAGTTATTCACCCAAACGCCCCCCGGGGCTGGTCGTGGCCTCGAGCCCTTACTCTGTACTATGTACTCTCTGTATCCCCAGCCTCACGCGATCCCCGGCCCGAAGATCCTTACCTTACGGGGCTTATTTTTTCCACATATCAGATGGGAGGAGATTTTGCCTAATATGATCTTTTTCTTTGGAGTATTGTGTGCATAGATGTTCGTCGGCTATATCAGATCTATAGAACTATACAAATTGTCAAAACAAGATACCCCTTTATCCGGTTCAGTGGGACGGTCCGCAGGTGCCATATATTACTGGAGCCATTTTAATTAAACCGTTTTATCAACTCGGAACTAAGAGCAAGCAATTTTCCTGCGGGGAAGTTGTGGGGATCTTGAATTTAGCCGGGACACGTAGGTCTACGGAGGTGCATTGCAATATGAAAGTCCTACCGATGTTTCCCCGGATATTTTGTACAAAGTACTTTCAAATGTTGTACTCTCTGATGAAAATTACAGGTGGGGCCTAAAATAGTACACAAGTCATGATATTGGCTTTTTGATACTGCATAGATCTCCGTAATGGGAGCATTTACACAGTGGTGTTGAAGCGATCCTCCTCATCGCCATCCTTGGTGTATGTCTCACGTTCATCCACATGGTCTTGCGCTTCCTGTCCAAGCTCCGCATTCTCTTCCATCAGTGCAACTTCCTCCGCCTCAGCAGTCGGCTCCGTCTTGGTACCATGCTTCTGTGTGGTGTTAACCAGAGGGGTGGAGTCATTGAAAATACGCAGCAACATGGCGCGGCGCTCTTCCTTGGGAAGCATAAGGTTCAGAGAATGGAGAGATCGCCACAATGGCAGAACCATGGCCTCACTGTGTATTACGTTAGTAAAATTCAAATATCGCTCGATGGAATATGAAGAGGGGGGAACTTACGGAAGACCATCATCTCCGCCGTTCGCCTGAACGCGCAGGATACTGCACCCCATGGGGATATCCTTCACTTGCTCGCCAATCTCGCCCAGAGACTTCCAGCCATCATCATTGATCTTGGGGAACATCTCCACAAGGAGACGACGCAGAGTATCCCTCTTAGTCAGGATGACGGACCGTTCAGGGCCCAGCCAAGGCTCGATGATTTTCAGGCCATCGGTTTGAACGCGCCATCTGCAAACGTTCTCACGCTGTGCATCCTGCTTAACGAACATCTTCACGCCGCAGTGGACGAACTTCATGCCTTGGCCTTCATTGCAGGTGAGAATGTCGCGTCCCAAGGCGCTGGTATAGTAAACTGTGCGGGTTGGGACACCTTCGGCATTACGGACCATGAAGCGGTCACGGGGGAATCGTTCCGACAACTTGTAGAATTCATAGATGGGGAGAAGCTCCTCGTGATTGGGATCAAGATACTTGAACGGCTCCTCTTGACGGGGACCCTTCTTCTTGAAAGGCTGTGTAGTAGGTGCGGAGGTAGCAGGTGTGCTGTCACCAGGCGTTTCAATGCCAGTTCCCACTGCAGACGCCGGGATGTGGACGGGCCGGTCACCGACAAGGACCTCACTACCATCGTCGAGTTTAGTTCTCTTAGCAGGAACTTGCTCTTCGAGATCATCTGCATCCCGCTTGGGGACAGAGACAGTGGTTGATGCATCAAGAGTAGCAGAGTACGGAAGTTGATGGGTGGACTCAGCAACAGTAGCATTCTTTGCGAGCTCCGCCTCAGCCGATTGGTCGGGAGTGACCAATTCATCCAGCGTCTGGAGCTTCTCCAGAGGCTTTCCATCCACCTCATTATTCTTAGAATCAAGCTCCGCGGCGAGAGCTGCAACGGAAGCCTTGGGGATAACGTTGCTGCTCTCCGGTTTGGCCTTGATTTCAGAGGTCTTCTCAAGCACTGTAATGAAGAAACCTCCAGTATCTTGTTGGTGAGGGTAAACACGCATGCATCGGTCAAGCGGCAGGTCGGCGGCCTCCCCTGTTGGGGCAAACATGCCCTCTGCAAGTCTGGCAAGACCGTTGATGCCCTCTTGGTCTCGGTGCTCCTCAACCTCCTGCCAGTTGTTCCACATGCGTCCCTCTCGGTCCATAACTTTCCAGTTTCGCAGACCGGAAGCTCTCTTGAGACCGGGCAACTCCTGACTGCAATCGATGATCTTAACGTTAGCAGCGCCACCGCAGCGTTCAATTGCGGAGGCAACGACAGCCTCATTCTCCACAGGGTTCAGACTGCAGGTTGAGTAGACGACCCGTCCGCCGACCTTCAGCATTTGTAGAGCGCGAACCAGGATTCGAGACTGTGTGCTGAAAAGTCCCAAAGCATTGCCAGGAGTCCAGTCCTTCCAGACACCGACGTTCTTGCGCGCGGTACCATCACCAGAGCAAGGAACGTCTGCCAGAATGCGGTCGAACTTCAAGTATCTGTTCTGGGGTTTGCTGCCATCGGTAGTAGGCAGAGGAGGCAGCTTGATGGAGGGGAACATTGTGGCATCGTGGTTGGTAACGATCAGGTTGGGCGAGCTCAAGCGCTTCATCTGGTGAATAAGCATGTGGGCGCGCTTGTAGTCCGCATCGTTAGCAATCAACAGGCCGGTGCTTCGGCCGTCATCGTTCAGTCCTTCGGGGCCGAGGGGTTCGGGTCCAGCAGTGCCGTTCTTGATCTGTTCAGTGACTTGCACAATGGCATCTTCTTCACCAGCATGAAGCAGCTCCATGAGCTGCGCAGACTTGCTGCCCGGTGCAGCGCACATATCCAACACAGTCATTCCAGGTCTAGCGTCGATGAGAAGAGGAGGAATCATGCTGACAACCTCCTGGCGACTGATGTTTCCGACATCGGTCTCAGCGACAAGGAACTTCTGGAATGAGGCAAAAGGCGCGAATCGGCGGATGACGTTCTTAGGAGTGGTCATGGACCAAGCGAGCTGATCTGGGTACCACGAAACTGGGCGCGGGGGCTCGACGAATTCGTCCTCGTATTTGATAGAAGTGATTTCGGGAATGTGGTGGTCCTTAAGACGTTGCTGAACAGCCAATGCATGTCTAATAAAAGTCATGTGACAGTCAATATTATTTGAACTCTCCCGAGGCGCGAATCGCAAAAAAGGCCCAATTGCAACTTACCCTCGAGAACCAGTGAAACGGAAACTGTTGGGAAGATCCTTGCGCATAGTAGCCCAGAAAATTTCCTTCTCCTCCTCAGGAATGAACTCGGGTTCATTGTAGTAGCGTTCGAACTTCTCGTTCTCTCTGGTGATATCTTGCCATTGAGAGCGCGTACGGCCTGCGCCGCCACCGCCGCGACCTCTACCACCCTAGAAAGAAGGAGACACGGTTAGTACAACAATCACCTCATATGGCATACATGAAAGATAAATTTACCTTTTTGCCGCCACGTTTTCCCATTGTTGTGATGTGATAAAAGTTATAAGAAAGTGTACTTCAAACAAAATTGCCTTCAAAAAATCTCCCCGATCAGATGCGGGATGGTTATGTAATCACATGCTCGACCGTAGGCGGGCAGAGTCGAAACATGATCCTCAGGTCCAGAGTGGGAAACCCAACGAGATATTGTTTGGTATCAGGGTGATGTCTTTGATTTGGGTACCGACGAAGTGATGCAATTACGTCCTGCGGTCCTGGGGTAAGGAATGGTGGATTGGTCCATTTGTAATCGATGTACTCCGCTGACATCTCCGCGAGCCACCTCTCGACTCGAAAGGTGAATCTTTTGGTGTCAATTGTTTCAAAGAACTTGACTGAAGATACCTCTTGTTTTGTGTTGCCCCAGAGCTGTCTGAACCGCTGGATAGCTGCCTTGTCGAATGGGTCGATCAACTGTGCTGGCTCCTCACCGTTGCCGAAGAGGCCCAGCTCCCGAGCCTGCTCGTTGGTGGCTCGAATACAAACGGTATGTAGGGATACCATCCATGTATTCACTGAGGAAAGTACATCCCATACCAAGGACTTTGAGATGTCACACCTATTACGGAAACGCAGAAAAGGGTGGACAACGTCCGCACTGATTGAGACCTTTTTCCTCAGAATAGGAACTCTGACCAATCTGAGCAAGTCATCTTCCAGTCTACATCTTTGTCGGGCGAACTTCATTTCGGGAGCATTGAAGTGAATGGTGTCGGTGGAATTCCACCACCATCGAATGTCTGTTACGCAATCCGGCGCAAGACTGACACCTTTAGGGAGCTTGAATTTGGCCAAAGCAACCTGGCGGGATTCCCAGCAGACATGAGCAATGACTGGATACTTTCTGTTGAGGATCCATGCTTGCCTGAGGTCTTCCTCTGGTATGATGTCTGGGTCGCACGGTTCTCCAATCTCAACAACTCGAGCTGGAAGTGCAAACTCCCAAATCATCAGACGCAGCTCGGCTGGCAGGGTGAAGAATTGCGCGGGGTGCGCCATGATCAGAGAAGCTCGGTCACTAAAAAGCCCAATGTCAGTTGTAAGAAAGCAGTGATGAAAAGCAGTGATATAAAATGATCAGCAAATGAAAAGATTGAGGCCACATACAACAGGTTAAAAACTGAGCGAAGTCTAAATAATGTCAATCGTCAATTCAAGTACCTACATAGATAGATACCTAGGCACGTACCTAACCTTGGAAGGTTTTGAAGTTTGTAAGCGAACGACGAACGACCAATCCAAAGAACTGTGTGAGATGGAGGAAACACAAGGTTTCGGGGGTTTGTGTGAAGAATTGGGGTTTTATGTGAGAAAACACAAGGGTATGTAACTTTGGAAGATGGTGATGAGAAGCACACCAGGCAGCAGACCTCGGAAGGCAAGTATGATGGCAACGGCGATGGCAATACGCTAAAAAAAAAATAACCTCACAGTGCACGGGAGGAAATAGAACAAACAAAGGAGATAATTGGTATGTCTGCTGCAAGGCAGCAAACTATATAGTCTACTATGGCAAACCATTAATTGCTATTTCACACACGAATTTGGGATCTAACAGCCCAAGGCAATGATTGATAGTACATTCAAATCAAAGCCGCCAAAAACCCAGATTTCCTGGAGCATTCAGCAGCTATCTTCACAACGCGATCATACTCTAGGACAACTTAAGAGATCATGCGGGACATGTCTGCGCGGATACGCTGGTAGTCAAGGATACCCTCAATGCTGCCGACAGCGCTCATGGCGAGGTCCTGATCCCACAATTTGCGGGTAGCAAAGTCCATGACATCCTTCTCGGTGATCTGGCTGACAGTACGCTCAATATCCTCAGCGGTCAGGCGGCGGCCAGTGGTGATGATCTGGCGGCCGATATCCTCAGCGACAGCGGTGGTGCCATCGAGAGACAAGAGGATGGAAGCCTTAAGCTGGGCCTTGGCACGCTCGACCTCGGCGGAGGTGACGTTGTTGCACAGACGAGACCACTCGCGGAGAGTGAAGTGGATCAAGTCATCGAGCTGAGTAAGGTTCTCGCTGACAAGGTAGATACCCCAGAGACTGATATCAAGTCAGCTTATTTTCGATTAAACACATAAATTATTAACAATAAAGAACTTACCCTGTGTCGCTGTAGCTGGTGGAGAAGCTCATGAAGCTGTTGGCGAGGTTGTGGTGGCTGACGGTGGAGCTGAGCTTGCTGCCGAGGAAGGGTGACTGGCCCATGGCACGGTCCCAGTTACCGATAATGGCCTGGGTGACCAGAGCGGTGAAGTAGTCATCATCCTTCCAGCTAACACCCTCGACAGCGAGAGCGATGTGAGCGGAGGGGATGGTGTCGTCGCGGAGACGAACCTCAGAGCCGATGAACTCGGGGATGCGCTTCTGCTCGGCAGTGAGGGCCAGGGCAGCGGAGGTAGGGGCCTTGCTGGGGAGGCCACCGAAGTGCTCCTCAGCGAGTCTAACGAGCTGCTCGTGAGGAATGCCACCAGCACCGACCAGGACCATGCGGTCAGCAGTGTAGTTGGTCTTGATGTAGTCGGTCAGGTTGTCCCGGGTGATGGTCTGGATGTTCTCCTTGGGACCGAGGATGGTGCGGCCAAGGGGCTGGCCCTGGTAAGCAGTGGCGTGAAGGTGGTCGAAGACAACCTCCTCGAGCTGCTTGTCAACCTCCTCCTGCTCGCGCAGGATCACATCACGCTCACGCTCAATGGCACCAGCCTCGAGCTTGGAGTTCTGAAGAATATCGGCGAGGATGTCGACGGCCTTGGGGACATCATTGTTAAAGGCCTTAGCGTAGTAGACAGTGTTCTCCCTCTGTAGTCGCGATCAGCATTTGGTTTGGTAGACGTTGATGGGTGGTTTCCCGGGCCGTACCGAAGTGTAGGCGTTAAGGTGAGCGCCCATGTTCTCGATTTCAAGCTCCAATTGGTGCTGGGAGCGCTTGTTGGTGCCCTAGTCATTTTTATCAGATAAAGGCGCTTCGTAGTTTGGGGGGTTGTGCGGTCGAACCTTGAAGGCAAGGTGCTCAAGGAAGTGTGCAGTTCCGTTGGTCTTGTCAGTCTCTGCCCGGCTACCGGCATCGATCCACACGCCGACCGTCGAGGTTTGGGCCCATGGCGAGTGATCAGTGGCGATCTAGAAGTGAATTAGCTAAATTGCGATGTCATTGAGATGAGTTGCTTGGTCGTACCGTGAATCCGTTGGAGAGGGTGGTGGACTGGGTGGTGGACGGCAACGCAACCGGCGACGCAAAGCCACGCTTCACGGGCTGGATGGACTTCAGGGCCGCACGAGTGCGGAGAGCCTGGTTTAGGTTGAAAGCGAGGCGCCGAGAAGCCATTGAGAACGACTTTTATAGGTTGAGGGGGGGGGGAAGGGGGAGAGATGGAGAAAAGAGCTGATGGAGACACCCTGAGGTTGAGGTTCCGAAGTCTGAAATTGTTCGCCCAGCTCAGCCAATTACATAACCCGCTTTTCCAAACCGCCCTTGACATCCCGAATACTTCCTTACTCTGCTTTAATTCGTGACGTGGAATAAAATACCGTCTAAATGGGCCTATATATTGTCTATATCGATGTTTGCGATGTCAAAATACGATTCGCTTGATGCTGAGGTCTCCCGATACTCCTTGTTTTCCGATCATTCAATTTCGGTCATCCAATTTCGTGCCTATTGATTGGCTACATACTCTATCTCATACAAATCGGCTTGCAAATTGTTTAATGTTCTCCTCCATCGAAACATCCGCTGAAAAGCCCAACTTGAAAGCGCGAGCAGTATCAAATCGAGGAGTCCATGATTGCACAATCTTGTCAGTAGCAGCATCATACTTCTCCTCCACGAGAGCCCGACGTTCCTTACCACCAACTTCCAACAAAGCATCCAACATCTGCTGAATACTGACCTTCAACCCAGGGAGATTAACAGATCTTGACTCTCCGAATGCCTCTTTGGGCACGTCGCGCGCATGAATCAAGTTCTTAATAACAGTGTGCGGCGAGCAAATCCACATCTCCGTTTCCCTAGCCACAGGTAGAATAGCCTTCTTACCGTGGAAGGGCTCACGGATGATATCACTAGCGAAGCTACTGGCAGCCTGGGTGGGCTTACCAGCTCTCACTGTCACTGTGGGCAGACGCACGCACCGGCCATCCAGGAATCCGCGCCGCGAGTAGTCGTTCAGCAGTGTCTCAATAATGAGTTTCTGCGAGCCATATGAGGAAGATGGCATGGGTGGGAAGTTTGTCTCGTCGATAACGAATCCTGGTGGTGCAGGGCCGTAAACTGCCAGTGATGATGTGAAGACCACCTTCGCTCCGGGCATGGTCGCGCGGAGCCGATCCAGAATGTATCGTGTTGCGTCGAGGTTGACCCGGATGCCCAACTCGAAGTTGGCCTCGGAGCCGCCAGACATGATGCCGTGGAGGATGTAGACAGTCTCGTAGGGATTAGATGCGCTGATCAGTTCGTCAACCTCTTTAGTGGAGGTTAGGTCCGCCTTGACACGGTTGAGGCGGCCTGCGTGCTGTGCAGCTGACTCTGGGGTCTCGGGCTCAACGATATCAGTGATTGTGACGGTCGTCGTGGCTGGTGTGCTTTCGAGGAGGGAAGCCGCCAGTTCCTGGCCGACATAACCCCCCGCCCCAGTAATGAGAATCGACATGACAGGTATGTGACAACGTAGTTTATGCAATTCAATCAATTGATGTAAATCAGTCTGGTGGTTGGCAAGAAGGTGGTACAATGAAATACGGAGTATATTCAACTATGTAGAACTGAAAATGGTCGTGTTAGCATTATATATAGTAACATACCTTGCGGGGTTGAAGCGGACCTTGTTTCTTCCCCCACGCTCCTTCAGTTATGATAATCCACCGTCGGCCAATGGTATTACTCCATCCCACGAATATGACCACTTAATACAAGTCTCGCGCATCAATTCCGAGTCATTTTCTTGGTGGAAGCCTCGGTGGTAAATCCGATTACCGGGAGTACGGCCGACGGTCTCCAACCACCAATGTGCCGTAACAGATTTGTCTATAGTATTCAGATGTCTTTTCAGATATCTTGACAGAGATAGTAATAAGTGGTAAAAATAGCTTAAAATGTGCAAACCAACTTTTCCATATAACTATACAAGACAAGAATAGTTAGCCACTTATGCGGCCTTATAATATCAAGGTTTCTAGCAATCCTTTTGATGGTCTTTCTAGATGTCTTTTTCTTTAGATATCTTCTCCAACTTCTCAGTTTTATAGGTACACACTACAAAAGGGCGGGAGAAGGCTTACTTTCTCAAAACTACTTTTCTAGTTATGTATAACAAGTGACTATAGTATCATCACACAGCTGGTAACCTGCAATGAAGGAAAAACCGGCGGTGAGCCAGGCGGTCAAAATTTACTATGGGAAAATCTGTTCTGGTGCACTGGCGGTTGGAGACTGCTATAACTGGGAGGCCCGGCGCAACTCCGAGAATAGGATTGGGAAGGCGAGATGACATAGGAAAACGTATCAGAGATTTTTGTCATGCTTAGAAGTTATCAATAATTAGTAAAATGTCGCTTCTTTGTTGGGGGGTTTGAGCCTCAGTTCTCTACAAATACATTCCCCATCCTAGGATCGTGCCCAACTCTTAGGGGTACGCTAGCGGCACCTATAGAACAAGCCTGGACCTCCAAGGCTAGAAGCTACATCTAATATAATTTCTCAAATATTGCCGACGAAATTTTAGCAAAACTAAATCGCTTGTATTGGCCACTGGTTGCTAACTAGGTACGGATATCATACGCTAACCAGAGCTATCTCATCACCTCAGATCAAGATACTCAGTATGACACATTCCAGCGTGTAAAATTCATCGAAAAGGAAAACTAAATTTTAAGACGCAGCCAAAAGTACATAGGCGGAAAGACCTGTCACAAGAAAGGTGGAAAACATTCGATACATCACAGAACACGAGACGCCGAGGGGAACATCAAAAGGGAATGGACATGACCAGAGATTAAGACCTTTATGCGGCGGTACGCTTGTAGATACCAGCGACAATGCAGTGGTCACGCTCGAAAGGCTCGAGGGTCAACTGCTCCTTAGGCTTAATCTTCTCCTCGCGCATCTTCTGGACCTCCTTGGCGAACACAACCTCGGGCTTGGCTGTGCTGTCAATACAGTTGGCCTTGATGGAGACAATGACACCACCCTCAGCCTTGAGGAACATGTGAGCGTTCAATCCGACGATACGGGCCTGATCGGGCTGGGCAACATCGGCAAAGATGACATCAACCATGGGCACGAGCATGCGGTAACGGAGAGGGTGACGGGCATCCTCAACGATGGGGATGACGTTGGTACGGTGAGTGGCCATGCCGATCAGATCACGGCCGGAGCGGTGAGAGAACTCAACGGCGTAGACGTTACCAGTGGGTCCGACAATATCAGCAACGTGAGAAACGGAGGTACCGGAGGCAGCACCGATGTAGAGAACCTTGGAGCCGGGCTTCATGTAGATGTCATCAAGACCACCCAACACACCAGCAGCCAACTAGAAAAGAGAGAAAGACGTTAGAAAAAAAGGTCTGAGCAATTAGGCAGTCATCGCTATCGGGGGGATATTGAAGAATTCCGAGAAAAATTCAATAAATCGCCAACGATGCCAGGTATCTTTAAACCCAGGGAAAATGGAATATTTACCTTAGAACGGAAGGGGTTCCAGACACGGTACTCGTTCTTGGTAACAGCACCATCCTCAGCAGGGGCGCCCTCGACGGAGATGCGCTTCTCGCCGTAAACAGCGGTTCCGGGCGTAAGGTTCTTTGTCACGAGCATGTCCTCCTTACCACCACGAGCGACGAAGATACCGGCGTGACGGTGAGGCTCCTGTTCGCAAGGAAAAAAAGATTCTGTCAGTGTCTGATACCTATGTCCATGACATGTCCAAAACTTACAATGACAACCTTGGCACCACCACGGGCACCACCACCACCGCGAGGAGCACCACGGCCACCACGGGGAGCACCACGGCCACCACGGGGAGCACCGCGGCCACCTCCACGACCGCCACGGTCGCCGAATCCACCACGGCCACCACCACGGCCACCTCCACGGCCGCCGAAGCCACCACGGCCACCACGGTCGCCGAAGCCACCTTTATCAAGTCAGCTACATGAACTGGAATATTGCAGCAAGATAGAGGATCATCGCCATCGGTGCGATAGAATCACCAGCGAGATTCTTGGTCTTGCTGCTTCGAATGGACTGGACTGAACAAACCTCGACCACCGCCACGGCCACCGCCGCGGTCACCACCAAATCCACCACGTCCACGAGGAGCGAAAGAAGACATTGTATATGTTTTGAGAGAAAAGACTCGGTGCAAAGAGAGTCAAAGGGGAGGGAGGTTAAGCTGTCGTTTCCGAGTGCTTGAACCGAGTGTAGTTGAAAATTGGAATGAAAGTTCCGAGAGAGTCGATAAAGATGGAGAAAAAATTGACAACGTATCTGAGATAGTTGGATCAAGCAATTCAAACAGAATTGGCCGCTGACTATCTGTCGGGTGCGGATCGGTACCGAAGCTGCTCGTTGATGCGGTCGAGATTTTTTTGCGCCTTTGGGATCTTTCAGAAAATCAGAACGGCGCTAGGCTGTTTTAGGCTTAGTGTCTCCTCCGTGTAAAAATGTCACGTGAATTGCCTCCTCTCCATATTAATGTCACGTGCCTGCTTAAGCCCTGCATTGTTTGATTGGCAGGCTGCGATTAGAAATAGATAAAGATAATCATTGATTGTTTAGTGACGGTAATTTGAGAGTCGGAAGCTAAATGAAGTAATTGAATCATTAAAAGATAAGTTATTATCTACAGAATGGGAAATGGTGCGGTCCCATCAATAAGCCCTGTAGTGGATGAGACAGGACGAAACATTACGATCGATGACGAGAAATAATACTAGTAACAATTGATTCTGTGGTTTGACCAGGCTCATGATCAGTCATGAAATAAAGTAAAAATAACAAATAATAGAGCCCGCCCCGTAAATATAGAAGAAGAAAAAAAATCTTATCCTCACATCGAAGTCCCCCTTCTGTATATACAATCATAACAAAAGAACCAATGAACTATTCCCCGAAGAAGTAATAATTTGCAGAATACTGCATCTCAAATGCAGGTGGCATGCCCTTGCAGGTAGTTGGTGGCGATCCAGCGGCAGTATTGACTCGATAGACACTCTTGTAGTTACCCACCGTGCCCTCGGTAGCAGTGAGGTAGAGCCAAGGCACAGCACCGTACTTGCCTGAAAATGCACCTGAGGGTGCATCGATTGCGCCTTGCTTTTTGGTCATGACAATTCCACCCTGCTTTTTAGGTGTGGTATTCAAGTTGAACTCGGGAGTTGTTGCATCGTAGAAGAAATGGTGACCCATCAATTCGAGGTTGGCCAGAGGGAACGAGGCATCTTCGTTGGTTGATAGGGAAATCTTATAGGCAAGGTTGGGGAGGCTTGCCAGGAGATCGGGATAGTTGGCTGCAATGCATGTGGCATTGTAAAGTCTTGCGACAGCTCCTACTGCCGCGGGCTTGGAGTTGGAAGTAGAGTCCGCACATGTATAGTTCTAGTTTAATAATGAGCTATGTAACCCAGCAGGATATCCCGAAACCTTGTCATACCTGAGTGCCGCGTCCAAGTGCAACATATTTCGGCTTTAGGCCTGATGGGCTGGTCAAGCCCGAAGCATAAGAAGGCAGAGCGATCTTGGAGGCTTCGCAAGCTGCTGGTGATCTGATGTTGTGTTTTGCAGTGTTGATGTACTCGCTGACTTTTCCAAAGAATTCTTCCAGTTCATCGGTCCATTCGTATGCATCATCAAAGAAGTTTGTTGGGGCAGCAAGCGATATTGCCGCCAGGCAGATAATGAGAAGAGCAAAACGCATTGCTGCTATAGATTTATGCTAGTAGGCAGAAGAATAAAAGGGCGGTCAATGGCGGTGACGTTTTATTAATCAAAGGTTGTCTAGCAAGCCTTTGATACAGGTCGGGTATGAAGAAAGGAAGTAAGCGAGTTGATAAAAGGAATGACGAGGAAGATATTGACATGATAAATTGGGCGTCAGACCGGGGGCAGATATACATATAGATGTGGTGGTAATTGCACCCATCCTTCAATTCACGCAGATATCAAAGATAGTAACACAGGTCCAACTCGAAACAACGCTGTGTCTATTAACAGAGCAATCGATGCAATCTGCATACTAGCAGGGGTCAAAGCTCGACTGCGGGCTCTTATTGGTAGATGGACGCGCCCTGGGCTGACCCTCCCAGCCTCTCTGCCTTCTGATTTGTCGCTAGTTGCAAACAAGTTTTAACTAAATCAAGATGGCAACGCGCTAAGCAAAACAACGGGGTATTCCCTTGGCGATTCTGTTATAGGAGCTTGAACCGAGCCAATGTGATGAGCTCTAAAAATTCCCCGGGGCTATTAATAAATCTGACTGAAGAACAGTGCCATGTGAGTTGGGCGGTTGGATATGTAAAATCATTTCCGATACAGGTTAGTGTGCAGAGACAACGATGTTTAGGGTCCTGGAGTAATCCTACGTAATTCTAAAATGTGTGTGCAGAAACTCGGGGAAATTGTTGCAGGCATTAGCTACATGGGGTCCAGGCACTTATCAAATAGAGCTTGTTCCTGATTTCAAACATACTCTCTAAATTTGAGCATTCAACTTATTTACAATCTGTCTTTGTTGAACTGCGGAGGCTGGTATGGCGGGGTTTGACTTTTCTTATTTTCCCCTTCCGAGTTCACCGTTGCAACGCATTGGTACTCAGAGAACGCCATCTTACATATATGCTCTGACCACTTGGTTATTATTATCTATGGATAGCTTCAATTCTATTTATGTGACATCTTTTTTTCTCGTCCGCAATTTTTGTCTTCTTAGGCAAGCCACTGGTGAGATTATTATGTATCTGCCATGCTATAATTCCCCGACATGCACATCAGAGCACATCACAGTAAAGTTCTCGAATCAGCATCAATCTGACAGGTATCTAATTGGTATGGATATGGATACGATCAAAAATAGAAATTGACTAAGGATTGAGAGAATGTTGGTATCTCAAGCGTGCCCTTTTCCATCATCCATCTATCAAGAAGCACGGGTCAGAAGCCTTATTGTGCGAGGTCCCGCGTTCAATCTGTAGCTCGGGCCTTCTATCACTATCTTTCTTGTCTCTTTGCTTATTTTTTACTGGCTGGCTACTGTATATTTTTGGATATTATTTCTAATTGGCCAATCGGGAAGTTCTCAATGTCTAATATCAGAACATCCATAGACATATTGAGGTAATGTTGCGGCCATCAACCCAATGGAGTGACTTCCCGAGGAGTATCAAGGAATCTAAACTTAGGGCTTGGGTCTACTTCGGACGTCCATACAGCTTCCACCCAAACCTCACGATATCCAACTTTGGAAAGCCCCGAAACCTACGGCGATCTCACTATATTGGTCACAGACACATGATATTTGCCAGGAATCAAATTTACACACGATGCAGCTCGACCCACATCCCAAAATAGTACAACTTGGAGCACTGAACCCAAGAACGCCAGGACTTATGATCAGTCATGAAGAGAAAAAGATAAGAAGATAAAAAAAGAACTCCGGAGCTCTTCGCTGTGTAAGCATCAGACAAAACCTTGGAACATTAGTTGAAACCTTCCTGCTGCCAGTCATCACCGTGCAGCTGGCCCCCACCACCTGCCGTGCCCCCTCCCACTCCACTGCTACTACCGTATGCAACGGTAGCAGCGCCAGCGACGGCACTCATGGCGCTATGCTTCTCAATCTCCGTCGTGCTCATCATGTAGAGCACAGTGAAAAGCAGAAGGTGGAGTGCAAAGCAGTAGCCAGCGAACAAGTTCCGACTCGTCCGATTGGCAAGAATGACCCGAGTGAGAGAGAAGACAATCCGCTCTGGTAGACTCATGCGTTTGTATGCACGTGTTGATTCACGGCCCCGGAAGGCGGCGAACGGTGAGATTCGAGCCTCGTAGGCATTTTGGTATCGGTCAAGGGACAGACCCGAAGGTGTGTCTGCAGAGGTATAGACAGAAGTTGAACTGGGCGTGTTTGCAAACGATGATGCAGATGTGGAGGCACCCTGACCACGACTATATGTTGAGACGTAGCGAGTCTTTTCGTAGAGACTCAGGTTGTCCTTCTGGAGCGACGCAATTTCCTGTCGGAGGGACTTGACAGTGGCATATAGCTTTGACAGCTCTTCTTCGAGTTCAGCATTCTTCTTCTTGAAGCGGTCTCGTTGGGCTTGGATCATAGGTAGGAGGCCCGAACCGCCGCCAACGGCTTCTCCGGCACGGATAGATTCTATGGTGTTTGCAGACACGGCACTTTGGTCAAAGCCAGAGATGATGGATGAGGTGGGCGATGATGCGCCCCGACGGGCAGAGTGGGGGTATCTTGAGGCATAGGTCCCTGCAACAGACATTGCCGAGGGCGGGAATGCGTTTGCAGCCTCATCTTGCACGCGAAGGAGGTCGTTTTCAAGAGTAGTTGACAGGGTTCGTGACTTTTCTAGCTCTCCCTTAGAAGTCGAAAGCTCGGTTCGTAGTGTTTCAAGCTGGTCTTGGATATCACGATGAGACACTCGCAGAAGGGTGAGATCATCTGTCAATTTCTTATTCCGGGCCATAAGAAGTTGCTCTAGGGAGTTCTTGGCTTTGGATTTGGCCTCGTCACCATTGACGTCAACCGCACCACCGTCGCCAGCACCGTCTCCGGCCTCATCATCATCACCAGCTGCAAACTCAATAGACCTGATCATCTCCAGCTCCCGGCGGATCTCATCGTAGTCGGCTACCTTTGCTAACCGCACACGCAGCTCTTCCCTTTCCACTGCTGCCTTTGAAGCTGCCCGCTCCGATTGAAGTAGTTTAGCTTCCCAGGTATGTCGTTCCGAGTCCTTGTCAAATCGTGCAGCATCTAGTTTCCGAAGCAAGGAAGAGTTCTCCGACTGGAGTCGTAGATAATCGGGGTCGTCCTCCACAGAAAATGGACCAGATGCATGTGATGCAGCCTGAGCCAGCTCCAGCCGCAGTTGTTCATTGCGTGCTTCCACATCAGCCAATCTCAGGCTTGTTTTCTCTAAATCGGCAGAAACGAGCTCGAGTTCAGCTGCAGTAGCGCCACTCCGCGAGCCCTCAGTATCGTCACCCTGGTTCTCACCCTCACCCAGGCGCTGGGAGACTTCGTAGCTTGCTTTGAGCTCCTTGATCAACCGATCCTGGTTTTCCACTTTCTCTTCTAAAGTCTTCTCCTTTGCTGCCCAGTTATTTGTTTTTTCTGTCAAGACGGCTTCCCACGATGCTTCAATCTCTTTGGCTCTTGATTCCTGGTTTTCTTCTAATTTCTTCCGCGCAGCGCGTTCCTCCTGTAGGCGTTTCTCGGTCTCCTCTTGTTGCCTGGTGAGACGATCCACTGACTTCTGCAATTGGTCCCGTTCTGAGGTCAGTTTAGGAACTGTATCTTCGGAGAGGACAAGGGAGTCAACAGAGGCTTCGAGGAGGGGATATGGGTCTGGAGCCTCGGATAATGAAGAGTATAGTTGTAAGAATGAAGACGATGACGTCTTGCCTTGGTTGGTCAAGAGATCGATAAAGGACTGATAAGATTTCAGCAGTGTTTTATATTCTGAAAGCTTAGATTCATCATCTAGCTTCTTGTAGTCTTTTGTCTTCTGCGCCAGGTCCTTTCTTTGCACGAGTGCCACACGCTGTTGTTCGACGAGATCCGTAGCGGTTGTATCAAGTTTCGCGATAGTATTGGCCAAATCAATACCTATTATATGTCAGTAAGGCCCGGCAACATATAAGATAATAATTACCTCGCCAGGCTGCAATGGCGCGTTGGAACTTATTGGTTTCTTCGGTCAATTTGCTGGACATAGGGGATTCGGATTGGCCGTCATGTTGGTCTTGAGGAATCAAACCCTCTGTAATGGCAAATGAATCCATTGTCGGTCCTAACCCCAGGGTCTGCACAGTCACCCCACATCAAATAGCAGTCCACCAAGGGGAAAGGATGGCGATCTGTTATCGCGAGGAACAGGACACGCGGTGCACGGGCCGATATTGTTCCGGTTGTATGTGTACAACGTACAATCTGGGGCTGTAGTTGTTGGATATAAATTTATAACAAAGGTGAATTCCAAAGGCGAGACAATACCCAGTAACCTCAAATATGCAGGTATATAATGGGTGTGTTGTTTAAAGAGGATAGTAATTGACCCGAAGCACCCGTTTACAATAGTACAATGTACGGCAGGAGCCCGATAACAACCGCTTATAGATTGGGGCGACCGCTTTACTGGCCGCCTTTACATCCTACTCTTGCATCACATTTAAAGATCCATGTTGTGAATAAAAATCATGAAGATTAGGATAACTAAAAGACAACTTCAGAATAAGTTCAAGACTCAGTAAACTGGCTTTAATACCAATGTGTACAGTTAGAATTGCACATGTGCACCTTAACAAGGTGTCTACAGACAACACCAGATTCTGCCAGACAAATACCCGTCGTCTTCCGCCATCAACTGCGGCCCCTGAGCTTTGGCCCTAGATACTGACCGCCCTCACATCGTCACTCTCCAAGCTTGCGGGGAGATGCCTGGAACTACAGCCTCATGATGGCTTCAGGCGATGGAATTGGTCCCCGCAAGAGGCGCAAGATCAGCCCACCAGGGACTATACCCTACGTGTTACATTCCCTCTTCGAGGATGTGCCATTAGCAACCGAGGATAGCTCCGATGTCTACATCACCTGTGTTGAATACTGGAGTAAGCTCTACCTGTTTTGGTCGTGGGGGTTGTCTCCTCGATGGCGCCAAGTTGACTAATATTAATGATGAACAGATGAAAATCTATACATCGGCACCTCTGCAGCCGAGATCTTGCACTTCGTATGCCTCCCCCCAGCTTCCCCGGACGAAGCCGCCGAGCCTACCTTTATATTAGCATCCCGATTACCGATCCTATTCGCCCACACTCCTCCAGCGGGCAGTGACCAAGAAGGTGTTCGACAGATAGTTGTCTTATCCTCAGTGAACAAGGCATGTGTCCTTTGCAATGGCACTGTTACGTTCTACATGCTGCCGGAGCTCAGCCCGGCTTTTGGAGCTACCAAGGTCAATCACTGCCGCTGGATCGGTGGGTTGGATCTCAACTGGGACGCAGAGTCAGGAGAGGATCCGACTATCATGATTGCTGTGCAGAACAGGATCATGCTGGTCCAGATTGGGGATGAGGCGCGACGGATCAAGAAGATTGAGTTCCCTGGTTGCTTAACTGCGGCCCGACGAGGAACGATCGCATGTGCTGCGGATACACATTCATACTCATTACTTGAAGTGGCACACCAGCAGAAAATCCCTCTATTCCCGATATCCTCTTCGAATGAGGTTTTTGAGTCGGGGCATGTGGAAGATATGAACCCAGCGCCGCGCACTCCGCTCAAACGTTCACCCTCTTCCTCCTACCCCACCTCACTACCGAGTGATAACTCTGTGCATGGCAGAAGCACTAGTTTGAATACTTTTGTGGGCATGCTCTCACCACAGGCCCAAGCGGCTCAGCTAGATAGATCGCCATCAGGCACACCTGATCCTTTCACATCTACCGGGGAACCTAGAAGATCAAGCTCGGAGGAGCGAGAAGGGAAAAGCTCCCCCAGGCTTCCCAGTGACCAAGAGCCAGACAATAAGTCTCCCACCAACGATAGTTTGAAGCCCCTACCACCTCTACCTCCCCAAATAAAACAAGGCTCGAAGCGTCTCCAGCCTCATGTGGTATCACCAACGCCTGCTGAATTTTTACTTGTGACTGGAACCGAGGAAACGGGACCAGGTGTTGGAATGTTTGTTGACATGGACGGGGAAGTTGTTCGGGGCACAATAAACTTCCACAGATTCCCAAAGTCGGTTGTGATTGATACAAACGAGCATGATGAAATGTTCCAAACTAGAGAGGAGTATGTTCTCGCTGTAATCGAAGACGAAGACGCTGGAAGGTCTCGAACAAGACTCGAAATCCAACGTTGGGACGACGACCCAGGAGAGATTGAGCGGACTAAGAGCTGGTTAGAGATACCACCTCCCGGAGAGACACAATCTACCCAGATTGGCCTCCGGCATACCCTCAGCCCTAGCCATCTGGAGCTCAATGAAATCGGGCAGCTCTTGCGGATGGTCCGCCTCAAAAACCCCATGCTGCCCCCGCATGTGTCAGTAGCAGACTCAAGAACCCAGGCATCCATCGAACACTCGCAAAAGGAAAAAGAGCTGTTCGATCCGCAAGAATTGACCGATTCGGACGGTTCTAGGAAGAATGACAGTCCAGCAAGCCAGGGCTGGGAGGCTCAACGCGATGCGGAAGAAGCAAAATTTGCGCATGGACTGGGCAAGGTCCAAAGCAGTCTTGTTGTGTGGTCTGGATCTCAAATATGGCGTGTATTGCAGAATCCATTAATAGTCCAGCTGGAGGACACCTTGCAGAGGGCCCAGGAGACAGAAGAGAGCGAGCACACGGTGCTGCGTAGGGATGCGATTTTGGATCTGTTGCTCTCCATCCAGAACACCGAGCCAAAGACCGAGGCCGAGTTCATTGGATTGAGCTATGTGAAACAAAAGGCCAGTCTTATGCTTTATGGAGACCTTCTCTCTATGCAGTCAGACGATCGCAATGCCATGGCAATCGATGGAACCGAAAAAGCGCTACTGGCAGGTAACCTTGATCCGCGTTTGGCATTGCTTTTTATTCCCCTGTTACGTTGTGAGGTTTTGCAGGGGCCTCAAGGTATATGGATACATGCTGGGCTGGCAAGCATGGCCGAAAAATATATTGAACAGGTCGGAAAGATAGGCGTTGAATCCTCCGGATTGGATGCTTCTCGCAGTCCTATCCTCAACATGGTGAAACGGTTCCTTCTATCATGGCAGCAGAAGCGAGGATATGGTAGCATCACCGATGAGACCTATGTTTTGGATAGCACAGATGCCGCACTGTTACACTTGACCTTGGAACAAGATGCCTATCTGACGCGAGATCAGCGGATAGAGTCGCCAATTCGCCCTGAATTGAATAGGCTGGTCGATAACTGGAAAGGCAATTTCGATCGAGCAGTGATGCTCTTGGAAACATACAAGCGGCTCTATGTTCTAAGCCGTCTGTATCAAAGCCAAAAAATGTCTCGAAATGTTCTCAAAACCTGGCGACGAATCGTTGATGGGGAGACTGACGCTGGTGGAGAGGTCTCCGCGAATGGCGTGGAGACGCAGATGCGCAGGTACTTGGTCAAGATCAAGGACGTGCAGCTGGTTGAAGAGTATGGCTCTTGGCTAGCTGGGCGAAACCCCAACTTAGGCATCCAGGTATTCGCAGACAATGCCAGCCGTGTTAGACTGGAACCGACGGATGTTGTTGCTTTACTCAAGGAGCGAGCTCCGAACGCGGTCCAAGTCTACTTAGAGCACCTAGTATTTGCAAAGAATGTGAGACACCCTGTTGCCTTGATTCATGAACGTCCAACTAACATGTGGAAACAGTACACGCAATATGTCGATGACCTGATCTCATACTACTTAGACACGGTACTCTCCGTGCTTGAGTCATCCCCCGAAGCACGAGCCTCTTTAGCCGACTCCTACTCAACCTATCGAGCCCTGCGTGCTCCCAAACCGACATATCTAAACTTCATAATCGAGAACACACCCGCAGAGCCCTGGTGGCAGTCCCGACTCCGGTTACTTCAGTTGCTAGGTGGAATCTCCAGCTCCCAATTCTCCTCCCAACCTCTTCCAACAGGAATCAGTTACTCAATCCCCAACGTCCTCACCCGCATTGAGCCATTCCAGAATGAGCTAGTGTCAGAATGTATTATCCTCGATGGCCTACAGGGCCGCCATGGCCCGGCCCTCCATCTCCTCACACATGGGCTAGGCGACTATGACTCCGCAATCCGCTACTGCCTCTTCGGCGGCCCGCGCAGCTCTTCTTCCTCAACGGGCACCCCGCCAGAACTAGCAGACTATACCCTACAGTCAACGCTGTTCCGCCACCTGCTCGACGAGTTTCTGCACATTGAGGATCTATCAGACCGCATTGAGCGCACAAGCGATCTCCTCGCGCGCTTCGCAGCATGGTTCGATGTTCGCGAAGTCCTCGATCTCGTTCCGGAGGACTGGAGCGTTGATATCCTCGGCGGTTTCTTCGTGCACGTTTTCCGCACCCTTGTGTCGCAGAGTCGCGAGACCCGCATCGAGCGTGCCCTTGGCGCGGGTTTGAATCTGCGTGTTGGCGCTGAGTATATCGATGGCATGGAGAAGGTTGGGCCCTGGGTTGAGGAGGCAGAAGGTGTAAGAAGATTGAAGGATGCAGAGCCGCGGCGAGTTTCCTTGCCAACTGATGATCCTGACCAGGCTTCTGATGACTCTGAATTTGGAGACACGGTGGGGCCTACACCTGGGGAAGTGGCCCAGTAGATCAGGGGGAGGGATTGTACAGGATGGAATGTGGATATGTTGGCTTTTGAATCTACGATACCTATGCAGTTTGCTCGGATACCTTTCGTGTTGACTTTGTGTATTTTTTTTTTTTTTTTTTGTTATATCCTTTGGTTTTGGCGCTATGTATCATGAGCCGATCCCCAAATCCATCATCTTTTTTCGTGAAAAGAAAAGAGACTAAAAACAGAACTGCACAACAGTAACAGTCCTATGCACATTCCAAGTCGACAGAAAAGAAAAAAAGCGAAACCATCATATTGCGTTCGTTCCCTTCGTAGCTACTGATGAGCATATGTTCCGGCGCACGCCGAAAGCCTGTGGGGACATTAAGGTGTGTAGTATTTTGAAGCTCCAATCAGGCCGAGGAGGTCCATTTCCTGAAATGACATCCAAACCTGGAATGAAACCCGGAAAGAAGATAATACGTCAGAAAAAGAGTATTTGTGTTTACTCTTCTGCTTGCAAGAAAGGGTTGGGAATCTCCTCGCTGCCGTCAGCAGGGGAGATCAGCACGATCAAAGTGCCACGGGCGACAATCAGACCCATTGAGCGGGTGGTAGTGTTACCCTCCTCATCTATGGAAGTTAGTATATAAAAATTAAAGATGTAGGAATAGATCCAAGGAAGAAGCTTGGAACTCACCACGCATGGTCTCCTTGACGTTGTCGAGGACCAAGTTCATCAGCTGGTCGTAACCCTTGAGGGTACCAGAGACTGTTATTAGAGTTAGCATATATAGTTCACAGATGGCGAGGTGAAACTATCAAAAAGACCAAAAGTAGACAGGAAAGTAAAAAATAAAAAGGAATAAATGAGAATCAATCAATCCAACATACCCTCACGACCACCATTGAACTTCACCTGGACCTCCTTGTCCATGTACTTGTTGAGGTCCAAGATATTTTCCTTTTTGGGCTTCTCCTGTGCACCGCCACCACCGCCACTTTTCTGCTGGCCCTGGCCGCCGCGACCTCCACGACCGCGACCGCCACCGCCTCGAAATGATCCTCGTTCAGACATGGCCTGTGTAATTTGAGTTGAGAAAATAAAAGGAAGATATTAGAGGCGAGATTAGATATATGGGAATACCCGTGGGATAGACTGGGGTACTTTTTGTGTATGGGGGGGATAGCGGAAGGTACAAGCAAGGTGGGCGCGTATATGAGGGATTTTTAGGTGGAGTTGTGGCCTCAGGCATAAATTCAGGCACAGTGGAAAGTCGGAAGTTCGCTTTGGGTATGGGAATTACCAATTATGGCTGTATTATTTTATTTCACCGCCATGAGGAATCCCGCTCGGAGGTATTTTACAGGTGGATTACAGGTAATCTTTGTCAGCTCTGATCTGAATATTTGAACATTCAAAACATTTGGAAGGCTTTGGATATTTTTCTCAATTGCTCCATATATATTATTTATGCCTTTACTATGGCTGTTTTCAATTAATCCGATCCCAGGCCAGATGATTATGTTTGTGAATTCCTCCGAGCTTCCGGAAATAAAACATTAAATGTTTCAGCCCGCGCAGGCATCAGCGAAACCAAAGACCTCCACAAGGCTCAAGGCTTGATTTTGGTGATCGACAGATATGAGGGACCTATAGAATGATCTGCGACCGTTATTACATAGACTTATCTCTCTGCATATAAGATGTGAGAATAGTCGGCCGCTTGTGCGGCCTTGTGATGCAGTCTTTTTGGTGGCTTTAGATATTTTTTTTTATAGATATTTTCTTCCCTTTTCTCAGTTTTATAGCTAGACATCGGGGGAAAAAAGGCCTTAATTGCGTAGACGACCTTTCTATATATAATCTTTGATAAGAGGATATGAGAGGCTGTAAGGCGTAACTGTTGTACACCGTTTAACCAGCGTATGGCAGGCCAGCGGAATCCTCCGGCGGGACTCCGCTGAGAGCTCCAGGTTGATCAGGTACCCTACACTGAAGGATTCTCAACATGTACAAGTTGCAATCGGAATTTCCACTGTAACACTATATTTTTTTTAAATTATAGAGAAGAAGAAAGAAAAAAAGGGAGGGAAAAAAACAGAAAAAATAAACACAAAAATAATCGTCCAAAGTGCTTCGGGAAGGCCCCAACGGAAACACAGATCACGTTTTTCCTCTCCACTCCCCGTGCGCTGTTCCGTCCCCTCTGTAGGCGCCCTACGACTTTTCTCTTTTTGTTTCATTTCTTCCTGGATGTTGCTTAAGTATAAAAGGAGTTGCCTGCCGGTTTCTCTCCGCGCAAGTCCGGTATATCTCCGGGCAAATTTCACTCTTCGCGCTCTTATCTGACACTCTCCGCGACTTCTTCTCTTTAAGATCTCTTTCCACTGGGTGTTTATTGGGTCTCATTCCCACAATGGAGTCCCACGCCCAAACGGCGGAGTCGTCTCACAAACGGCCTCGGTCCCCCACCGCCGATAATGGCATGTCATCGAAAGTCCCCAAAACACACTCGAACCACTTACAAATAAACTATCTCGCACGGCAATACCCTGACAACCTACCGCTCGTTTCCGTTGATGATACTATGCCCGCGATCGTCCATCTGCTTGGCGAATACGATGGCGTTCTACACCGCCACGAAAGCATCGCTGGCAATCTAGGCGCATGCCCACTCGGTCCGATCTTGATCAAGCGCTTCGAGCGCCTGTTCGATGGACCGCCGCAAGTGTTGAAATCACATGGCAAAGACGGGCCCACGGTGACTTGGCTCGATGTGGTCGAATTCGCGAAGAATAAACCCGAGCAGTTCAATCTAGAGAAGTCGCGCAACGGTGTGCGAGTCTGCCAGTTCTATACCAAACAGTGTCGCGTAGAAATCAGTGAGGAGGATTTCGTTTTGATTGCTTCCGGCATGCCACAGAAGATGATCCCGCCCCAACCTATTATCGAGGATGAGGAAAAGGAGCTGGGTGCGCTAGAAATCCTAGAGAAGAACTTGCATCATATAACTCAAATGGCCGATCAAGGTAAGGAATCCCTATATACATATACTAGCCTAGGAGGGCATTTTCATTAACAATCTTCGTGTGTTTAGTCTCTGCTCGAGCGAGACAGCTTAACCATCGTTTGAAGAACCGCCGCAATGCTATTGCCACCCGACGAGAGAATGATGCTTCTCTACATACGCAATCCCGAAATGTCACCGAGATCTGGCGCGATGCCAATGGTCATGGCCCAGGAAACGGCCATGGATCATCTCACCCTTCTCCGTCTGGTTTCGTCGCTGTCAACACCTATCGTCCTGAAGTTGAGCACACCGAGGAGAACCCTTTAGCATCCCAATTCATGTTCTCGCATACCAACACCGATAATGTCACCATGATCAACGGTCAATCGATCAAAGGTGCCTCCCCTACAACCCGTGCAGACCTGATGAAGAGGTTTTTTACAACGGCTGACCGCCACGCCCGCGGCTATGACGACGCAACAGCCCCAGTTAACCCTCAACCAGTTCCTCGGCCTCGTGCCTCCGATCCAGCAGACTACAGTCTCTACAACCCTGCGACGGCAACCCCAGTCGCCATCCCAAACACCCCATCCTCCCTCCTCCCGCCGCCGAAATCAATCAACCAAGAAAAAGACGACGGGGGCCCCTTCAAGCTAGAAATGATAGCCCGTATGGAAGAGCTCCAGCGCGGCGAGCGCGTAATCCCACCCTGCGACCGCTGTCGCCGCCTCCATATGGACTGCCTCAAGAACCTCACAGCCTGCGTTGGTTGCACAAAGAAACATGCCAAGTGCTCCTGGCGCGACGTCAAAGAAGACGAAGTCACAGCAATGCGAGCAGGAATCACGACAACGATATCCCACGAGCGCATCGACATCGACCGCTCCAGCTCAAACCTTACCCCACCCCAGTTCGGTATGGGCCCACTACCCCCGATCTCCGCCGAGCGTGAGCGTCCCCGGGAACCACCCTTCGAGCCAGAGATGCAAGCCTACTACTATCCACATCAACACCGACGCGAGTCGGCCCCCTCCGCTCCAAACCTGGCTCCTGGATCTGCAGTTCCGATGGAACTTCCTTCAAATAGTAATTCCCCGCGACGGGCAGTGAGTGAGACGGAGAATAGTATCCGACCTCCTATCCCTACTGGTCGTGTCTTAGATCGCATCGAGGATGAGGATCCCGATGCCAATCAGCGTCTTAGACAGGCTATCCTGGATACCGTTGATCACCACACTCGTGTCGCTGCAGCTGTACAGGAAAGGGAACGTGGCGCAGAGCGCACTGGAGAACACCAAGGTGTAGTTCTTCCTTCTCCGGGCCCGGCTCCGGTTTCCAGTTCAGGTGCTCATGACCGAGATCGTGACCGTGACCGTGAGCGAGAGGCTGATCGTGATCGTGATCGGCGTATGGTACATGCGTAAAGCATTGGCTTTCTACTAATTCGTGTATACATTTTTTTTCTTTTGTTCTTGTCTTTTTATATAGCCGTTTTTGGCAAAATGGGTTGGCGCGTGGGAGTATATTAGATATCCCTCTGATAGCGTTTTCTTTTATCATCGAAATCTTCTCTTTCTCTCTCTTTCAAAATGTTAATGTAAATATATTCTTACATCTCTGATTCTCTGATAGAACTAGCACCAGTGGGGCCGGATATATAATCTACCCCGAATATATCCGTCGGCACTTCCCCCTATGTTATACCCGTGGGCTTTGATTAATCCAAGTTCCCATCCACAATGTACCCACATCTAAACCCGAGATTCCAACATTCCATCTGATGGGGCTTGCGGGGTGAAAATGTTTCTATTCGAGAGCTTCTCATTGATTGGGAAGAGTACAGACACCCCACTAATTCCCACATATAACAGCTTGACCCCCGGATTCTAGCTCCTACTCCTCAATTATTTACTTTTTTCTCCTCTACACAAAGCTACAAAGATATATATCCCACCATGGATCCCTCCCAGGTCAAGATCCCCCCGATGAAAGACCAAACCATCGAAAACATCACCGACAATGTAATCACAATCAACAGTCTCTGCGAGGATGAACGCATGAAGTACATCCTCGAGCGACTAGTAACCCATCTACACGACTTCGCTCGCGAAACACGCCTCAGCAGCGACGAATGGATGACCGGCCTCCGCTTCCTCACAGAAGTGGGCCAGATCTGCACAGACGTGCGACAGGAATTCATCCTGCTGTCCGACGTGCTAGGTCTGTCCATCCTTGTCGACTCAATAGATCACCCGAAGCCCAAGGGCTCCACGGAGGGAACCGTGCTGGGTCCATTCCACACGCATGACGCGGAGGAAATGCCTGCCGGCGATTCCATGTCGCATGATCCGAATGGCGAGCCTTTGCTGGTTGTCTGTACGCTGCGTGATATGAATGGGATGCCTGTGCCCGATGTCAAGATTGATATCTGGGAGACGGATTCCACAGGTCATTATGATGTCCAGTATGCTGGCAGAGAGGGTCCTGATGGGAGGTGTATTATGCGCTCCGACAAGGAAGGCATCTTTTGGTTTAATGCTATTACGCCTGTGCCTTATCCCATTCCTCACGATGGGCCCGTTGGCAAGTTGTTGAAGAAGTTGCATCGCCATCCCTATCGGCCCTCGCATATGCACTTTATGTTCGAGAAGGAGGGTTATGATCACTTGATCACGTATGTTTCTGCTATTTTTTTCAACTTATTCTTATGAATTATATCATGCTAACTTGACCCCAGCGCTCTCTATCTCCGCGACGACCCTTATGAAACCTCTGACGCAGTCTTCGGCGTCAAGGATTCCTTGATCGTCGACATCGGCAAGGCCGACGCCGAGGTCGCTAAGAAATATAACGTCCCAGAGGGTCACCCTCTCCTCACATATGACTTTGTACTTGTGTCTGACAAAGAGACGAGCGACTTGCGTGCGCACAACTCCAAGGTCGCGCTCGACAATCTAGGCCGGAAAGTCAAGATTGTCAATGGGCTGCCTGTGCCGGACCTGGATTAAATGCCATGGGGGAAAAACACCGTACGAGGAAATGTCACATGATGTGCATCTGTATGAGTTTAGCGAAAAGCTAGGAACTATTATCAATTCTTCCAATACCGCCCGATTTTGTTGCATAGCGAGAAGTACCAATTAGAATTGCATGTGAATAAGATATCGTTAGCTCCGGAGCCGGGACTAGCCCCATGTCTGCATTCCGCTAGTTTCCGGTCTTAGTTGGAACAAGAATGGTCGGCCTTTTTGCGGCCTCATGATGTCTTTTTGGTAGTCGTTTTGACGTTTTGATGTTTTTCTTAGATCAGTTTTGTAGGTAGATGGTAGACAAAGATGGTGGGGCTGTTAATTTGTGAAAACGACTTCGCTAGGTACAGCCTTTGAATATATATATGTAACATGAGCTCAGCCATGACTGGTGCTCCTATTGGCCCAAGTTGTCTCTCGAGTTTGTGTACGGCATGACGACCGGACCAGCGAGGACTAAACAGTTTTCATTCAGCCTATTCGACGTAGTCTAGTCAATTTCATACACTGGTACCACCAGAAATCAAGGCAGTTGAGGGGGTATTCGACGGGCCTCTGCGTCTATATAGACACACCACCATGGCTTGATCGGGAATCTGCATTTGAAACCGTTCTCTTGTCGATATCGGCACTATGCGTTCCACTTACCTTTTCTTGTCTGTGGCAGCTCAATTGGCCTCGGCCTTTGTCATTCCGGATGAGAGTATCCTTGCAGACATAGTCTCTGAGACTCGCCAACCCGTGAATGATCAGTTGGCTAAAGCAGATGTTGATATGAGTCTACTGGGTATCTCTCATAACGAACATAGAGGCCCGGGAAGACATGGGGACTGGCGTGATGATGATGAATATCCTAGACATGGTGATTGGCCCGGACACGGAGACTGGAGAAGACATGGAGACTGGCCTGATGACGATGAATGTCCTGAGCACGGTGATTGGCCCGGATATGACGAAGATCCACATGGGAGATGGCCCGGTGACGAACACCCTGGGTATGGAAGAAGACCCGGATACGGCGGATGGCCTGGACAAGGAGATGATCGCGAAGACAGATACCGACGAATTGATGCTTGTCCAGGCCCGCTCTGTCGCAAAGACAGAACAACGTGGGAACTCATCAAAGAATGCGAGCATACATCCCGACTCGCCGAGCTCATTGCCGACGATAAAGCCCTGATCGAGATCCTTAACAGCACGACAGGAAACCACACCTTCTTCGCGCCGACGAACCATGTTCTAGAGAAACTTCCACGAGAGCGAAATGGCCCCAGTTCCAAGTTTATGTCTAGTTTGTTGCGGTATCATATCCTGCCTGGCCGATTTTCCATCCACCATGTAGCGGGCCATCAGACGCTAGCGACAAAGCTTGAAGAGCCAGCTCTAGGATTCAATCTGCCACAAAGGATCGCTGTAAGACAGCACCATGACGGAGTGGTGTTGAACGGGAAAAGCAGGGTTGTGGGAGCTGATATGGTAAGTAAAACAATGCATATCCCTCGCCATCTATCTATACATATATAGATACTAACCTGATGCCACCTCTTAAGAAAACCAAAAATGGCATAATCCATATAATAACCAGCCCCCTGCACCCACCCCCAGAGACACGCACAATGCTGCACCATTCACCGGCCCACTTCAGCACCTTCACGCTGGCGCTAGCACACACGAAACTCACCTACAACCTCGACCCGGCGCAACGAAAGGGCGGTACGACCTTCGTACCCACGAACGCTGCCTTTAGACGACTTGGGGAGCATGTTAATCGATTCCTTTTCTCGGCGCAGGGTGAGGGGTGTTTGCGTGCGCTGATGCAGTATCACATTGTGCCGAATCGGACGCTGTACTCGGATGTGTTGTATAGTAATGGGAAGGCTCAGGGGTTGTTTTCTAGTCATGGGAATGGGCATGGACATGGGCACAAGTGTGAGAACGGGTGTGTGGATGGACCAGAGGAAGACTCTGTGAATGTGCGGCTTGTGACTCTACTGAAGGAGAGGGATTTGGGGATTGATATTAAGAGGGGGTTTGGTGAAGTTGGCATGCGAGTTAATGGCTTTGGTAGGGTTGAAAGATTGGATTTGTTGGCGAGGGATGGGGTGGTGCATGTGTTGGATCGAGTGTTGGTTCCACCGAGTAAGATACAGATCAAAGTTATATTTGAAGGTGAAAATGAGGAAGAACTGATGATCGAGGACCTTGTGGGAAGGTTGGATGGTTGTGTCTATGAAGGGACTCACGGTGAACTGTGAGACTGCTACCCTATATGAGATGTTTACACTTACGGTCAAGGAAAGCAATTTGAAATTCTTCATTCCTATGTTTGATCAATTACAGTGGCGAGATCGGTGCTTACAAAATTAACAAGATGTAACCCTTGAGTTCACCCCTGAGCGAATGCCTCGATCTAGTTGGCAACCTGCCAAAACCCAGAGATATGAGCATCGCACAGGTGGTCAAAAAAAAAGCAAGTAACAAGCAGCAAGCAGCTAGAAACCATAACGATTACCACATGTAAGATGTTCCAAAGGCTAGTGCATTCGTCTCTTCGACAGAGCCTGGAAGGAAGACTCGAGAGCTTTCTTGATCTCTTTGTAGCTGACAATGAAGCAACTCTGCTCGTCGCGACTGATCAAATTGATCTTCTCGTCAGTTCCAGCATCGAGCTTGTTGAGACAAGTGATAACGTGTCCAAGGTCAACCACTGCTTCACCTTGGTTATCCACCGAGTGGAAGACGTAATCGCGGAAAAGCTTTAGGAAGTAGCGTTCTCCGCTCTCTGACCAGCGTTGGTCATGTTCATATTCAGGGCGTTCATTGATGAATCCGAGTTTGGCCATCAGGCGCGCAATTCGTCCGTTTTCCAGCTCGCGGCTGAGATCAGAGGTCAGCTGATCATCCAGGTGGAGTGCCGAATCAAAAGTCGACATTAGCTGGGATGAAATGCCAGTGATAAAAGTGTCGATGGTTCGCTCCTGATCCTTCTGTAGTCCGTTCAACAGCCAGAACACAGAGTTCTTCAACTGAGGGCTATAAGCGCGAGTGAAATGCTCCATGGCCTTGGTTGGGTTGTGAATGACAGTGGGCGAGTTGGCGCCAAGGGTGACAATCATTTGGCCAAAGTTGACCAGATCTTGTCGCTGGAGATCAGCCACAGTACGCTGGGTATCAAACTGCACCACATCCAGAATAGCACAGGCGTTGATACGGACGCGGGTCTTGGCGGTAATCAAAACTTTGCTAGGCTCGAGCACTCGGGCGGCGAGACCACTAGTGTGAATCGCCTTGAGACCATTAGCAATCTGGGTCATGTAGCCCCAGAGAATTTGCTCAGGAATATGAGCATTGGGACGGCCTGGAAACCCGCTTCTTCCAGAGCTTAGATGTTGGTCTGCAAGTGTCTTGGATAGTGGATGGTAGTCGGTCACAAAGATCAAAGAGCTGTCTTGGAAGCTGCGGCTGGTGAAGGCGTCATGAATGGTCACCACACTGGCGTTGCAGATGCGCTTCCAGGCTTGCACAGAACGGATAGCCTTTTCATTGGTCAGGCGGAAACCTATTAGGATTAGTTTGGAGCTACAAAAAAGAAGAATGAGAGACTGTCATACCCTCAAGTCTGCGAAGAGCATAAAAGTTCCCGTCTTTGTTAGACTGGGCCTTGTAGATCCAGCTCGGGTAGCCAAAGGTTGCAGCATTCTTCTGATGACTCAGATCCAGAGGGACAAGGGAGTGGAAGTAGTCCACCTGAGCAGGAAGGTTGGTGTCTTCAAGTCCGTCAGCTTGAGTACAAATTATTGTCAATTGCAGTTCAACATACTAGGGAGAACTTGGAGAGTAGCTGCAGCTTTCTTCTGCAGTTCTTCGCGCAAGTCATTAGGGATAAAGAGATCGTGCACGTTGCGTTGGTATCCCAATGTGTTCTGGCTGTGAGGGCCAATTGGGGCATAAAGATGGTACTGAATCTATTGGGTGGTTAGAGCTCATACACAAAGCAACAAAGAGAAGAGCCCAGGATATCAACGTACCGGTTGCTGGAATCCAGTTTGGTTTGCAAAGAAAGCGCCTCCCATGCCACCAGTAGGGTCGTGGGAATAAGGATTGGCAGAAACAGGGCCAACGGCACCAGGAGTCATGGGAGTTGGGGTAGTTACGAAGGGATCGAATGTACCCGTGGGAGTGATTCCTCCATTACCATTGCCCTGAAGAGGTGCCTGGATGGGAACGTTAGCTCGAGGACCCATAATAGAGTCGTGGTACTGAGGACGAGCATGCTCAGGCAAAGGATCGAAGTCCTCTACCCGAACAGACAAGCTCCTGGTACGACGGATATGGTTATTCGACATTCTTGTTGTTGGTGATAGAGATGGCAATAATGATACTGCTAGTGCAGGGAAAATGGGATGATTCCAGAAAACAAGAATAATCGAAGGGAATCGAGGGAACCCGAGTAAGAGGGTAGGGACGACTGACCACGTGCTCGAAGCTCTGGGGAACAAATTCCTGCACATCGGCTACTGCCCAATCTTGCACTGCTTCTGACCGCGTTGTTGGCGTACTTGTGTTAGAACCTGTTTTCCATGTCAGTGGATGCCTTTGGGACCGTCCTCCTTCTTCCTATGAAGCACATACGCGACGATGTTGTTCGAGGTTGAAAAGGAGCTGCACTGGCAGCTTTAGGAGATATAGCAGTGGACTTTTTTGGTGCTGATACACCATTCCCAGACAGCAAAGACGGGGTAAAACTAGGTGAGTCGACATTGAACCGCTTCTTGCTATCAAACGAAACAGTCCTGGTTAGTGAAATTTATCCAGGTTTTCGTCTCAAGACTATGTTTGCACCGCACCTGTCCGACTGGTTTGCATTGAGCTTCGACGGGTCATGATTGAAAGCACAACCTGGATACAAGAGTTCCAAATCAGCTTCACCACCCACGCTGGCTGTGATCAAGGTTCGCCAATACCTTTGTCTTCATAGCGGCATCGCCCATAAATGGTCACGTTGCGGCACAGTGTGTCTTTCGCATTCTCTATCAAACAAAATGATTGTTATCAGCAACTCCGTCCGTCTCAGATTCGGGATTTATTTCCAGCTTGCCCATCTCAGAACTGAGGTGGAAGTGATATGCCGGCCGCTGACTTCGGATTACTCACCACGGCTCTTCATTTTCGGCGATCCTGTCGTCCGACGAGCATCCTCCAATGGAGGTTTTCCGGTAGACGCCATGATATCTGGCTGATACCCACTTGATGGTGCGGATCAGCGCAAAAAGATCCCCATTGAAACCGAACTCGGTAGGGAACAAAGGATGTTATTGGGTGAAAACCGCATTCCCCTGCTTTGGTCTGATACAAATTCAAGTTACCAGTGGCCGACGCGTTTGGCGATTGGCGGCGGGTCAATTCCCGGAGAGCCCACGGACGTCGGGCGGTATCTCAACCGATAACAATAGGCATGAATGGTATGTAAGGATAGGACTAAGGTCGTCTCTCATCCCAAGGAATGATTGACAGCAACAGAACTGATGGAAATGCAAGACGCGGGGCGAGAAACGAACTCGAGCGAAGGGGGATATGCGCACGGACCAGGCGGTCAGAACATTAGAGCTTCGTCTTTGAGGCCACTTGAGCTTCGACGTCGTTCTTACCATTATACCACTTGGACTTTGTGCACGTGCTCAATGATCACCCTCAGATGATCTTCCAATCCATGGCTGTTTATTTTGATCTCTTTTGATACACACCCCCATCCTTGAGTTTACGGCCTACGGCCCTTCTATGACAACATGTCGCAACCGGAGGTTGATCTAGACCAGCTTTCCGATAGCGAGAAGTCTGCGCTAGAAATGTACATGGCTGTCACCAGCCAGGAGCCATCAGAAGCAATTCCGCTGTTACGTCGCTCACAATGGAATGTGCAGGTTCGTCTATATTTCCCAGGTTCCGGCCAAGTGTTCGAGAGTTTAGCTGATCTCCGCATGATAGATTGCCATAGCCAAGTTCTTCGATGGTGAAGGCCCAGATCCCCTTGAAGAAGCTCGCGCTGCAATGGACCGACCACCTCCACCCCAACCCAACCGCCGAACCCAGAATTTAATGACCGACGACTTGACCGAGCACTTGTCGCAAGTTACTCGTGCCGCGGCTACAGATCTGGCTCCGCGAGTTGACACCCAACCAGGAGAACAGACTATCTATCGGCCTCCATTCATTCTTAGTCTACTTCTAACTCCATTTAACCTGGTCTATCGACTCCTCTGCAGTTCGTTCCGCCTCTTTGGCGTCCTCTTCCCTTTCTTGCCACGCTTGTTCAACAGAACGGCGAACCCTGCGCTGCAAGGCGCCCGCCGAAATACTACTGGTCGTCGATCCCTTGGCCCCAAGGACACTGCCGCCCGTTTTATCCGCGAGTTTGAGGAAGAGTATGAATCTCACCCAATTCCGTTCTTGGAGAACGGATACAACATGGCGCTGGAGAAAGCTCATCGCGACTTGAAGTACCTCTTGGTTATTCTCTTATCCCCAGAGCACGACGATACGAACAGCTGGGTTCGTGATACATTGCTAGCACCTGAAGTCGTGGAATTCATCAACGACCCACAAAATAACCTCCTAGTGTGGGGCGGCAATGTGCGAGATTCCGAAGCATACCAAGTTGCCAACTCATTGAAATGCACCAAGTTCCCTTTCGCAGCCGTCATCATTCATACCCCCAATGTTTCATCCACCGCCATGTCTGTTGTAGGACGGATTCCAGGCCTCACTACACCATCTGAGGTTGTGAACAAGCTCCGAACAGTGGTGACATCTAACAGCGAGCCGCTGGAGCGACTTCGATCTTCACGTGCGGAGCAACAAGCCTCGCGCAGCCTCCGCGAAGAACAAGACTCGGCCTACGAACGGTCACTGGCGATCGACCGTGAACGGGCGCGCCAGCGCCGGGAAGCGGAGATGGAACGTCAACGGGAAGAACAGGAAGCCGCGGCCCGACAGGCGGCAGAGGAGCAGCGACGCCGCAATCTGGCCCAGTGGAAGGTTTGGCGCGGGCAATCTATTAGCGCGGAGCCCGGGCCAGATGTCAAAGACGCCGTTCGTATTAGCGTGCGGCTCCCATCCGGCGAGCGTGTCATGCGCAAGTTTTCACCCGATGCAGATATTGAAGAGATCTACGCTGTGGTGGAGTGTCACGAGGTCTTACGTGAGCGGCTTAGCGAACAGCCGGTGGCGAGTGAGCCAGAGGGGTTCGTGCACCAATACGGATTTCGACTGGTCTCCCCAATGCCTCGGGTGGTGTATGCCGTTGATGAGGGAGGATCAATCAGAGAGAAGATTGGCCGTGGTGGCAATCTCTTGGTGGAAATGATCGAAGATGAAGATGATACAGATGATGACGAGGCTGTGACCGACATGCCTTGAATATGACTGATCATCATGATTCACAGGTTGCTTTTTGTGGACAACTACCACAACTGACACACCACTTTCTTGTTTTTTTGAACAATATCCAATAATGTACAATGTAGATGATTATGATTACACATTTCTTGTTTTTTTGGTCTTCCCGGTGGCCCATTCACATTCAGAGTTTGAAATTTTGGTATAGGCTTAATTGACCTTGGAAACAGACATATACCGTACTTGGCATGGCGTAAACATTATTGCAGCCTGACGCCTCCCTACAACATACAACATAGGTGGGCGTTGGTGAAATGGACATTGGGCTGCATGTCAGCCCCATGCAAGGGGCCCATGGGTAACATATGGCAGTGAGATTAAGGAATTTTAAATATCGGGAAATGATTAGGTTGGTCCGTTGTTGGTCCGTTGTTGGTCCGTTCATAATCCATGGGATGTACTCCGTACATTAAGCGTACATAAGAGGATACGAGGATAAGAGGATAAGGTGTTAGGAAGCGGAGATAAGACAAAGAGTTATGCACGATTTCCACGGTCTTAAAGGTTTAGCGTTGAGCTATCCCAAGGTTATCTCCATGGGTTGATCCCGCTCACCGCTGAGTCAGCATCTCGGATACACCCCACCCGAGCATCCGAGAGGGACTGTGTGGACCTCGGATAGTGATAGTCCCGTGCTGACTCTTCTGGAAACATTTTTTATGCTCCAACACGTGTGCAATGTATAACACATGGCATGTATCCAGGTACATCTATACATTTAAACTATATTCAATATACCCCTTGTTTAGCAGTCAGTTTGAAAGTATCAGGTACATATATATATATATATAATATTAGTATACATAGTCATATTCGCCTTCTCGGTACTTGTTCGTATATGCAGGAAATAAGTCTATTGTTACCCTAAAGAGATAATGGACGTGTTGGTGTCTCTTGGCAAGCCACTCAAGAGCCTAGAAGTCCTTTCCAAAGAAAAAAATAATCTAACTGAAAAAATCCCTGAAATCCCTGAAATCCCTGAAAATTCCCCATTAAAATGTCTCCGGAAAGTCACAGCTCCGCCCCGTGTTTGTTTCAACGGGAGTCCCCGTTTTGTTTTTTTTTTCTCTCCCGAACCAAAAGGATTACAATGTATCCGAGTCCCGATCTCTAGATCTTGTCCCTTTTATTTTCTGATTTTCGACTTTTCCCATATACTTAATTCAAATCCTTCGCTCGTTTCTTCCCTTTTCCCTAATTTCCCTACAATCTTTATAGCCATTTCATGGTGATCCTCTCTTACCATATTCATCTTATCTAGGGTTATTACCCACCTTTAATTAGAAACATCCCCCCTTATCAATCTGACAGTGACCTGTGTTGGAGAAGGTCATGTCACTTCTGGGGACGTTGAACTCCAACATTAGCGGTGCCCAAGACGGACACGAGTCCCATATCGCAATGATGGAGTCTCGCCGCCATGAACCCACTGACAGTGTGAGCACCGATGACACCGCTAATGAGAAGAGTGAGGCGGGCAACGAGGAGGAAGAGAGAGAGGTCGAGGTCGCCCGCCTGGCCCGTCAACTCACCCGCCAGTCAACACGCTTCTCCGTCTCGACCCACAATGCGGAGAACCCTTTCATTGAAACCCGTGAGGACTCGACTCTCAACCCTAACAGTGAAAACTTCAAGGCCAAGAACTGGATGAAGAATCTTCTTGCTATCCAATCCCGCGACCCAGAACGATACCCGAAACGTCAAGCCGGCCTGAGCTTCAGAAACCTCAGTGTCCATGGATTTGGCAGTCCCACAGATTACCAGAAGGATGTCGCCAATGCTCTGTTGGAAATCGGTACCCTGTTCCGCGCCATGACCGGTACTGGCAAGCAGAAGATCCAGATCCTTCACGAATTCGACGGTCTTGTCAAGAGCGGCGAGATGTTGGTCGTTCTCGGCCGTCCTGGATCCGGCTGTTCGACTTTCTTGAAGACCATCGCAGGAGAGATGAATGGTATCTACCGCGATGAAAAATCTCACATGAACTACCAAGGAATCTCCGACAAGCAGATGCGCAACCAGTTCCGTGGCGAGGCCATTTACACTGCCGAAACCGATGTGCATTTCCCCCAGCTTTCCGTAGGAGATACTTTGAAGTTTGCTGCCATGGCTCGTGCCCCCCGTAACCGTTTGCCCGGTGTCAGCCGTGATCAGCACGCAGAGCACATGCGTGATGTCGTCATGGCCATGCTTGGTCTTTCGCACACCATCAACACCAAGGTCGGTAACGATTTCATCCGTGGTGTCTCCGGTGGTGAGCGCAAGCGTGTCAGTATCGCCGAGGCTACCCTCTGCGGTAGCCCTCTCCAATGCTGGGATAACAGTACCCGTGGTTTAGACAGTGCCAATGCCCTGGAGTTCTGTAAGACATTGAGTCTGATGTCCCAGTACTCCGGTACTACCTGTGCGGTCGCTATCTACCAGGCATCCCAGAGCGCCTACGATGTCTTCGACAAGGTTACTGTGTTGTACGAGGGCCGACAGATCTACTTCGGCCGCACCGGCGACGCTAGAGAATTCTTCACCACTATGGGCTTCGAGTGTCCCGAGCGCCAGACTACCGCCGATTTCCTGACCTCTCTCACCAGCCCAACTGAGCGTATCGTCAAGCGTGGCTTTGAGAACATCGCTCCCCGTACCCCCGATGAGTTCGCCGCTGCTTGGAAGAACAGTGCTGCGTACAAGGAGCTTCTGAAAGAGATCGCCGACTACGACCAGCAGTACCCTATTGGTGGCGAGTCCTTCAACCAGTTCGTCGAGTCTCGCAAGGCTATGCAGTCGAAGCATCAGCGTGTCAAGTCTCCATACACCCTATCTGTCCTCCAGCAGGTCCAAATCTGTGTGACCCGTGGTTTCCAGCGTTTGAAGGGTGACTACAGTCTGAGTATCAGCGCCTTGATTGGTAACACGATCATGGCTTTGATTATCGGTTCGGTCTTCTACCAGTTGGAGGGCGATGTGACCAGTTTCTACTCTCGTGGTGCCCTTCTCTTCTTCGCTGTCCTACTCAACTCCTTCTCCAGTGCCTTGGAAATTCTGACTCTTTACGCGCAACGTCCTATTGTCGAAAAGCAAGCTCGCTACGCCATGTATCATCCGTTTGCCGAAGCGATCTCGTCAATGATATGTGATATGCCGTATAAGATGCTCAACGCCGTCACTTTCAACATCACGCTCTACTTTATGACTGGGCTTCGCCAAGAGGCCGGCGCCTTCTTCACCTTCCTATTCTTCTCTTTCGTGACTACTCTGACCATGTCCATGATTTTCCGTACTATCGCTTCGTACTCACGTACGCTGTCGCAGGCTCTGGTACCCGCTGCTATCCTGATCCTCGGTCTGGTCATCTACACTGGTTTCACTATCCCCACCCGCAACATGCTTGGTTGGTCTCGCTGGATGAATTACATTGACCCTATTGCTTATGGCTTCGAGACCTTGATTGTGAACGAGTTCCACGGTCGCAACTTCCCCTGTAAACCCGAATCTTTCATTCCATTTGGAGACTCCTACCTGGATGTTGATCCGCTCAGCAAGATCTGCTCGGTGAAAGGAGCCGTGGCCGGTCAGGACTATGTCACTGGAGAGGCCTACTACACTGCAAGCTTCCAGTACTCCAATGGCCACAGATGGAGGAATATGGGAATCATGATTGGGTTTATGGTTTTCTTCGCGGCCGCTTATCTCATCGGTACTGAGTACATCTCCGAGTCCAAGTCCAAGGGCGAGGTTCTGCTTTTCCGTCGCGGCCACGCTCCCCCCAACATGGGAGATTCGGATGACCCCGAGCAGGCCCAGAACGTATCCACTGCCGATAAGAAGGATGGTGCTAGCCCCAACGGCGAAGAATCCACTGCCGCGATCCAGAGACAAACTGCTATCTTCCAATGGGAAGATGTGTGTTACGATATCCACATCAAGAAAGAGGAACGTCGCATTCTCGACCACGTTGATGGCTGGGTTAAGCCTGGTACCTGCACTGCTCTCATGGGTGTTTCTGGAGCCGGTAAAACCACTCTTCTGGATGTCCTTGCCACGCGTGTGACTATGGGTGTTGTGACTGGTGAAATGTTGGTTGATGGCCGCCCTCGCGACCAGTCTTTCCAGCGTAAGACTGGCTACGTTCAACAACAGGATCTGCATCTCCACACTACCACCGTCCGTGAGGCTCTCCGCTTCAGTGCTATTCTCCGTCAACCCCGTACCGTTTCTCGCCAGGAGAAACTCGACTATGTCGAGGAGGTCATCAAGCTTCTTGGAATGGAACTCTATGCCGATGCCGTCGTCGGTGTCCCCGGTGAAGGTCTCAATGTCGAACAGCGCAAGCGTCTTACTATTGGTGTCGAGCTGGCTGCCAAGCCGCAGCTGCTTCTGTTCCTGGATGAGCCTACTTCCGGTCTTGACAGTCAGACTTCTTGGTCTATCTTGGATCTCATTGATACCTTGACCAAGCACGGCCAGGCTATTCTCTGCACTATTCACCAGCCCTCTGCCATGCTCTTCCAGCGATTCGATCGTCTTCTCTTCCTCGCCAGGGGTGGTAGGACCGTCTATTTCGGAGACATCGGTGACAAATCTTCTACTCTTTCTAGCTACTTTGAACGAAACGGTGCACCCAAGCTGTCTCCCGAGGCCAACCCTGCCGAATGGATGCTTGAGGTAATTGGAGCTGCCCCCGGAACTCACAGTGAGATTGATTGGCCTGCCGTGTGGCGCGAGAGCGACGAGCGAAAGGCAGTCAAGCAGCACCTCGCCGACCTCAAGAACAACCTCTCTCTGAAGCCCGTTGCCACCAACGACACCAATCAAGCCGCCTTCTACGAATTCGCTGCCCCATTCTCCGTCCAACTCTATGAGTGTCTCATCCGTGTGTTCAGCCAGTACTGGCGAACCCCAATCTACATCTACTCCAAGATGGCGCTTTGCGTCTTGACATCTCTCTTTGTCGGTTTCTCCTTCTTCCACGCCCAAAACAGTATGCAAGGTCTCCAGAACCAGATGTTCAGTGTCTTCATGTTGATGACTGTCTTCGGTAACTTGGTGCAACAAATCATGCCACACTTCGTCACCCAGCGCGGTCTCTACGAAGTTCGTGAACGCCCCTCCAAAGCATACTCTTGGCAAGCCTTCATGTACGCGAACATCATTGTCGAACTCCCCTGGAACGCTCTCATGTCCGTCCTTATCTACCTCTGCTGGTACTATCCCATTGGTCTAGAGCGCAACGCTAGCAATGGAGACCTCCATGAGCGCGGCGCCCTTATGTGGCTCCTCATCCTGACCTTCATGATCTTCACCTGTACATTCGCCCACATGATGATTGCGGGTATCGAGCTCGCTGAAACAGGAGGCAACCTTGCTAATCTTCTCTTCTCTCTCTGCCTGATCTTCTGTGGTGTCCTCGCTACCCCTCAACAAATGCCCCGCTTCTGGATCTTCATGTACCGCGTCTCGCCATTCACTTATCTTGTCTCTGCAATGCTGTCCACAGGAACCTCTGGCGCAAATGTCGTTTGCGAGGACATCGAGTACCTCCACTTCGAGCCGGCAGGCAACACATGTGGGGAGTATATGAGCGATTACATCTCTGCAGCTGGAGGTTACCTTCTGAACGAGAACGCCACTACCGACTGCACTTTCTGTGCCATCAAGCACACTGATACCTTCCTCGGCAGCGTGGGCAGTTACTACAAGGACGCGTGGCGCAACTTCGGCCTCATGTGGGTGTATATCATCTTCAACATTGCTGCTGCTCTGGCTATTTACTGGCTTGCACGTGTGCCCAAGGGCACTCGCAGCAAGAAGACCAAGACTGCTTGATTTAAATCTTCTCTCATCTTTCTTTTTTCTTTCTTTTTTTCTTTTCTTTCCCCGCTCAACTGGACAGGCTTTGAAGCGCTACTGTTTCTTCCATAAAAGACTGCATTAGATCGCCATCTCTAATTCCTCCCCTCTTCTTGTTGCACATTCTTTTGTTTACATATTACACCTGGTCTGGCGGATGGGGATGCCCTAGATACTACATACATTAGCATAGAGCCTCTTGTTCAATCATATATGGATTATTTTTCATTTGAATATCTCGTGCACAGTAAATATCCTTTTAAGTTCTCAACAAGACACTATTTATCAAATACTATATATATAGGAAAGTCCAGAGAGTATCATAGTGATATTATACAGTTAGACACTAAGCAACGTTATATGCGCGAACCGCTAACCGCAAAGCATAAGAGACGAAGAGGCACGAAACCCGAGGGGGAAAAAATTACATTTAACAAAAAAGCAAGAAACACACCCCTTAGGGAGGGAAATAAAAGCCATATACACAAACCACTCCAATCTAAGTCATCACCACGTAAAAGCCTCCTCAACAAAATCCACCACAGCTCCCTTCCCAATCCTCTCCCTAGCCGCAGACCTCACCTCATCCGCAAAAGCCCCAGGTCCGCAAACACTAACAAGCGTGGCCCCCGTCCTCCCAGGTAAAATCTCATCAAGAACAACATCCGGTCTACACCGACCCGAATGCATAAGCACCGTAGCAGAAGGACTGACGATATCCGCCGCCCGACGCGGCTTCGAGACGAAAAGCTTAACAACGAGAATATCTCGTCGATGAGGTAGTCGCAGGATCTGGTCCATGTAGCTACTTACCCATGCGAGGTGGTCTGTTGAACGGACAGACCAGATCAGGTAGACTTTTCGCGTTGCGGCGGTGTTCTGTGCGGATTGCATGACGAGGTTGCGGGTGTATAGGAGATGGTGGGTTATGCCTGCGCCAGCGCTGAAGAGGATTGTTGTGCCGTAGCTTGAGGGGTCTGTTGGGGTTGAGCCGTAGGGCCCTTCTATGAAGCCTGCTAGAGTGAGGGATTTTGAGGGGGATGCGTTGGCAAGGTTGTAGAGACGGCGGGTCATGCCCTTTTGGGCGCCGATTATGAGGGAGACTTGGGTTGTTGGTTTTGCGGGTTTGGTTGGTAGATTGGATTGTTTTTCTAGGTCGGTGTATTTGCCCTGTGTTGAGGATCGGGATGAAGAGGGGAGAGGCGCTGCTGTATTGCTTGTGCTCGGTTCAGCCCAGGCTATTGAGAATGGGTGAGACATCCATAATGAGATGCTGGGGATATAGGCGAAGACGTGGTAACCTGGTTCGATCTCGACGAGTTTCGGGAGGTGGAAGGTTACGCGGCAGGCTTCGCCTGGGAGCGCTTGGACGACCATTGTTGTTGTGCCGGAGGTCGAGACGTTGAGGTGGAGGAGGCGGAAGAGGCGTGCGAGTCGATCGCCTATCCAGATTGAGGCAATCGCTCGAGCCCAGCTTTGCTGCGGGAGATCGTCGATCTTCAGGTGTACGTATACGCCTAGGAACGCGAGAATTGCGGCGAGCTGATGTAGGTGTAGGAAGGTCTCGTAGAAGGCGTGGCGGATGGGTGACGGGGAGTGTAGGCAGAGGAACATCATTGAGACTGTGCCTACCAGGCCCCAGGCGAAGAAGGGGGTTTCACGTAAACGGGCGAGCATGTGCGTAAAGTCTTCCTCGTCGACGGCGTTGACAGCCCAAGCGATTGTGTGGACCACCGACTCAAGAACGACGATGCGGCCCAGCCAGCGGTGGAGGAGGTTGTATGTGTCGAAGCTGATGTGAAGGATTGGGATAAGGGGGTTGTTTCGACCGGCGAGAATGAAGAGTGGGATCATATTAAGAACGGCCAGCGTCCCGGATCGGCCGCGTAGCTCGGCGACTAGAGCTGCCTTGTTGTTGACACTATAGTCAAGCAAGACGCAGTATGTGACTTGGCTGACGAAGTACAGTATAACTAGGATGGTCTGCAGTCGGGAGGGCAAGGTGCCGACATTGACAGCGGAAGAGAGCTGTAATTCTCGGTTGTGTCTCTTCCTCCCTAATGGGGCGTATAGGATGTGTTTCTTGATGTTTGACCACCATGATGATCGTTCCTGGGCCCAGAAGTTCTGTTGGCGATGAGTTGCGCCATTTGCGGTGATTCGGCGTAGATAGGCATGGCTGATCTGGCCAACCCGGCCACAGAACAATACGAATGCCACGACACATAGGGAAATGTAGATGATCCGAGTAATGATCACATCGCGGGGGACGTCCACACCACCAAGCCCCCTTGAATACTCATATATGTATGTGGCGTTTGAGCCGTACCCTCGTGCCGCAATATGCGGATGGGTTGCTGCCATTGAACAGGCGCAGATGTTGAGGAAGGAAAGAGAGATATTGCGCCCTGGCCAGAAAACATGCAAGGGCTGTGCTTTTCGACGTTGCACAACCCCTTGGTTGAGATGGCAATCTGGAATTTGTTTCAAGTAGCCGCTCAACAGCTGTGACCAAAATATGACGATTTAGATATCGACTAGAGGTGGGCGTTTGCGGGGAGATCGAAGTCGAAGACGGTGGATAGATCAGATGAAATAGATCCCGAACAGGGCTGGCGAAAGTGAGTCGATATAGATGGAGATGTCTTTGATTGTGTCAGACAAAGACAATGTGCAATAATATGAACATGGTAGCTAGTTCGTTTGATGTTGACAATGGACAATGAGGATTGTTTCAATGTGAATGTCCAGGTTGAAGTCAACAAAGCGACCCAAAATAACTCTGATCTTTGGAATTCGAGAGAAATTGGCACGTCACCAAGAATCGGATTTTGGTAGAGGCTCACTCTCAAGAGGCATCTGGAATGCAAGGAAGGGCACGTTTTGCTGTCAAGAATGGAATCGAACAATGCACAGGCAGTCCAGATCAGAAGATATTGAGCCAAGCAAATGGTGGTCCAATGAAGAGAATGTATTTAACAATCGAGACCAGCCGACTGTCTTCAATGCCAATATAATGGACAAATGGAAGAAATGCGAGTGAAAGAAAGCTCGGCCTGAAGACGGACTTTTGAAGGAAAAAAGTAAGCAGGGGACATATCGTGTTTCTGCAAGACCCCTGTATATGGTATGACTATCAGGTGTGCAAAGCGTTTAAATGGCCGAAAGCCTATCAGGATGATTCCTTTAGTCGCACTAAAGACGCCGGCGTTTCTAAGAAGACTAGTGCGCCCCTTCAGACAGGCGTGGTGATTTGCTGATGATCCTTGCAGATCCAAATTCGACTCTGGGCGTGACGCCTTTGGTGAAGAGCCTGTGATCTTCTGAAACATTATTGATTGCAAACTTCAAACTTTCCGGTGGACATCCGGTGAACACCCGACATTGTGTAATTCCTTTGTGTTATCGTCCATTGGCGTTGTTGAGGGTTTCAGGTCGGGTAGCGCACTGACCACTCTTCGACGTACAGCGTACATCGTACATAGTACACATCTAAATGACAAAATAGTAACCCAGTGATATGCCCAATCTATTTGAAATAATGCACGCTATATTCATCTTCAATATTTTCAATATTTACCGTCCCATCCATCCACCATCAACTGTGAGGATCTCGCCAGACACATAGCTGCTAGCCCGACTGGCCAGATACACCACGGCGCCCTTGAAATCTTCAGGGTTTCCCCATCGGCCAGCAGGAATACGTGCCATAATACCGGCATTGCGGGAAGCATCGTTGATTAGGGCGGTGTTCATATCAGTAGCAATATAACCGGGCGCAATTGCATTAACATTGATTCCCTTGGCGACCCAATCATTCGAGAGTGCTTTGGTCAACTGCCCAATGCCTCCCTTGGATGCTGCATAGGCGGGGACCGTAATTCCACCCTGGAAGGTGAGCAGAGATGCGACGTTAATGATTGAGCCTCGGCGACCCTGGGGGAATTCTGAGGCGTCACGGGCTAGCAGGTATGCGGCGAATTCTCGACACATGATGAACACGGAGGATAGGTTGATTTCCAGGACCTGTAAATTTATTCCACAAATAAGAAAAAGTGTTTCAAGGGGAAGATATATTATATTGGGGGGTTGTTCCTTATCGGACTCTTGACTCACCTCGTCCCAATCCTCGTCCGGGAACTTTTCGGCCGGGTGTCGCCGTTGGATCCCTGCACAGTTCACCAGAATCTCTGGCTTCAGTCCCTGGCTGATCAATGCGGGGATGATGGCTTTGACGGCTTGCCGATCCCCCAGTTCGGCAACATGGATCCATGCCTTACGTCCCAGGCGGTTGATGATCTCATCCTTAGTTGATGTGTTGGTGTTGTCTCTCTATTGAGATATTAGCATGTAGTTTTCCAACACTTTTCTGAATAACTCGCCTGAATCAAGATAATATCGGCGCCGGCCTCAGCCAGGGCAAATGCCATAGCTTGGCCAATGCCTCGTGTTCCACCAGTAACGAGAGCGGTTTTCCCGCTTAGGGAGAAGAGGGACATAACGTCTGTCATTGTGAATATGAATATAGATATGAAGATGTAAAGGAATTTCTGTTTCTTTCTTAATTTGAAATAAAAAAGAACAAGTAAAAAGGGAGGAGCTCCAAAATAAGAGACCGAATCAAGCAAAAATGGAGAACGCGGGGGTTCTCCGATCGGGGTAATACCAATAGCCGGTTTATCATTAGCCGTCGGCAAATGACGTGGTGTTTTTTCCTTCAAATTTTTAAAAAAAGATATGGCCAAGGAGTATTAAATAGTGCAGAGACAAGACGTCTCGAATATTCTCTTCTAAATATTCTAGTCAAGTTATTTTAATACTCTCAAGAAAACAAGAATGATATAGTCTATAGAGGTAAAAAGTAGGTACAAAACGTTTAACCCCAAATTTTCCCAAAAAGGCTTTTTAGTGTTTCCCCCACAACTGTTCATGGACACGATGAGTAAGGGTCTGTGGACTTCTTTGCGGGGGCGCTTGACTTGAATTTTGTACTTTTCAATGTCTCTGTTATACCTTAGCTATGGACGAAGAAAATCTCTCAGAAGCCTCGCGGCGCGATATCGCCAAACGTGTCTCTCGAGCCTGTTTACATTGTAGACAGCGCAAGTCTCGATGTGACCTGTAAGCCTATCTCTCTTCTTTTATCTCTTCTTCCTGTTTCAGCCACTCAAGCCCTTGCTGTTTTTCCCCGGATCTGCGGTATACTTGGGTTCCCCGCTGATCGCATGCAGAGATTCTAACGGCAACCCTGGCAAACCACCATGCCAGCGCTGCGTACGCGAAAATCGCGAATGTATATTAGGTGGTTCGAATCGTGGAGGTCGTCGAATCCGAAAGAACAAAATCAAAAATTTTACACCAGCCAATAACTCGCCAAGCAAGGATTCGGAAGGATCAAGCCCAACAAACTCTGAAAACCACAGAGTGCAATCGGCATCCTATCCCGGCCCGTTGGTTTTCTTGCCGCCTAACCCACCAGCACCAGTCTCGGCAACTGTCGAGGAAGATGATACCTCTATATCGTCTGTCCCGCGTAATCCATCAGACGCCTGGCAATGCTTAACCGGCATCGCCACAGAAGGCACGGGGTCCACCCCCGTGGCCCGCAACGACCATGTTCGGCCAGAACCAATAGCCTTCCCAACCTACAACGGTCTACGCAACGGCGTTGTCCCGGACTTTAGCAACCAAGCCACCGGTATCAGGGCTTACAGACTCGTTCAGTCGCACGCCCTAGATCCGGAAACGGTGTGGCAACTGGTCTCCCGCTACGCAGAGAATTTCCACCAGTATCTTCCTCTCGTGCCGCGGAAGTATTTCACCCGCACTGCCCTAGACGCCTTCGCCGCTAATGAGAAGCACTTGCTCACCGCAGTCCTGACCATCGCCTCCAAGGACTTGGTCGACCAGCCCGAGATCCACGAGTACTGCTCAAAGTACATGCACGAGTTGATTTCTGGCATCGCTGCGGGAGCGGAGTGTGATGTCGAAGCGGTCGAAGCGCTTCTGTTACTTGCCGAGTGGGAACCGCAGGGACTGCGGCCTCGCATCGAGCGCGTCGGGCGCGGAGAGGAAGACCGTGCTGCATGGATGCATGTCGGGCTTGCATTGCGATCGGGATATTTCATCGGCATGGATCGCACTTCTTTCCGTGGGGATCCTTATGGTGATCAAGAGAGTGAGACTCGTCGGCGGCTGGCCTGGGCGAGCTGCTATGTCTCTGATCGATTGATTTCCGTGCGCATTGGACGTGCTTTCTGGTCTCGTGGTCCAGGGCCCATGACTGGTCTTGTCAGTCAGGATTTTCCATCGCTGCAGCCGGTCAATGAGGGCGAAGAGGACTATGCGAAGATCTTCCAGGCTATACTGGATCTTACGCAACTTTATGGGAATGTCCATGAGGTTTTGTATTCGGGGATGCGTACTAGTAACCAGATGATGTTGATGGGAGACTATGTTAAATATGTGGATGACTTCCGTCTGGCGATTTTGCGATGGAAGTCACTTTGGGGGTCACTCGACTGTAAGACTTTCCTCGATCCTGTGTATGTCTTGGTTCTAATATATCAATAGGCTCACCACCTATGCGAGCAATGCTGCAGTTGTCATACGAGTACTTGCGTCTGTATACAACTGCCTTCGCGTTTCAAGCTGCGATCTCGCAGTCGCTAGTCAAACCGAAAACAGACCTACAGAGCCAGCGAGAACATCTACGATCGACATTCAAGAATGTCGCTTCGATGCAGGATTCGCGGTTCATTTATGAATCTGTTGATGCGGCCAAGTCATACCTGACAATCCTTGTGGATCTGGTAGATCCTGAAAAGCATCTTCATTTCATGCCTCTTCGCTTCTACTTGTAAGTTTTTCTTCCGTCGCATGTTATGCCAGGGTAAACAGCTCATGCTATTTAGATATGGCATCTACTCTGCTGTTTTCCTCTACAAGGTAAGATCCCTGTTTCAACACCTTCCTCTTTTGCATATCGTCTGATCAATACCATATAGGCTCGTTCCTTCGGGATGATGGTCCCGTCCGAGGAAGCAAAAGTCCAGGGTCTAGTCATCCGAACCACCGAAGTCCTCAAACAGGCAAGCGCCGGTACCGATGACGTCGGGGCACGCTATGCTCGCCTTCTAGAGCTTCTGTGGAAACCCAAATCCACATCGAACTCGACCGAGGACACGCAGCAAAATAGTGACTTCTCATTGCAAACAGCGCTTCCGAACCCGGTCGCAGACCCAGGGTACATGCATTTCAGCCCCGCCAATGACTTCTCATGGCTGGATTTGGAGGCCGTGGGCGATTATGTATCCGGGGACCAGATTTCTGGTGGTTTGTTGGGGTTGGATGCGTTCCAGAATGCATCCGATATGTACCAATCTGGAGAGCCGCGCTCGCAGTCCTGGCAGCCATCTGCTTGGATGGGGGACATGAGCAGTAATCTTCTCTTTTAAATGTTTGGGAATGGTTTTGTCTATCATGTGATACGTGTGTTACCCCCACACCCCAATCTGACGGCAAATGATGCGCGGGGGCCGATTGTGCGGGGGTTACTCGGAGATGGCTCCGAGGGGTAACCGAGGCCAACAACGCAGTTCTTTTTGCTTTGCCAGATCAAACTGGATATACGGAAGATTACTTCCACACTTGATCGTTATATACCATCATACACATATCATTGAGCTCCATCTCATCATGTCACTTAACGAGATCCAGGGCAAACTTGCGCTTATCACCGGTGCGTCGGGAGGGTAAGCTATCCCCAACGCTCATACTACTACCCCAACACCGAGAATGAATTACTGACAGTTAATTTTGTAGTATTGGAGCTGCCTGCGCACATCAGCTTGCCCAACATGGAGTGCATCTCGCCCTGACATATGCGACCAACCTGACCGCAATGAACGCGCTAGTAACCGATCTACAGAGCAAATACGCCGATAAAAAGCTCCTTATCTCAATCCATAAAGTGGACGTTGGATCCGCAGACAACATCGAGGCGATGTTCCAACAAATCGACACAGAGCACGGCCACCGACCTGATATCCTGGTCTCAAACGCCGGGTACGGAAAACGGATTCCTCAAATCTGGGACTGCTCTCTCGAAGAGTTTGATTATACTCTAACCGTCAACCTGCGCGCTTCATTCATTCTCGTTAAGGGAGTGGTTGAGCATATGAAGAGCCAGAATTGGGGGCGTATTGTGTTTATGTCCTCAATTGCTGCGCAAGGTGGAGGAATCAATGGATGTCGTATGTAATCCGTTCCCTTTCTAGAAAATATTAAGCTGACTCTTTTTTTCAGATTACGCCGCCTCTAAAGGTGGCATGACAGGCATGATGAAGAACCTTTCTACGAGACTGGCTGAATTCAATATCAGTGTTAATGACGTGGCACCCGCCATGATTGGTGACACCGGTATGATCCCTAACGCTGCGGCTATCCCTGAGGTCGCAGCTGGTATTCCGCTTGGTCGCCTCGGGACCCCCGAGGAAACGGCCAATGTTGTGACTATGCTTGTGAAAACAGGATATATGACGGGTCAGAGCCTCTTGCTGGCTGGAGGGTTGAAATGAGCAACCCAGTAATATTTGGAAAAATACATAGTATAAGGAGTGATTGGCCTTTCGCGCCCTACAAGTTATCACTATCATCAACACTTTGATTCAATTTTGTAGATTCAATTTTGTTCATCAATCCTCATCCCCCATACATACATACTATATATCCATCTTTTTGCTCTATTGTCACAATGCGGGTATCTTCAAACACAATTCATCATCATCACCGTCGTCACCATCATCACACTCACAGAGATCCACTAGAGCCGCGTCGGTTCTCGATGATAACCTTCACAACAGGGTTTCCCTCCTCATCAATTCCCTTTCCAGCAAGTGTAAACGCCCGCTCTCCATCCTCCAACTTGAGTCGGTGAGTGACAACCTTCTCCTCGACACTCTTCATCTTGCCACTGGCCAGCAGCGCAATAGCAGCAGGGTAAGCCTGTCCATCATAACGGAACACACCAATAATATCGACCTCGCGCAGGGCCGCAGCACCAACAGGCAGTGTCTGGATAGGATTTCCCATGCCGATCTGTACCAGCACACCACCGGGTGCACTAGCATATATTCCAGCCTGCACACAAGCTGGCACACCAGTGCAGTCATAAACACGAGTGAATCCGGGGACGACAAGTCCATCCTTCGCACCCACAGCCTCGATCAACGTAGCCGCAACCTTCTGCGCATTCTCAAGCGCATACGCCGTCTGTTCAGCATGAGGCGCATCCTTCGCGGGAGGGGGAGTATCAGCTCTAGGAATAAGAGCAGTCTTAAGACCAAGTCCCATCTCCTCGGCAATCTTGAGTCTCCGCGCATCAATATCAGCAACAACAATCGCTGAGAAGTTCTCACTAGCAGCCAGCGCACCAGCAAGCAGCAGGCCAATCGCACCGGCACCGAAAACCAAGGCAGCGGTCTCCTCTCCAGCAGCGCGGTTCAGCGCAACTTCCTCCTTACTAGGAGGGTGTGAGCGCCGCACAGCGTGAAGTGTGACAGCGAGCGGCTCGACGAGCGCACCGCCTGCGTCGGACACGCTGTCTGGGAGCAAGTGGCACATATCTGCTGGGTGGTTTGTGCGGTCCATCAGAGTACCGTCGAGGTGGGGGAAGCCCTTTGCTGAGCTGCGGAACTGCATGGCTTTGCAGATGTTGTAGCGGCCTTGTTTGCAGAGAGCGCACTTGCGGCATGGGAGACCGACTTCCAGGGCGACACGGTCGCCGACTTTGAGGCTTGAGACACCGCTACCGGTGGCCGTTACTGTACCCGCAGATTCGTGGCCGAGACACATTGGTGCCCGGACGACAAAGTCGCCATTGCGACCGTGGCTGTAGTAGTGGAGATCTGAGCCGCAGAGTCCGGTTGCACGGATGGCGACTTGGACTTCTTCTGTAGATGGGGCGGTGATAGTACGTTGTTCCTGAAGTTTTGGTTAGAGTTTGGGTCTTTGGTATATATGTTTGGGGTTACTTACAAGGCGGAGATCTTTGGCGCCGTGGAGAACGAGCGCAGTGGTAGTTGTGTTTGCCATGGTGTATAATGTAAGTAGAGAGTTGTTAGCAGGTAAATAATTACAGATAGAAAGAAGAAAATGTTCTATGTAAAAAGAATAGCGAAGCCCGATTTCATCGGCCTTTGGAGTCGCAACTTCCGTTCAATTCCCCTCAAACCCCACTTGGTCGTCATGGGGGGAAAGACTTGAGCCCGGAGGTGCTCCGCTGTCGGGTATTGGATAAATAGGGTGATTTCAATACCCGACGTGGGGGTTATCTTTGCATGACTTTGCAGATTAAGAACATTGAAGTTCACAAGTATTAAGTTAATAGGTGAAGTTAATACAATTTTAAAGACAAGAATAAATGTAGAAATTGATTAGTAAAAACTCTGAATATCTGAATATCAAGGTTGACCTAAAAACATCCATTGGGATCTATACTTATATATCTATATCTAAGGCACCGTCGGAGGAGCCCCCGTTACGACATGGGGGTTCGGCGATAGCGGGGGGAACATCTGCATCTCCAATAATTGGATTTCTCGAATGTAATCTCTCTTTTCTTTTCATTCTCACAGTTGCTTCTAATCTTTGAATTGCTTGCTTCATTCCTTCAGTTCTCTTGTCTTGATATACTTCTACAGAAAGAAGCTTGTAAATGTGAGCAGCTCTACTGACATCATTTAGCGCATCTAACATTTGCAGAAACAACATGGCGACACAATCAGCTCTCCTCATTGGAGAAATCATGCACGCGCGCAAGGAGTGGGAGAGCCTCTCATCTCTTCTGACACTGAAGGTAAGTAATTCTTATTGCGCCGCGATTGAATCCTGCTAAAGCAAAAAAATCAGGAATTCCCCAGCGGAACCAGAGAAGAGTTCATCGCAAACTGTAAGGCTGGCGAGTATGATGATGTAGTCGCCCTTTACCGGTCCAACAACTCTACCAAGGTAGACAGCAGCCTTCTCCTTCCCTTCGAGATCACCTACTTACAGCGTATAGTACACCGGTCCGTTCAATGCAGAGATGCTCGCAGTCCTGCCCAAATCTCTCAAGTACATCTGTCACAACGGCGCGGGATACGACAATATTGATGTCGCTGCTTGCACTGAGAAGAACGTCGCTGTCTCCAGCACCCCAGTCGCTGTCAACGATGCGACAGCCGACGTGGGTATTTTCCTGATGATCGGTGCTCTGCGCCAGGCTCACGTGCCTATTACTGCTCTCCGTGAAGGTAGGTAGCTTTGAACTTGGGTGGAATGATCTTCCCTCGATAACCAGAAACTAATCATAATCCAAATGACAACAGGAAAGTGGCAAGGCCCCATCACCGCAGGAGGAAAGGAGTACAGAACCGGCCTGGGCCACGACCCCAAGGGCAAGATCCTCGGAATTCTGGGTATGGGAGGCATCGGACGGGTATGTAGTACAAACTGTAGTATAACACTTGACCCCCGGCTAACCATGAACAGGAAATGGCCATCCGCGCTAAGGCCTTTGGAATGAAGATTCAGTACCACAACCGGACCCGTCTATCAGCTGACCTGGAAGAGGGCGCGACATATGTCTCTTTTGATGAGTTGCTCGCCAATGCGGACGTGCTCAGCTTGAACTTGGGCTTGAACGCATCCACCCGCCACATCATTGGTGCCACCGAGTTCACCAAGATGAAGGATGGTGTGGTGATTGTTAACACGGCGCGTGGTGCGCTGATTGATGAGAAGGCATTGGTTGCAGCACTTGACTCTGGCAAGGTATGTAATGCCGCGCATTTAAACTTGAACCTTCATTCCATGAAGGATGTGCGAACAATCCCGGCTGACTGGTGGTTGTTCTATAGGTGCGCTCTGCTGGTCTGGACGTATACGAGTGTGAGCCAGAAATTGAGCCTGGTCTTATTAGCAACCCTAATGTTATGTTGACCCCGCATATTGGCACTGGCACTTATGAGACTCAGAAGGATATGGAGATTCTGGTGTTGGATAACCTGCGGTTGGCTGTTGAGAAGGGTGAGCTTATTACACAGGTGCCAGAGCAGAAGAAATAGGGAAATTAAGCAAAATATGGACAATATAAATATGGATCTATGAAGAATAACATTTTTTCCGTTCAATGATCGAGTATCAAATATCAAGTATCAAGTATCGAGTATAGTTTCCAAGGGCAGCGTTGGCCTTCGTTCAAATCGCAAGTGCAACCATATGGACACCTGAGATATGGGGCATCTATTGATGACTAAGGTCTGACATAAACGGGTGGACTTGAAGGAAACTTCCACCAAAAACGGCTAGCGTTAGGGCTCGCTTAGGGCCAGAGCGCCAAGAGCGAAAAAAACCGCACCAAAGCTAGTGGCTCAAGCGAGCGCCGGACGACGACGAAAAGCGACAACAACTCATCACCGAGGACCATCACACCCCCTCGCCAACTCCTTCAAGATGGTGAGTGCTGCATGCCCCTGTCATCGATAATGACCATTCGGAATCACATTCTCTACGAAATGCCACCCGTGTGATACACATTCAATGTCCGATCGCCGGGTCGACTTTCGCTGCCAACATCACCAACATCCAACGACGATCCCATTGCTAACGAGCGATGCTATTCACAGGTCCGTTACGCCGCCCAGGAGATCTCGCAGGAAAAGAGCGCCCGCGCGTGCGGCTCTTACCTGCGTGTCAGCTTCAAGAACACCCGTGAGACCGCCCAGGCCGTCAACGGCATGAAGCTGTCCAAGGCTCTCACTTTCCTCGAGAACGTCACCAACAAGACCATGGCCGTTCCCATGCGCCGCTACGCTGGCTCTACCGGTCGCACTGCCCAGGGTGAGTCGCCCTTTATTCCTTCAAGAAAATTCCGGATCGATTGGATTGGAGTTTTGAATGGATTGTGCGGAGGACGAACAGCATCGCCAAATATACGACAGCCACTGGTATATTCAATGAAGTGACGAGGAAAACACGAATGGAACAAGAGGATGGATTTCTTGGTTCATTGGCGATGCTGTGGATTCTTGTCGATCCGGAGGAAAATTTGTGAATGGAGTCGAACATCGACTGACAATTTTTGGTTTATAGGCAAGCAGTTCGGTGTCTCCAAGGCCCGCTGGCCCGTCAAGTCCGCTGAGCACATCATTGATCTGCTCAAGAACGCTGAGGCCAACGCTGATGGCAAGGGTCTCGACACCAGCGCCTTGATCATCAAGCGCATTCAGGTCAACCAGGCTCCCAAGGGTCGCCGTCGCACTTACCGTGCTCACGGTCGTGTACGTTTTTCCTAAGATTCTCGGCTGAGTCTATTTTGTGGAGGAAAATGCTGACTGTTTTTTTCCCAGATCAACCCCTACATGACCAACCCCTGCCACATCGAGCTCATCCTCACCGAGGCTAACGAGCAGGTCAAGAAGGCCACCGATGACAAGCAGGTTCGCCTCTCTTCCCGCCAGCGTGGTACCCAGATTCGCCGTGCTCTCATTGAGGCATAAACGGATCGCCATAAGAAGGTGTGAGGGGACGTGTGGTTACGCAATGTGAAAAGATTTTTGCGGTGGACGGGAAGGATCGGAGTTCTTTGCATCAGCTGTGTATGTTGGAACGGAATCGATACCGGATCATACAATATTTTAAGGTCATGGCGCCAACACTCGGAGGAGAACCCAATAAAAAGTTAAAACGATATGGCCCAGGATGATGGAAATAGGATTCTGTACTTCCCGATCCAATCATGATACAAACGTGGTTCTTTCTCCGTGACTCTATCGAGTGATTTTTTTCTCTTTCTTTTGGTAGAGGGTGTTTTCGGTTTCGGCCTTGTCTAGCTGCACGCCTCTGTCAAAGATTCCGATCTTCCGGTCATATAATATGATCTTAATTTTTCTGTTCTAATATGCATCCCATTGTAGCGATGACTAGATGACTCGATGCTTTGGACTACGGGATAGTCTATATATGCAGTCTATCTGAGGGGATTATTGGCAAAAAAATGGGGCAACATCCTGCCTATACCACTTCTGGTCCCCGACAGTCCTTATCTGGAAACATGCCAAGGGGAATAGTATCCATCTATAACCAGGGATCTGCGATGCGGGGGTATAAGTAGCCCAGAATCCAGGGTGGAATACGCGTTCAAGATTCCTTCATCCCAATCTCCTCCCGAAGTTCCTCTCTCTCTCTCTCTATATATATATTCACCAGGTCAAATCAAAATGACCAACCTCTCAGACTACCGTCTCCTCTGCTTCGACGTCTACGGTACTCTAATAGACTGGGAAAGCGGCATCATCACCGCATTAGCACCAGTTCTCTCAAACAGCACCACTCAGTTCACCCGCGAACACCTCCTAACAACCTACCACGAGCTTGAAAGCACCCAACAAATCGCAACTCCGGACCTTCCATACTCAGACCTGCTATCAGCAATCCACCCCACTCTCGCCGCGCGCCTAGGCCTCAGCCCGCCAACCGAGGAGGAAAGCCGCCAATTCGGCAATTCCGTCGGAACCTGGCCGGCCTTCCCAGATACCGTCGATGCCCTGCGCCGACTATCAAAGCACTACAAGCTGGTGGTGCTGTCGAACGTAGACCGGGCTTCATTCGCCAAGTCCAATGCCGGAAGTTTGCAAGGCGTACTATTTGATCTGATTCTTACCGCGCAGGATATTGGCAGTTATAAGCCTGACCCTCGGAACTTTGAGTACATGTTGAGTGCTGTGCAGCGCGAGTTTGGGGTTGGGCCTGAGCAGGTTTTGCAGACGGCGCAGAGCCAATTCCATGATCATCAACCTGCGAAGAAGGTGGGCATTAAGTCGGTTTGGATTGAGAGGCCTGGGGCTTTGATGGGAAACCGCGGGGATACGATCTTTGATTGGCGATTTAATACTCTGGGCGAAATGGCTGATGCTGTTGAAGCAGAGTAGAGGGGTGATAGGTGATATGCGAGGAACCTTCCAAGCACTAGATGTCATGTACTTGGTACTTCTAAATATATGATTAATGCACCTTGAAATTATGTACTGTCTACTCTTTCACGTGGCTGACTCAGGAATTAAAACATCCATCCCTGTAGACTAAATTGCCTGGAGCCTGGATAGCTATCCGCTTGGCAATGCAGAACACCTGGATGCGTGCGTGGAATGTGGCTTTGACCGCTGGAGATATTGACTTTATACTCCGCATATATATATCTCATTTTTCTCGTTGACCCCTTAGCGAGGCACCTATTCCCTGCAGCTAGTCCGACGCCGGCAGTTGGCCTTCCGGCTAGAATTATTCTTTGGCAATTTGGACAATTTTTTTCCCTTTCATAATTTCCCTCGAAAAACAAGACTGTGCCATCACCATGAAACGTTTCCTGGGATCTCTGAGCAGGCGCTCGAGTGAGTGTCTCACTGTCTCCACGTCTTCCCGCAGATCCGCTGACTTGTACCTGACTATAGGCTCTAGTGACAGTGTCGAACACCGTGAAGACTCACCAGAAGGCATTGTCTTGAAAGAATTGGTTTGCGCTGATTTCAGAAAGATTTAGTAAGACACACTGACACTTTCTCAAGGCTGCCTTCTGCGAATCAAATACAAATGGGAATGCGAATGCATCTTCGCGCGACGCGGTATGTGCCTCGGAGATAACAAGAATCACCCCCCTTTCAAGACCTGACAATCGAATTTGCACCACTCCAGCAAGGAAATGAATTCGTCCATCTCCCCAAAATCGTCGAAACCGCCGAGTCGAGCCCAAATGCTGCCAAGGAGGCGGCCCTGCGCATTCGCAAGTATCTGACCAATCCCGCCAGCACCCCGAACCAGACCCAGTACAATGCGATCATGCTTATGCGTATCCTGGTCGACAACCCAGGTCATACATTCACCCGAAACTTCGATGCCAAATTCGTGACGACCATCAAAGAGCTGCTGCGCACAGGACGCGACTGGCACGTGCAGAGCTATCTCCGCCAGTACCTGGATACCCTCGAGCAACAGCGCTCATGGGACGAAGATCTCAAACTACTGCTTCAGATGTGGGCGAAGGAGAAGACGAAAGCCTTGCGCGGTTTGGTAAGCAAATCCCACTATACTTGAGTACCCGCCATCCGAGACTCTAACCTAGCCAGATCGACCCTTTCCCAATGACTTCCGTCGTCCCACCCCAAATCCCGTCCAGGCCTCAGCACCAACAGTCACACCATCAGTCCCGCGCGCCGACAAATGCTTTCCCTGATGCGGTAGAACTAACGGCCCGCATCGAGGAGGCGCGCAATTCAGCAAAGCTGCTAATGCAGTTTGTCCAGTCCACGCCGCCGGCAGAGCTGGAAGATAACGATCTCATCAAGGAGTTTGTTGACCGCTGCAGGACTGGCTCGCGTACTATTCAGGGATATATTCACGCGACCAACCCGCCTCCGGACGAGAACACCCTGTTGACGCTCATTGAGACCAACGATGAGATCTCTGTGGCGCTGTCGCAGCAGCAGCGCGCCATGCTGAAGGCGCGTAAGATTAGAGGGTCTTCCTCGCCAAGCTCGTCCAATTTGAATAGCTCCTCGCCGACATCGCAGGCGGCTGTCGCTTCAGGCGCTATGAATTTCTCTCCTCCTGCAGCCCCACCTCGGACTTCAACACAGAGCCCCGAGTCCCCTGCATCTGCCTTGACAGAGCTGCCTTCGACAACTATGACTGGTAGCCGCACACCTGCTTCCAATCCCGCATCGGGATCGGCGACTACCGGCCGGTATGAATACAACTCGGAGGATTTCCAGGTGCGAAATCCCTTCGCCGATGACTATGCTACAAATGGATCGGAACATGAGAGGAATCGACCGGTGCATGGTAATTCGGAGCCCCCAGCCCACTGAGCAGGAGCGCTAGTGTCATGCAGGGATCAATTGGTGATCGCTGATAGCACGTCTGATTTTTTTAACATCTAGCGCCTGAACTTTTTTCTTGGGATTATATCAAATTTTGGTTACGGTTTTGTCTATTTTTGCCAGCGCATAGTTTTTGCTCTTTGTTTTTGCTCTTTTTGGTCCTCTTTTTGGTCCTCTTTTTGGTCCTCTTTTTGGTCCTCTTTTTGGTCCTCTTTTTGGTCCTCTTTTCTTGGCCTTTGCTCTCCATGATACCTCGCACATTGCCATTACTTACATATTCATCAGCTTTTACTGCAATTTCAGCAGCATGTTTTGACCTATAGGAAAGCGAGTGCGAGCCCTCGTTTCATACTCTAGGTACATATACTTTCGTAGTGAATACATGCGAGTCTTATAAGTCTTATATCCTTTGTGATCCAGCGTTGTGGCGTGTGAAGGGTGGCGTCTATTTAGTTATATGCAAAACCCGCAGCACAAGCGAAAGATTGAATACATTGGCAGGAAATTAAAACGGCTATAAAATAATCTGAAAGCACAAGGGCATATCTGGCAACCAATTTCACCCACGGCAAAGTATATGACCTTTCAGTTCTCACTCTTGATAGTGACCCCATCGTTAGTCGCATCCTTCGCTCTCGCCGCGATCTCCTCAAGGAAAGGCTTCCTCGCCCACACACGTCGCCTGCATAAAAAAAAAAAAAGTCAGCCCAACCAACGCAACTTGACAAAGAGGGAAGCAAAAAGACACATACGCGCGCTCATAAATATGGTAGCGAGGATTTTTAAGCTCATTCCTCAACTTCGCAACATAAACAATAACCTCCTCCTTCGACCAAGGCTCCGGAGCCCCGAATTTGCAAAGCAACCACATAGCCCAGCCCTCCATACCAGATGTCCAATGATGGTAGTTAACAGTACCGGCCTCTTTATATCTATGGTCACGGGCCCAAGGCCCAATGGGCCACTTGTATTCTTTTTCACAGATATCCACGAACCCAGCCTTGCGGAAGGCGTCTTGCATCATATCGATTGTTCCCAGTGGCCGCCCGGCACGCTTACCGCACGCCGACAGCGTTGGTCCCCAGCTACGGAGGATGTTGTCTGCTGGTAGGCTGTCGTCGTCACATTCGATGAAGGGACTTGCTTCTAGTTGCTCGATCCAGCCGCCGGGACGGATATTGCTAGTTGGGGTTTTGGTTAGACGGATGAAAGGAGGAGGGAGGAGATAGTGGCTTACTCGTAACATTGTTGGTAGACTCGATCCCATTCTGCGTTATCGAAGGCTCCGATCATAATGCGCATGTGGATTAGGTCTTGGGGTTCATTCCAGGTCCAGTCTTCGGCGATGTTGTCGACTTCTAGGATGCAGTTTGGTGGCGTCCATGTTACTGGTGGTGGGTAGAGATCGACTCCGCGAACGCTAGCTGGGGTCTGGATTAATATGTTGATATACTATGGGTTAATTAGATCGAGATTCTGGACTCACCTGTTGGGAACATGTCGGCTACATCGCTAGAAGAAAGAGGGTGAGTGGTGTAATCATTTGTGAACATGAAAGGTGTTTTCTTTCCACGTACATGGCCCAGTTACCTAAACCTGTTCCAAGGTCGAGGATATGCTTGGGGTTCTTAACGGGCGCCCGGAAGAGAGGGTTCTCCTGGTCTGAGTCCATAACGAGGGCTACCAAATGGCTGTAACCGTTAGCTATTATTTGAAGAGACTATATATAAGAGGGTTCCACATACCCAGCTTCGTATGTCTCAAACTGCTTCTCATCGGATGGAATCCTAGTAGAAAGTAAGTAATGAACACCTTGATTCGGAAACCCAGGCGTACAGATATTCTTTGTGGCTCAATGTTTGATACCGTCGGCCATTCTCCTCGAGCCCCCGATAAAGCGATGAGCCGATCGAAGTGGTTTCCCTAAGATTGTGTGAGAGTTTATTCATATAGAAAAAGAGGTAATACATACGACTGCCAGTCATCGCCATAGACGGTCGCGATATGGGTTGTGGGATCCTAAGACTTGTCAGAAAAATAGATATAAAAGATACAAAAAGAAGCAGACATACCACAGCGATATTATCCTCCGGCTCAGTATGTATTTTATCCATTGTCAAAATTGGTTGGAATTTTACAGAAAAAGCAAAGTGGAAGATCAGAGAAATGAAGAATCTCAAACATGTTCCCACGAGCCCGCAATTGTGCGATACGAATTTGGATTGGAAAGGCATCAGAGCGCATGGCCCCCCGCTCAGACATCTGATAAAAGGTTAGTTATGTTAAAGGCCATATTAGGAACTACTCCGTAGAGACCTCCGCCATCATAGGCTTGAAATGTGGGCTTTTTATATGTGGGCTTGTGGGGTGGAAACCTATCCCGGTCGCTATGAGTCGTCGGATTGGATATCATTTCTACAGTTACATGTGAATGTGCAAAAGTACGATTACCTACCAATAGAAAGTGTTCTCATAAAAGTATATCCTTCATAGAAATTCTGCAGAATCGGGCTAAAACTCACTCCACTCCTTGAAACAGAAATATTCAACGTATACCAAAGCTTATTAATGGCGGCATTCTCAGACAATCACCCAAATATCGCATTTTAACTATTACTCTTACATCCTTGAACCTATCTATCTGGTATTTTCTAAAGTTGTACTCCGTAGACAACGGAGAGGTAGCATGCATGACTTTCCGGCTGGGCATTGGTTTATAATTAGCTATAATTCCCGACACGAGAAATACGAAGCAGCTTGCTTCATGTAGGTTAGTCCTATTCCAAACGAGCATATGTACATACTTGGGGACATCGCACAAGTACTGCATGACATATGTGAGGAAATAGGCTATCAAGTAGGCTATCAGATAGGCTATGCCGGGAATCCGGCCGGATGATACTTCAAGACTTGAACTATATAACCCAAGAACAAGACACTGTTAACACATTCCATAAGAATAGCAGAACATTGAAAACAACTTCTTCAAATATCTACAAATTCTAAACATGTCAAACTCCCTCCCCCTCAAAATGCGCAGCATCATCCAACAAACCGCCTCCTCCAAAGCCCTCACTCTAACAAGCACGCGCCTCCCAATCCCAAATCATGCACAGAAAGAGCACCTAATACAAGTAAAAGCCTGCAGCCCTTGTGCCGGCGAGCTCCTCTGGCCAAAGAATTTCCCCCCGCCAACAGCGCGTACTCTAATCCCATGCCCAGACATGGCGGGAATCGTCGTCTCAGCACCGGAAGATTCACCCTTCCAGTCAGGCGATGAAGTGTACGCGCGGACAAACTATGTCCGACCAGGAAATGCGTGCGAGTATTCCATCGCCGTTACGGACGAGCTGGCACACAAGCCTAAGGGCCTAAGCTGGGTCCAGGCTGCTGCGGTTCCTGTCTCCGCCGAGACAGCTTGGCAGGTTCTCTTTGTTCATGCCCTTGCTACCGGAGATGTGGAAGAGATGGATTTGGAGGCTGCCAAGCTTGCTTGGGCTGGGAAGAGAGTTCTCGTTACTGCTGCTTCCGGTGGTGTGGGTATTTGGCTTGTGCAGTTGGCGACTCTGCTAGGTGCGGAGGTGGTTGGGACGTGTGGTTCCGGGAATGTGGAGCTTGTGAGGTCTCTTGGTGCGAAGGAGGTGCTTGATTATCGTGTTGCGGATTTAAGGGAATGGGCTACGCAGTCGCCTTCTAATAAGGTGGATGTTGTTATTGATTGTATTGGAGGGAAGGCCCTCGGGGATGCGTGGTGGACTGTCAAGGATGGTGGTGTTGTGTTGAGTATCTATCAGCCGCCCTTGCAGGTCTGTCCAGAGGGGTTTGAGGGTGAAAGTGTGAGAGACTTGTTTTTCGTTATGCAGCCTGTGAGGAGACAGCTGGAGGAGATTTCAAAGTTGGTTGAGAAGGGGGTGTGTCGGGGACTGGTAGATAGTGTCTGGCCTCTTGAGCAGTACGAAGAGGCATTCAAAAGACTGGATGGAGGTCATACAAAGGGGAAGATAGTCTTTGATCTGTCGCTGAATCATTAGTAATAATGCTTTTCTAGCATTATTTACACAAACCGCTACAATGCACGAGATACGAGAAATAGAAGATCACTGTCACTTCTGGAGGCTTGGTTCTGGGTAGTGGCTAGTACACATGGAAGAAATCATATCATAGCAACCGAAATTCTCTCATGCGAATGATTGTAATTCACTTAATCTATAGAAATAATATTATCTATGGCTTCATCGGTGCCCGTGTTCCCACCAACAAAGCTGTTTGACTTTGCAAAGCAGGCTGAAGTTACTCTCTATAGGCGTTTCGTATAAGCTATCCTTTTCGCACATGTGATATTGTTCTTGTTTTTGTAATGCACTAATCCTCATTAGTTTACAGATTAAAGGGGGCAAGCTGTAAGCACTTAAATAGGATAGTATAGGAAACCGAACCTACAGCCGTAGATCCATGCCCCTGACAGCTTGATTCCGATTCCACGTGGTTAGATAGTCCAGACTAGTATAAATATGCACCGGAGGCTCTGTCTCGTATTTATGAGGCCGAATGGGAACCATATAAACAGGTGACCCTATACCCCGCTCTATATCACATCATATCCTTATGATTATAGCATTGAATTTGTATTTGATAACCTTAGAATTCAATACAATATCCAGGAAGGTGATCTAGGTTTACATATGTACCTCTAGTAGTAGGTCGATCAACTGGATCAATTTGACTATTAGTGCAGGAGACGAACTTTTCCCATTCATTTCTCCGTTCATTTTTCTATTTGAATTTATTGTGAAACCCTTGATAGGTGGACTTAAGAAGTACCTAGTCAGTTTCATAAGATTTAGTTTGATTTTCAAAGCACCAAAGTGGACTACCTAAAAGTCGGAATAATCCTGGAATGAAATTGGATAAATGCCCGAGCAGAACTCCAGGTAAACTTTTTTTCTATGATCTCCACGTTCTTAATCAAAGTAGAGTGTTCATAAAATGTCATGTTTCACCTGTCAGACCTCCTTGGCAGGTCCCAATCAATTTGAAACTCAGGACATCCCTGTTCGGCGCGTGGAGCCAGGCTTGGCAACCCTAGCCTCAGGAACATCGGTCTTGTCTCGGGAGAGAAGATCATCCGGCCTGGTTCAATATGCACCCGATGGCCATATTATCCCGATAGGATGTGATCTAGACTTATCGGCAGTCTCACTAGTCACTTCCCGGTGGGGGAGCGCCGTCCCTTGGGTATGTCCGATGTGTTTCAGCATGGTACGGCCTTACGCGCCGTTCGACATGTCTCTGATAAGTGTCGGTCTACTGTTTGTAGTTAATTAATGCGGCGCATACAGCTCAACTCAAGCTCCTTTTTGAATATGTCTACCGACTATATAAGCGGCGGCATACCAGCCCGACACAAGACCAGTTGAGTATGCTGGTCAGTCCTTTTTGAATTTTCATTCACATTCACATTCGTTTCCTCCGGTTTGAGACCGTGCAGACTTTCATTCAAGTATAGATTCATTCCTCGGTCCGGTTTACCGATTTACATTCACTTCCCCCGACATTACAACTCCCCAAACATGAAGCATTTCACTTCCGCTCTGGCTTTCGCCAGCATTGTCTCTTTGGTCAACGGCCATGGCTTCGTCACCAACCCGAAAGCCCGCCAGCCCGGTACCGCAATGCAAGACGCCTGTGGCGCTCAAGTAGTGTCCAACCAAGGATCCGACAAGTATGGCAACATCCAAGGCGAGCTGCAAGTTGCCTCTGGCCAGAGCGACTACCAAGCCGCCGAGTGCGACATCTGGCTTTGCAAGGGCTACAAATTTGACGACAACAAGGACAACGTCTACTCGTACAAGGCAGGCGAGAAAGTCGACTTCACCGTCGACATCCGCGCGCCGCACACCGGTGTCGCTAATGTCTCTGTCGTCGATACTTCTTCCAACACCGTCATTAGCAGCCCCCTGATCTCCTGGTCTGACTATGCATCCGTCGCCACCGGCGTCAAAGCCGACGAGACCAGCTTCAGCATCACTATGCCCGATGATCTCGAAGACCAGTGTGTCACCGCCGGTGACTGTGTGCTGCAGTGGTACTGGTACGCTCAATCAATCGACCAGACTTACGAATCTTGTATCGACTTCACTCTCGGTGGATCTGGCTCCAGTGGTGGCGCCGCTCCGGTTCCGTCGTCGAAGGCCTCGTCGACCTCCAGCGCTACGGTGGCTGCTCCCACTACTACTGCGGCCCCAACTGTCATTGTTCAACCTACCACCACGGTTCCTGCTCAGCCTACTACTACTTTCGCCACCAGTGTCCGTCAATCGGCTACTTCTGCCGGGGTGTCAGCCCCTACCACCGCTCCAGCTAGCCCCGATACTACCGATACCGCCGATGATGCCCTGCCTTTCCCAACTGATAGTGCTGCAGATGTCCTGGCCTGGCTCCAGGCCATGTTCGGCACCTTGGTGGGTAACTAAATGCGGATGGCGCAAAGACTGACCCACTAAAAAGTGGGCGACATAATGTCGGAAGCACATCAATTTCAGTTTTGGAGCTACCTGTACCTCCCATATTAGCTAGTAGTTAGATATATCGGTAATTAAATGTCAGATTTACCATTTACCATACTTTCTTCATCGTCCTGGATCCCAATGCAACGCTGTTCATAGCGATATCGGAGAGACCGCCGATCATCCGACATCGCTACTTCCTCGATTCACTTTATTAAGCATAATATATTCATATAAAAACAAGTACATATTCCCTATACAACCAAACATCTTCTAGTATTTCAAATCATCAAAACAATGCACTGTCGCCTGAACTGCGCAACAACCAGACTATTCAACAACTCCCTAGGAATCCCAATCCGACCAGTTTACAGACACTTCACCACAACAATGCTCAAGCAAAAAAAAGACTGGAGCGCAAGCCAATACCTCAAATTCGAGAACGAACGCACCCAACCCGCCCGTGATCTCCTCTCGCATGTGCCTCTAGCAGCCCCAAAGAGAATAATCGACCTAGGCTGTGGCCCAGCCAACTCAACAACAGTCTTGGCAACACGATACCCATCAGCAATCATAACAGGCCTAGATTCTTCACCCGACATGATCGAGCGCGCAAAGAAAGTCCTCCCAGACAGGGAATTCCACGTCACAGACCTCAACAGCTACACACCAGACCCAGCTAAGCCAGTCGACCTCTTCTTCTCAAATGCGGTGTTCCAGTGGCTGAAAGCCGACGACCGAATTACGGTCATTAAACGACTAATGCAACCACAGCAAAAGGACGCTGTTTTTGCTCTTCAGGTCCCGCATAATCTGAATGAGCCTTCGCATATTCTTATGACGGAGACTGCTGCTGACGGCCCGTGGGCGGCCAAACTCACCGGTGTGCAGAGAGATGGGTTCCAAACGCCGCAGGAGCTTTATGATCTGGTTAAGCCGTTTTGTAGTCAGGTTTCGGTTTTTGAGACAAGTTATTATCATTCGCTTGAGAGTCACGAGGCTGTTATTGAGTGGGTGAAGGGGACGGGATTGAGACCGTTTTTGGATCCGTTGGAGGACGGAGAGAAGGAGGTTTTCTTGAAGGATTATTTGAGGCGCCTGCAGAATGCGTATCCTGTTTCTGTTGATGGGAGGGTGTTGTTGAAGTATCCGCGGTTGTTTATGGTTGCTGTAAAATGATTTGTCTGGATGGGTAGTTCTTGCTTTAGCTTCGATAGAAATCTACTTGTGTATCTATAGCATTTTATTACTGATTCCTTTTGTTTTCAAAGATAATATGGACATCTAGAGATAGAGAAATATGGAATGCATTGTTCGATGAGAAAAATGGACGAATTCACATCCACAGTGCTACTCGGTGAGCTGCTTGGGTATACCAGAGCACCATTTTCCAATGGCAGCTCAGACAGTTCCGGAAGAAGCAATTTTAATTGTACCATCAGTCTTTCCAGACCGATCCAAGCTCTTGCTCTCCATCTTCTGGAGGATATCCTGACCAGAAACAACTTCTCCGAAGACAACGTGCTTGCCGTCCAAGTGGGGAGTTTTCACAAACTAATCAAGTCAGAACAACATGTCTCAGATCTTTTTATTTGAGCATAGTTTTGACTTACAGTAATGAAGAACTGAGAACCATTGGTGTTGGGTCCGGCATTTGCCATGGAGAGTAAGCCGCCCTTGGTGTGCTTGATCTGGAAATTCTCATCCGCAAACTTCTCGCCGTAGATGGACTTGCCGCCCGTGCCCTAAAGAGAGAGTATAGATTAGTCGGAGCTCGGGTCTTCCCGTGGCGCGACTAACATTTCCGCGAGTAAAGTCACCACCCTGGGCCATGAATCCGGCAATTACGCGGTGGAAAGCAGAGCCCGCATAGCCGAAGCCCTTTTCGCCCGTGGCAAGTGTGCGGAAGTTGGTCGCAGTCCTCGGGACGACATCGTCATAAAGTTTGAACTCGATGCGGCCCCAATTTTCCACTACATGGTGTTAGTGTCTTAGGAGTGAGACAAGAGAGCAAACTGACCCTGGCCGCCAGCCGAGGTGTATTCAATATCAAAATAAGTATTGGACATGATGAATTTGAAGATGTCGAGGTGAGATGGGAAGTACAAAGTAGAGCTGGAAGGGGGCGGGGTAATAAATGAGGGGGCCTATGCAGCAATGAGGTCATATCGCAATTGAATTGGGACACACTAGGATATATGAACTAGAACATCTTAGTTGGACAAGGGTTGATGTCAGATTCACTTGGCAAGCCTCTCATTTATTGGAAGGTCATCTACAACTTTGAATGATGTAGACTCTTTTTACTACGACTCAGAAGTTATTGATATATAGTTTACTTTGTGAAATCAAAACTAAAGGATCTTTGTAAAAGCTTGTTCGTATTCAGTCTTGAAAAGATATAAGGGGTCTCAGACAGTCCCAGACATCTTCACAAAGATGCTGTTTTCACAGGGACAAGACTGAGGGGTACATGGTGAAGTGAACCCAGTCTGAGACCAGCAAAGAACAGAAAAAGAGAAATTCAAGACCAATTGACCAGAGCAAAGTAAAAATCGAACAAAAAAGGTGACTAAGACTCCCATCCGAGCCTCTCATGCTTCGCGTGCATTGCCACCTAAATCCCTTCCCATCTACTCAGAGTCGTTGGCGGTTTGATCCTCCTGCTCATTGTCCTCCTCGTTGGGATCAAGATGGTCGGTGGTGGCAGTGTGCTTCTCCATCTTGGCGTTGAGTCGCCAGTACTGTTTCTGCACAGTACCAGTCGGCTTGCCCGCATCTTTTGCGACGGCAGCCCAGTCGATCTGTAAGACAACTCAGTCAGTAGAGGTCATAGTATTATGTGTTGTATGTATGGATATGTCAACACATCTGACATATATTTGTACTTACCTTCATACCGCTAGACATCTTCACACATTTCCACAAGAACACTAGGTCCCTTTCAAAAGCGGCGGCTTTGGCAAAGGAAAACGTGCCAGAAGAAGCCCTGGGAAGGGAAGCGTTGAGAGGGGAAGCATCGGGAGGGGAAGCATTGGGAGGGGAAGCATCGGGAGGGGAAGCCTTGGTAGAGGAAGCCTTGGCAGGGGAGACCTTGCCTGTAGTTCGCTTCGTGATCTTTGCCTTGGCCGGCTTGGTGACCTTGGACTTGGACTTGGGGGTGGATGGCTCCTTAGGCGCCATGTCGATAGCAAGTTTGAGTTCTGTTTGTGTAGGAGTAGTTTGAAAACAGAAATGTGGTTGGGAATAAATGATTTGGTATGGGGAGGAGAAGCAAAGAGAAGAAGAGAGACAAATGAGACGGATTGTCATTTATAGCGGGTCTTGCGCGCGTGGGTGCGTTGCCTCGCGCAGGTCAAGCCGCCGACGATTTTGTTCTGACTTAAGCCAGGACAAACATTAGGCAATCTCCACAGAGCCACAACTTAGCCGCGCCAAATTTAACATAAGCTTCAAGGTGATTTTGGCATTTATAGGCAGAGATACTGTCTCTCTTGCCTCCATGATAGCAACAGTGAGCACTCCCAGCAGACATCAATCTGCTGGAGAATCGAGGTATCTGAGTTATCATGTTAGCGATGTAGCATAATATCTAGTTCTAGTAGCATACATACTTGCCTTATGCAGGTACCTTGAAGCCAAATACCTGCAGTGTATATGTACGTTGGGATGTCGTACTTCCAAAATGCATAACTACGTGCCAAGGCGCTTAAGTGGGGCCTGCGCGGTACTGCGGGCAGGATCAGCTTGATAAGATAACTAAGCACTGCACTGCCACAGGGGAATTTCCAGGGTTATTTTGCTCCTTACATGTAGGGTTTCTTTCATCACATTCACCCAATTCACACCCCATTCATCCAATTCATCATGGAGGAACATTTGCGCCAAAGTCTTTCCAACCACCCTCATGCCTTCCAGAGCTTGCATCATAGTCATAGCAACTTGCCGTCGCACCGGTCTGACAGAATGACTTCACTTTCTATTAACGAAGGTACCACAACTGCGCTTGACCACGAGCTCACCACTATACAACAACACCGTAGTGGTAGTTATGCCGATGCAGAGGGTCAACCTCCACCACGCTATACCCCCGAAACCGATCCATTCCAGCTTGCCTCGAAGCTGAAGACCGAGGATGAGATCCGACAGATGAAAGCTAATACCTCGCGGAAACGAGATTCCACCACTGCAAACAAAAGCCGGAAAATGGGATCCATAGTCCAAGACACTGCCCGTCTTGGAAAGCAGGCTTTTGTCACTAAGAAACTGCAGGGATTCTACGAGTCCCAAAACGAAAACATCGAGCGCATGCTGAAACCCGTTGAGGAGCACCGACGTGCCGCCCGCGAGTTGAGCATCGACAATCGTCTCAAGTACCGAATCGCTGTTTACGGTAGTTTTGCCGCGAATATTATACTCTCGGTCATCCAGGTGTACGGTGCTGTGTCGTCCGGGTCACTCTCTTTGTTCACCACAATGGCCGACGCCGTATTCGACCCCATGTCCAACCTGACTCTCTTACTGTGCAACAAGGCCGTCAACCGTGTCGACCCCCGCAAATTCCCGGCTGGAAAAGCCCGCATCGAAACCGCTGGCAATATTTGCTTCTGCTTCCTCATGACCGCCGTCTCTTTCATCATCATCGCCTTCTCTATTCGCGAACTGGCGGTGGGCTCTGAGGAAGAAACCCAGAATTTCCACCTCCCCTCCGTCATTGCTGTCGCCGTCGCCTTTGCCACTAAGCTAGCCCTTTTCCTGTACTGCTGGGCCCTGCGCAACCAGGTCTCGCAGATCCGCATTCTGTGGGAGGATCACCGCAACGATCTGTTCATCAATGGGTTCGGTATTCTGACCTCCGTCGGTGGCAGTAAGCTGCGCTGGTGGATCGATCCTATGGGTGCTATTATTCTGTCCGTGCTGGTCAGTGTGCTGTGGCTGCACTCTGCCTATGGCGAGTTCCAGTTGCTCGTTGGTGTTACTGCCGACACCAAGATGCAGCAGCTCATCACGTATATCTGTATGTTCATTCAATTTGGTTCTTTTGAGCTCTTGGTTTTGTTTTTTTTTTTTTTAAAAAAAAAAACTATCCACTAACATTCCTATTAGCCATGACCCATTCTCCTGTCATCACTGCCATCGACACTGTCCGTGCATACACCTCTGGCCCTCGCCTTCTGGTCGAGGTGGATGTTGTCATGGACGCGGAAGCATCTCTGCGTGCCACCCACGATGTTGCCGAAGAGCTCCAGATTAAGCTCGAGTCACTTCCCGACGTTGAGCGCGCCTATGTGCATGTTGACTACGAGACCACTCACAAACCTGAGCATTCCCTGAAAAAGGAACTCTAGAGACTTTGCTTGGCACATGGGTTTGGACTGCTTCTTTATTTTGGACAGCGTTAACTCGAAGTCCACCCAATGCTTCAATTTGCTTTGGGGGATATCTTATTGGAAATCACATAATGACTTGAAATCTCAGTGTCTTTTCTGATGTCTTTTTTGATCCCGTTTTGGCTCTCGGCATCTTTATAGTAGTTGGCATTGGTCAATCTTAAGTGGACTGCTCTGTTTGAAGAATATTTTTAAGAGATGAGACATTGACATGATGTTGACAACAGCTTATGATAGTACCCAAAATAGGATCCACTGGTTCTAGGGCCCTTGAGGGAGAATATACTGTACCGTAGCCCGGAGCTTGTGATTAACTTCCTCGAAGTTGTCCTAGGTGACTCTAGAAATCTACATATCCAGGATCATAGAAATGTCCAAGCCGAGTCTGCGCATATGTTCTCCCACTGTTAAGTCCACAAGAGGCCCACGTTCGCGCCTTCCCTTTTTGGTTCCTTCCTTTAGGTCAACTCGTCACCCACCCTCATCATCCTCAGCCACTAGGTAAATATAAATACCTGGCCCCCTCCCACTTTTCTCTTTCTCTTTCTTTCTTCTCTCGGCGCGCTCCGGGCCCCACATTGCACATCGTGGTTCCTGTTGTCCAGTGAAGGCGTCCCGAGGACCCTGATTCGGATCTTTGACGCGGTCCAGGTTAGGCTGAAACTAGATTGGGGCCCTAGGTCCTGGTCTAATGGCACGAAGCATGCGTGGCCCGGAACGGTCCCAGGGATCTGGGACCTAGTACCCCCAAGCCTCTGTGGATACAGACTGTACTTTCTTGGGTTCTCCATCGACCGTGTCAGGAGCCGCCCCCCTCGCCCCTGCCCTCCCCCCCCCCCCTCAACCGACCCAGCTGCACGGGTCCTGTCTGCAGCACCTGAGCAAGACTTGCACCTTTACGTGGTGTTCAGGATAAGTAGCCTTTATGGTGAAACCAAGCAAGTCCTCCTTATTTAGAAATACAATAGAACTTTGTGTTAGTCACTTCAATGATCAACCTCACCATACGTCTCTCTCAGTAAATATCTCCTGGTATATTACTACTACCTAACTACATTGTAGTACTGCACTAGTCTTTCAATTAAACACCGTGATACGGACATAAAATTATTGGAAAAATATTAGACAACATGCAAACATAGTCCAATTGACAGTTCCCCTCTATTTGTCCCATGTTAATCTCACGATGCAAAGCCTAGGTCCTACACTAGTGCACTTGAAATGTGAATTCACACCAACCTGATTTCCCCTCGATATCCCAAGTTTGGTTTCAAAGTATAATGTCTCGGGCGTGGAAAACAGACTGTAATCTGAAATTGTTTATGTATTGGGACCAGGGCAATGATACTGTATAAATATTCTATCCCAGTGACGGCACCTGTGTACACACCACAGTCAATGCGTGCTGCAGCTCACCCAACTTCCGTAATAGATCGACATTCGCTTGTCCATACATATTATTTTCTCCCTGTATACCCACAACAGCCTGTACTCGACGATTGAGAGTGTGGCACACATGAGATAAAGCCTGCACCTCACAAAGCAGTAGTTGGGCTTTCATCTTTGTCTCTGTTGCACGGGACATATTGAAAGCATCGACAGCCAATGGAATAGTCAATGGGACAGCATATGTCGATTCTTTCATATTTTCAGACGGTTGAGACAGGCCAGTAGAGTTCTTATCGCCAAACTGGCTGTCGTTCGAATGATGTGGTCGCGAGCCCACGCCTTCGAGACCATTCGCCAGTGGAGTGGTTGAAAGAACAAGCCCACCAATTTCAGATTGGTACATGGCTTCATACCAGCTCAGAATTTTCAAAAGAACAGAGCCGAAAACCAAGAACGTGGGAGGGTCATGTGCGCATGATCTTCCAGCGCAATTTAATAGTCGAGAAATCGTTTCCGTGGCAGATCGAGTCATCCAAAACACAGTATCGTTTGTAGAAGGTTCCTCCGGGGTAGGTGGTTTTAATATCTTGCGAGATTGAGCATCGTTGCTTGCATGTCCATTCATACAGTCGGATTGAACGAATTGATATAGTGAGGAAAGCGTCCGACATGCGACCACAATACAAGGTTCGTGTTGATCGCCTTCCGAATCGTCTCGCATTTCGGTTTCTTCCTGTCCAACTCCGTTCTCATCGTTCATGTGTCTCATCTCATTATAATTCGAATGGTCATGCTCTTCATGGATCGGCTCTGGAAGAGAACCGATGTTTCCACCGTTGGCCACCGTCGGATCCGACCCGGCCATATTAGGCCAAATGAATCCTGTTGTTGGCAAATATGATATTCCTGTATCTTCATCTGATAGCGATTGATGGGGAGTCAAGCTGGGGGTCGAGCTATTTGGTGCGTCTCTTTCCCATTCGTTCGACGCGGCATTTCCAAGGCCCGGGTTTGGAGGATTAGCCATTGGGAACATTGAAGACCGGTACCAAGGGCAGCTGTAGTTATAGTTGGGTTGATGGTGACTCGGGCCTGTGACCCAGTATGGTGGACCGGGAACAGGAGAAGCTGGAGCTGGAGCAGGAGAAGATACTGGGACTTGAGAAGACGAAGAATGGAGAGGCGGATAGGCGGTGGTTTTATTGGAAGGTGGTTTACCCTTTCGTCGCGACCGTCCATACACGCATTTGAGGCCATTTTGAACACAACGGGAACAACCATGCTGTTCTTTCGTACAGCGCACCTTCGATGCTGCACAGGGATCACATGAAGTCCGAAATGGAAGCCGTTGGGACTTTTTTGTATTGTTCTGATTTTGGTGATCATATGTCTGCACCTCCATCTCTTCGGACGGAGTCATGAACATTGTTAAGGTGAAGATCGCATTCCATCAGATCTCGAGATTTTTTTTTCTTCTTTTATTTTTGGGCCCAGGAACGCTTTTCAAAAGATTGGAGCGAACCCCTGTCGTAAATCAGCCACAGCTTACGCTGATTCGATCCAACGATGTCGAAAAGATATGAATCTGGCGAATAACATTCAACCTTGGAGGCATACAAATTACCAATCACCAACGATGTTACCTAGTGCTTATTACATATGTAGTCGTGTCACAGTGTTTCTACCAACATTGGCGCCGATTTTCATTTTCCTATTTAGTCAATCTATACGTGCTAGAGATCAGTCATGAATACATCCTCAAAGCCTTGAAACCTCATAGTATGAACCTAACTGAATTTTGAACATCTTGACCTTCAACATCCTCAGAGCCTTCAAGTTACTAAGATTAAAAGCGATCACTTCTTTGAAGATACTAGAAGTAGCATTCCTAAAAGCACAGAGAGCATACATACAAATAAAGCTAAGAGTAAAGTCTCAAGCCCCAACTCCAACCTTCTGACCATAAGCACAAGTCCCTCATACTCACCACGACCTCCCCCTTCCGGCGACAAAACTGCACATAAGAACCCTTCACCATCCCATCCTCCTTCAACGGCAGATATTCCTCACGTGGTAAATGTGTGAAACCCCACATCTCACAATAGGCTTTTGCCGACCGGGAAATTTATACATCGACCTCCGCAACACCTCGACCGCATCGCACGATGAACAGTCCTTACAGAAATCAACATACCCACATTCACCCGAGCAACTTCCCCGACCGGTTCACCGAATGCGCCTCGCATGCCTAATTGTAAGCGATTCCCCCGGCGACGCGGAGCATCTTGTTACTTCGGATAACGTAGTTGGAAACTATATCAACTAGTCATATAGCTAAGCTCCCAAGGCCTATTGGTGCAGCGTACTTATGTTGCACTATTGCCATGCATATCGCGCAGAAGGCGAAGCATCAGCTATTTCGAAATCATGGCAGGACAGGATACCTGAAAAGGAGAATCATGGTCATTTGCTACTGATACAAAGTGTTCCAATATTACAGCATTGCTGTTTGCCTTCGTTCTTTAAGAACTTTTTCCATCTCTCTCGGTTCTTGTGTATTTTCCTTTGCAGCCTCGAAAACAGCATGAGTGATAGGCACGTCACTGCATTTCTGAAGGAGAGTTTCCATCACACTGGCCTTGAGGAGCCTCGAAATCTGAATGACGACTGACTCTGTAACCTTCAATTCCGAACCGCGAGTTCTGATGAAGAAGATGATCAAACTATCTCCATGTTTTACTTCCGCTGCCGCCTTGATCAAATTCTCAGTGAAGGGAAGCTTGATAGTTTTTCTCGTAATGAGAGGCAGTATTTCACTTGCACGAGGGTCTCGAAAGCGCTCAATGAAGGCACCTTCAGTGATGTGATGTGCGTATCTTGAGAGCTTCTGAATTCTCCCATATTTCCTAAAATGAAGACTATTTAGATCCCGAATAAGGTTCTCCGTGAAAGTCACCGAAATTTGATATTCGATCAGACATTCGAAGATATCCTGCCTTTGTTCCAGATTTAGATGGCTCCAAATGTCTTCACTCAAAGCACCGCTCACGCCTCCATCGATATCCAGAAAGCGTTTCATTCTGGCACTGAAAGCCCTGAATTTGACGAGCATTCCCCAAAGTTTGTACCCACGATCCCCACCTTTGATTGCAAATAAGGGGGCGTCATCCGGGAACGCAAAATTTGTTCCGAGGTCTGCAACGAGTGGTTTGTGCATATAGTCTCCTCTTTGAGAACCCTTATCAACAATTGTGATCAAGTCTTCCTGAACCTGCAAAGTAGCTTCATTGTCCTCCAAAGCCACAATAATTGGGGTATTTGCACCGAATTCATTGATAGCAGCGAGTATCAACACATCTTCTGCAGTGGCCTCGGCCCTTTGGGGATAAGAGAGGCGCCTGATGATGTTCAAGCACTTTGCGATTGGACAGAGGAAATCTTCGCTGACAAGTAGTCTAGATAGCCCGTGAAAAAGGACGGCTACCACAGACTGCGAGTTTGAAGAGTTCATTCGCTCCTCAGTTATAAGCACATCGCCAAATTTACAGTCGAAAAGTTTTTCCATGATTTCGGCCCTACGCCTTTCGCTTTTACCTTCAAAGATAGCATCTAAGACTTTGGTGTTGAAGACTGAATCCATTTTGTGTGACTCGGTGTTGGAGTGCTTGTCGGACCCGGGCTGGTCCAGAAGAATAGCCATGAGCTTACTACCACAATTCTTGTTCCCAGCAGCCCTTCGGAGGACTGTCTGCGCGATTAACATTCCGGACGGCTGGGCTAGAAGTATAGCCATAAGTTTGCCACCACAACCACTGTTCTCAGCTGCCATTTGGAGGACTGTCTCTGTGATTAACATTTCGGACCCGGGCTGGTGTAGAAGCATAGCCATAAGTTTGTCACCACAACGACTGTTCTTAGCCGCCCGTTGAAGGACTGTCTCCGTGATTAACACTCTGGACCCGGGCCGGCGTAGAAGTCGAGCTATAAGTTTGTCACCACAACCATTGTTCTCAGCCGCCCTTTGGAGGACTGTCTCCGTGATTGACATTTCGGATCCGGGCTGGTCTAGAAGTAGAGCCATAAGTCTATCACCATAACGACTGTTCTCAGCTGCCATTTGGAGGACTGTCTCTGTGATTAAAATTTCGGACCCGGGCTGGTGTAGAAGCATAGCCATAAGTTTGTCACCACAACGACTGTTCTTAGCCGCCCGTTGAAGGACTGTCTCCGTGATTAACATTCCGGACGGCTGGGCTAGAAGTATAGCCATAAGTTTGCCACCACAACCACTGTTCTCAGCTGCCATTTGGAGGACTGTCTCTGTGATTAAAATTTCGGACCCGGGCTGGTGTAGAAGTATAGCCATGAGCTTGTCACCACAACCACTGTTCTCAGCTGCCCTTTGGAGAACTGTCTCCGTCATTGAAATTTCGGACCCCGGCTGGTCTAGAAGTATAGCCATGAGTTTCTCACCACAACCCATATTCTTGGCAGCCCTTTGCAGAACTGTCTCCGTGATTGAAATTCCAGGCTTGCACTTTTTATACAAAGTTAACAATACCTTATCTCCAATATCCTCATTTTCTACTATGGCATAAAGCACATCGTGGGTGATAAAGATAGGATCTCGAGCGTCTAAAAGTGACTCCAGCGCTTGATGGCCCACCCTTTGATTCTGCGCTGCTCCGAGAGCCATTGCTGTTAACAAAGACGCCGTAGAAGGGGGCTTTTCTGGTGAGCTGCCATCTGTAGACACGGGCACTTGATCTTGAAATTGAACCGAAAATTCCACCAGAAGCGAGGAAGTCTCAAGAAACCTGCTCTCGATCTCTCGCATAATGGAGACAGCATCTTCGACACGGATTGTCCCGGAGGCTCTCAAAAGCTGTCTCAATGCTTTCAGACTAGACCTGGCGCCTGCTGCAACAATTGCATTTTCATATTTCCCCTTGGCAGCAACTTCTGTACGTTGACTGATAAGTGCTTCCACCAAGAAGTCAAAATCAAATAGGGAGGCATAGTAAAGTTTTCCTGGGAGATGAGAAAGATAGGTTGCAGCACCATATTCCGAACAATTCTCCTTATCAGAGACGTCAAAGTAGGTTTCCTGGTCACAATCATATATCAACAGCCAGTTCTTGTATGCGCAGAGGAAGCTAGGACTGAAAAACCTTTCGATCAAACGTTCCAGACGCACTGAATTTTGGACCACAGAGGAACTCTCTTCTGAAAAGGCGAGTTTCGCGTGAGATGGCCAGAATATCGCTGCATAAATCCGCCCCTGGCTCTGAGACTCAATGAAATTGTACCATTTCGCTTCATCCGTTTCCCCCCAAAGTAGTAAACTGTCATTGGCTTCAAGCAGATAGCTTAAGTTGGCTAGTGCTAGCCTATAATGGAGATGATCAATGAAAAATTCTTCACTCGCATGGGTCGGATCTTCCAGAAATTCCCGAACTGATAGATGTGGGAAGTGGCACCGTGTGGAATTATCAACGACGAGAAGATTGCGGCAGGCACCAAGCACCATGTCGATTGTCAATGACGGATATTTGCGCCCATCGTATTCGAGACTCTGACGCACAAGATCAACTAAAGTACCTTGGTCCAATGTCTGGTAAGAGCCGATCATCCACTCAAAAGCCGCCCGAGCAATCTTGGGCTCGCTTCCACCTTGGGCTTGGATCTCAGCAAAGATCCTTTTATACACCTCTGGCAACCCTCGAGGTAACTGTTTCAACCAGTCTGGGATGTCTTCCGGGATTTGAGGCAGGCTACCGATGAGGAGAGTCACCCACTGGAACCTAGATCCATGGGTAAAATCAGCAATGCAAAGAGTACCTGTGATTTGATGCTCTTGTCAACTCACATTCCTTCATTTCTTCCAAGAAGACTTTTCACGATGTCGTCTTTCAAGGCCTGGGACAGGTTTGGGTGGCTAACCCTCGCCATTCTTTCGAGTTGCGCGTGAATGAATGTCTCGATATCTCCTTGATTGTCACTGGCTTCAATTCCGAGGTTTCCCTTGTTCTGCAGGCGTCTCTTGATGTCCTCATTTCGCCTGCTTGAGATGAATATCTTCAAGTCGCAACATTCGACCATTAATAGATCAAACGATGTCAGGATCTCCTCTCGGTCTTCAACGTCGGCCTCGTCTAGTGCATCAAGAATGAGAACCGGGTTTCGGGAGGAGTTGATTAACTCCAAGAGAAGAGTCTTGCTCTCCTCAACACTCAGCCTTGTCGATGACCCGCTGTGGTGTATCTCTTTGTATCGTTTAATAATAGAGTGCGGGATAGCATCTACCCGACGTGACATAGAAAGTTGTTTGATGTAGCTCCGCAGAATATTTCCTAGGTTGCGACGCTCTTGATATCCGCGATCGCAATAGAAGTAGGCGAGTGTTGTGTCCGGATGGTCGTTTTCAAGATGATCGATTACTCTGGACACCAATACTGACTTTCCAGCGCCAGCTATCATATCCTTTAGTCATTTTAGTGTTGTTACAATCGTGGGAAAACTCACGAATACCATGAAGCCACAGTATGGTTGGCTCATCTGAAGACTGCCAACTTTGGAATTCTTGATGCCTCAAGACCCATTCTCCAGTACCAGCTGTTCTTTTATATTTCGTGACTCGATGTTGTTCTAGCGTGTCGATTTCTGATACCCATCTGAGAATCTCGCCTCTCTCTTTCCCCTGTAGATAGTCCCAAATGGCTGTCACGCCAACATGGCCGACGTCATCATTCTGAATTTTCACGTCTAAGAGCTCTTTGGACAGCCGAAGCATATGATTAGACTGGAATCTTTCGAAAACCTGTGCTTCAGTCTCGGCACGTCTCTCAAGCTTCTCACATTGGAGCTCGAACTCTCCAATATCACCAGATGACCAGATGGCAGTGATGGCCCTACGGCTAGATCCCAGCTGGTAAACACGGGCAGCTTGAGCAAGGAAGTGTAAGATCAGAATGTAGAAATCGATCAATGCAGAGCGCAACCCCTGGCGTGCCCTCATTGAAAGGTCGTTTTTCGGCAGCGAGAGGTCATTCATAAGAGCCTCGTACAGCTGGCAACGTCTTGTGATATAGCAAATATGGCTTATACCAGATAGCAAGGACTCGATCTGGTTTCTGTTGGCTTCAACCATCTATTAACTGTTAGAGATGTAATTCAATATTGGCAATGGCAAGGAATCAGGTACCGAAATTAAGAATCTGATACCGGCCCAGGGTAAAGCAGCATGCACTGGGTCAGCGCTGACGGCGATGTCGATTGGGGCCTTAACTTTTTCTATCCAGTATAACGTCTTGTTTACTGCATCCTGGAAGCTGACTGTATGATTCCCTACCCGAAATCTCCAATTTCCTGCCTTGCAGGTTTCCCCTTTGTTTTTCAATTCTTGAACCATATCGTTCGTGTTGAACTGAAGTGCACCTTTGTCCTGTGGAACAAATCCTCCGACTATGACACGATCATCAGCCGAAAGCTGATCATGGGCTTCCAGCCATAGGTTATCGTGCCGCAAAGCAGATGTCGCTGGGTCTGATCGGAGCGCAGTGTTGAGCGTTTGACCATGTAACGAAAGGGAGTCCGAGGAAGGCCGTGGTGGTGAAGCACTTGCCGAACTTGAGGAGAGATGAGTGATACCATCGTGTTGATTGGAGGGCTCGGGATTTTGGGGGTAATCCTCTGTGCGGCGACGGTTTTTCTTGCGTTTGAGTATCTTGGATAGCCACATAGCAGATTCAGAGAATCCCTCTTTGGTTGCTCATTCAAGAGAATAGATGGAGGAAGTTGGAACTTTGCCAGGTCTGAGGCTCCTGGCAAGCAGAAATTGGGGCCCAATCGAGGGCTGTGCTGGTCCCAAAATGGGCTTAGCCAATGGCTAGCGAACAAGTCGGATAGTTGAGCCATCACCCTATCATTGGAGGGGGAGTTCTCCCATTGGGTCGGAGCCCAGGATCTGAATGAATGGTTGGTTATTATGGTGTCTTGTGTGGGATGCATGAGCTAGCATGCATGAATGCCCAGGTGTGGACCTGTGCGCTTAGCATGTGGTACTCTTATGATACACGTCTAGCCCTGTACACACCTGTTTAAACTACATAATTACACACATATATGTAGCCACATTGAGAAAGGCGCTTCTTTATCAGCATTTCTCACTGTGTTAAATAGTTCAAGGTTATCTATATGTTATTCGGCCATGGATGGTATTCCCTTGGTAATATTGGAAATGACACAACTCTACCATGACTCTTTCCACAACTAAGTACTCCATGAAGCACTCACTAATGGACACGCACTTTCGCTTACTGACCTCCATGCTGCTAATTAGTCAACATACACCCGTCGTGGCTGAACTAACTAGAGCATCCATGCTCACTAAGCCTGAGCCTCAGCGCCCTCATAGAGAGGAGGCAGCCCAGATAGGAAGGGCCCCACCCGGCGGACATTCCAAGTCCTGTCTATCGTTATATATATACATACATAATGTATATATGTACATATGCAGATGCATATCAGAGCCGTATGGTTTCAGGTTCCGAGGACGGGGCCATTTCCGCGATCTACCCGCTTTGTGGCTTCGGGTTGTCTAACTGTAAGATGGAAAATCTCATATCATTGGCTCGGACAGCCCGTGCTGTGGTTTTCGCTTTCTTTTTCGGTGCGAGTTCCAGTCTACAATTCATGGGAACTACAAGTATAAAGTTGGAAAGTTGGATTCCATAGCATTATATATCATGAATGAAAAGAAGTCTATTACTGATCTCATTCATAAAATTCAAATCTAATGTTATTGAGCAAAAGGCAGTCTAGCTACATTCCCAATGCACGATAACAACCTGAGAGAAAGAAGTGTCTAGGGCGAACATAAGGACAGGAAGGTAGAAGAGAAAGAGGGAAATCGAATCTCATAGAATGGTGGGGGAGGTACAAAAAGAGTTAAATGGTATTGTTTACAACAATGGACGAGAACAGGAAGGAGAATAAGAATGATTCCAGAGGAAAAGAAGAGTAATCTAGACATCTAGACGAGCTGTTCAAAGAGAGCAATGGTAGAACAGTAATTGCTGTTGTTTGGCTTGGCGGGGACTAGAGGCCTGCCTCTGTTTGAGGTAACCATGTTGACAGCGGCCTTTGTGCTAAGGCCATACAGCTTGACATCCGAACAATCGACCTCGACCATATTCTCTTGGCAGTCCTCGGAGTTGAGGCAGGATTGAGCATAATTCTCGAAGAAGCTGTAGAGACCTGCACCGTAGACGAAGACTTCCGAGGAGCGTAGTACACGCAAACCCCAGGCCTTGCGGCAAGAGTTTGTCTTACAGTTCCAGAACTCAGGGTCGTTCCAGAAGCGTTGTGGGGTGAATGGGGTCAGTGAGTTCGGGTTTGACTGGTAGTACGGAGTCTCAGATTGAATCAGGCCCATGAAGACGTTCTTCGCAGTTGAGACCTGGTAGTTGTACAGCTGGTGGTGCTCCGATGAGGTACCCCACAGCCAAACGGGATTTTGCGACTCGATGAGCACACCGCGACCGGTGTAGACATTTATCTGGTTGTGGTCCTTGAGATCCAGCTCGTGATCGGCAGTCCAGAACCAGGTGTTCTCGAGATAGGCACTGGCCGTTCGGGTAATGTGCAGGAGCATAAAGGCAGCCATGCACTCCTTCTTGGGTGTGGTCTCCTCCTTAGGGGTCTTGGGGCAGGTGTCGCTCTGCAACTCGGTGCCAGCTGCGCCACCAATGCGGAAGTGAACATCCCACATACCAGCGGAACCTTGAGAAGATCCAGCAACGTTCCACTCCATGAGGATTGCGCCAGGGGCGGGACCCTTTGTGGTGATAATGAGGTCGCTCATCTCGACAGAGCCAGTTTCACCCCGTTGGCCAACCTGGAAGACAGGAACAGGTTTCGCTTGGTTGGCAAACTTCTCGCCATGTGCCATGAGCATGGGCCAGATCTCACCAGTGATCTTGATGTCCTTGGGAACCTTGATGGTAGAGGTAATAACGTAGGCACCGTGATCGAAGTAAATGACCTGGCCATCCTTGTAGCTATCAAAGATCTTCTGGATGGCCGCGGTGTCATCAGTGGTTCCGTCACCCTTGGCGCCGGCAGACTTGACGCTGATAAAAGAGGAGGCTGGGAGGTCCTCATACAGTGGCTTGGAGCGTTCGAAGATAGCGCCCCCGTTGAGCAGACCAGCGGGCTTGGAAGCAGTCCTCATAATGCTCTGTGTGTGGGCAGAGCCGACGGGGCGTGCGCCTGGGCAAAAGCCAAAGTCGCCATCACTATCAGACTCGGGGCCCTGGCTAATTTCAGAGCCGCTGGCAGAACTTGTAGCAGACGCAACAGTGGAGGCGGCGGGCACAGCAGGTTGGTGGGTAGAGAGTGCACTGGGGTGCGAAGAACTAATCGGCACTGCGGAAGTTGCAGGGGCTTCACTGGAAGGAGCAGCTGCGGGAGTGGGCTCGGGGACTTCGAAGGCCTCAGAAGACCATCCAGCCAGGAGAGAGAACACAGAATTCAGCCCGGGGATCCCAGTGGGAGAAGAAGGCCCAGGAAAACGATCGGTGTCGCTGCTGATACCAGGACCCGGGGCGGGAGAAGGAGCGGGGGCAGATTCAAGGGATGAAGTCTTCGCAGGGGCAGGAGCCTCGCCGCCCGCAAGGCTAGCGCTAGGAAGGCCGTTTGAGGCTGAACAGGCAAGTACAGTCTCCGTAACGGTCTGGACAACGGTGACCAGCTCAGGCTGAGGCTCGCTGGCACGCTTGTGAATAGTTCTGGACGGGGTGTAAGTATTACCCTGAATCCAGTTGGCGACGACAGAGCCACCTGCCAGGATAGTGTTGCCATTAACACCAGCCACAGCGACCTTGGAGCCAGAGAAGTCCACGTTATCCAAGATAAGGTCACCACCACCGATGGGAATGCTCTCCTGGGTCCACGCAGTCACGATACCAGTGGGGGTGTTGGTTAGCTTGCTGTCCAGCATCAACACAGAGCCAACAGTCTGGTTGGAAGGCGAGGTAGACATGTTCAGTCCAATCTCGCAGTTGTTGATCTTGAGGGACTTAAAAGTCCAGGCCCAATTCCAGTTCATGAAGATAGCAGTCTGGCAGTCGTTGAAGACCAAGTTGCGGGTGGTGAATTGTTGGTTACCAAGGAACATGCCGTAGTTACCGCCGTTGAAAGTCAAGTCGGACATGAAACCACCGGATCCGTTGTCCATAAAGATACCCTGCTGCTTATTGGCCTGACCACCACCCTTGACCATCTCGAAGCGAATGTTCTGCAAGCTAGTAGCCTGGCCGACTTGCCAATGGATACCAGCGCCAGAGCCAGCGGGGACGCTGGTCAGGTCAATGACCAAGTTACGAATAGCCCGGAAGAAGTTGTTCTGGTTGGTGAACCAATTGTCGCCGTTGTCCTCGTATGGATCTGAATCAATCACAGCCATACCTGTGAATTTGGCGGAGGCCTTGATGATGGGCAGTTCGACAGCATCACCGACGATCTGAGTGTAGTAGAACTGGAGGATGGGCTTTGAGACAACATAGGTACCTGGCGGGAAGTAGACAATAGCGGGAGTTGTGGTAGAGGAATCACAACCCTTACCACAGCGGCCTCCAGAAGAAATTGCCTTGTTGATCGCGACAGTGTCGTCCGTGGACCCGTCGCCTATTATATAGTCAGCATGTTGCCCGAGAGCGCAGAGTTCAGATGGATGACTAACCCTTAGCACCATAGTCCTTTACATTTCTGAAGATCTTGTAATCAGGTGTATTGGCGAAGGGGATGACACCCTGGCGCTCTACATTGGCGACCCAGTAGCTTGAAGCGGCAGATCTCTTCTCAGTTGTCGCCAACACATTATTGACCAGAGAAACTGGGGCGGCGACTGGCGCAGCTGCGACCAAAGAGCCTGGCAAGCCAAGCAAAAGGATGATATGGGCGACGAAAATCGCGATGGAGGTCTGTAGAACAGCCATGTTGAAAATCGATAACGCTGGACCAGCAGCGAAGTAGAAAATGCCTCAAAAAAAAGACTAAGGAATGAAGATAGTTCAGCAACCAGCACTGAATAAATCGAAATAAGAATCGAGTCCAACGCTTGACCAGCAGCGATATGCAGGCAGAAAACAACAGAAGATTTAAAGAGTCAATCTTCAGATGTACCGTTCCTGCCTAAAAGAGCACAGACAAAACAATGGAGTTATGCCGAAAGAAAGACAATGAAGGGAAATGAAGGAAAGAGAAGAATGAATAGCACACAAAATCGGGCACAATATAGAGATGGGATTCATACCTATAAGAAAAACGAGGCGTTTGCAAACTTCCCCTTCTCAACCAATCACATGCACCACAGCCCTGAAGTCCTCCCACACTCCACCAATCACACTCCAGAGGTTGGCGACAACGAAGCTTGAAACGTGATAGTCCGGAGTTGAAACGCTGAAGGAGATCACTCTTGCAGATTGACTCGGTTAAATAGCGCCGGGAAGTGTTTCGAATTGCACTTGAAGTGTTTGATTGGTAGGTAACTCCAAATTCTATCAACAGAAGAGTCAAATGAAATGAACAATAATAGGGTCCCTGGGTCTACGCGCTATATAACCAAATCCATCCCCAAACAGGGTATGCTGGATCGTCCATTCCAACCATCTAGATGTAGTTAGGAGACACGAGCATTGCAAGTTGCCGGGTATCACTATGTCCTTGACCCGGGTGGATCCCCCAATAGTATGTATGCAATCATGAAATAGTACTGATGATAGTCCGCGATTCCAACCATCGTGTTTGGAAAAGATCAAACGCTGCTTGCTTTTTTTTCCTTTTTTACTTTAGAAACAGGGCCAGCGTTTGTGTCTGTGTAATAAACATATGTAGCACAGATCAGACTCGATGCCTCGAGTCAAAAACGCGTTTATATTCCCAGTGTCTCAGATCGAGTGTTGTGTTGTCAGGGGTGTTGTTATGGGTGAACATTCCATAGGGGTTGGGAGGATTCCTGATGACGGAGAATACAAAGACAAGGTCAGGACACAAAGGTCACAACTTGCGGAATTCCAGGTCAACTTAAGAGTTGGCTTTGGTAAGGAGAAGAGAGGCGAAGAAAGTGTTAAAACCAAGCTTTGCCCCTCCCCCTGAACCAGACCGGCTCGGGATTGGTTTGCCCTTCTGACTTCCCATCCCTCGAACTGTCTCTTATTCTTGCCCTTATTATTAACCCCCTGTTTTTAGGGAAATTACATCGACTCCCAAGGCTCAATTCCCAGGTGGCGATGTCGGCCTCATGAACTAAGGTTCCAAAAATACCCTTTGGAGGCACCTGAGGGGCAACTCGGGCACAGTCCGTGCAATGCCCGACGCAGAGCCTCAACATGTACACGCGTGCAAAGTAGTATATCCAACTCGATGGGCTTGTATGAGCTGGCAAGCCTACGTTTAAATTGTCTAACTACTCCGAATACGGAGTATTGTATTTGAATTCCATGCGCCACGCGTCCCTAGTGGACACGCTTGGACCGTGCTCCGGAACAACCGGCGTGACTCTGTAGTGGGATCTAAATCCAGCGCATCAATACCTAGACCTGGGTACGAGTCATACGGTTGAGAACACGCGCTAGTCTACATATTCCCTCCGCCAAGTGTTGTGGTTCTTCCCACGCAAAGCAGAGACGCAGATGGTCCGCAAATTTCCCATTAGGCACCCGAGGGTCTTCTTCTGGCACCTGGAACAGATCACCCGGACATAAACGCAGATTTTCTTCGCTCTGCGCTCGCTGGACTACGTTGGCGGCGAGTAATGGTGCTGGTAGACCAATCCACATGAAGTAGCCTCCAGCTGCGGTAGTGGGTGCTGGGACTGTGACGCCCAGCGGGACGAGATGCTTGTGGATTGCAGATAGCAAGGTGTGATAGCGCTCGGCGTATTTCGGTTGGAGGACGTCGCGGATATGGGTTTGGATGATGCCAGTGGGGAACATCTGGTCAATGATAGCGGCGCATAGATGAGAAGGAGCGCCGCCCGATCGGGAAGAGCCTCTGTAAGCGATACCGGGTTAGTTTGCGAATCCGTATGTGAGAACGAAGGGTGGTCAGTCAAGTCATCCTGAGCGGTGCCCCGTACGTTTGTGATAATCCATAGGCAACCTTTTCCGACGCCTCGGCCCAGCCAGTGCGGGCCCCTGGACCGATTAGCTTGCTAAAACTGCCATTGCTTAGTGCGTGTCCCCATTCATCCTGTGGACCACCGTCCAAGAAGCGGTCCACGTCAACAATACGCGCAATACATGCGCGATCACCGAGATTTTCCTCTCCGTCCGGCTTAGCCGACCACTGAAGGAAATCGTAGACATCATCCGTAACAATTAGCGCATCGTACTGACGAGCGAGGCGAACAAGCGCTTCACGTCTACGTAGCGACATAATCTTCCCAGAGGGATTCGCAAAAGTCGGTACACCGTAGATAACATGCTTGTAGATTTTGCGCCAGGGTCTGGGTGGTTTCAGTTTCTGCAGGGAAAGAGGGGTCAGTCCGGGACTCAATAAACGATGGCACAGTGGCATGACATGGTGACGCTGCTCATGCCAGTTCAAACGGATCATGGACCCGGGGTTATCCTACCGGCTCGATATTCCCAGCACGCAGGGCGATATCCTCCGCAGCGCGTAGCCCGCTCTCCAGCACCGCTATGTCGACGCCCTCGTCATCTTCGGGAATTCCACGTAGGCGCCCGGCGAAGCCGGCATCATCCATAACGCGCGCGGCCAGGTGGTACGTCGGTGCGACCATCCATACATTCCGCGTGTAGACCGGGTCTGTGAAGGTTTGCAGCACGCATGCTAGGTTTTGGCTAGCCCCGCCGGTGATGCAAATGCGCTGTGATGAGATGGGCTCGCGTGGCTGGTAGAAATCACTCAGCCATGTTGCAATGTGTGTGCGCAGTGGCCCGTATCCTTCATCGGGGCCATAGAGAAGGGCTGGGTTTGCGATTGAGGGATTGGACAGTACGGTCGTGGCGGAGTGGCGGAGGATGGGGGCGGGGAGGAGCGCGGGGTTGGGCCAACCGATTTGGAGGTCAATGGGCTGGTCAGGGGAGATGGTGACAGTCATGACGAATATGTTAAATTGTGAATATGTGTCATGTGCTCATATACAGGTTGAAACTTGAAACCAATAATTAATGAAGCTTGGGCTTCCAAGGTTAAGATGTGGCAAAGGTGGACACTACATCCGAGATCGGGAATGGAACGGTTCCAGGGGGAGAGGTACAGGAACATATAGAATTAGCTAATTGCCTATTGGCTATTGTTTATGTGTCTAAATATACAGGCATTGAAAGTTGTATATTTTGTGTACTACAATATATGTTAGGTTGACATGCAAATGTCATCTGAATATGTTGTATTAATATATATATATATATATATATAGAGTACCCAAGGCATGTCATAAGAAGGTGCCTTGGCGATACAGGCTAGTATGCACTTGTATCCCCTCAATGCATAGGATGATCGTGTTTTGGATATGAACTCTTATTAGATGGGGAATGCTGGGGTGAGATATGTAAGTTGATTTCTATATCCAAGCTTGGTATATATATACATGTCTACATGTCTATATATATTGTTCTTCCCTTTTTTCTACAATATATAGACAATTGTGTATATCAATATGATTACTAGATAATATAAATACTCTACAACACCCAAATCTCCTGTAATTAATTAGGTCCACATCCAAGACATGCACAGCCAGGGGACCACCTTATAGTTCTATTATTGGCAATAAACTGGATCGAATGTGCTCCGTCATTTTCATTTTTCGTATTGTAAGATGTTATTAAGTGAAAAAAAAATAATATCGGAGCCTTATATATATTGTTTTTTTTTTTCAAACATATTAGTTCTCCTAAAGGTTCTCCCTTTTAACTAAATCTGTTTTGTTTTCTTTTTGGCTCACCTCAGCCTCATCCATTCTCTGTGGTAGTGTGTGAGGTCAGGGCTCATCAAGTTTCCCTGCCATTCTTCTCCCTCCTGCCGATCCATTCCACAACCCCCTAAAACTCCCCTCATCAGCTGCCAAGTAACACACTTCATTCTTCCAAGGCTCCCATGCGGGATTGACCTTCTCTTACCTACGGGTCGCCTTCCTCCTCAAACCTATTCACCATCTATTATCACCATGTTGTCGGCTCCCGTTAAGTCGGCGAAGCGGATCTCTTCCCTGTTTTCCCTAGGATCCAAAGATCGGGACTCCCATTCATCGCCCGCGTCTTCACCAGTTTTGAACTCAGAAAACACCCCGATCGATAAACGACGCCAGAGCAGCTCAAAACCCAGTCGCCATGTCTCGACCCCGAATGCCATCTTTTCTTCCGAGCCTCGAACCATGCCCGATAGCCTTGATATGGAGAGTCTACCTCCGCCACCTTCACTGCTGGCGGTGAACCAAGATCTGGCCAACAGCACTCCGAGTTCGCCCGTTGGCCGTCCGCAGAGTAGAGGTCGTGATATGAGCAGGCCCTCCAGCTCGGCAGGATTGACTATTCCCGGGTCAACCCCGGATTCCCGCCCCAGCACACCGTCGAAGCGCAGAAGTTGGATGCCGGGTCGTTCGCGCGCCAGCTCAATCGATAAGCGGCCATCCCCCGCCCTCCCGGCTGCGTGGATCGCAGGGCTGGACCAGAAGGTCGTTTATGATCTGTCTCCATTGTCCAGAGGAGAACAAGTATGCATACGCGAGCCTTTTCCGTCTTGAGAGGCTTTAAGCTGATATTTATTTTACTCTCTAGATCCAGGAACTATGGAACGAACAAGGTGACACTTATGTGTACATGTTCCCCCAGAATACCGGCCGCGCCCCATCCTTCAAGGTCGATTCTACCATATTTGCCGAATCCCCCTCCCTGACCTATCTAGCCCGCGGCAACGATGGCAAGAGCGGCCTCGAGCAGCCAACCCGAACACTATCACTCAACCCAATGTCTCCTCCTATGTCACCGCTGGACCACCAACCCGAAAACGACAACGATAACGACAGTGCTGGAAGCCAAAGAATGGCATTCGAAGATACACCAGACGAATTGCAGGAGCTTCATCTTTATCTCCCTATTCCTCTGAACTGCGATGTTTCTAATCCGCAAGCAAGGCTCACTCCAGAGGACATAGAGACTCTGCTTTTGTTCCGCAACCTTTTCGCATTCCTGCTTGGCCAGTCTTTAATTGCCTCACCCAAGTCATCCACTCTTTTCTCAATTTTCATGGACGTGGCAGTCCTTTTGGCCCGTTTTGAGTTCTCCAACTTGGATGCGTCCAATTTTGGTGAGACTGCCACCTCTAGTTTTAGTAATTACTGTGAAGAATTGCGCCTTGCAGATGTCCGTCGAAGCAGGGAGAAGACGATCGAGGCCATCGTCTTGGGCGAGCGTCTGCGCTACTATCCGCTCTATGTGGAGGGCTTTGTCCATGGTGTTGGAAAACTGGATGAGCTCAAACAACTGCGGAGCCCTAAATATACCTTCATCCACCCTATCACGCAGAAACGAATGGAGCGTGCGTTCATTGATCTCGACACTCGTCTGCGCGGTCTCTACGGCAAAATCGAAGATTTTGATTTCCCCTCTGTTTTCTCAGGTATCGCCAACTCAACTACTTCCGAGGAAAGCAAGGTGGTGCGCTTCAAGAACTGGAAGACCGGATTCCAAGAATTCCGCCGTTTTACAATTCAGTACTACCGACAGAAGTACGGCTCGTGGCCGCCCAAGGCTCGGTCAAAGAAGAACGAGTTCGAGGAAAGTGGACTTAACCGTCTTCTCCTTTTGGATCTGTACCACGACTTCACCGATCTCTACGATTTGATGGTCGATCGCACGTCCCTGACGACGCGCACAATTGATATTTCGGGCGCGGGCAGTGAATTGGTAGATACATCTGATCCAAAGCAAATGACCGTTCGTGCCTTGCGACAAGTTCTCTCTGAGTATGACCGCAGCACACCACCAGTGCTACCCCCCATTCCCTTCGATATTCCACAGATGCCTTCGCTGCAGCCCTTACATCGGAAACCGCTTGACACCAAGAAGGAGGCTAAGCAGAGTGTCAAAAAGCTCAAGAACTCCGACATCAATGCTGTCCTAATGGGATCTTATACCCGGGAGGCCATGCGGCCCACTCCTTTCATTGAGAGCTTCATGCAATTCGAGCGTCGCTCCGCGCAGAGCAAGAATGTTAATGAAATTACCGACCTCCGATGTGGCCAGTGGATCTTCCTATACGCCGTCATTCAAGCCCTTCCCATGCTGGTGGTGGATGTCCCTGATGTTCATTTCAACGAGGGCGTGGAGTACTTCCTCTGCATTGCCCCACGTGGCGGTGCTCCCTGGATCCACAACGACACCAAGACTGCTCGCAGCTGGTTCGGAGTTGCAGGTGGTGCTGGAGTTGTTAGCTTGCCATCTGACGTTGTCATTAACGGAGTGGAAGGTGTATACCGCCGTAGTCATTGCTGGCAAGTCGCCGAGCAGTGGGCCGAGGCGGGCTCTCTTCTCGATCCACCTATGGTGGAAGATGTCGCCTACGATGATGAGGAGTCCTCTATATCATCGCCTTACCCAGGCCATCATTCGTCGGCTGGATCGTCTTCGGAACCTTACCCGAACCCTATGATAGTCCCGGGTGGACTCACCCCACCTCCAGCCATTCCCCGAACTCGCTCGCCCGCCACTGCCCAACGATCTGAACATCGTCACTCATTCTACCCTGGATTGGAAGCCTTACCCCTTCCCGCAGGCATTGCCCCCATCGAACCTCCCACACGTCCGATTAGTCGATTCAACCCGAACATGAGTTTCGACGATATTCTCAAGGAAGTCCCGAAGAAGGACAACAAGAAGAAGCACTAAATACCATTGTCTTGTGTCTATTCTCTATGATTAGATTCCATGGCACTACGATACGGCCTGCATATTCAGAATACAAACTTGTTTTGTAACTCTGATTTCCATACTCTTGACTGTTTAATTTCTCTGTTGATAGGCGCATTTTGTGACATGAACTACTGGGTTGGGTCGGCGTGATGCACAGGGAAACGAAAACAAAAAGCGAGAACTTTTTAATTCATCGGGGGCAGCGTGCATGGGGAAGGAAACACATAATTATCAGCATATCGGCAACAGCATCTCCGGAGGAGGGACTTTTCTTTCACCTTGTTATTTTAATTTTTTCCTCTTTCTGCCTTTCTCTCATCGCCATGGATTCCCCCTGTTTTCCCGTAGTTTACCCTGGAAGCTGCCCAATAGAAATATAGATTCTAATGTACAATTCCATGTGCAAATTTGTATGGGTTTATATATTTAGTTCCTGATTTTGTGTGGAGTTGATATTTTGTAGTTCATGTGACCATTGAGTTGTCCTGGATCCATGGTTCTGGCTGGAGTAACCATATTCTTAATTTCTTTGTTTTCCCCCCATATGGATTGACCTCCAGGGGCTGCACTTTACACGAATGTCCTTCATTTCTCCCACTCAAAAGATCGAACCTATCAGACTGTGAAATCATGCATACCATACATATGCTGAAGCAAAACCCACTTAAGTAGGCAATACGAGAGGGACCAGCCACACAGCCTCTTTTCCTTTGTCACCGTTAGGTGCAGAGTCGACGAAAGGACCTTCACGCCTGCAGATCTCTTCCGGACTGGGCAAAGTACCATATGCTGTCGCTTGAGCTTGATTCAAGTCTAGCCTTGTCTAATTTCTCCTACCCATTCATCCCCTCGTGCTTTCTTTATCCTACCGGGGGAAAAGGGAAAAAAAAAAAAAAAGTGAAAGAACCCCAATCACTCAATCAAGAACGCCGACCATGAATTAACGACACCCTGTACACAACCATATATAATTTAATCGTCGCAACTCACCTTATTACCTCACACCTCACCTTTGCCCACCATGCCACCCTCCCGCTCCAGCGTGACGAGCGACAGCCACGAGCGCCTCGAACCACGGCTCCTACGCGCAGCAGAATCAAACGATATCGACTCTCTCAAAAATATAATAACCCTCGCCCAAGAGTACAACCAACTAACCGACAACTTCCTCCGCATCGGGCTAATGCGCAGCGCCGAACGAGGATGCATCGCCGCAACAGAATACCTCCTCACCCAAGGCGCGAAAACAGACGTCCCCTCCAACCGAGCCTCACCCCTCCTCCGTGCTGTAGAGCGCGACCACTACGAAATCGTCCGTCTCCTCCTTGACCACGGCGCGAGTCCTGACTCCGCCGATAAAGAGGGCCGCACAGCCCTCATGACCGCAGCATGGAAGAACCACGCCGACATCCTGCATTTGCTCATTATGCGCGGGGCAGATATGAACAAGCACGATTTGCGCCGAAGGAATGTGTTGCATAACCTCGCTGCTGATAAGTCTTGCCGATGGGGGTGGGGGGATGAGATTGTCAAATTGTTATTGAGAACAAAGTGTCTTGTTGATGGGGATGAGGGGAAGGATGAACTTGGGCGTACGCCGCTGCATTGGGCTTGTGCAACGGGGAATTGGAGGTTGGCGGAGCTGTTGCTGACGAGGACTATTGAGAGGGACGGGGAGGAGGTCCAGATGCCCGCAGAGATCGATGCAGTTGAGCTGCGTGGTAAGACGGCGTTGCATATTGCTACGGCTCATGACCGTGCGGATATCGTGCTGCTGCTGCTCGCGCACAAGGCTGCTGTTAATGCTACTAGTGATGGTGGTTGGACGCCGCTTCATAATGCCTGTGATAATGGGTGTGAGGAGATTGTACGCATTTTGATCAGCGAAGGTGCGCATATCAATGCTCAGCTTTTAAATGGAATTACGCCGCTGCATCTTGCTGCGCAGGGGGGCCACCGCGAGGTTGTGCGGTGTCTTCTCGAGAGGCCGGATCTGAAACGCCGTGTTAGGGATAATTTTGGCAGTACACCGTTTCTGCGCGCGGCGCAGTTCAAGCGAAAGGATATTGTGTTGTTGCTTGCGCCGTTTAACAATGTCGAGAGTCTGTCCGATGATGTCAAGGAGGCTTGTGCGGCATTCGATGCTACTGTTGTTGATTTTGGAAACTTTCATAATGAGAATCGGGTTAAGCGCATGTCAGTGTTTAATTTGCTTTATGGGAGAGACCAGGAGAATCCTAGAAAACAGGCTGTTACCACTGTGCCAGCTGATAGTCGCGCAACTGATTTCCGGTGGATTCACCTACCGGCGAATAATATGGCGTGGGTGGAAGCTCTGCTTACCAAGTCTTTTATCGAGGAGGGGGCTCACGATGTTGATGGGTTCAAGGGGCTGGAGAAGTCTTTCAATTATCAGCATCGGGGTCAAAGAACTCACTCGCACTTTATGCGGCCGTTGTGTCAGAATACACCCCGGACGATGCTGCGGCGATATGAGGAGGAGAGTTCCGAGGAGCCTGTATCTGATCATGCACAGGCGAAGGCCACAGATAGCGGTGCCCGCAAGCAAAAAAGCACAAGTGGCAAGCCTGAAAAGGTGGATTCTTATTTCCCCGATGAAGGGGCAGGGCCACATGGGAAAAAGGGTAAAACCAACCCAAAGCGTGGCAAGTCGGGCAGCGCACCGGGAACTCCCAAGCCGCAGGAGACGAAAGGGAAGTCACCGTGGGGCCAGGGCGAGAAGCAGGCGAGGTCATCAACCCTACCTTCATCAACCCTTTGTAAAGATCCTCACCCTCTGGTTTCTGCATGTAATGTCTGCGTATTCATGCCATATTTACACTTTGAGACCACAGAGCGCAGACAAAGGATGCAGGATGCAATCTCACGAGCAGAAACGCTTGATCTTGCACCCAATGGGATAAAGAGATTGCGCACAAGAGACGTATTGCTCATCGACGCTCATCTATCATCCTCAACAACCTCCCTCCATGTCCGTCGAACACTGGACCAGTTTTTCTACCCAAACATCGATACCAAGAGCCGTGACCAGGATCAAGTGGTGTACCGGTACCAGACCAAAAGTCCAGGAATGGAGTCAGACCCCAAGATATTCATGGTGGATCAACTATGGATGTGGGTTCTAGGTACAAATCTGATTGTAACAGCCTTCCCACAGAGATGGGATCAACCTAAGAATGACCCGCTCAACGTGCTGGATGGGATTATCGAGGATATCAATTCTAAAACCCGAGACCCTGTTAAATCTGTCTATGATCTAGCCATGATAATCACCAATCGATGCTCGGGAGTCTTTGATCGACACCGCTTGGGCGATGAGGAGTACCAATTCCTAGATATGTTCGAGTCATCCATTGGTATAGCTACGGACAAAGAAACCGTGCTCTTTAACCAATTCAACCACGCCTCCGGACAGGCATCAGACTGGCTGAAAAGCCACCGGAAGCTGAACGGCTCCTACAGCTCCTCACCAAAGTCAGGCAATGGAACAACCGACAACGATCAAAGCAGTAACTACTGCGACGAGGACGGGCAGCCACTATTCGTCGACCGGCTCCTGGATATCGGACAGGAAACTAATCTCCTAGCCGAGATAAAGGACATCCGAGACGAGCTGAACATGATCCGGACGGTGCTGGAGTACCAGAATAACGTACTGCTTGATTTCCAGGATGTCATCTGTGAGACCTATCAAGGCCAGCACCGGTCTCAATTCGAGGTCAAAAAACGGTTCAAAGACCAGCAGCGCATGATCGACATGCATCTGAAGGATATTGACCGCATGGATAAACAGGCTGAGCGAATCTACCACTCCATCACGGACCTGCTCGATCTCAAGCAGAAACACGCCAATGCGTTTGAAGCACGTTTTGCCCGTGACCAGGCAGCCGGTACAGCCCGTCAGGGAAAGACAATCATGGTCTTCACTATTGTTACTATTATTTTCCTGCCGTTATCGTTTATCGCTTCTGTCTTCACGATCAACCTGAAGCAATTCGAAAACTTGAGTCTTGGTTATGTGGCAAAGTATACTTTTGGTATCGGCTTTGCAATCTCCATCCCACTTATCTGGGTTGCTCTCACTGTTGATGATATTGGTGGTTTCTTCCGCGTGGGTAGCCGACGCTGGCGATCTAACCGGGAGAAGATGCTTGCAAAGGGTGAACAGGGCGAGGACACGTTCCAGACTTTAGAAATGGAGAAAATTATAAGTTTGTCGCGCATGCGGAGGAGCATCGACGTTGGATATAGTGGCACTCTGCTACCTGTTTCTACACGCGGCACTGAGGCGTCGAGGCGGCCTAATCTATACGTCAGTGAATTAGGCAATGGCACTGTGCGAACAAGTTACGATCTGCGGTTTAGTCAGGATTACAGATCACGATGATACGATTTACGGCATGTAATGATTGGATATCGTGTCTTTTGGTTTCTCATTTCACCTTGGCCGTTTTGCTGCTTCGATCTTTGGGCAAAACTTGGATATACCCGCCTCTAAATAACGCTGAAAGTAATTGGAGTTTCGATTAGAATTGAAGAACCTTTGGATGAGAATTCAAGACACTGTGATGAATTAAAAGGCGCTAGCTCTAGCACTCGTAAAAAACAGTGTCTAGTGTTTATTCCATCTCCATTCCATCCGAATACCCCTGGCTCCCACCTTTTCCATTGCCTAGGATCTCAGCGGGGTGGTACACATTCATCACGGCCATAGCGAAAAGCATCAGAAGACCATCGAAGATATACATGAAGACCTCATGTGTCATGGTGTACCCATCGTAGCCCTCTTTGTACTCGACCAAGCGGAACACGGACCGCACCAAAATCAAGAAGCTGACAATATATAGTCCGAGGATGATGGTGAACCAGTTGCGCTGTTTCCACCCCTGACTGCGAGTTTGGTCGCGATCTGACAGCGATCTTGCAGTTGGGTTGCGTGAGATGCGGAAGTGGAAGACCGTCGTGACAACCACAAAGAAGCCGAAGAAGAGAAGCTGGACGACGAGACCACCTATGGTTATGTTCGAGCCTGTTTCACGCATAGAGCCCGCAGTAGCCATAAGACCGCCGCCTGAGATGAGATGTAGTTAGTATTTATGTTCTCAGTCCATGACTAACCTGCTATATGATTTGATAATAGCGGCTTTACTTACCAGAGCACTGCAGAAGGAACGAGAACACATCTCCTGCCACGAAGACTTTGGTCATCCACTTGACTGGGACCAAGCTCAGGTGTTCCGCGTTCAGATATGTCACTGTTCGCCCGAGGATCATGTAGATCGAGGCCGCGTAGAGTGGCGGAGCGAGCAGGATGAATAGAGTCTGCATGGCATATAGGGGGATTCCATAAAAGTTATCATGCGATGCAGCTCGACATATGTATCCTAGGATCTGGACTGTATGAGTTCAGAGTCAGTGATGCTTGAACATAATCGAACAAGTAGCTTGCGTGGGTGACATACAGATCCCGCCAATCACAAATGGCACAAAGTACCAGCATCGCGACCTGACGAGCTGATAGCCGTGGTAAGCGGTAGTGATGCCGAAGAGAATGATGAAGATGATAGCGGCTGGAAGAGAGGGATTGTACCCGTAGATATTATGTTTTTCGCCTGACGCCATCTTGAAATGAGATTTGAAAGGTTGAAGAAGTTTAGTTCATTTCTGCTAATTGGGGGTCAGATGAGAATTATATCAAACTGGCAACAGCCATCGGCTGGGCAACAACCATCGCTACCATAGCCCATAGCTTTGACACCTAGACAGGGTCTACGATCCACTATAAATTTAGCAGACTTTCGAATTGAATACATTGATTCGAGCGTTATTCTTATCATTTTGGGAAATGTCTTGGCTTTTACGCAGCCTTGACAGGCGAAGTGGGGGCTTGGGGAGGCTTTTCAGCGAATTCGTTTCCGTCTCCGTTTCCGTATTCGTTTCCCCGTATCCCCGTATCCGCGTTCGAATAGCTTTATATTGCTTTTAAATTTAAATATACTCTGATAATGGGCCCAAGGAGAACACATCGGAAGTCACGAAATGGCTGTCCCCAATGTAAGGCACGAAGACTGAAGGTGCGTCAAAAATGCCCCGGCTTCAGATTTTTCTAACTAGCGCAGTGTGATGAGCAATATCCATGTACCAACTGTACCAAACATGCTATTCAATGCTCCTATGTTGAGCGTGACATATCAACTCCCGCCGAGACTCCAGCTACTCGGTCAGAGTCATTGGCATCGTCGTATGGACCTTCGCCATTGAACGCGGAGTCATACCCGGTAACTCCCGCTGGGAGCTCAGGGGCTGTGGGTGATACCAAGCCCAAGTCAGAGAGTAGATCTGGTCTACTGCAATTCCTGTCAGACTCGCCAGGTGAAATTCCGTTGTTGAACACAGATGACTGGGCATCAGATCTTGAACTCATGCACCATTACTGTACCGTGACATGCAACACACTGACAATCCGCGAAGACTCACGGCATGTCTGGCGAGTTATTCTCCCAGTGGAGGGATATTCCAATCGATATTTGATGCACGGACTGTTAGCTCTGGCTGCCCTGCACCGCGCCTATCTCTTCCCAACCCAGAAAGAAAGGAACATCAAGGCGTCTGCCTACCATCAGGCAGCCGGGCTAAAAGAGTTCCGGGAGCTCATTTCCTCCCCAATCGACCCTAGCAACTGGCAGCCTGTTTTCTGCTTTGCCTCTATGATCATGGTATATGTCTGTGCCTCACCGGTCCGACTGGGCGAGGATCGTTGGCCAGCTCCGATATCAAATATGGTAGAGCTCTTCTCCGTCGTCCAGGGATTACAGACTCTTATGGAGCCATGGCTGCACTCTCTTCGAAGAACTCGGCTCGCACCGCTTGTTAACTGTGTCTGGCTTGAAAGTGAAATGCTTATTGCAAGGTGAGTTTTTGAGTGCTTGTAATCCTATATCGGGATCATGGTAACCCTTAACTGGACCAACTGATTCCGTTCCAGCCCAGCAGGCATGCAGCAATCTTTACTTCCTCCCGACATCCAGGTTCGGATATCACAACTCCATCGGTTTGTTGACGATTATCCATTCCCTCATATACAACCGCAGTCTCACCAGAACTTGAGCGCTTCGGATGGATTACCACGTCCTCCAGATCACCTTGCAGACTACAAGCGCTCACTGAAGTTCTTTGAGAACTCAACTCGTCAGATAGAGCTCGCAGGGCCCCATGTGGAGGTTGGAATGGTCCTAATGTGGGCATACTCGCTTTCCAAACACTTTCGAGATGACATGGAAGCATGTCATCCTGCAGCTCTTGTGCTGCTGAGTCATTGGTGTGTGCTGCTGCATATTGTTGACGATTCTTGGTTCATCAAAGGCACTTCGCTTCAATTGCTGGAGGAGATTGAGCTCAAGCTCAACCCCGGTTTTAAAGAGTGGCTAATATGGCCGAAACGATGGGTCTTGGGGAAATGATCTCGACCTACCCTGTTTTAGTGATTTTCAAATCTGAATTATTGATAGATTTTCGGCATTTTGGTCATCGATATTCGCCATGGAACTTTGGTTTATAAGAGAGAGCAAAATTGGTACTTATTCCACCCAAATTTGAGCAGCGATTGATTATTTCACGACAAACAACTTCAAATATTAAATGATAGATGAAAACAAAGAATCATAACAGAAATCATAACAAAAATCATAACAAAAATCATAACAAAAATCCAACTAATCCAAAATCACAGAAGTTTGACCTTTGTTCACTGCACATGAACCTTGACATACTCTCTCGCGTCGCCATCTTCAACATCGCTCTCTTCAGATTCCACCGGAGTGAGAGTCCTCTCATCCATAGCCATGGCGTCCTTTTCATTCTCCAACTCGCCATCCTCCACAGAAACCTTCTTCTTCCCAACTTCAGGATCCTGGACAATTTTAGGCAAAGTAACATTCAAAACACCATCCTCCAGCTTTGCCGAGATCTCATCAACAATGACAAAAGCCGGGGCAATACGAGTCCCAAGACGGACCTCGCGTTCAAAGACGCCAACGTGCTGAGCCCGCTCTTCTATAACAAGAGCCTGGTTCAGATCCTCATTGACGCCGGGCCGGTAAACAACACCTGCCAGATGCAGAACAGACTCATCAGCATCATAGTCAATGCTGAGATCACTCTTCTTAGCTCCGGGCAGTGAGACATGCACAATATAATTGGTGGGAGTGTCGAAGACGTCAACGGAAGGCGTGAAGTCAACGCCCTCTGCAGTAGCTCCATCCATGGGGAAACCAAGTCCTGCACTAAACTGGCGCAGGAAATCGAAGGGACCGCCGAAACCGCCATGGTGTCTGCCGCGACCACTTCGACCTCCTTTTCCGTGGTGACCCTGTCCGTGGAACCCGAAATCGTGAGGACTGGCGTTGTGATGGTGGCCCGGGAAGCCGTATGGACCAGCATAGGGACCGTGTCCATGTCCATGTCTGCCCTTTCCGCCGCGCCCAGGGCCCCCCAAAGCACCGGCGCCGTGGAGGTGGCCATGGCCGGAACTGTGGAAGTCATATGGCCCAACGTGAGGGCCATGGCCGTGTCTTCCCTTGCCGCCCTTGCCGCGGAAGGGACCTGGTCCATGGTGACCGGGGCCTCCATGGCCCTTATTCTTGGACTTTTCGCCGTGGCGGCGGTGGTGGTTGTCAGGGGAGTCAGAGTCCGATGCCGAGGTTTCAATTTTCTCCTTAGAGGCGAATGAAATAGCTTTGGGCTCTGAGAGCTCGCCGACTGCTTCGGAATCGCGTGAGAACTCCTTGGAGGTGTTGTGGTGGCCATGGTGACCATAGCCATATAGCCCGGTGTGAGGGCCATGTCCATGCTTTCCCTTGCCACCCTTTCCATGGAATGGGCCTGGACCCCTGTGGCCCTTGCTCATACCGTTACCCTTTCCGCAGTGATCGCAACGATGGTGGTGGTTTTCTGGGGAGTCAGATTCCGACGCTGATGCTTCGTCTTTCTCCATGTTGCCGTTGGAATTAGTGGGTTTAGCTGCTTGAGCTCCCCGGGAGGTATTGTCGCTCTGCTGGGAATTATCCCATCCACGACGACCATGTCCGTGGTGGCCGTGGTGGCCGCGGTGGCCGCGAGGAGCAAAGAATGGATGGTCCTCTAGATTGCCATTGACCATGTCCCAAAATGGATTGGAAGGTTGGTTGAGTTGGTAGATGGAAGCCATCTTGGTGTGGTAGATTGTTGTGAGAACTTGCGAGAGGAAATGATATGTGATACGTTGGAAGATATCGAAAAGGGACTCAAGAAAAGCCAGAAAAGCCAGAGAAGTGAAAGATAACTTGATCTGATACCAGAAATATGCGAGCTACGACAAGCTGCTCTTTATATGCAACTGGTGTCGCACCCAGGCAGCCGTGTTAGCCGTCATTCTGGAAGTATACGTACTACAGCCCTGCCTAACCATGTGCATAATCTTCATGCGAATTCGCCATCAGGGCTCGGAGCCGAGTATTGGTCCCCATGTAGCAATATATCGGTTATAAGAATGTATTGAACGATGATCTCCGGACCAAGAAGAAACCTAAAACTGGAAGGGGCGAATAACGATACATAGAATGGAGGCTGACGGTATACCGCGGGGAAAAAGGACCATCCCAATTAGGCAATTACCCCCTAAATCCGAATTTTGACTCACCAGGGCTGCGCCACTCGGTGTACTCGTATGCGCCACACGCTGTCACGCATGGATGCGTCATAACACCGACTACTTGATACCGCTCTGCACACCGCCTATAGAATCGAGGCAAAATCTGAAGCAGGACATGGGTACGGAGTAGTGATCGTTGATATGAACTGATAGACAAGTTCATTTCAATCCATCACATGCTATTTGCGTGGGTATTACCGAAGGGCGTCATAAACGGGATAGGTTTGGACTCGGGCTTCTTTTCGCTGAGGAATTTGGGCTCTCAAGTTCTCGAACACAATGGCGCCCGTTGGACCGCGGAAGACAATGCGAGAAAACAATCCGGACCCTAGTAGCATCAAAGCTTCAAGCCATTAGAATCCCCGAGACCCTTGAAACAACTTGTTGTGTTTATATTATCCATGTGATCTTGCCAAGCCCTAGCCCAACCCTATCATATGACACTCCCCTCGAACTCATAATATCTTTCGTTTCTCTCCTTTGTTCATAAACTTTCAAAAATATTCACATCTGATAGAAACCTCCCAAAACTCTTCAATGCCATGTGAACAGCATGTGCCTAAAGCTTCCGATCGCCTCCGAGGACACGTGCAGCTCCTTCTCACCGACAGCTCCGAAGAGTTCCGGGTGTCCACGAGCTTGGTACGGAGTACGGCGTAGATAGAGCAGTAACAACAGTTCTCAGCTCGCAACACGCTCACAGTTCACGGGAGCATGAGTATCCGATACACTATGGACCCTACCAAGTGGACCAGACACGAGACCCGCTCCGGACATCTCCTTTCCTTGCCCTGCCGAAGTGAAGTCATCGATGTGTCAGCAGAAGCTAACTTTTCTTTAACAGCACCAATGCCGCATTTATATAGCGGGTTTTGGTGCTGAAATGGGCCTATTTTGAACGGACTACCTTCAATCCATTGATGAACACTGAGTTCTGTGTTGTCATGCAAGCACGGCCATTGAGAGCGATGCTCCCTCTCCGGCGCCAGGCCCGATGTATATGGAGTTCATTTCCCTGCATCGCGCACCCCACCTCCACATACATATCTTCTTCTAGAATTTCACTGGCAGTTCATACAACACCAGGTCGGAGGTGCCTCGCAACACAAGCTAAACAGCTCGCCGCAGCCCCGCAGTCTGATACTAAAAAAGAACGAGTTGTAATTCTTGGATCCGGCTGGGGTGGATACACACTCTCGCGCAGGCTTTCCAAAAAGAACTATGCGCCTCTCATAATCTCACCTCGGTCATACTTTGTCTTTACTCCTCTCCTCACCAATACAGCCAGCGGATCCCTCGATTTCTCAAACATCGTCGAGCCCGTGCGTGATCCGCGTGCCAAAGTCGATTTCATTCAAGCAGCTGCGCGTGCAGTTAACCTGAAAAAGAAGACTCTTCTTTGCGAAGCAACAGTCGTAAAGAGCGGTGTTACCGAGTCACCTCGCACAGCCGAAAAGGAGCGAAGAACCGAGGAAGGCCCGGAGACAACAAATATGAAGCCGATGCAAGCGCAGCGTCAATGGGAACAGGGAGAAACATTCGAAGTACCCTACGATAAGCTTGTTATCGCGGTGGGCGCTGTGAGCCAGACGTTTGGAACACCGGGAGTGCGGGAGAATGCAATGTTCTTCAAAGATATCGGAGACGCAAAAAGGGTCAAGCGGCGCGTGCGGGAATGCTTTGAGCTAGCAGTTCTGCCATTAACTACCCCGGAGATGCGAAAGTGGCTGCTGAACTTCGCGATTGTCGGAGCAGGTCCAACCGGCATCGAGCTTGCGGCATCGCTGCGCGATTTCATCTATTCTGATATGATGGCGCTATATCCGAGTCTCGATGAACTCCCAAAGATCACCCTATACGACGTTGCGCCCAATGTACTTTCAATGTTCGACGAGTCGCTTTCGCGCTATGCGATGGAGACTATGAAGCGCGAGGGTATTGATATTAAGACCTCCCACCATGTCAAAAGCTTGCGCTGGGGCCCGCCTGGTGCACCTCCACCGTACCATATAGATCCAAAGCGCTGTCTGACTCTCACAACGGAAGAGAACGGTGAAATGGGCGTTGGAATGTGTGTTTGGGCGACGGGCAATGCCATGCCCAAGTTTATCACCGAATCGCTCGATTTAGTCGAAGAATTCCCTACAGATTCAGTCTATAGCATCGGGAGCTCCTCAAAGGAACCCGAAAATTCCGGAAACGCATCGTGGAAATTCAAGAAAGCTCCTAAGAAAGGTCCTCTTCTTGTCGATGGGCATCTACACGTACAACTGCAAAACGAAAAAGGCCAAACAGCCGTCCTCCAGGACGTGTTCGCATTGGGTGACAATGCTATGCCGGAAAATGGTGCCCCTCCTGCAACGGCACAGGCCACTTACCAAGAATCAAAGTGGCTAGCCGATCGTTTGAACAAAGGTGACATGGCTCACACTCCGCCGTTCTCTTTCCGTAACTTGGGCACGATGGCGTACATCGGCGACGAACGGGCATTGATGCAAATACCCCATAAGGGTGATCGTGGTTCCAACAGTTTTCTGCCAGAAGGTATCAAGGGACGAACCGCCTCGCTCATTTGGAAGATGGCGTACATCAGCATGTCCATCAGCTGGCGCAATAAATTGCGTGTGGCTTTCCGGTGGATATTGAATAGGTTCTTTGGGCGGGATGTTTCGCGGTTTTAAAGATAATATAGACAAAATATGTCCCACTCAGTATGCCTAGAGCCAACATGAAATCCAAGAAATCAAGTGCAAATCTAGCTCATTGATAGACTGGGTGGCCAACTAGGTGCCTAGCAGTACAATGAAAGAGGATGTCATTGCACAACCCTCACATACGCCTAGATCGTTAGCCAAGCTTACCTTTTCATGGTGTGGGCCTAATTGTGGTGATAAAACGTCCAAAGCATGAAACAGAGGGAAGATCTTTAAAGATATCGGATGCGGAGTCATACTTGTACATTCAGCACTTTTGAATGACACCACTCCACTGTCGATCCATTATTCCACTCAGCGCTGGGAAAGTCTTCTGAGAAAAAAGGCGCTGGATTTCTTCCTCCTCTGTTCCTTCGTAGGGTTTCTTGCCGAGCAAAATCTCGTAGATTGTAGACCCAGAGCGAAGAGATCGGTCTGCACAGAATTTGGAGAATCTTCATCTCGTGGTAAGAAGTGTGAGGCATTCTCCATGAGAATCGCCTCTGAGCCCTGTAATGACGAACCTCCGAAGTCGGATAATCTGACATTGTAGTTCCTGTCTACCAAGAATTGACGAGCGCTTAGATCGGAATGAATAACATCTTTTCCATGAATAAAGACCACTGCCTCGATTGCTTGTCGAGCAATGCGGTATTTGGCATCCTTTACTCTTTGATTTGTACTTCTAGATGCCTCTCACCTTACATAGATATCATCTTTCATGCTTACGGTGAATGAGGGTGGGTTAACCCTTTCCCGGCAGAGATAGGCCGAAGGAAAGAACATCACATACTACATACTTGTAGGCAACTGTGTCCCTCAAACCCTGATTGTTACAATTCACCATACAAATCAGAAATCCGAACTTCAGCGATCTTTCAATGTGCTATTAGTGTTGTTTGATGAGTATACCATTGATATAAATTCCTTGATCTTTCAACATAGATAGATCTGAGACTCATAAAAATGGTAAATATAAGTGAGCAATAATAGGAAACCTGCGAAGACCCCACTATGTAGGGTCTTGTACGTATCAATCAGAATGAGAAGGGCCTTGGTGACATCGCTCTTATGCACTCCAAGGTTTACTACTTTGCACACCAGTTTTTGTTCTCCGGACTCGAGGATCTGGCTTTACAGCGCCTAACACAGCTTCTTCTCAAATGCGATACACCAACGTATCCATTCTTCCTGGGTCTTGCGCCCACCATTTCATCCGTCAAAATGGCACGAAAAACTCACCCGAGCAAGAAGATACATCTTTGATTTCGATTGGATCAGGGGCAGCCTTTTTGGGCTGTCCGCGGGCCCCTCAATATTGTGCACGCAAAGGCCCATGCGCGGGATCATGTATTCATTGAGAAGAACTGCTTTCTTCTATGGTAGTCGGGTCAACGTCACCTCCCCATGGTAAGCACGGCCGTTTTATCATGAGAAGTACAATTGCTGATCAAGTCACAAGGTATGTGAATACAAAAATTCTGTCGGATGAGGCGCTCAAGCGTGTTTCCAGTGTTGGGGTAGAGTTTGCACAGGCGGAAGACGCAACGCAGTGCTTGCTGAGAATCCTCAGCGTCAGGAGTATCAATGGGCATTCCTTCTTTGTCTCAGGAAGGAAATGGGCATCCAGCGGATACATGGATCTGGATCTGGAAGACTACCCGAGTAATGCGTTGATTTGCGAGATCCAAGAGGACCAAATCAAATCAGCTCCTGTTGAGCTTGGATTATTGGTGTAAATAGCAACACATTTGAGTTAAAGCGATGCCACCGCGGGAACAAGCTCTTGGTTTCTTTATTTGGTCTCTTTCGGTGTTATGCATTCGCATAGTGTCAATGTCTTTTGTTCTCATGACAGTGGCACGTCATATCCAGACTGTAATGTGGGATACGGCATATCCGGAAACCCAATATACCCATTGAGTATGTCATCCGTGCTTATGTTCCAGAAGAAGTCCGGCCATAAGGCAGTATCATCTACCCGTGCTACTTGTGTGGGGCCATAATTTTCACCTATCAGGGGGACATCCTGCGAGGTTGCGCTGTTGGCCAAAGTAGACGGTCCGAGGCCGCCATCGGGTAATCCTGTAGGTATTTGGTTCGTATCTTCAGAGGGAACCAGGTGATACTTTTGCTCGAACCATTCAAGAATATGCCACAGCCATGCCTCGTAGAAGTATTTGGAGTGCTGTTTCCCATCTACAGTCACTCTGTCCTTGCTGAGCCATTGGATCCGTTGCAACACGGCCCGCAGAACGTGTGGCATATTCAAAGCCGAGCATAGGGCACGAACATGTGGACTGCGTGGGGCGTATTTTGCCCCCGTGACGGCCAGTTTGCAGCTTAGAACCAAATTAAATCCTGTTTGCAGCCATTGCGTATAGCTGATCCGTCGAAAGGTATCCGGAGCAAATGTGAAAACGTAATCAAAGAATTTCTTTGCTTCAGTCATGCCGCGATTGAGAAATTCAACCTGGAAGGGTGATAAGTCTAACGGTTGGTGGCCACTTTGGAGATGTGGTGAGAGCCCTGAGTCTGCATGGGAGCGAGGCGCGGACGAAGCCGAATAGTTGGCTGTTTCATGTTTATCAAATAAGCAAGCCTGGCATAGAAACAATTGTAGAGTGTGTAGGTGAAATTGTAGTAGGGCTATGTTGTGGACGTTGAGTTAGTATTAGTTCCAGTCTATTCAATCAAACTCACAAGCGATGTCACTTACAATTGTCCGAAAACGTTGCCGGCAAGTTCGTTCTGTACTCATTGATTTCGGTTTGGAATGCATGCATATCAACCTCTCGTACTGGATTCGCAGTAGTGACCACAGCATCATCGATCCGTTCAAAGATTTGTTGTAATCTTACTAATTGTATTAGGCAGCGATCACTGGAAATCTCAGCATTTGATAGTAATTCAAGTGCATGCTTTTCAACACATGACAGCCGAGTCATCATACGATCCTTTTGCAATATTGTCGAGCGGCTGCACACACCCATACTCAGTCAGTAATATTAGGGAGATATGGGCATTTTTACTGACGAGGAGGATAGCATGTAACATCCAATCAGAGCTCGTCTTCTCTCGTTCAGTGAATATCTACTACTGTTTTCATCTGAAGAGACCTTGCTCATAGCCATCCGTGAATAGAATGATTGGGTTTCCGACAACTGGTCAAGCCGTAAATCACCGACTATACTCCAAGCAAGATGAAGGTAGCTGGAAAATCTTTCGTGCTGAGACTGATGCTGCAACCTGGGATATTGAAGCTTTGAGTCAGTAGTGCCGTCTTCAATCAAACCACTTTAAATTAGACTCACCATGCCAAAGCCACAAGGAGTCCCAGCAATACGTCCATGGATGGATTATGGGCGAAGATCATCTGATCAGCAACTGCTGTTTGAAATGTTTCTTCCAATATCTGCTGAGCGGCTGCACTTTTGTATGATGAGCCCTTGAGGATAGCCAGCAAGAGAAGCGGTTTCTCCGCTCGCAGCTGAGCAAGCGTCACTTCCGGTGCGATAAAGATAAATGGAAAACATGGCATCAAGGTTTCCCGAAACGATTCAAGAAGAGTGACGGCATCATCAAATCTCACAATCCCGCGATCAATAACATCTCGGGGTTTATCTGGGATGGAATGAAGTCCCGGGTCAGACAGGGCTAAAGGAACATCAGGCTGGTGTTTAGTGTGCTGGCTATGAGCGACTCGCCCTAAGAGCTGATCCACTTTGGCTTCGAGAGCGTCGACTCGTCTGATTTTTTAAGCTTCCGTCAGCTTATATTCATTGTCAGGAATCAGATGGAATTTGGGAGCCTTACGTCCCCTTCTTAGCGGGGTTGTAACGAGGTCGAGCGGCCCGAAAATAGCACTCTTTATCAAGGCGACGACATCTAATACCTTATATTAGAATATGGTTATAGTTGAGTATAAAAATGATGATCAAGTTTCACTACTTACCGATCACAGATAGAGGAATCCGAAGTTCGGATACATCGGATTTTGCCACGAGCACAGTTTTGACACGTTTTTATGTGTCCCGACGTAGATGCCATGTTCCAAATTGAGTATAGTCGATCTGTTCTAGTGACAGGTACACCAGGACAAGGAAATGGGCGAGTTGAAGAGGATAAGGACAAGGACACGGACAAGGACACGGTCGAAGTGCAAAAGTCTTGGCACCGGTAACCCGTCAGGCAACGGCTTAAATGGGATCCACTGTATCGTATCAATCTTCATGGCAGCGTTGATTATTGGTTTGACTATAAACCTCGAAGGATTTGGGAGTGAGATTATCAATTTGAAGTTTTAAAAATACCCACACAGCCTCATGATGATTATTGATTGTGAATAGGCAGCGTCAAACATCTTTGGGTCTGCACATAAATAGTGACGAATCTATCATGGTTTTGCTAATATATTCAATCGCAGCACTCATTGTCTTCAGACTTCATTTTAGCCTACTTAATCTTCCAAGGTTCTTTACTATCCGTGATCATGTCAAATACGGATGATTGTACTTTGCAAACATGTCCGTTAAGTGATGCTTACATCCAGTATCAGCCTAACATGGCTGGAAACATATTTTATCTCGCTCTTTTCGCCATCTTACTCATTGGACAGATCGGCACGGGTATCGTCTTCCGATCTTGGAGTTTCATGGTGCCAATGGTCGCGGGCCTTGTACTGGAGATCATAGGATATTTGGGCCGAATTCTCTTACATGATAACCCATTCAGCTTCAATAATTTCTTGATGTAAGTTACCGAGCCTACCACATGATTGAATATATGCTGACCGAGGCGTGATACATTAGGTACTTGATATGTCTCACCATTGCCCCGGCATTCTTCACAGCTGGAATCTATCTATGCCTCGGTCGTATTATTACAGTTTACGGCGAAGAGTTCTCACGCTTGAAACCAAGAACCTACACCTACTTGTTCGTGGCTTGCGATTTGATTTCCCTGGTCTTGCAAGCAGCCGGTGGAGCCATCACTTCAATTGCCGATGAACAGTCACTTCACGATACTGGTGTCAACATCATGATCGCTGGACTAGTCTTTCAAGTTGCATCGCTGGTAGTGTTCTCTATTCTAGCGATTGAGTATGGAGTCCGGGTTTTACGAGGAAGACGCCTGCATTCCCCTACTCAGGAACGGCCGGCAAGCTGGATGAGGAGATCGTTTTTGCTTGGTATGTATATCCCCTCGATCTTTTCTAAGGGCATTCCACTGACTCGAGTTTGATTATCAGGTTTGACATCTGCCGTTCTAACTATATTGATTCGATCTTCATTCCGAGTGGCCGAGCTCCAGGGTGGATTTGACAGTAAATTGGCCAACGACGAGGTAGCCTTGATGATCCTTGAGGGCGTTATGGTTTCAATCGCGTGTATTTGCTTGACTGTTCTACATCCAGCTCTGCTTGTGGGTAAAAATTGGAGAACGCCTCGGGCAATTTCACGAGACATGGAAACGGAGGATAAATAAACCACAAGAAGAATGGCGGATCAAAGCTGGTTATGAACCTGTGGGTTTGGCGGCTTTTAAGCCGCTAATTTGAATCATGATGCGCACGAGAATGCTTATTGGATATCAACTGAAACCATGGAGGAGCTATTTTAAGGCTCTATACAGCAATGACTGATGGGATTCAGATTTAGATTATTTGGCTTATAGATAAGTATATGACGCACTTGTATCATTTGATATCTGCTTTCAAAGACAGGCAGTTCTCTCAGAGGATTCCTAGATCAGCTCAAAGTTAAATATCGCCGTAAGCTAACGTCAACCGTGGAAAAAGTCATGTTTCCTATTCAACACAGACATAAAAATACTGGACAATATCATCCCCGATAATCTCTCAATAGGCATAAAGAACATCACCAGCACTAGGCAGAGCACCCCTGCTAATCGTCTTGTTTGTATTCTGCGGCCACCATCTCAAAGTCTAAGCACTTCTAATAGTTGCAATGCCAAATGCCGTGTTCGCCGACTATCCAGTCAAGTAACGAGGGCAATTAGTTCTTGAGTAGAGGTAGGCCGTATAGATATAAGATGCGTTAGTCACAACGTTGATAAAGCCAATAGAAGCGGCTTTCTTCTCTGGCGTCTGGCCTAGTTTGGCAGAGACCCAGCCCAAAATCACCGAATTGACAGCAGATGCACAACTCTGGCAAAGAGGAAACAAGCCACTTATATTGCGCCCTTATTTAGTGTCACGCAGGATATGATAAATCCTACAACAGCGACACTATCATCTAGGGTGCAGTTACATTTGGTATTGCAGGTCTCGGCATATTCATGCTGCCCGATCACCCACTAAAAAAAGACGATGGTTAACTCCGAAAGAGCGCCAACTTACCCACGGCCGAATTCAAAGGGACACGGTCAATAGGGAGGAGTCCAAGGGCGCTCTCGCCGGATTGAACCAAGCCATGGCCGACTCGCGCGTGTACCTACTAGCTTTTATGCAGAATATGCATCTAAGGGCCTGCGGCTTCAACAACTTCCCCACTTTCGTTGGAAGTCTCGGCTTTAGCAGCAAGATAACCTTTGTTCTGATATACCTTCCATATGTGTTCTCCGGGATCTGCTATATCATCATTGGTATCACCTCTGGTCGGTACAATGAGCGGACATAGCACATTACATTAGCAAATTTTATTCATGTTCCTTGAATACTCACAGTAAAATAGGCGCCAATGACCTAGTCGAAGCCGATGTTCGTGCTTTGCTTACCGCAGGGTATATGTCAAAGATAGCATCATTGGCACGAAAAATAATTGAACAAATAATCAGTTTCCTAGACTCCCTAGAAAATGCATCAACTGCTATATTTATTGCAGCTATGTAATCTAGCAATTTATTCATCAACATGTCATAACTCCTCTAAGAGGAGGCATTGGATTGCTGAGATGCTACCTATTATAGGAATATAACAAATGATCGTAAAGGCTTTGCTCTTCAGAGTTTCGCATAGGAAGAAAAGCCATTGAATTGCGAGGACACGACATATGACATCAAAATAGCCATTGTAGTAGGCTCTTTGAATTTTGGAGTTCGTAGCTGTAGTTGAATACTCTATTGATACCCGAGGCTGTTCTGTCGAGGGTTGCATGAATATTCCTACTGTTTGTACAAATTCTCCTTTGGTTGTTATCAATCAATCAATCAATCAAAGTTCAATTAACCTGTTGCAGTCTGACTAGTTGCGTATGACTATGCAGGCGCTTCATCCAGCTGAAGCAAGAACTCGAAGCCAAACGCCGAGTTGGGATTCCCCCCGGAAGTAAATACAGAGGCTGATTTGTAAAGAGCGTGGAATCAGCCCATTTCCGCATGTTGTAAACCCACAAATCCATACATAGTAAAAATATCAAATGAATACGGTGGAGTGCACCCTCCGCCTTCCGCCTCCTATCTCTCTCTGAGTCTCTCCCTCTCCCTCTCTCTCTCTTTCTCCTCCGTGTATCTTCCCCCCGCTCCAGTTGCAATTGGTTGTGTATTATTCATAGCTATTTACCTGGTATATTTGTCGACTTTGGCAGAGCTTCTCGTTTTCTAGCTTCGTTTTCGTCATTGGCTAATACCCATCATCTTCCACACCTAGCTCTATTACCGCAAGGCCTGTCGGTTCGTCGTCGTCATCCTCGACTCCCACATATCGAAACTGTTAGAGGAGACCTGTTCGGTGTATAAAGTTAGTCACGTAGCGGATGGCCTGTGGGTTAGATACGATCTTGTCGTAATCCTTATCTTTCATTCCCACTTTGTCGAGCTGCTTCCACATTTTCACGCGAAGCCCGATATACAACGGAAATTGTATCAGGATATATCTCGGCGTTTGTGAGTCTGCGTCGCAGCTGCATTGGTCTGTTTCCGCGGCCTTGATCTTGTAGAAGAAGTGACGGAGGCAATCCCTATCGTGCGCATTTGGATCAGAATCGCACATTGTGGTTTCGTTGACCCCTCGTACAGACGAAGGGTCTTCTTGTTCGGCGCCTGCACCAAGCGCTTCGTAGGAGCCGAGGTCCTTTCTCGCTCCCATTGCTTCTCCCACCGCTCTCGGACTTTGGTTGTTATATATTGACTCAATTATAGAAAATCATAGCAGGGTGTGGGAGGAAATGAGGGGTAAAAGACACGGAAAGCGTACACCAAAGAAAGCGAGATACTAAGACTAGACATATTGGAAATACCGGCATCAATTGTCAGACAAGATCTTAAGCCCTCATACTGAAGGTCAGCACATATACTCTACTATTTCCAATTTGTCTGGGGCGGTTAGGCGCATTCCGTGATACCCTATTTGCTGCTAGGAGAAAGCGGGGAGAAAGGTATTAAAGACCGGAGGTTCTTGTCATTACACCTTTAGGCACTTGACCAAAAGCCACATTGATTTCTTTTATCCTCGTTTCCAGCTACCATCATCAATATGTCAACCTCCCAGATCTACCCAGTCTACAAAGTCAAATTGAAACTCGGCATGCAAGACCCAGATATGCCGTCACCCCGATACCACACCATACTCTTCGTCCAGACAGACGCGCAAGGACCAGGTAGCGGCATCAAGCACCACGTCACCGGCGACATTGTCACAGGCATGCATTACGAACCAGCAAAATACGACGACCCCGAGACCGACGAAAACTTCTTCTCAAAGGAACTCATTGGACATACCAGGACTCTCAACTATCCCAAGAACTGGAATGATATTCTCAAGTCTATCCCTGCGCCAGGGAAGCAGAAAGCCTTTAACATAGTGACGATGAAGACAGAGCCTATCAAGAGTTGGGATCCTGTGACGTTTTACGAGCCCGGAGAGCCTCGTCGGCCGTTGATCAAATGTACAGAGTGGGTTGAGGATCAAGCTACTCCGATCTTGATCAATGCGGGTCTAATTCAGTGGAGGCATGAACGTATAGCTAGTGCTTAAGATTACATATGTTAGTCTCAACGTCCCTGTTTCAGGAGTACATCTTGATTTAGTCCTTTCTCTTGATTTAGTCTATGCCCCCTTTCAGCAACAAGTTTAGAATCCCTACAAAGACCGGGCGCCTTACTTTATTTCACTAAATAGTTGACAAGTAGCAGAGCGGAGAGGGGAGAGAAAGAAATAGAGAAATAACCAGAGGATAGATATGAGTACACGGCCCTGAGGTTATTGGAGGATCTAAGGTCCCCAACAACAATTGCTCCATGTAGGAATAATATCCTGGCTGTGTGACCTATAAAATCAAGTATCAGATGCTGTTTGATATCAAACAAATCGACTTGCCCAAAGGGTCATCAACCATAGTTCACTTCCATAGGGTCCCTCTAGTGCGGCTCTCTAATATTCCCCGGGGCCAATATAAAGACCGGTAATTCGCTCAAAACTTTCTCCAAAATGTAGAAGGTACGTATTCGAAACACTTGTAGGACTCCGGGGAGTAAAGACGCGAATAGATCACCATGTATTGAGGGCGTACCGGGTGGGACGGCACACCTCAACGGAAAATGGTACCAGTGCTACCCCAAGCCCTCTGAGATATTTAATCTGAGTCCTCTTGCATGGTGTGTTATATTGATATCTAAATCTACACGTTATACTTCAAGCATGGATCCCTTTCTAATTCTGAACCAAATCGCCTCCACAGGAAAAGCATTCAAAGAAAATGAACCCGGTTCACGAGAAGCTCTCATCGCACATAGCCGTGCGCTGGTGGCTGCACTTGAAATCCCAAGTGAATTTATCCAGCGCACTTTCTGGGCAGAGGTAAGAAGACCAGTTCCATTCCGGTGTCATAAAACTTCCCCCAATAGCCCAACGAGCAAGCTCAAACTGTGCTACAGCCAGCCCAGTCGGCGATAATTCGGCTTGCTGTAGACGTACATCTATTCCAGCACCTTCAAGAAGCAGCATCAGGTCTCAGCCCGGTAGCTCTGTCTGAGAAAACAGGCGTGGAAGTCGACCTCCTGGCCCGTCTTGCGCGGCATCTAGTTGCCATGAACGTGCTAGTCTTCCACTCCGGTGCGTTCCACAGCACAGCATTGAGCAACGCTCTTGCCGAAGAACGATACCAGCACAGTATTGTGTGCTGTTATGAAAACTCGCGGCTAGCGCTGGGCGGGCTGCCGACTTACTTCAAGAAAAATGCATACCGGTCTCCGACCCCCGGCGGCACAGATGGACCCTTTCAGGACGCACATGGGACAGACTTACGGTTCTTTGACTGGATTGTTGCCGCGCCGCCACGGCTGCAGCTTTTTGATTCGTTTATGAGTGTCTACAGGGCTGGGAAGGCGAATTGGTTCGAGGAGAAGTTTTATCCTGTTTCCCAACGGCTGGTTTGTGGGTTTGATGCGGAGATTAGTGATGGTTTGTTGGTTGATATCGGTGGTGGACGGGGTCATGATGTTACTGCCTTTGTGGCACTTCATGGAGACCTGCCTGGGAAGGTTGTGCTCCAGGACCGTGAGCCTGTTATTGCAAGTATTTTGGATAGTGCTGAGGGGAGGGTATTCGAAGTTCAGGCTTATGACTTCTTCACGCCGCAGCCTGTGAAGGGGGCGAGGGCTTATTCTTTGCATTCTATTTTGCATGATTGGTGCGATGACGATTGTGTGCGAATTTTGGAAAATCTGGTGCCTGCTTTGGTCAGGGGATATTCATGGGTTCTCTTGAATGAGATTGTTATTAGTGAGGAGAAGCCGACGCTGGCGGCGACGAGTATGGATATGATGATGTTATCACATTTTGCGGTGAGGGAGAGAACAGAGGTGGAGTGGGAGGAGATTTTGGCGAGAGTTGGTTTGAGAGTTGTTAGGATATATAATTACCCCGGTGTCGCGGAGAGTCTGATTGAGGCTCAGTTGGCATAATTTGACTTTTGATTGCTTTTTTTAAGGTATTTTTTGTGTTCCTGATGGGGTTAGTCTGACTGCATAACACTTTTAAGCCACGCATAGGTGGATTCCGACATGTCCACTCTCTAATCTCTGTTTGGAGGGTTGAAGAAAACGTTGTTATAGTCGCTGTATTGCAGCTATGCGGCCGTTTGCTGAAATGGTTTTTTTTTTAGATCAAAGACCTCCCTGTCCAAGAATATTAGTGACTCACGTTCTGGTTATCATTTACGCTCTTGCCCTGTAGTATTTGAATCAGCAGTAGCTCAATTGCCTGTTCATCGGATACTTTGCTCGGTAGAAGTAATGGATACGCCACCGAAAGAGATGGTAGCCAATGATGTATATCTTGGACGCCGGAAATTAGTAGAACGATGTGAAACTGGTCTCGAGGGTGGGATAGGCAGGGAATTGAAGGTGGTTGTGGGAAATTTGCGCAGTGCGCGATGGTATCACAAAACAGAATATCGCCCAAAGGGACTCTACAAATACATGATAGACCGAAACCTGGATTTTCACCTGTTGGTGATATTCCAGTTCATTTCGTTTTTTTTTGAAGTGACCTGCTGGCCTTGCGCGATCATAAAACATAAGAAGGACATCAAATCACACATCCGGTCAAAAGCAGCTATTAAATGTCTCCGCTTTAGATAGCCACATTGGCACAAGTAAAGGCAGGTGTGACAGATCCCGAATAGTCAGCAATGATCGCCTCAACAGCTGCATATAGCCCGGGACCCAGCAAGAACAGTCCAACCATCATGATGAGAACATTAAGTAGAGTCATAGCGGTCTTTCCCAGACCGTTGAAAAGCGATCCCCGGTTAAGCTGCCAGTATGCGACGGCAAAGTAAATGAACCCGAAGAAAGAATCAAAGGCTGCGCTGAGCAGGGAAAGAAAATCACCCATGCTGGGAATGATCTCTGCGAAAACAAACCCGAGGACCCAGACCCCGACCATGATTACCCCCCAGACACCCCATCCAATCACGGTGTGGCTGTGCGAGTGTCGGGACTTGCCGAGGACGCGGGTGTAGATCCATTTCCCGGTTACGTTGGCGTAAATCACGCCGATGACCAGGGTGGGGACGATCACGAAACCGAAGGATGATTTCTTGTATGATACGACTCCTAGACTGCCGAAAGCTGGGGCGGTTGCGTATTGACCTAGGTAGCGGAATCCAATCGCTGAAGGGACGATGAATAGGATGGCGGAGATCACGCCGAGAACGGCCAATGCTTTGGGGAAATCCTGCGGCCTTTCCATCTCCGAGATGAAGGTTGGGAATAGGATTTGCGGGACCCAGAGGTAGGTGATGTTCAACACAGCATTCATACACGCAACCCATGTTGTACCTGGCAGTGGGAAGGCATAAGTCTTCACGAGTCCGGCTGTCGGGTAGTTGCCCTTGTATCCGTAGAGAGGAGCTTCTTCAATACCGGCGAAAACGAGGAAGAGAATAATTGCGATACCCATACAGGCGGCTGTGGGGATGGTCAGTTGGAGCCACTTAAGAGCTAGAGAGGGGGTATTTAGCTACTCACATGAGAACATTGACATGAAGCTAATATGCTGTAAGGTCCGGGGCATGGACATGACAATTCCAATAACGGCCGTAATTATTGAGAAGACAGCGGTGCACATTGAGTGGTCCGAGAGGGTATTCAAGACCTTGGCGCCAGTCAGGACGTGAAATCCAATGAGAAGAATGTTGTTCGCAAGCATCATGAATGCGGAGAAGGCATAGGCAGTTTTGCTCTGTCCAAATATGTGGTATCCAAAGTCGCCTGTCGGTAATGGAGCTATTAGCTTTCATTGCACACATAAATTAGGATGCTTGGACTGTCGCAAACTCACAGATATCCATGATATGAGGATGTTTCATGATATACTTGTGCATTGTGATTGAGGTGACCCAGAAGAGGAGCCCGCATAGGACCATAGTAATGATTCCCGGAACCCATCCCAGAACACTGCGGGGAAAACTGTCAGCTTCATTGAAAACCAGTATTGGAAGGAAATGGGTACTCACGAGAGAGACCATGACTGTGCCATGATGGCCAGACAGACCTGCTCACCAGCAAGCAAGCAGGCCGTCTTCTGCCACGACATTGTCCGAAGCTTGATATCATGTTCATGGTCTGGACGAAAAATAATGTCAGCTTGGTGAGATATTCAAGGCAGGAGAATGCGCACCTGCAGCTACCAAAGCAGTGATGGTATCAAAAGAGTCTGTTCCATCAGTCTCTGTGCCCAGGACGTAGCCTGGATCCTTTTTCTCGTCCTGAGACATGTTTTCAAGATAAGATCGAGATGTGTAAGAAGGTAAGTCTAGGTAAGATCAGCCCTACGTTTATAAACAAATGAGACACACATTACACGTGGATCGAGAAACTCTTTTTTCTTCTTTTTTTTTCCTTTCTATTTTTTGCTTGTTTTTTTGCCTTTTTTTTTTTTTTTTTTGCCTTGGCGTTTAATACAAAAGTAATCCCCTTCGAGGTGAGTCCATAAACGGCCAAAGGGCAAGTATTGCGCCATAATTAAGAGCATCACGATATTGGCTTTAGCTTGTCAGGGATTAGTTCGTTTTAGTGTTATTTTAGTATTGTTCTAGTCCATTTTGATCCATTTTGATCCATTTTAGTCCATTTTAGTCCATTTTAGTCTGTTTTAGTCTGTTTTAGCCCATTTTAGCTTACTTTCGAAGGTTTGTCAGTTTTGCTTATTATTTGCTTATCATTTTGCTTATCAGCCAATTGGGTCTGATTGGACAATCGCTTTGCAATCAGAAGATAAATTAAGCGGGTTATCCCCTTTTTGGGAACAAAAAATTGTATCCAGAAATTCACTTTGCTATGTAGTACATTCGAAGAAACTACAGCTTCGCACTAGTCGAGGTCCCGTGGCCTTGGACAGCTCGATCAACAATTTCCATAGCTTGGAAAAGTTGATAATCATGCTGCTTAGGAGTGACAACCTGTACACTGAGAGGTGACCCAAGGTACACACGACGGTCAACCGTTTTCTCGTCCCCTGTCAAAGCAAATTAGCGAGAGTTCACTCGGATAACATCGAGTGTTAATATAGAAAACTTACACAACTGCCGATTAGCCTTATCCCAACTTCCTAATACAGGCGCATCAATTTCCCGTCCAAGCTCAAGATCGGATTCTGTGAATGAACGGACAGGAACCGAGCCAGCCGGGTAGTCTAGCAGCACAAACATTGAGCTGTATCCAACGGCATTGTACCGGTCGATCTCTGGGACCGGGTGTGGTGCCACAGGACAAATTATGGCGTCAACGCTTCGGGTGCCAGACGAAGCCTGTGATGTCGTCAACGTCCACATTTTCATCATCTCCTGCTCAATCTCGACACGCTGAGCTTGTAGGTTTGCCAGTTGAACCACCGTTAGAGCCTTGCCACGTTTCATACGGCCTTGTAGCCATGGAATGAGCTCCTCACCCATGCTCTCGATGAGGTCGAGCATGTGAGACCCATCGTCGACGCCCATCAGTCGACCAGCAACGCCTTGACATTTCGGTAGAACCGATAAAATGGGGATATCAACCACTTCGATGCCAGGTGTACGGCGCAGGTTGCTGGCGACTTCGTTCAAGATTCGGGTAATTGGGGGCAGAGGTGTGACCAGCCCGTCTGTCTTGAGAACACCAATAGTAAATTTGCGCGAAGGACCAAGAGTAATCGGTACCGATTGTGACGGCCAGGAGCCCGGAATACAATCTGCGCCGAATAGCTCAGCGCGAGGCACGATCTCCGCCATGACGGTGTTGATATCCGCGACAGAGCGAGCTAACGGTCCAGCTACTGCTTGCAACCCTATCCGACTCTTCCCTTCAATCTGGCCGCTCTGTTGGCCTCCGAATGGCACGCGTCCAACACTCGGTTTGAACCCGTAGATACCCTGGCACATAGCTGGTACACGAATGCTACCACCGATATCTGTGCCAAAGCCGACCATGGACCCGCGCATGGCAAGCAACGCACCCTCGCCGCCGGTGCTACCACCAGCAGTCCATTTCCAGTTGAGGGGGTTCAATGTGCGCCCGAAAAGGTGGTTGCAGCTGTCCAATGTTGCAAGGGTTTGTGGGACGTTTGTCTTTGCGATCACTACCGCGCCCAGAGACTGGAGCAGGTCTACTAGCGGGGCATTTGCTTTTGCAGGCTGGAATGCCAATGCAGATAATCCAATGCTTGAATCCACACCTTTTATATTGAATGTATCCTTCACAGATACCGGTAGCCCGTGTAAGGGCCCGATCGGGGCTCCTGTGCGCTGGAAGTGATCGTCCAGCTCCCGGGCTCGTTGCAATGCGCGATCGAAGAGGGGTTCGGTTAGACAGCGGGTGAGTTGTTGGGCGATGGCTGCTCTCTACAGTATATCATATATAATATTAATGACATGATCGGAGAAGGATTAGCTATTATGCGAGCACACCTTGCAAAACCCTCGCACCACGTCCTCGGCTTTCAACCGACCCCCTGTCATCTCCGCTACAAGGCTCCGCACGTCATATTTCTCCGTTATTTCCAACTCCTTGGGTGTAAGTATACCACAAGTTCGAGGAATATCCATCACCCTGACTCGTTGGTAACTTTTTGGGCCCACGGTGATCGACTCAGAAAATGAGAGCATCCCCTCAGGGATGCTGTGTGTGGGCAACCGCCATTCGGTAGGGATAGCTGCAGCAAGCTCGGCTTGCTTGCGCTGGGCAACAGCAAGATAACGGGGTTTCTGGGAGGTCATGGTAGATGTGTTGAAAGATTGGAAGACATCGCGGAGAGGGGTGGGTTTTAATGCGGGGGCGGGGAATGAGGAGAACATCAACCTCGGCCCAGATGTTGGAGAAGGAGTATTTGTCCACGGGTAGTTACTTTGAGCCAAAAGAACATCCTGATCGACTGGATGCTCCCAAAACATATATCTATAGATTTTACATATGTACAATGTAACCCCAATCAACTTGGATAGGCAGGTGTACTCTTTGAAGATCTCGGCAAAAAGCAGAGTTCGGGTGTCCGAAATCAAAACTTCCTGAACGGGCCAGAAGCCACCCGCCTTATACCAATTCTAGAACTTATGAAGCTTTTCATTCCGATACATTTCCATCAGGGCCTCTGGTTAGGCATTCTAATTCCATTTGATGATGGGGCTTTACATCGGAACATGAATCAGGCTAGTATTTTGATCTTTCTCTGTCTATGGAAAATGTGATCCAGTATCACCTGTAACACCTATAACAACATCAAATCAAAAACTTACAGTCTGCCCTTGAGTACAGCTCCACCATCTGTGGCAATGACGGCTCCATTCAAATGACTCGAAGCCCGAGATCCGAGGAAGACAACCAAACCAGCAATATCCTCAGGCTTGCCAAGCCGACCATTCGGTGAGTATTTCGCAAGATCCTGCATACCGCCCTTTGCCTCAATAAGTCCAGCAGCCATCTTCGAGGGATAGAAACCAGGTGCAATAGCATTGGTCAGGATATGGCGTGGTCCAAGCTCGACGGCCAAGTTCTTCGCCAGATGGATCGCAGCCGCCTTGGAAGCAGAGTAGGCCGGAGTTCCATTCTCGCCAATTGAGCCAATCCCAATACCTGCTACAGAGGCGGTGATAATAACGCGGGATGGATCTTCCATGGTTGCCTTTGCTGTAAGGAGAGGGGCGAATCTAGTTCGATGTTAGAATCGTGTCTCATCCTTGGTTTCAGGTAAGATAGTAACATACTTCTGGATCGTGTAGAACACGCTCTTCACATTCAAATCCATAACCTTGGAGAACATCTTCTCGGGGTATGTATCGAAATTCTCGCCCCATGTTGCACCGGCATTGGCGAAGAGAATGTCAACATGGTCTGTAGTCTTGCCAACTTCAGCGACAAGTCGATCTAGCTCGTTCATATCCGAGCTGTCGACCGGCACAGAGATAGCTTGTGCTCCGGGCCGCTTGTTAGAAATGGCGTTGAGAGCTGCGACTGCTTCGTCGCAGCCTGCCTTCTTGCGGGAGGTGATGTAGACCTTCGAGCAGCCAGCTTGGAGGAGACTATAGAGATGTGTGAGAATTGCCCATTAACAGATATTTTGATAAAGTGATAGAGAAATATACCCTGAGGCTGCATGTAGTCCTAGTCCCCGGGAACCACCTGTTACAACAGCGACCTTGCCCTCAAGGGAGAAGATGCTGGAAAAGTCGGAGAGATTGACTTGTTCGGCGGCGGACATTATGGAATTGATTAAAAGTCAAGTGCGAGGATTGGAAACGAAGAGTGAAGGGAGACTTTAAGAGTGTTCGTTCCTCGGTTTATGAGCGAAATGGCCGAGGCAACCCCGCTTGGAAAACTGAAGTAGTCTATTATCGTCAGTGCGCTAGTACATCATTTTGCTCGTAGATTATCAACTCTGCACAAAGCCTTTGAATTATGTTGGGATACAGAGTCGCGGATCATGTATGCATTATAGTAAATTTTTCTTACCATGCGTCAAATTAGCTCTTAAAAGATCCAATTTGTACACAACTCTATTTCTATCCAGCGGTAGACCAGCAATTTTCTCAAACCACTATGATTACTATCAGATTTCTAGTAATTCATGCTACATGTTATTGGCGATGGTAGCAGCCTCAAGTACCTCCAGTCCTGCTTGAGTGCGAACAAGGAGCCGGCGAGCGATACTAGTATTCGGGCTCAGGGTAGATTGACCACCTGGGTCTTGGGGGGATGGGAGCATAGTACTCCACGCAGCGCCCATCATTGCAATTGAAATGGCAGCTTTCGTATCCCGTCACATAGGGGCAGTCGGCAACTCGCACACAGTGAGGAAATGATGGGAACTGCACATAGCACTAGCAGGGGGGTTTGCAAACTCCCCCACTAGCATAGTGCAATGTCACACTTGTTGACTCTTCTTGCTAGTATGTACATACTCCTGGCACCCATATACCTAACGGGAATAGCACTAGCGGATGATCAATACAGTCACATAAAGCTCAAGCAGATGCTGTTAGAAAATGCCTATCATGTATATCTCCGCGTATCGTTCACATTTAGAGCTCCGCAAAGCCCATAAAGCCCATAGCCCACCCCAACCCAACCCGCCAATGGGCTGGGCTTTGGGCCCTACCTTCGGGCCCACCGGTGGGTTATGGGCCTGAGGAGAAGCCCACTGGAGGTTAATGGGCCCCCAAAATGGGCCCTAAACAGTAAAAATATACCGAGAATTCAGAAGTTGAACCTCTTGTTAGGGTTTTTAAAATTACCCTTCGTTTTACCCCCGTTTCTGGGCCTTACTCTAAAGGTACTGTTTGATTGGTTTAAATGGTTTAGGATTAATTACTAATTATCTCTCTATAACTAACTAACTATCACGTTTAAAAACGCGAGAAAGCGCGTTCTTTAGATAACTTATAAATTACAGAAGTTCACTTAGAAAGTAGTAGAGAGTAGTATGTAGTATTCCTACAAATCCAAAATATATATCGAGTATCAAAACATTGATATCATCCTATTTTCGTAGTATCTCGACCTCTACCCGTCAGATTTTATCCAAAATTGAAATATATACTTATATAGCTATTAGAATTCTAAATTCTAAATTCATACTCTATATAAGTAGTAGAAGAGTTAGAATATAATATTGTCTAGCGATTACAAGACGCAGGTTGAACCCCTCTCAATTGGCTTTAATGGGGGCCTTATGGGCCCCCAAAAATGGGCTGTGGGTTGGGTTGGGCTTCGAAGGTTAGGCCCACAGCCCACTGCTGGTTGGGCTATGGGCTTTGCGGAACACTATAAATCACATTGGTAAAAAAATATAGAATAGCAAAGGACAAGCTTGTGGAAGCATCGATGCAACAACCCGTAAGGTTTCAGATCAAAACACTGCCATACATCCTCTTCGAAGGCGGAAAGCAGGGACAAGCTTGGTACGAACGATTTTCACAGTCCTTTAATAAAATTCGCTTGCATATCCGCCAATATCTCGTAGTCTGCTCCACTCAGAACGTCAAGATGACCCTTCCCTTCCGCCACGTAGGCCGTCTTCGGCTCCGGGAAACTGTCGAATAACGCCCGCTGGTGAACAGCGGGTGAAATCGTATCATTTTCCGGGATGATCATGAGTACTCTTGTTTTCGAAAGGTACTTCATGATCTCGAAGGGTTGCCAGGCCATCATCTTGTAATAACTTTGCAGAGTTGTTCGATTCTCGTAGTTAGGTGCTCCTCTAAATTTGGCATTTACCATGTAGTCATATTCCATTTTGTCGGCGCCAATTCCCATGCCGGCGGGATTTCGCCCCTGTTCTGTCAGGACAGAAAGGGTAACTGGTGGGTTACCGACCACCTGTGATTCTCGGTCCTGCATGCATCTGGCAAGAACTTTGGGAAGCATGTGAGGTTCAGGTTGCATGCCAGTCAACGGGCACACTGCGATGCAACACCTGGCTCGTTTGTCTAAGGCGGCCGCATTGAGGGCCACAAGGCCAGAGAAGGACATTCCCCAGAACGAGATATTGTCTGGGTCGACGATGGCATGTTTTTTAAGGAAGGTAAGAGCATCAGAGTAGTCCGAAATCTGAGCTAATGGATCTATGTTGTTGCGGGGCAGACCATCGCTTTCGCCCAGCGTGCGAGGATCGTAAACTAAGGCAGTGACATTGGAATGCTGGAACGACTGTGCTACTTCCGAGACGAACATCTCTTTAACACAGTTGAACTAGATATATTCAGCACACGGAGCCACGCACAGGGGACAAGGGACATTACCCCGGGTGTTATAATGACAGCTGGGCCATGACTTTGTGCTGGAAAGAGCCATCCGCGAATTTTGAGGCCATCAAGAGTGGGGAACTCAACATTTTGTCGAGGAGGAAATGCCCGACCAGGCATTGCGAAAGGAATGTATAACCGGTGAGGTTTATGGTCGAAAGAAGAGAGGTCTGTGAATATGTTGGCAGAAGGGAATTTTGGAACTATTGGCAACGAAGTTTGAACGGCTGAAGAATATATGTAATGTGAAGATTCTCAAGTCCCGCTTCCTAGCGGAGCCAAAGATTAGTATAATCTTTAATTATCTATACTTAGATACTAGATACGCACCTAAGACCTTGATGTATATGAGATATTTAATAATCGGAAAGATTCCTTAATTTACAGGCTTAATGAAGAGACTATCCCGCAACCGATTCCTAAAGGATTCCTCGTACATCGTTATGCAAAACATATTCCTGCAGGATTCCTCATACATTATTGTCGTATTTCTGCAGGATTCTTCATATATCGTTATTCACACACAAAAACTACTCCTGCAGGATTCCTCGTACAGTGATCCACAACCTAATCCTACAAGATTATGCATACATCGTTACATATAGACGAGAATTCTACCTAAATATACGCTACATTGCTGATTATGTAGTTGGCGAAAAATCAAATAAGGCAGTGAATTTATCCATCTAACTTTATACCATGCGATTGGAAACCAAGTACGCTCACTAGTAAAAACACTGAATGACACATTCTGCATAGGCTGAAAAGTCTGAAATATCTGAATACTAGGCTCTCGGGGGCTGGGAGCTATCTTGTGCTACTTGTGCAAGTAGTAAGATCCACGTCAGAGTTTCTTAGTTACGGTTGGAATGCCTCTTCCTCAACATGCGACTCCAATAGAGTGAACACCAAGGAAGGCTTGCCAATGTACATATATCATCATGTTGCCTAAGATAACGCAAGTTCCATTATCTTTGAATACAAGACTTTTATTTCAATTCATCTACCAAGATGTTCGAGCTCTTTTATGATTACTCGCCAAAAGCAATGGCGTTAGGCGCATCTGCTGCAGCCGTCGCTACCTACAGCCTGACGCTGACGATTTACCGTCTATTTTTCCATCCTCTTGCTAAGATTCCTGGTCCTAAGCTCTGTGCTATCACAGGCTGGTATGAGATCTTTTGGGACGTTCTTCTTGGAGGCCAATTTACCTTCAAGGTGGAAGAATGGCATAAGAAATACGGTATTGGCCTTTCCTGTCCACCTATTCTTCCTTCGCTCACTGAAGTAGGCCCGATCATGAGAATCGGTCCTAACGAAGTACACTTTAATGATCCTGACTTCTATAACGAGCTGTACCCGACGATAGGTGCCATGTACGAGAAGCCTGCCCAGTGGCGCTGGCGATTTGGTTGCGGCACTGCAATTTTTGATACCATCGGCCACGAGCACCACGCCCAGAGAAAAGCTCCTGTCGCTGCTTTCTTCTCGCGTCAGAAAATCCTCCATTTAAGCAGCTTTATCCAGGACCAGACTAATATCTTAGTCAGCCGGATCCGGGATAACCATAAAGGGCAAGTTATCTGTGCTAACGAGGCTTTTGATGCATTGACTATGGATATCATTGGCTACTACGCCTTCGGATTGTCTTATAATTCCATTCAGTATCCGCAGTTCAAGGCACCGTACTGTAACGTCACGGCGGACATTGCCCGCATGGTCCATGTGGGGGCTCACTTCCCCTGGGTCTTCAAGATTCTCAATGTTTTGCCGGAGAAGTACATCACCAACCTGCTGCCTCCTATGTCAAAGATATTCATGTTCAGAAAGGTACATTAAGATCTGATTAGGGCGGCACTATCGTTAGTTTTTAATCATATTGGTCGATAGGAAATCGGTTCGCAGATCCGTCGGATTAAAAAGAACAAAGAGTACCTGGATAAGAATGTGAATGAGCATCGAACTGTTTTCCATGAGATCCTCAACTCCGACCAACCCGCTTGCGAGCTCAACGAGGGCCGCCTCTATCACGAAGCCCTCAGTCTTGTCGGCGCAGCCCTCGAGACGTCAAAGAGGACCACTGCGCTGGCTGTTTATTACATCCTTGCCACTCCAGGCGTAGAGACCACTCTTCGCGCTGAGCTCATCGCTGCCATGCCAGATAAGACAAAAAGCCTGTCTCTCCCCGAGCTGGAGGCTCTGCCGTACCTAAACTCAGTTATCAGAGAAGGTAAGCCTTTCCCCTCCTTTCTCTCAACTGTGCCAACCTCAAAGAACATGTGGCTGAATTACATCAGCCCTCCGCTTGGCCATTGGCGTCTCCCAGCGCATGCGTCGTTATTCTCCAACCGAGACCATTACGTATAAAGACTACACTATCCCGCCGAACACTGTCTTTGGAATGTGCCACTGGGAGCAGCTCCGCGATGCGCGTATTTGGGACCGCTCGACCGAATTTTTTCCTGAACGCTGGCTAGGAGAGCGGCCGCTGGCGCTCAACGGCCAACCACTTAACAAGTACTTTGTGCCGTTTCATCGCGGCCCGCGTATGTGCCTGGGAAAGGAATTCGGTATGGCGCAGCTGAACATCGGGCTTGCTACATTGTTCCGCCAGGAGGATATCAAGCTTGAGTTGTACGAGACAGACAGCAAGGATGTGGATGTTGTGGCAGACTTTTTTGTGCCTTTGACGATGAAGGAGAGCCAGGGGGTGAGGGTTTCGGTGAAATGAGAGACTGATATTTCCTCAGCCTACTGCAAGGTCCGGAGCGAATATACGTTTAGCACTATTGTATAGAAATCATCGTTGGATGCTATGAAAAGTTTGTAGGTGGTCACGCACGCTTTGAGTCGAGTCAGGTGAGATTTTCCTTTTGGCAGAGTGTACGGAGTAGAGCAGAAAAGACTCGATAGTGTGCCAAGATCTACCTTGCATGCTCTGGATGACCGCTACTCTCATGAAAGCAACCTTGGGATATTCATACATCTAGAGGCTGAGCATCGATGGATATTTCTATACTTCTAAGATATTATCATTCGTGCGCAGTGTATTAGGGTAACGTGGTATCGCGTGAAATAAATTGAGTGCTCGCTCTAAAAAGTCCCAAGTCAGTTGAACACCACCTCGTATTTGCTGCATGTGGTGGGGCAGGCAGAGTAGAAGTGACAGGAAGTCGAAAGGATTTGAAGGAATTCGATAGATAGGTCAAATATAGACCCGTTTTGGAGAATCCTGATTTCTGCAGATCAGTAAGCGCAATCACCTTCCAAGGTTATATCACGGGGCTGGAATTAGTCCATGGGAAGAAGCAGGAAACCTTTCGAATCTATCCTTCCGGACACTCCTGAAGTCAACAATACCTACCTGCGTAACCCCGCCAAGACATCCGAATATATAAAAGAAAACGTACGGAAGATACTGCTGCTAAGAGAAAAATCGTACCACCAGACGGAAAAAGTGCCTTGTTTGCACATTCAAACCGAAGAATCCAACTCTCGCCAGCCTTCGGAATCCAGTATCTTGATTGCACCTCAAATCACAACAATGTATCATCTTATCTCGCTGATCGGTCTTCTGGGTTTTGCTTATACTCTAGCACTTGTCATATATCGCCTTTTTTTTCAGTCCCCTTGCGAAGTTCCCAGGCCCGAAGCTCGCTGCTGTGACAGGATGGGTCGAGACTTACTACCAGCTCTGTCACGGGGAAGGTGGCCAATTTATATTTCTCTACAAAGAGTGGCATCGTCAATACGGTAGAAACCTTTCTGACAACAGCCGTGAGCATTTCATTGGACTCACAGCATATCTAGGTCCCATAATTCGCATCAATCCATGGGAGGTTCATATTTCGGATTCGTGTTTTTTCGAAATCTTGTACTCCACAAACCGCCCATTGAGGAAGCTCCCACATATGGCCAGGGTCTTCGAAAATGAGCTATCGGGGTTCTCCACCGTGGATCCAGAATTGCACAAGATTCGGAGGAAGGCTTTGAATCCGTTCTTTTCGAAGGGCGAGCTGCTGAAAAGAGGCCCCAAAATCCAGTTGGTGATGGACAGGCTTTCTGAGCGCCTTGAACAGGACTTTCTCGGCCATTCGGACAGAGTGGTCTGCATTAACGACATGTGGAGTGTGTACACCGCCGATTTGATTGCAGAATATGCATTTGAACGGCGCTATAATTTCATCGACCGGCCAGATTTCAAGGCCGATTTCACTAAAGCCTTAGTGCACCTTTCGGAACCGACGCACTTGGCCCAACAGTTTCCATGGCTCACAGATTTATTGAAGGCACTGCCAAATTCGGTGCTTGAATCATTGCATCCGCACATTGCTGCTTTCAACAAATTCAAAGCTGTAAGTTATCGATAAGAGTTTTTAAAAGGGCCTGCTGACCAAGATAGGACATCCTAGACCAAGTCAGAATCGCAAAAGCCAACTCTGAGAAAGATCTTTCTGAAGACGACACAGTGTTCCGCGCAATCTTCAGCTCGAACCTTCCAGACGCCGAGAAATCTATTGAAAGAGTTCACCAAGAAGCAATCGCAATGGCAGCTGCAGGTACAGAAACTGTCGCAGCCACCCTATCTGTCGCGACCTTCCATATCCTCAACAACCCGCATATTCGGAGACGGCTTGACGAGGAATTGGCTGCTGTCCTACCTGATTCCCGGTCGTTAGATGCCTCAATGCCTAGTCTTGAGATCCTATGGCAGCTACCATACCTCACTGGGATCATCAACGAGGCGCTTCGACTGTCATATGGTATGTACGCGCGCATCTCTCGCACTTCGGACATACCAATTCAGTATGGTGAGTGGGTAATACCACCCGGAGTGATCTTCAGCATGGATATAGCCCCGGCGCACCACGACGAGAGAATCTTCCCCGACTCCTACAATTTCAAACCTGAGCGATGGCTCAACAGTCCGCAGGCTTTCGACGGGAAGCCACTGACACGGTATCTCTTCAGCTTCAGTCGGGGCACCCGAAGCTGTCTTGGCATGCAACTAGCTCTCGCCGAGATGTATATTGCCATTCCGTCGTTCTTCTCGCGCTTCGATGCTGATCTGTTCGACACTGACCTGACTGATATCACGTTTGTTCGGGATCGGTTTGTGCCGCGACCAAGGATCGGGAGTAAGGGAGTGAGGGTGAAGAAGCTCGAAGCTAGGGGTGTCTAGTTGTCAGATAATAGAGCAGCTTGAAAATAATGCTTTCATGGTATTTGCGGACAGCAAGGTTGGGGAGGAAGCGAGTTGGTTTCAATTCCCTTCACCCTGACCCTGGTGACGACGAATAGCGATTCCCCAATTGTATCTCCACGGCAGTTTATTTTCGCGTCCCCCCTGCTTTATCATTATCTTTCAGACTATCTCCCCACGGCTGTGCCTTCCAACCATATATAATCGGCCTTTGCTACGTACGTGTGTAGCTATAGGCGAAGGTTTCGCTCGTGTGGTGTGGGATACTCGTGCATGAAATAGACTGATCGCTCAAAAATAGTGCAAATCATCACGATTGGTTCTCAGGGATAGTCGAGAATGTTGGTAGGAGCTAAAAAGCATGTTGATGCTCCAGGGCTAGTTTGTCTGCTTTGTTTACATGTTTGCCTTGTTTGCCTTGTGGTATATTGGGTCACACTGCCCAGGTGTGGTTGCATTGGTGGTGTTTTGTCATCCCTCTCTATGGATGAGATCTTCCTACTACCATCTTTACATATTTAGTACATTGAATTGATTGCACTCTTTATTTATTGAAGCTCTGGTACTTACCGCGTGAATAGATACTGACATATGGCAAACATATTACTTACAATCTCCATGTATATTCCTAAAGAATTTCTCGTACACATTCCTGTAGGATCCCTCGTACCGTACATCGTCATCTACAACCTATGTACTCCTGCAGGATTCCTCGTACGTCTAAGACATAAGAGGAGATACGTACGCACTATTTTTAAGGAATGCTTATATTAAAAAAAATCAGGCATGGGAAATTTCGCTATCCAGCCTTAGACTTCACTTACTGCTTAAAAAAGACCCTGAGATGAGGTCGAGCAGAGTTTTTTTTAACCAAATAATAATACGAAGGATTCAGAGGCATGGCGGAAAATATGCAAGACCAGTTAGCTGCAGGGCCAGGCATCATGATTTAGTCAAGTTTTACACTAAGCTAGAATAATTACTGTACTCGACTCTTAGGTGCATTATTCGATACCGCCTGTTGCTAGTGGAGAACTAAATCGAATGGCAATAAGAATGGCAAGGAAAGTCAGAATACTTAGATAACGACACACTCACCTAGTCAAAGCAGAGTGCATTTTTCTCAACATGCTTACTCTGCTCTCCTTGGCTAGCGGGGTAATGGTCCATCTCTCTGTATTTAGGCACGGAGAATGGGAGATCAGATCTCCTACGATAATCCTCAGCTATCTACTTACTGCACTTGGAGGGACCTTGTGGCTCAGTGCATCAAGGCTAGCAGCCACCAGCGGCGTATTTAATATTGGGTCTACTGAATTCCTCCACCTTCTTGCATTTCATATCACGGGGCTCTTTACTAGCATCACCATTTACCGGCTTTTCTTCCATAGGCTTTCTAGTTTTCGGGGACCGTTCATCGCGCGACTCTCGAATTTCTACCTGACATGGTTATCGGCGAAGAGACTTCATCTTCATGATGAAATTGATGTGTTGCATTCCCGATATGGAGACTACGTTAGGACAGGTGAAATATCATCATGCCACCCAGATATATGAACTGACATCATTCAGGACCTCGAGAGCTTTCTATAATTGATCCTGAGTGCGTGCAAGCTATCTATGGTTCACAAACTAGATGCACCAAGGGCCCGGTATATACGCTTCTGGATCCGCGAACGAATCTCTCCTCGACGAGAAACCTAATCGAGCATGCTAGAAGACGCCGCACATGGGATCGAGGTTTTAGTACAGCAGGTAATTGAGTCACCTAATTGCCCAGCATATGTTATTGACAATGTGGTTTAGCTTTGCACACCTATGAGCCAATGATACAAGGCCTGACAGAAGACCTTCTCAACATCATAGATGAATTGTCGGAGAGCCCTATCAACATTACTGAATGGATTGACAAATATGCTTTCGAAGTCATGGGGCAATTGACCTTTGGAAAGCCATTCAATATGTTGAAAGAACGGAAAGAGGCCTACTTCTTGGAGGTAATTCGACAAGACATGAATGCTATTGGGTATCTGCTCAACTTACCTTGGCTTTCATATCTGTTTATGAGGATCCCAGGGCTAAATCAGAATCATTTGAAATTTTGGAAGTGGATTGAAAATGAATTCACGCAAAGGATATCAGTGAGTAACGTTTCCTGATCTATCCTCTCAAATTCCTTTTGACACATATGAAGAGAGGGCAAAAACGACCTGATGTCTTCAATTGGCTCCATAAAGCATACCTGGATGGGCCTCAGACAAGCTCAGACACTCTGAAGCTGCATGGAGATGGATATCTCGTGATCGTTGCAGGTAGCGACACGACTGCTTCGACCATTACTCATATGCTCTTCTACCTGGCCTGCAACAAGCCTCTCACGCGAAAGCTTCAAGCTCAGTTAGACAAACTAGATGAACTGAAAGATGAAACCCTCCGCGATGTTGAACTGTTAGATGCGTGCATCAATGAAACTCTTCGGCTGTGCCCGGCAGTCCCAGCTGGAGTCCAACGAGAAACCCCGGAGGAAGGAATCCATATCGGTGATCGATATGTCCCAGGAAAGACGATAGTTAAAGTCCCAATGTATACTCTCTTCCGAGGTGAGCGAATTATTCCGAACCAAATTGTTCCTCACGTCTGAACAACCTTCTCTTTCACAGACCCCAGATCCTTCGAACAGCCAAACGAGTTCATTCCAGAACGTTTCACGACTCGCCCTGAGCTTTTAAAAGACAAGTCTGCCTTTATTCCTTTTCTCACTGGTTCCTACGCATGTGTAGGTAGACGACTTGCACTTATGGAGGTGCGCCGTGCCATCGCTGCCATAATTTGCAGATATGATATTGCGCTTGGCCCGGATCAGACAGAGGAGGGCTTTCTCGACGGGAAGGTCGATGCCTTCACCTTGGTCGCTGCATCTTTAAGCTTGAAGTTTACCAGGCGACACCAGTCGAAGTCATAGTTGAACGTTCTTCCTGTAAAGTCAGACAACGCTCGAATCGGATGATTGAGAACGAGCGAGCTATGTAAAGAAGACAAACTTCTAGCAGGACATATCTAATACAAAACTTCGGCGAGTGGAATTGGAAGAAAAAAATTGTAAACAGACAGGCCAGGTTGTGAGGACGGTGCAATAAGTTCTTCTTGATACCAGATATGGGTAAAAGAATTTACAGTGCTGGAGACAAAGTTTTAGTTTACGGTTAGATAGTGGTAAGTAGAGTGGTGAGAGCTATATTGGAAAGAATAGGAAGAAGCCAGGAATCTCCGATATATTCAAACTATGGAATACACCAAATACTATACCACAACCTTGATAGGAGAAATAGGGAATCTCAGGGAGAAATTTGAGGCATTCAACACAAATTGCCCCTCGTATTTGATGGCAGCCTGCAAATCCAGGTCGGCGTAGCCACTCTTTCATGTTCTGCTTTAATGGATGAAATTTCCCCTTGTCTTAAGATTCCCCGAGACTTGGGAACTGATACCCCAGCACCAGAGCTATGAAGGAGCTCAATAGGTTTATGCCTACTTTACGAGAACACGCACACCCTTTGAGCCCTTCACACACAGCGGCACGAAGTAATCAGCCACAATATCCACAGCTGACTGATCGGTCTCATATAACTCAAGATGATCGACACGGCGGAACAGCGTTGCAAGCCCAATATTTAGCTGCGCCATCCCCATCTCTTTGCCTAGGCAGCCACGCGGTCCTCGGTGGAAAGGGACAAAGTACTTGCTCAATGCTTGTCCGTTAAGGGCCAGGGGGTTACCATTATTAGCCAACCACCGCTCGGGCAGGAACTCGTAGGGACGATCCCAAATGCGGGCATCTCGAAGTTGCTCCCAGTGACACATGCCGAAAACGGTGTTGGGGGGAATTGTGTAATTCTTGTATCGCGTGGGAGCATGGGTGTTGTAGCGACGAATACGTTGACATACACCAATCGCGAGTCGAAGTGCTTCGCGGATGCATGCGGCCAAATATGGGAGGTTTTCGAGCTCGGGTATCGTGAGAATCTTGTTCGGATCAGGCATGGAAGTCTTTAGCTCTTCGCGGAGCTTTTTCTCGACATCGGGCTGGGCCAGGATGTAGTAGATTGCCAGCGCAGTAGTCATCTTTGACGTTTCGAGAGCAGCGCCCACCAAACTGCCAGCCTCCATCTGCAGCCTTTCCTGGGTCAATTCACTAGGATCCAGTTTGGAGTTCAGGATCTCGTGGAAGATAGTCTGATGAGAATTTTTTTCCTGATCGTGCTTAGATCTATCTTTGAGTATTCTTCCGATCTGGGCGGCAATCTCTTCGTTGAACTTGAAAATCTTCTTCATTGGCGGCGCGAACGAGGACACGATAGCTTGGGGAATCGACCTAAGGACCGTGAAGACCCAAGGAAAATGGGCACCAGTATGCACCATACGGGCCACATCCTCAGTAACATGATTATAGGGTGCATGGAATTTGGGGTAATCCACGGAGTGATAGGATAGGCCAAAAGCGTAGTATCCGATGATATCCATCGTGAGGGCGTCGAATGCCTCATTGGCGCAGATGATTTGACCTCTGTGATTTTGGATCCGCTTTACCAAAAGGTCAGTTTGCTCCTGAATAAATGGGCTGAAATCCAAGATCTTCGATCGTGAAAAAAATGCTGCCAGCGGAGCACGTCGCCTGGCGTGGTGCTCATGGTCAGCGGTATCGAATAGCGCAGACCCGAAGCCGAAGCGGTATCGCCACTCTGCTGGCTTCTGGTAGGTTGCTGTAGTTGTATAAAGCTCATTGTAGAAGTCTGGATCGTTGAAATGCACTTCGTTGGGTCCTATGCGCATAATGGGCCCGTAGGTTTTGTGCCATTCCTCGATTTTGAAGGTGAACTGGCCTCCGACCACAATGTCCCAGAATATTTCATACCACCCAGTAAGGGCACATAATTTGGGTCCTGGTATGTTCGCAAGAGGATCCAAAAAGAGACGATATATAGAAATGCAAATGAGGTAGGTTGCAAGAGCCCCTGCAAATAACCACAATGATAACATATTCGATAGGGTTGGAAGCAGTCTCGGAGATCCAAAAGCCCCTTGCTCGATGGGGAAAATGAATGCGTTGATGATCTTGACGAAAAAGGTGTAATAGTATAATTGTACAATAGTAATGCCAGTACCCGACGGCCTATTTGGATCAATGAATATTGGCAATGATTTTAAAAGTTCAAAAGATATAGATATAGTCTATCAAACTCAGAACAAGCGTTTACAGTTTATGGGGAGAAAGCCCCTATGAGTAGTAGAAGTGTCCACAATATATTTCGTCACTCCTCTCTACCATCTTCCTAATTCTTATCGTACCCCTCGCGCCAGCCATTACCAAAAGACCCCCCATGCGGAGGGATGGGGTTACCTTGGCAAGGATCGGCCCGCTTCCTAGTGGGGCAAAGACTATTTGTAACCTTAGAGGTACATGTACCTAGAAGGTACCTATTCCTGCAGGATTTCTCACACATCGATCCACAACCTATTCCTGCAGGATTCTTCGTACATTATCATTTTACTTTGTAGTCACAACATTTGAAGCATTGATGATCTATACCGCTATAGGATGCCCTGTTACATACATAGGGACAGGGACGTTTAGCGAATAGAGTATGTATCTATAATCTATTACTATAGGATTCTTCATACATTGTTATCCACAACCTATTCCTACAGGATTCTTTATACATCGCTACCTACAACATACGGGGTAAGGATCTAGGATTCCTCGTACATCGTTATCTACAATCTATTCCCGCAGGATTCCTCAGTAGGACAAGCTCGAGAAGAGGCTGAAATTCTTAGAGTAGGTACGGAGTAATGAGAATTATATTGCGCGAGACCAAGAAATATCACATGTGATGCTGACAGAATATGCAAATTCAGTTTCGCTGCAGGCTCACGCAAGAGGCATTTTCTGGCACGATAGAGCGCGAGGCTTGTTGAATAGTAAGCCTGAGTGAACATACTTGGCAAAAAGGACCACTTCAAGGTTGTTATATAACACTCGATGCTGGGTGGTTTAGATTGATTAGTATATATAATATTTGGATCGCAACAATCAAGTATAGCACTTTCTCAACCTCCTCTTCTTCCACAGAGACACCCTTCTTTAGACCTATTTACACTAGAAATATTGGCCCTAGTTGACTATCATGGCCACTCATAACTCACAGCCCTTCCAAGATGGCGTCCTACCCTCCCCCAAAGCCTTCCTCCAAGTACCCATTGCTGTCGTTGGGATGGCCTGTCGTCTCCCCGGCCACTCTACCACTCCAAAGAAGCTCTGGGACTTCCTCGAACGGGGCGGTATTGCCTCCAACGACACACCCTCAACGCGCTTCAACCTCGCCGCACATCACGATGGTTCCAAGAAACCCAAGACGATGCGCACGCCCGGCGGCATGTTCATCGAGGAAGCCGACCCGCGGGATTTTGATGCCGGGTTTTTCGGTATCTCAGGAGCCGACGCGGCGGCTATGGATCCACAGCAACGGCAGCTGATGGAAGTTGTATATGAGTGTTTGGAGAATTCGGGCGTGCCACTTGAGAAGCTTTATGGGGCACAGGTCGCGTGTCATGTAGGCTCTTATGCCGTTGGTGAGTATAATCAACGTTAATTTTGAGCATGGTATGTACATATGAAGAAACGCTGACGATGGTGCAAAGATTACGATGCGATACAGGCTCGTGATCCTGAGGATCGGGCGCCAGGAGCAGTTGTTGGTATCGGGCGTGCGATGTTGAGTAACCGGATCAGCCATTATTTCAACTTCAAGGGGCCTAGTATGACGATAGACACTGCCTGCTCTGGGAGTTTGGTTGGTCTGGATGTGGTATGCCGTTATCTTCATACCGGGGAAGTGGATGGCGCCATCATTGGTGGAGCGAACATGTACTTTAGCCCGGAGCATAACCTCAACAGTGAGTCTAATCTGTCAAGGGAGTAAACAAAACTGACTGGAGGATTATCGTTCAGCTGGTGCTATGAGCGTCGCGAACTCCCTTTCCGGTCGCTGCCATACCTTCGACGAGAAGGCAGACGGGTATTGCAAGGCGGAGGCAATCAACTGCGTTTATTTGAAGCGACTTAGTGACGCGGTACGCGATGGAGACCCTATTCGCGGAGTCATTCGAGGCAGCGCGACCAACAGTGATGGCAACACGCCCGGTATCGCCAGTCCCAACTCCGCAGCTCAAGCAGCCGCTATTCGGTCTGCTTACGCCCACGCGGGGATTACGAATCTGAATGACACCAGTTACCTGGAGTTTCACGGGACAGGAACTCAGGCGGGAGACCCTCTTGAGGCGAGTGGTGTATCGTCAGTGTTCAGCCCGACTAGGAAGCCGGAGGCGCCACTATATATTGGCTCAGTCAAAAGTAACATTGGTCATTCGGAGCCGGCTGCGGGAATCAGTGGATTGATCAAGGCTGTCTTGAGCATTGAGAAAGACCTGATTCCTGGAAACCCGACCTTCATTACCCCCACCCCAAAGATCGATTTCGAAGGTCTCAAGGTGCAAGCCAGTCGGGCAAACCGCCGCTGGCCAGTCGCTCCATTCAAGCGTGCAAGCGTGAATTCCTTTGGTTACGGGGGATCAAATGCACACGTCATTGTCGAGGAGCCTAAAGTCCTCCTGCCTCATATTGAGAGCACATATGTTTCCTCGTACCAGGCTGAAGCTGACCTATTTGCTGACGAGGAGGAGGCCTCTGTAGGCCAGCCCCAACTTCTTGTACTATCTGCAAACGATGAAGCATCCCTTCGTGCAAGCGCGACGGCGTTGAAGAATCATCTGACCAACCCTAATGTCAAAGTTTCGCTAGAAGATCTTTCGCATACGCTCTCAGAACGTCGGTCGCACCATTTCAACCGCGGCTATCTGATCACAGATAAAGTTTTCATCGATGAAAGTTCTCTTGTGGTTGGTAAGAAGTCTATCACTGAGCCCCGTGTAGGGTTTATCTTCACTGGCCAGGGAGCTCAATGGCCCCAAATGGGCAAAGCAATTATCGACACGTTCCCCGAAGCTCGCGAAATCGTTGTTGAGCTTGACAAGTTCCTCCAGGACAGCTCACTTCCTCCATCATGGTCTCTCTTGAGTGAACTGATCGAACCGCGCGGGGCAGAACATCTCCGCCAGCCAGAATTCTCCCAGCCTCTGGTCACTGCTCTCCAGATTGCCTTGGTCGATATCTTTAAGAAATGGGGGGTATCGCCAAAGACTGTCGTCGGTCACTCCTCGGGTGAAATTGCTGCCGCGTACGCAGCAGGCCTGCTTTCCAAGAAAGCAGCCATCAGGGCAGCTTACTACCGTGGTCAAGCTGCTGCCTTGGCTGGAATAATTGCCGAGGGCCCAGCGTCTCAGGTACAGCAGCATCGGCAAGCATGTGGTATGTTGGCTACTGGTATCGGTGCCGAAGAGATCACCAATTACCTTCAGGGTTTGGGGCAGAGCGTGCAGATTGCTTGCTACAATAGCCCGAGCAGTTTGACACTCTCCGGTACCATGGAGGGTCTCACCAAGGTGCAGAAGCAATTGACTAAGGATAGCAAATTTGCCCGAATGCTACAAGTCAATGTAGCCTACCATTCGACCTTCATGGATGAGATCAGTCATGGCTATACGGATCTGCTGGCCAAGGACTTTGAGCACCTTCCATTTAAAGAGGGTGCTGTACGAATGTTCTCATCTGTGACAGGAAAGCAATTGACTGGACCCACAGACTCCGACTACTGGAAGTCGAATATGGTCTGCCCTGTCCGCTTTGACGCCGCTCTGACAAACATGTTGACAGGCAGCGATGCTCCCGACTTCCTTATCGAGCTTGGTCCTGCTGGTGCTCTGAAGGGCCCGACTTTGCAGGTCTTGAAGAGTCTCGGGAGCATCAAGACTCAATACACTAGCGCCATGGCTCGTGGTGCAACAGACATGAAGTCCATTTTCCAAGTTGCCGGATCTCTTCACATCGCTGGTGGCAAGGTCAGCCTGAACCAGGTTAACAAAATTGAAGGCGTGAACCCAAAGGTGGTGGTTGATCTGCCAAATTATTCGTGGAACCACTCGACAAAGTACTGGTACGAGAGCGAAGCATCAAAAGATTGGCGCAATAGACTCTTCCCGCCGCATGACTTGCTTGGTAGCAAGGTCCTCGGAAGCCCATGGCAATCACCAGCTTTCATGAGATCTTTGAACGTGCAGGACCTGCCATGGATTGCTGACCATAAGATGGGTCCCGACATAGTCTTCCCAGCTACTGGTTATATCTCCATGGCGATCGAGGCTATTTACCAGAGATCCGACGCCTTACATATCCTCGAAGGCGGGAAGAAGGTTGAGAACCCTCGGTACCGTTTGCGGAACGTGCAGTTTAAGAAGGCGCTCGTATTGCCAGACAACCAATCTACCCGGATGTCGCTGAGCTTGACTGCCCACACTGGCGTTGGTGACTGGTTTGAGTTCAGGGTATCTTCACTTTCTGGCACAATGTGGACTGAACACGTGCGTGGCTTGATCCGAATCGACGAGGACATTCCTCAAGTGGCCTCTGCTGAAGACACCAAGCCTCTTGAGCATCCAGTCGAGGCAGGACTATGGCACAAGGCTATGCTCGACGCCGGATATAGCTTTGGTCCCAAGTTTCTCAAGCAAGTTCAAGTTGAAGCACGTACAGGAGCGCGGACTAGCAGATCAGTCTTGGAGCTAGAAGTACCCGAGTCCAAGTACCCACAGTCCAAGTACCCCATGCATCCCGCTGCCATGGATGGATGCCTTCAGACTTGCGCGCCGTCTCTCTGGAAAGGAAACCGCCATGCGATCAACGCTGTTCTTGTTCCTGCGATGATCGACAGTCTGGTCATAACCTCCTGCAAGGCTGATCGCGGTCTCTCGCTGACCTCCGCTGCTTATGTCGGTCTTGGTCGTCCCACCGACAACAAGAACTACATGTCCGACGCGAGGGTATATGACCCTAAGACTGGCAGCCTCCTCTTGCATTTGTCTGGCCTCCGCTATACTAGAATTGATACTGGCCCAAGCGTGTACGATGCCCATACTTTCAGCGCCGTGGTCTCTAAGCCTGACGTCTCTTTCCTCTCCACCCGGAGCTTGCAACAACTAGCCGAGAAGGAGCAAGATTCACAGGACCCCAGTGTAGGCGTCGCAGGCGAGATAATCAAGCTCGCCGCTCACAAGAAGCCCACCCAGCGTGTTCTCGAACTCAATTTTGTTCCTGGAGTAAGCCAGAGCGTATGGGCCAGCTCCATTGCGGGTCAAGACATCATTGGCAAAACCTATCGCCAGTTCGTCTATCGTCTCACAGACCCGAAGGCCCTCGTTGAGGCCGGCCAGCAATACACATCTGAGAAGATGGAGGTCTCCCTGTTCGACCCTGGAAACATTGCTTCTGCCGAGGATGAATTCGATTTTGTTGTGGTCCGTCTGTCACCAGCAGCGGTAAATGTCGAGCAGGTGGCAAAACAACTCAAAAATGTCGTCAAGAAGGGTGGCCAAGTTCTCTTCCTTCGCCATCGCGCTGTTCAGCATAGTGAGGACATTATTAATGGAGAAGCTGAGAAATTCGACAACGGCTCGTACGCTGACCTGCTCAAATCCGCTGGCTTGAACTTTGCCGGCCACTTGGCATTTGCAGAGAGCAACGAGTTCGCAAGTCTGAATCTTTCTTGTGTACAGGCTGAGGCTGATTGCACCAGTAAAGAGGTTTCAATCTACCAGTTCTTGGAGCGGAGCACCTCGGCACCTAAGCTCATTGCCGCACTGAAGGCACGCGGTTGGAATGTTACCACTTATGGTGCCGGTGAGGCCGGCAAAGCTCCCAAGCGTTTGCTAGTGCTCGATGAGCTTGATGCAGCATTATTGCCAACCCTATCATCTGAGCAATGGGAATCATTGAAGAGTCTGCTTGCTTTGGATAAGCGCATCCTCTGGGTGACCACTGGGTCGCAGACCTGCGTCTCGAGCCCCAACAAAGCTATGATTCATGGATTAGGTCGCACTGTTCGTGCCGAGGATCCTTTGGTTCAACTAACAACCTTGGATGTCTCCGGTAGTTCGACAGAGGCTACATTGGAGTCAGTGGAGACCATTCTCGAGAGATTGGGCCAGCCCGAAGTATTCAACCACGTTGACAGCGAGTTTATTGAGCGCAATGGATTGATTTACATAAACCGTATCCAGCCAGATGATCAAGTCAATGCTGCCGCAAGTGAGAATTTCCAGGGCTCTGAGCTGGTCAACCAGTCTCTGCACGATTCGCCCAATATGATCCGCTTGCGGTGCGAGCGTGTTGGAACGACAGATTCTCTTATCTACTCCGAGGTCGCACCCCACGAGCTACCGCTGGATGACAACAAGGTTGAAGTCGAAGTCTATGCTGCCGGACTAAACTATAAGGATGTCGTCATCACCATGGGGATTGTGCCTGAGAACGAGCATATTCTCGGATTGGAGGGCGCTGGTATTGTTCGCCGCCTCGGGAAAAATGTGCATAATGTTCGTGAGCTTGAGATCGGGCAACGGGTCCTCGTCTTCAAGAAGGGCGCTTTTTCCAATCGTGTTCACGCTGAGGCTGAGCGTGTGTTCCCAATTCCGGACTCCATGACTTTTGAGGAGACCTGTACTTTGGCATCTTCTTACTTGACCGGCATCCACTCTCTCTTCGACCTTGCTGATACCAAGAAAGGTTCCAAAGTGTTGATCCATTCAGCATCTGGTGGGTTGGGTTTGGCTTGTATCCAGCTTTGCCAGTACATTGGCGCCGAGGTCTTTGCGACATGTGGTAATCATGAGAAGCGTGACTTTTTAGTTGAGCATGCAGGTGTCCCCACCGATCACATCTTCAACTCTCGTGATGCCTCTTTTGGAATGGATATCATGGCAGCTACAAACGGCTATGGTGTTGATACTATCTTGAATTCTTTGACGGGCGACCTTCTCGACGAATCCTGGCGTTGTATTGCCGCTGAAGGTACCATGGTCGAGCTTGGTAAGAGAGACATGCTTGACCGCAAGGGCCTGAGCATGGAGCCTTTCAGCCGCAACGCTTCCTACCGATGCTTTGACATGGGTCACGATGTGGTGTCTGACGCCATGATCAACAACTTGCTCAAGAGGCTGTTTGTTCTCCTCGATGCTGGCCACGTCAAGCCCGTCCATGTGGCGACGACATTTGGATGGGATAACGTTTCAGGCGCGATGCGTTACATGCGTTCCGCAAACCATATTGGAAAGATTGTCATTACGAGTGGAGACGGGCCTGTCAATGTGCCCGTACGTCCGAGCAGGTTGCCGCTTCAGCTCCGAGGTGACGTTAGTTATTTTTTGATTGGCGGACTGAAAGGTCTTTGTGGAAGCGTTGCTGTCAATCTAGCTGGTCTTGGTGCAAAGCATATTGTCGTCATGGCCCGAAGCGGCTATGGCGACGAAGTGTCCCAGCGCGTGATTTCGGATCTTGCTGCTCTGGGCTGCGGTGTTACCCTTGGCCAAGGAGACGTGTCCAAGGCTGATGATGTTCGTCGGGTAATTAAACAGTCTCCAGTATCCATTGGGGGTGTGATTCAGGGAGCCATGGTACTTCGGGTAAGTCTACTTCTGATGAATGACTCATTTGAATGATGTGTGCTAACGTGTTGATCTAGGATCGTATTTTCACGGATATGAGCATTGAAGAGTACCATTCCGCTGTGGATTGTAAGGTTGCGGGAACCTGGAACATTCACAATGCTCTCATTGAAGAGAACATGAAGGTCGACTTTTTCACTATGCTTTCATCAATCTCCGGTGTCGTGGGTCAAAAGGGGCAAGCTAACTATGCTGCTGCCAACGCCTTCTTAGACGCTTTCGCGATCTACCGCCGGAGCCTCGGCCTAGCCGGCAACTCCGTCGACCTGGGCGCTATTCAAGATGTCGGCTACATGAGCCACCACGTCGACCTACTACAGAATCTCAGCTCCGATGCCTGGACCCCGATTAACGAAGCTCTCATGTTGAAGATCGTCGGTTTCTCCATCACGCAGCAAATCGCGGCCATCAGCGAGGCCAGTGCTGGCCAGCTCGTCACCTCGATTGCCGTACCTCAGCGCGAGAGTTCCAATCTTTTGCGCGACGCCCGGTTCAGCACTCTCAACTTCAGTGACGGCGAAGATTTGGGCGCCAACAAGGACAGCAAGGATGCCGGTCTTCAGGCATTACATCTCCTGGTTAAAAACAAGGCAGCCATTGCCGCGATTCATGATGCTATTATTGCTGTTGCTGTTTGTCAATTCACCACGATGCTGAGTTTGAGCGAGCCAATGGAACCAGCCAAGGCTCCTTCCAGCTATGGGTTAGATTCACTTGCTGCAGTCGAGTTTAGAAATTGGGTGAGGTTGGAGCTTAAGGTGGAAGTGACGACTCTAGACATCATTTCTGCCACAAGTCTAGAGCAGCTGGCTCAGAAGATTGTTGCGCGTTTGACAGCTGCATAGCTCGATTTGTTTGTAACCGTTTTATTGCCTAGATATCACTCATTGGAGTTCTGAGAGTTCTGAGTTTCCTCAGTGTTGCAGGTAGTCTCCAACCGCCAGTGCGCATTTCCAATCGTAAATTTTGACCGCCTAGCTTACCGCTTGTTCGGCATTATCTATGTACTCATTCCCAATACCTTTCAATCAGCTCTTTGAATCTAATTGCTCTATTTCTAGATGTAAATAAATATCAAATACAGAATTCAATTATTAAGAATTAAGGTACGGAGTAGTACAAATTAATTAGCGAATTCAAAAATTTCAAGAAGTACTGGAACTTTACTAAATCCACATAACAATGTGTCAGACTGTGAGGCCCCCCCCCGCCCAGGTAGACTTCCGCAAAGCCCACAAATGGGCTTATGGGCCCCCATTAAAGCCCATTTCGGCACTAACAAATCGGCCTCTGTAATCGCTGTATTACAATCTTCTACCAGTCGTATAAAGTTCAAGTTTAGAACCTAGATTTACAGGAGCTATATAAGTATACATTTTCATTTTAAACAAATTACAGCCAGTAAGGATTGGGTTATCGCGGAAGAGGTAACAGTTGATGTTTTGATGTTGAATATATATTTAGACAGAGAAGTACTACTTTCTGTAGAACCTCTGTATTTTTTAAAATTTCTAAATTAACGCGTTTTTTCGCATTTTTAAACGTGATTTGCAGAAATAACTAGTAATAAATTCTAGATTATTCAAACTAATATAATATTACACTAGGGATCATGCTTATAAACGAGGGTAAAACGAAGGGTAATTAAAAAAAACTAAAAGGGGGGTTCAACTTTAGATTTCTCGGTATATTTGTATTGTTTGGGGCCCAAAACCCAACCAACCCATTTGCGGGTTGGGTTGGGTTGGGCTCTGGGCTTTATGGGCCGGTGCGGAAGTTTACGGGCCCCAGGCCCTAAACAGGAACCTTAGTTTTTGTTATGGTCTTGTTAGAACCTGCCCCTGGACTGGCGAGTTACACACTAGGCCAAAAAGACCACTATATCTGAGCATTACACTCGGATATTCCAGGCTCCGATATGATGTCGGAGCATACAGACCGGCATACCGGGGATTTAATTAATCCAGGTTGTGCAGTAATTTTGAATTAGTAATCCGCTATCCATATAAATTGCTAGGAAAACGGATACTGCAATACAGAGATTTTAACACCATTGATTGGACCCATATATTTCAAGATACGAGTGTAATTGACATATGACATGACAGGTCTAGTAGTAAAAATGGCTGTATTATTTCCCATATAATGCCTAGTTCAACCGCAATTTAAGCATCAAGAATTCGATTATCGAGAATTAAACTAAACATTTAAGTAATATACCTACTATAACTTGAAGAATCAGAGCGATATTTGTGTATTGCATTCTATAAAATACGGAAATGTTAGAAAGTACTGCTGGCGAAATGAGTACAGTCAGTGGACATAAATAATTGCATCCCGCCCCACACCCCTAAGATTACCTAATATTCTGCCCGTCAAAAGAATCTCCATAAAGTATAATTATCTCCACTATCACTGCATATATAAGAGCACTAGCTTTAAGAGTCAGGGAAAAAATAAGACAGGGATTTGCCTACAAAAAACCGCTGCTTCCTATACTATTTCCAGGTAGTTCTATCCATACATGTTATATATTTTAGGAAGGCGGTATCAGCGGTGAGTTGGGTGGGGCCGAGGGGTATGCAATTACTTATGTCCAGTCACTGTATGGCGCACTGGCGTCTAGAGACTTCCGCAAAGCCCATAAATGGGCCCAGACTCCAGACCCAAGGCCCAACCCACAGCCCATTCGTAGGGGCCCTTAAGGCCCCCATTATAACCCATTTGGGGTTTCAACTAGGATATTGTAATCGTTGTATTCTGATCCTTCTATTAATTGTATAGACTTGAAATTGAGAATTTAAAATTTCGTCTACTATATAAGCGTGTACTCTAATTTTAAATGAATAAAATCCAACCAGTGGAGGTCGAAAAAAGGGCTAATTATACTTTAATATCAGAAATATTTTCGATCTGTACGAAGAGTTAGTCTTACTCGTATCTCATATCGCGTCTGTCCTATATAGCTCAATGTTCCTCTAATTCCATAGTCCTAGTCCATCTTAACGATATTGTATTCAAACCCGTTAAATGGTGAGCGCTTCGGAGCTGCGACAGTGTTTGAGCAGTTCGGGGTCGTAGAAGAGTATCAGACTTTAGGAAATCAGCATGGAATAGAAGTGGTACTAGGTATGGTCCAAGCGTGAGAGGACGATTGATTGATTTATTGTTTGTCATCGATAAAATGCCTTTATATATGTCGCCGATGCTTCTTGCATTTACACCGTCCTAAATCGGATTGTGTACGGCCTCACTGTGCATTTTCACCCCAGGAAACAATTCCTTGAATAAATGCGGCAGGAAGGCCTCCAGTCTCTTCCATGTCTCGTCCCATAACTCTGCTTGCTGAGGTTTCTCTTCAGGCAGGACAAGATATCCGCCGTTTGCCATGACTAAAAGTATGTTCTTCATGTTTTCGGCGACAACCTCTTCCTATACGTTGGTTAGTATGGAGTAACTAGCGATGAAGTATTTACCAAAGGGAAATGACACAGAGAGTAGTTTACATACCAATTTATCCCCCTGCCCAGAATTCATTAACTGATTCATCAGACCAATGATATTCAACCACACATCCAGCAACCCAACTGACTCCGCCAACTCGGTCAAATAATGCAGATAGCATCTGCACAACAGCGTCGATACCCTGACCCTTGCATCACCCATACCTACGGGATCAGGCTGGTACACCTCCGGCTTCAACAGCTGTGTGACCAACGGGAACAGCACCTGGCTAAATATTTTGATCCACTCTGTGTGGTCCCCCGAGAATAATGTATTCTTACTAAGAAGCGTATCTTTAAGCAATTCTAAGGCTTGGGTGCTAACCTCGCGACAGGGATTGAGGCATTGCGCTATGAGCACGCGGAAGATGGGGGACCAGTACGCATTCCAGGCCTCGGGGGTAGAGAGTTGGGATTGGGCGATGAGTTGCGGGACACGGACTGTGAGGTTGTAGATAATATTTGTGGCTTTGACGCCGCGTTGGACCATTTCATCGGGTCTAGGGAGCTGTTAGCCTGCAATAAGTTGCTCAAGGAGTAACAGATTATGTACTCGGCTTTCTTTGGGGGAGGCTGATCTTCATACTTTGTTCTCCGCCCTTGTGTTATTCTCCGCTCTGGCACAGCACCAACGCTAGCAGCGGTTGCAAATTTGTTGAGTAGTTGAACAATCGCCTCATAGTTCTTCATACTGATGCTGGTGTGCACAGTGCTAGCTAGGTCCTCCGCAAGTTGGAAAACACCCGCAGCCGTCTCAGGTATGACGAGTAGCTGGTGAAGGATTGACCAGAAATCGGGAGAGGTAGCGATCTCGTTCCGTAGGGGCTGTGGACCACCGATGCAGGCTGCAAGTCCTTGCAGTAGCGGCCTGGCGCATTGTTGCAGATGATCGGCATCGAAGCTAGATAAGGCATGCAGGATGATGGGAGTCTTGATAAAGTCATAGTCCTGTCAAGGCATCAATATATATAGATCTGAGCTACGTAAATCATCACTCACATTGCTTGATCCTACGAATTGCAGTAGATGGTAGACAGCCCTAGAGACTAGTACTGGGTGTACCTGATTTGCGTCATGTATGAAATTCTTCAATGCGCCCACGGTTTCTCTGCCAAATAATTCCGTTGTCTTCCGGTCTCGCAGTGTCAGATTCGTAAGCAGATCCAAAATAAAAGCCAGCGATGGGTCGTAAGCTGTCGTTGGTACAATTATCTCGCTGTGACTCTGTTCAATGGGCACCGAGGGACGAATATCAGGCTTTACTGCAATACCGTGGAGCGATGTATCTTCGGGTAGTCGTGACAAAAGCGCCATGAACAGAGGTCTCAAAGCCTCTGTGGACATGTCGCTAGAGGTCTTGTTAATTCATGTCCTGATTAGCCACGCGGTTTATGACTTACAAGATGTTGGATGTGATTTCGTCCAACGAACAAGCGCTGATAGTATCGATTGTACACAAGGTGTTCTCAATCTCTTCGTCTGAAGGTTCCGGTGGCTCACCGTTCGCGAAACTCGAAACATAAGAAGCAAAGGCATAAAACAGGCTGGTGTCCGCTGCTCTATCATCTTTGTTGATGATCTGAGTGGGGCTTTGTAGCGGGATAGATGGAAGTTCAAGCGATTTGCGAGCTGAGGAGAACGAGGAGGGTATCAAAGAATTTATAAAAAGATTCAGCAATATTCGCAGAATCTACAGCTGTGAGCTTATATATCTCAATTGCTTTTGTTGATGGAAGTCTTACCTGTTCCCATCCATCCCGAATTGCACCCTCGTTACCATTGAGAATTCGGAACAGCACTACTGTTGCAAGCTGGGCTCTGTCATCACGCCCAAATCGAACGGCGGTTTCGGAGATCATTACACTAAGTTTCTCATGCTGGACCTCGATTTTGAGACTCGTGCTTGGTGTGACTTCTGGAGCAAGCGTGCTGATATGCGACAGACAGGCTACTATCCTATCCAAGGCATCACTTAGTCTGTACTTCGCAGCAATCTGACCGCACTGGCCGAAACCGGTTACTATTTTTGAAAGCACAGCGTCGTCAGTCGCGGATATGAACATATATGATAGTGTCCCGACGATTGGCTTCCATGTTGCCGCGAACATATCCGCATCAAAAATGTTGGTGTTGCAAGACACCAAGTCTGAAGTGGATTCGGCCTTGATCAACAGCTCATTCCAAGCGTAATCATAGGCATGCTTATCATCATGCTCCTCTGGCAGGATAATCTCATGTGTCCGGATAGAATCAAAGATTTCCTGAAGGAAGTTGGAATCAAAGTCCCCCTGATCGTTAACACCCCTGAGATTCTGGGCAAAGTTCTCAATGGTCATACGTTTCTGGCCCCTGAAATTGGGATTATGCTGATCTGTGTTTAACAAGATGGTGGCATACACGAGAACAAATGCTGCAGTGGAGTCTGCAATTCCTGCGGGTTTGGCGTCGTCCATATACTGTGCAGCGAACACCTCCACAATTCGCTCTATAAGTGCCGACTCACCAGGAAGGCGGAATGCACCCAGTAACTCGCGTATAGCCTCGTCAATTCGTTTTCCGGCGAAGTTAAAAAGCTTCATGAACTCGTTCAATATATTTTCGTTTGTTTTCTTTGAAATAAACTCCCCCAGGATCTTCTTGTCAATTCTCGTAGTGCCTTTGATAAACTCCGCAATGTTCTTAGGATTCTCAGGCTCTTGTATGACCCCTTGGGCGACTAGAAATGCGATGCCAGCCTTTGGGTTCTCATTGAATTTCGAGGCACCCTTCATAATCATACTCTTACGTGACCGCTGCTGTCGTAGGGCATTGGGGTCACGGAAGCCCTCTATCAGGGGCGCATCATCGAGTCTATCTGCAATGGATTGCACATAGGATAGAAGAGAGTCCAAACATAGCGGTGGGAGGTTTGTTGTACTCCCCTGGGCTGAGTCTGGGAAAGCGTTCCGCGAAAGAAGTCCAACCAGATCCGAACATAGGTCGCTTCTATCAATATCGCAATCGTAGTTGACGAACAGCTCGACCATAAAAGAGGGGATCCTAACCAAGGCGCTCACGCTCTCTAATATCGCCTCACGAGCATCGGGTGTCCTTATGCTGTCTTCGGGTCCCAGCTTCTGTCGATCCTTGGCAGACTTGGGCGTCGATTTGCCACTTGTAGATTTTTGCGCAGGTGACTGTGATTTTGATTGCTTGAGGAGGCTGAATGACTGCGGTACACCCTCGTAAAGAGAAGGGTCGATACCAGGCTCTAGCGGAATATCCATTGTCGGAAACACACAGGTCACCACATACGATAGGAATAGCTCCTGCTGTAGCTTGAGTACACCTCGGCATGTTGCAAATAAAGTAACACACACACAGAGCAACTCGCTGATAATCTTCATGTTATCCAAGCGAACCAATTGGAGCAAGTATCGGCATAGCGTGTCCTTTGTCAGGGTTGCTAGACTAGTATGGTTGACGATTGATGGGCCCGCTACTTCCAACACAACATGCAGAATGCGCAGTGCCGTGATACGCATTGTGTCTGTTTGTTTCTTGTCCTCAGGATCTAGTATATTGATGAGGATCACAAGAAGCTCTCGTATCAACGTCAGGGAGTATGGCTTGATTGGGAGCGCCTCGCCTTCATCCTGTTCATCGTGCATTGACGGTAGATCAATTGTGGCGTCGCCCTTTTGCAGTGTCATCCCTGTGGACTCATTGATCAGCTTCTCCACGCTCGCAAAAGACCGTGTCTTCTCCTCAGATTTAAGATTCTTGGAGTTTGGACCGGTCAAGGAGGTCTGCATTTTTGAATCAAGGAGCTTCATCGTGCCCATATCGGCCCTGACATCCTGATCCAAGGCCCCTAGCTCTTCGCCCACCTCTTCTTCTAGGTGCTTCCATCGCTCGAAGACCAATTGGCAAATAGAGACCATGGCAATCTCAGCAGACTGTCGTAGGAGTTCCGAAAGCCTGGGTTGGCAGCACATGCTCAGTCCAGTTTGCATCATCTCAGAAACGCTCTCATTGCAGAGAGATTCACCTCCTGGACTCAAGATAATGCTTTCCATGAGATTCAGTACCTGCAGGAGTACAATTTCGTCCGTTGCTGAATCGCTTGCCTCGAACCGGCAGTGCGTGAGAGCTGATGAGAGGAGCTGCATGGCTTCAGCCAGCCGAGCGGAGTCACCGGAGATTATTTTGTAGGAGAGGAATTTCGTGATGGCGATGAGAGAGCGGGAGGTGATCGCAGCAGAGGTTGAGGATGATCGTATTACTTGGAGGAAGGGGTGTAGTAGAGCAGGTGTGTCATATTTCGTGATGTCTGTTCGTGGTCAGCAGTGATGATGCCAACCATCCGGCCTTTCAACTTCCATTTTGTACCTTTACAGTTGCTCAGGTTTGATTGCAGCCTCAAGAATGCCGCCACGAGCGGGTTGTCTTGGACGATTCCCCCCTTCTTTTCCCTCAAGCCCCAACGACTCGATACCGTGTTATCTTCGTCCAGCATCACCACATTTCCAATTTTTCCATCACGTCGTGTAGGCGGTGGTTTTCGAGGGCTATTCCCAAGGATGGCCGATACACTAGAATGTGCCCATTGCGCATGCTTGCGCAGAGCAGTTGTTACCGTTATACATTCTGTAACAATGAGGGCCACTGGGTTAATAGCCATCGTAACAGGGGATGTGCACGTAAGGTTCGTAGTCCTAAGAGGCAGCCCGAAGCTCAGCACGGAGCTATGCATTTTAACAACGTGATTACTCATTCTGTGAGAGCTCGAGATCACTTAGGAAAAATGCAAGTATTTGGCGGATATATTTATGTCGTGTACAAGTGGAGATGAGAGTTACCACTATGTCTCCACAATCTCTTTCTAGTGGGCGATCAATTGAGCGGTCCCGCAGCCGATCACCCCTGAGTACGCAGGGTAGGTATGTATATAGGTTTTGATATATTAAGCCAAATACAACACATCGACGGAGTACATGTAGATATCTATATATCTATGTAATACCAAATTACTGTGATTTCAGCCAAAGTTTGTTATTGCAATTAATCAGATTCAAACATTTTCCATGCCACTATGGCTAGGGTTCCGAAAGGAATGTGACCTCAATATCCGCAGGTATTGATATTCCATGTAGGAATTGAAAAAATATCGCCGAATCTTGCCCCGCTTCCTCCACTAAGTCTATTTCTATGTGGATGTTCATGGATAGTGTTTTATTGTCTTTTCGTCGAAAAGGTGGGAAATCACACAGACCGCTACTCGGTACTCCGTACTCCGTGGTATGTTGTACACAATTCAGGGGTTACCCAGCCGAAAAAGCAAATATTTGTTGAAGTTTAGTAGTTACCTCTGTGTGGCCTATTATAACCGTAAGGTCAGGCCGACTGATTTATGATTTATGTGATTTAACCTTGGTGATCTACATGGCTATAGGTACGGAGTATAACATCCATACATATTGAAGAGGTTTCAGGGTTTAGCTTAGACATACGGGTCAATTCAGCACTTGCAATTCGTCCTCATACCAACTAAGGCACACAAAGTGGACCAGGACAGTCGTCCAAGAAGCGAATTCAGAGGGGTGCAGGAGTGTGTATTGTCAATCTGCAACTACCTGATCAGTACTAGGTACTGTCTATCGCTTGGAAGCAGGATAGCTAAGTAAATATATAGCAGAATGACTCTACTATATTTGACTTGATAGAAGCACAGTGTACAGTATCGAGTACACGGAGGACCAGGAGTTGTGCCGAATCGGCCCTCGATCCAGGCTCATAGATGAAGAAATATGTACCGTACACCCCACTACCACCATACGGGGAGTCGTCCTGGACGAGCTCTGCTATGAGCCGAAAACCCACTCGTTTATACAGTTCAGCTCCCTCTCTCAAAGCGTGAACGAAAATGTTTAATCCCATCTTGTCAGCCTGGTCCATTCCGCTCTTCACCAATGCCGTCCCGACTCCTTTACGCTGGTTTTCTGGATGCACAGCAAGGTATTCCAGACCTATCAACCGACGTGTCAGACCAGGGAATATTTCTCTGTAATATGGTGTTTTTGGCGTCACTTCCTTTTCAAGTGCGTTTATGCGATCCAACAGCTCGTCAGCATCATCGTTGGGATCCCAAATAACAGTCTTGGCAATCCGCCGGATCTCGGCCTCCTTTCCGGGCTCAACCGCCGGGACCTGGGCGTCAGGCCATGTCGGCGTGCCATCATCTGTGTTTATCTCATAAGACGTTGGCAAGCGCCATCGGGCGTAGCCGAGTATGCGACCCGTATCTATATCCACTGCTTTCTGATGTCGCAATGCCTCCCGGTTATTCAGCAGGTTGCGCGGGAAGCGCAGGGCTATCTGCGAAACGTGGTACTCGAGGGTCCGATGGCGCCAGGCCAGGACCCAGTGCGGGTCAGCCCAGAAAGCGGGGATGCTATTGGCGGCTAGGGTGGTACCGTCAGCGATGCTGCATTGAGAGATTACAAAGGGAGCCATGCTAGATAAGGGATACTAGGAAGCCCAAATCCTGAGGCAGTCTGCGACAGAGAAAGGGCGCAAGACGCAGTTCACCAGACTCCTGCGCTGAAAGTTCAGCTGACATAGTTTGGAATCCACCGAAATCACGTCATGGTTTCTTATCTGAACTCTACCAGTCTGATCAATATCTGGGCCTAGGCAGGACGCTGCGCCTCCAAGGATATTTCAGGGAAAGAGGTTACTTTGAAAGTACTTCGGCACCTCATTTACCGAAAGCTGAAGCCGGACGGTGCGGTGTTCGGCAACCGGCGAGTAGTACTTGCTGGACATATCGAATCAACACCTCTAGAGTTTAGACTGATCTGTTGCTCAGGCAAGTGCAGTCTGCTGTTCTGACATTGGCACCCGTTTTTTGCTCGCATATCAAAATAATATGGTAACTACATATGTATAGGAGCAATCTCGCCACAATATGCTTTTGATGCTGGGAGTTAAGGGCAGCGAACGAAATATGACCATATATGAATATTCGTGAATATCTGCAAATATGAAGAAACAAGTAATTCATATTCAATGATATAGTAAAGTATCATACATGACCATTCACTTTATTAAACCCCGATAAATCAAAGTTCATACTCTTTGCTTAAACGGCGAAATATATACAAGCCCTCAATCTACACCAATAGGAATTTATATATAATACCGTCCTTTCAATACTAGTGTGTAGGATAAGCCATCGCATAGTCCTCGCATTCAGACAGTGTCTTCTCAGGCCCAAGATATCTCTAGGATTACTGAAATCGGGTTCAATCCCAACCTTTGACAAGAGGATGGATAGGTAGTCGCGAGCTGCTTTTGCCATCAGTGAGAAATTAATCCTATGTTCTTCCATCACTTGAGGACTTATTAACGTGACTGCAAGTATAATTAGAGCACAAGAGTACGTAGGATGTGATATTTCCTGGTTTAGTTGAGTGTGGCCGTCTTGGCACTTGTTGGTAGACTTCCGCAAAGCCCACAAATGGGCCCCCACCCTAGGCCCAAAGCCCAACCCGCAGTGGGCTATGGGCCTAACCTTCGAAACCCGACCCAACCCGTAGCCCACTAATGGGGGCCCATGAGGCCCCCATTAAAGCCTATCTTATCGGCCTCTGTAATCGCTGTATTACGACCTTCCACTGGCTATATAAAGTTCAAGTTCAGAATTCAGAATTGTACTAGCTATATAAGTAGGGGATTGTTAATGGGACCCCCCCCTTGCTAATGGGACCCCCCCCTGCCTGAAATTTCAGTACCGCCTTCCCAATTGGGTACCGCTTTTGCCTCGCCGCCTAGATCTGCCTACCGCTTTCCACACCGCCTTCCTGGTACACTCCTTCCACAATAGTAGTAGACAACGGGTACCTGCAATTTGTATACAAACCCTGTACAAAATTAAGTCACTCTTGTTATATAGACTAGATCAAACAAATTGATACTCCAATTCTGGTTTACACCTATTAAGTATCATCAATCTCTTCATTATCAACACCATCAATCTCATCAAAATCACTATACAGAAATAGTTCCCGAGTCTCCTCCCACTGAGCCAATCACCGATCTACCCAACGAGATCCTTCAGGATTCGAATACGTGCTTGCGCAGGAACGAGGACGGGGACGGGGACGCGGAGCGAGTGCAACTACCACTGAGGGTACCGAAGAGAGCAATGATACCGAGACCGGAGGACGGGGACGTGGACGTGGACGTGGACGAAAACGCGCGCGCCGGGGGGGGGGGGGGGGGGCTGATAACTAGTATACTAAATTTGTAGAGTTGATCAATGCAGAAACCAATAAAATGTACGATTTTTTCTGATTAAAATGGTCCAGTTTTTACTATGTAAACCAGAATTACTGTGGTGGTGGCAGGATATATGGCAGAATCATCAGTCTCACCCAATTGGGAAGGCGGTACTGAAAAATCAGGCAGCAGGGATGGCCTGATCCAAAGGGGGGTGATGGGATGCATGGGGGGTGGCTGTATCAATCCCCTAGAGAGATCACTAGTAATTGATTCTAAATAATTTAAACCAATAAAATATTACCTTTAGAATAAGGGTTAGAAACGGGGGTAAAACGAAGGGTAATTCTAAAAACCCTTTTAGGGGGTTCAACTTAGGATGTTTGCATTGTTTGGGGTCCATAGCCCATCGATAGGCCTAAGGACCGGGCACAAAACCCGGCCCATTTACGGGTTAGGTCGGGTTGGGCTTTGGGCTTTGTGGGCCGGTGCGGAAGTCTACTTGTTGGTATTAGTCCCTGGCTGGCAGGATCAACTATCGTACAGTGTTACAGTGCTAACAGTACTATATAATAGAATTTCATCGTGTTATAAGACGGAATAATGTTCCACCACTGTAGTACCGAGGTTTTAGTGGTATACAACATCCACATTTCATACAAATCTTGTTATGATATTTAGTGGCGAGACAGATTCCCATCTAGCTAGGGTGATATAGGATATAGTTGATCGTACTAGACGCTCTTTAGGCGGAACAAAGTACTGTGGGGGTATCGTGCTTTAACAAATATCAATATGGGCGTATACTACCTCACTACCCTGCCCATTCTCTAGTCGATCCTATCTGCAGCTCATCTTTTAGTGTGGCTATACCTGCACCTATGCTAGTTAATATGGTCTCTTTAGAAATATACCCTCTTAAATAGATATGCCGAGTAACCTCACATTTCTTTTAGTTGTCCTGATAGACCAGACTCTGCCTTTCTTTTTGCACCGCGTTACAAATATTTCATATCGAGTCAAGCTTTGTCATAGCGACGGTATTGCGCTAAGGGGCCAAATCTGAAACATTTAGAACACATTCAAGTGTAACACCGTGGAACAGCTTCTGGGTAGAAAAGTAGCAAACGGCGCGCTCCTGGGGCAGCAGGAATACTCGATCTGAAATAATCCCTGCTTCCTTTATCTTGCCGCCTGAATCCCCGGTCCACCTTTTTGAATAGGTTTAATACTGCGTTATATCTACTACTGCTTATGATACCTAAAATTAGAACGGTACAACCAGATAAAAGCCCCAGTACGGATTCCTACCCTCCTCAGCCTGGTATCTCTATGTATATTCACATAAACTACATATCCAGTCAACCGCCTTGTTATGTCGTTTTGGGTGGTGTTATTCTAGCGGGAAAGGGCTTAGAATATGTACGGGGTACGGAGTACATAGAGCACACTTGAATGTGTAACTAGGCATTTTTCTTTTCATTGTTCATAAGAGGAGGATGCAGTGACCCCAAGAACTGGCTCTAATATACCACATCTATAGCCTAGTATCAATTGAGATCGACTTGGGGCTTCGTCGATTACAAGATTGCCTTATCTTACCACAAAATAACCCCTCAAATGTAGCTTTCAGGGGTTTTGGTGTTAGTCAAGTGTCGGGGATTTAGTGCATATTGCGCCTTTTCCACTAGAAGATCAAACAAAGTACGGGGTATTGTTTTCAGAAATATTAAACTGGTCCTATCAAAAACAGGAAGAGTTACCACAATAGGCATCTGAACAAGATAGGCAACAAAGTGTAGATCTCAGTACGGAGTACAAGTCTCTCCAGGGCTGCCCCAGCTTACTTGGGTGTTCAGGTGCCCACCTAGGCATCTGGGCAATCCTCCATCCATATACCTATCTAGGTAAGGCTTTAATGCAGGTATATGCTTTACAAAGTAAGCCTTTCCAAGCCAGAGCTGTGGCTGAGGGACTAAGCCATGTGATCCCTCATCACGCTCAACCGTTTTCTGTAACCAATGTCACCTTATATGAACACCAGTTATCAAATTCCCGTTTTGCCAACATAAATGCGAAGGAATCTAGAATTATAAGCATTAAGTACGTATCGCGGCGATCGCCCATAGGATTTCACGGCCAATTCAAATGCTACTTCCATGTCCGAAATTCAGCCTACTGCCACGGAGGTAGTAGTAAGAATACCATCTATGCTATGCGCTATTATTTGGAAGTGATAGCAGTCGGAGATGGCCGCTTTGTCTTTAGGGTGTCGAGTCATGTCAGATCGTATGTACGCATGACGTACGTCAGATACCATCCGACATCTTTTCAGAAACTTGGATAGAGTTGAGTTTCAGCATTTATTTTCGGAAACACAGGTACTTCCGATGAATCTGCGAGATCGGTGTCACGGTATTATTCGGTGTTGGTGTTATTCGGTGCTGGGAATTTCGTGCATGTTCACGTTTCTCTGACTTTCATGTACATTATACCATCCAGAGTATTATGAACTTCACTTCAACCCATACTATAGGTGTAATTAGGCTGAAACAAAATATGATAACGCCGAATTATAGTAACGTCCATCCTTCACAATAATTACATGGTTTTCTAGGCCCGGATTGATATGGCGTAAGTTTTCAGATGTCAAAGTATGTATATATGTACGTATATATGTATGGCTTCCTTTGCCCTGACCCCTTGCTGAGGCGATAACCAGCCTACGATGACTATACATTCCCATTGCGTGTATGTAGGATGTGCTACATCTAGGAATGTTGAACTCTAAAAACCTAAAACCCATATATACATATCTAGAAATGTAGCATTATATTCATTAAGACATTATCATCATTTATTAGCAAATAGTACAGTCAAGCCAAAAGTATAAGGGAGTGGTCGTAAGAATCTCAGCCAATTATTCCAGTTTGGTTATCCGGGAGTCTGCTTATATCAAGGGTTATATTTCAAAAAGTAGGTATGTATGAAGTCTGTTTAGTGAAGTAGTCCATTAAAATACGCTATGTGTGTATTGATACATCCATAATTCCATACCTGAGTTGCCCGCGGATGAATCTCTCAAATTTAAATTCAAATCTAAGCCCCCTTACGCATCCACATGTGCATATACTACTATGGGTAATAATGCAGAGTAATCATAACATACTTAAACATCCACCTATACTAGGTACTTGTGGGCCCGTCTGTAAGCGTAGTAAGGTACCTAGGTAGGTAGGCAAAATAGGTGTCCATAGGTTTGGGTGAGGTTAAGTTGGAACCATGGATAACATGTGGAAGGTTAGCGCCCTGCGGGTAACGGACCGCCCCGAGGTTAGTTTTTTTTCATCTCTACCTAGGTAGGTAGCATGATAACCTTAACTCCCGCTTGTAAGTAGTGGATTTCGTTCTTGGGTATGTACTCAATTCATGCATCGATTTCTCCTCCATCTGCTTCTTCAGATTACTCGAGGTTAATTATGTATTCATGGCCCAGTAGAAAGGTTTGCTTTTGATCTCGGCCAGACATAATCGGATCGCATATATGTGCTGTACTTAGTAAAATGCCAGAGGTCCCAAACCACTTCCTTCACTGTGCAAAGGAAAGAAATAATTCGCAAACCTAGCCTTGATTATTTCAAACAACAATTTCCGAGTATAGTTATGGAGCTCGTACACTTTTATGTTGCCAAACTGAAGTCTTACACCGGCTACTTCAACTCGACGTCACCAATATCAATCGCTCGCATCTTCGCATTGCTTCCGACCAGTTATACCGTGAGGCCATCAGAGCTGCTATTTCTCCGGAGCGTCACTTGAATGTACGTAGTAACTTGTGTATCTGACCTCGAAGTGGAATGGGGCTAGAATTCAATGTACTGTCAAAATCGTAGCTGAGTCGTCCGCGACTAAAATTTTCTCTTTTATAGCCAAGAATAGAGGCCAGCGTAATTAAGCAGCCTCATTTACTCTATAGGGTTCAAGCCACCCGGAACTCCGGTCAGAAAAAGACTGCATATACCACTCAGAATCATTATAAACCTAATTTATCTCGAGCATTTCTGGCTCTAACCTAGCTAAGTAACGGGGGCGGTCTTGGTGTCACGTCGTAGGCTGTAAGAAAAGTACTCGCCCTCTTGTAGGCCATGCTGGCCCACTGTTTGAAGATCATAGGTTCTTTGGGACCTTGTAGTCTGACAATAGGCAATACGGGACGTCTGCGCACCAAATCCAATCAAATGGCAAGATTCAATGACCTCCTTTTTGGGGTTGAGTGCGCCAAATGCGGCCCACTTTTGATCGCCCGCGAACGTTCCCCGTTGGCACTGAGGATCTCGAAGCACGTTTTTGCCCCAGTGGGGGGCCTGAGTGGATGGTACATAATCAGCTCTCCCGAATACATAAATTGCGCGGCCTCGCCTGACTCACAATGACCTGCTCTTCCGTATGAACATTTTATTTTGACCAACACTTGGTTGCCATCCGCGAAGAACAAAAGCATTCACGTCTGCCGATACCAACCTTGCCTTGCTTAACTGTACTATATGTCGTTCTCTAAATTGCCTGTCCTCTTCTGGCTACTCCTAAACTCAGACCCCCTCTCCGTTCTCCCCAGATGATTCCTGGCCCTTTTTATTACCTTTTGCTCGATTATATTGCACGAAAGCCCTGATCTACGAATCAGTCCTAATGTCTGAAAATTCCTGCTCACAGGATCTCCCATTATATCACTGGGATCAAAATGATCTTCAAAATATCCCAGTCTCGCAGGCAGAAGCCGATGTATACGCCTCTTTGATTGACTCAGTGCACGTGCTAGGCTACCAACAAGGCGATTTTCCAATCCAATCCTCATGGTCCTTTAATAGTCCTGTAGCCGCCATAGGGGGAGATCCACAACTATCCCAATCAATCCTATCTACTATTCCCCAGGGCTCAAATACTTCTCTAAACAGCTCCAGCACAGGTTCGCCTTCTCCCCTTCTGGATTTGACTTCGCCACTTTCTGCTCAGTGTGGTCCGTTGTCTTTTGATACGAATTGGGGGGGGGAAAGTGACGGTCAAACATGCAAGGTAGTTCTAGTTCATATGTCCTCTGCACTTATTATAATTGTGTTGCAGCTGACCAGATCCGAGATTAGTGACATTAAGATCGCGCCATACTCCATGCTCATACCATCGGAGTCTTACTTTGCTGACTCAATGCAGCACAACTCGGCCCGTAAGCAAAAGTTATGTCTTGATTGTTAAAATAAGAAACGTCTAATACCCAACATATAGACTATATATGGGCCAACCGCACTTACCAGCCGTCGCAGCCACCACCAGGACACTTGAACCAGCATTTCCCGCAATTACAACCGTACTCGCCGGGAGTTTTTCTCGGTCACAATGGACATGCAGATAGATCGGCTCATAGCTATTCCCAGGATCTGCCAGCAGCATCCCCGTATATTCTCCTAGCACCCGTTAGCGCTGAACGGCAGAGTCCCTCGCCAAGGTGTGTGAAGGTCCACGTAATTGAAAGATGGGGCAGAGCGAAATGGAACTGACCTGCTCTCTAGTCATCCGATGCCTCATTCTCTCCCATTTTATTTTGCTCCAACACATTGGTACAACCAACCCTTGATTACCTCGTAAGCCTTGATACCAGCCCTGAAAAATATATACCAAGAGTTGAGTCACTAACAGCTGGTTGCGCAGCTCCCCGCCATACATGGTGGATCACCATGCCTATCATATACCCGAAGCGGCCCCAATTTTGTGAGTCAATTCTCTCATGTCATCTAGAGAGGGCTCTAATGGTAAACTGTTAGTTTTCCCCATCACGCTTCTATAAGCTCGCAGGCTTCCTCCATGGTCCAGGACCCTGTTTATCCTCAACAAGAGTCAGAACCAGTTGATTCCGATAATGGATACCTAGTATGTGTGTTAAACTCGCGACGACGACCTCAATGTTGGGATTGGGATCATGGCTGCAATGGTCGGGAGTTCTCGAGCTTTAGCAATCTTCTGCGACACCAGCGTGAAAGGTCGGGCGCAGTTACTAAAGCAGAATGTTCTATATGTGGAGCTGTTTTCACTCGCAAAACAGCACGCAATACTCATATTATTGAGGGTAGATGTCCAGGTGTTGGAGTTCAAATGGGGGGACAACTGACTATGGCGGGCTAGGGTTTCCATGTGAATCAAGTTTCTTCAATCGTCGCAAACTTCTCAGATTTAAAATTTAATAGGCGAGGAATTCTCGTTGATACCAGGATTTTAGTGCTGGTGACTATATTTCAGGGAATTGACATATGCAACCCTCTCCCCTCCCTTGCCTAGCTTCTTAGGTGTACTTTCCTAATTGGGTACCACTCCTACCTCAACACCTAGCTTTATCTACCGCCCTTTTCACCGACTTCCAATTTATACACCGCATTTCTGTCAAATAGGAGGACAGCTAGTACTTACACTTTATATGTAAACAACTAACAAAATTCAGTCTCTCCTATCTTGAGCCATCACCCAGGATACATATAAAACCAGAATATATTTCTCTCTTTTCCCCTCTTCAATACTTAGGTCACCATTTCTTTATTTACCGTTGATAAATTTTGGAGGATGTGCTTATTAATTTTCACTCTATTTCGCACATTATTAGTATATTTATTCAAGGTCAATGTGAGCATAGAGCGCTAGGTTCCCTACCTTGCTCTGTCCGACCAGAAAGATCATCATATATGCATTTGTTAGAAATTGGACTGTCTTATACATTCGAGGAAATTCTAAAGAGGCAATAATAGATATGTCATATGACACAAGTTTGTAGGTAAAGAAGGAGGCCAGCTATCGGTTTAAAAAGAAATCACATTGTGAGCAGATTAGAGCAAATTTGGTTAAATTATACTCAATCTAACTCATATTTCCGTCCATATCCACAGGTGGGTATGCTATCTTTGTGGCCTCAAGATCCGTAACATAATGTCACCTAAGATGGGTATCCAGGGGGACCTTGGTGGTTTATTTATTGTCTACACTTCTACTCCTCCTTTCCACTCTTCTCTACACTTGACACACGCTTACATCCACAATTCCTCCATGGCTTCTCAAACTCATACTTTACCTCCTCTCCCCTACGCCTACGATGTAAGCCTCGTTTGATTATGAATTGCGAGAATCTCTCACCATGAAGCTAACAACCAACAGGCATTGGAACCCGTCATCTCCAAGCAGATAATGGAGCTCCATCATCAAAAGCACCACCAGACATACATAAACAACCTGAACGCAGCGATCTCCGCTCAAGCATCCGCAGCTTCATCAAACAATGCCCCTACCTTGATTGCATTGCAACAAAAGCTCCGCTTCAACGGCGGTGGCCATATCAATCACTCCCTGTTCTGGAATAATCTGACTCCTCCCGGAACACCTGGAAATAACATCGACAGCGCACCTACTCTACGCAAAGCCATAGCCTCTCGTTGGGGCACGCAGGACACGTTTGTCGAGGCTTTTAACGCCGAGCTACTCAATCTTCAGGGGAGTGGCTGGGGATGGCTGGTGAGCAAGGGTGGTGCCAAGGGACAACTTGATATTGTTACGACTAAGGATCAAGACCCTGTCAATGGGCCTAATGTGCCTGTCTTCGGTGTGGATATGTGGGAGCATGCCTACTACCTCCAGGTGGGTTGACTCCCGTGCCTCTGCCCATTTTTGGGTGTATTTGCATGCTAATCCACGTTGGGTACAGTACCTGAACAACAAGGCTGACTATGTCGAGGGGATTCGGAGAATCATTCACTGGGCAGAAGCAGAGAAGCGCTATGCTTCTGGACTAGAGAGCTTGCTGAAACTGTGAGGTTTGTAATAAACTAGCTTGGTTTGATTTCAACGGTTCAGTACTCTACTAAGGAGACTTAGTACTTCCAACTCATGCAACGTGATTCATGGTTTCAATTATGTCTATGAAATATGTTTCTAGATATCATGGGCTCGTCACTTTAATTGTATCCCACCACTCCAATCCACAGGATTGAACCGCCCTGCTCTCTGACCGTAACTTGTCGGCCAATGATACCCTTCTCCGAGACGCCCAGGTCCAGTCTTTCGGGCAGCTCGAACTCAATCTCCGCTAGATTTGTCGTGTTAGAGTTCTTGTCTCGTTCTGAATTTAGGTGGAATTGATAAAGCGGAGAGATGGGCTGTGTTGTAGTGGAGAGATCGCCATATTTCCTGAGATAAACGGTCAGACCTTTATCCGTACTTAAATAACTCGTGGGACAGAATCAACTCACTCAATGCGTATATCGACATTTCGAGACATTCCGAGTACGTGGTATGTCTCTGTATCTTTTTTTCGGAGAATTGCTTTAGTTTTACTGGTAGTTGCATCCGTATCGCGGAAGAAAAGAGAGTATGATGACATTGAGGCGGTGGACGACGATGATGCAAATGAGGATACTGATTCCGGTGGCGAGGATAATGATGAATGCGAAATGGTTGAGCTCTGATCAGTTCCTCGAGGAAACAGGACGGCAATGGTGCCTCCATATGTTGGGCGGTTGGTTTTCCCACACATGCTGATCTATAAAAGTGAAAATACTGAAATGAGATGAGAAGGAGGATTGATATACAAGTGATTATATTGAATGTATGGACCAAAGACAAAGAGAGACAAAAAGACCAAGGCAGATAATCTAAATAGGATTCCCAATAAACCCCCAAGGTGCTCAAGATGAGAGTGATCGAGCATGACTGAGCACATTAAAGTGGATTTCCTCAAATCTGCTCATGTGGGGTCCTGTGATGCCTTACTGCCTTACTGCCTTGTTGCCTCAGGGATACAATACTGCCTCAGGCATTTTACTCATCTGTCACTATTTATAAATAACCCCTTATACACTTCGTTTCACTATAAGCGCTTGTCTTAGTGTCCAATGCGATCAAAATGGTTAGATGAGAGTCTGGGGTAGGAGACCGTGTTGGGCAACCATATCTACCCCTCCTCTCCACAACATCAACCCCACCATCAACAAAATGGACAAGCCATCTCCCGCCGAGGATTACTATGATCTAGGCGAATACCGTCGCAATGTTACCACAAAAAATGAAGATGCCCAACTTTGGTTTAGTCGGGGCTTGATCTGGGCCTACGCCTTCAATCACGAAGAATCCGCCCGATGCTTCCAAAAGGTCGTCGAGCTTGACCCGACATGCGCTATGGGATACTGGGGCATTGCGCTTGCCCTGGGGCCTAACTATAACAAGCCATGGCAGCTTTTTGACGGAGAAGATCTCTGCGCCACCACAACTCGCGCCCATCGCGCGATCATGGAGGCGAAAAAATACGCTCCCACCGTGACGCCTTTGGAGAATGCTCTTATCGATGCACTGCAGCACCGATACCCCCGAGAACAGCCCGTAGAAGACTGCACAGAATGGGATCAGAAATACGCCGAGGCAATGACATCGGTGTACAATGATCACCCGGATGACCTCGACGTGACCGCGCTGTACTGCGATGCGCTGATGAACCTGACTCCATGGGGTCTGTGGGACGTGAAGACTGGCAAGGCCGGACCAGGAGCAAAAACCTTCGAAGCGAAAAAAGCGCTAGATCGAGTCTTACAACGAGACGAATCCCTGGATCATCCCGGTATCTTGCATCTCTACATCCATCTGATGGAAATGTCGCCCACGCCTGAAATTGCCTTGCCGATAGCGGGATACCTGCGAGGCCTTGTACCAGATGCTGGCCATCTGGAGCATATGCCATCCCATATCGATGTCCTATGTGGCGAGTACAAACGAGCAGTCGCGGCTAATACCTCTGCAATCCGCGCAGATGAGAAGTTCCTTGCCAACCAGCCTCTGGGCCATTTCTATAATCTGTACCGTGCACACGATTATCACTTCCGGATGTATGCTGCTATGCTAGGGGGCCGATCGAAGGTCGCGCTTGAGTCTGGGGCCGAGCTCGCGCGGATAATCACCGAGCCTCTGCTGCGCGTTAAGTCTCCGCCGATGGCAGACTGGCTAGAGGGGTTTGTCGCTATGCAAATGCATGGATTTGTGCGTTTCGGCCGCTGGGAGGATATCATTGCTGTGGAGCTGCCGGAAGATGCAGCGCTATACTGCGTCACCACTGCTATGATCCATTATGCAAAGGGCATCGCATTTGCTGCTACCAGTCGTGTTTCGGAAGCAGAGGAAGAGCGAGAAAGGTTTCTGCGAGCAATAAAGCTTGTCCCAGATTCGCGGACAATATTCAATAACCGTTGCGTTGACATTCTCAGTGTCGGTGAGGCGATGCTCGATGGCGAGATCGCTTACCGCCGTGGCGAATACAATACTGCGTTTTCCTATCTCCGGGATGCTGTTAAGCGTGACGATGCATTGCCATATGATGAGCCGTGGGGCTGGATGCAGCCGACTAGACACGCCCTGGGGGCGTTGCTGCTCGAACAGGATCGCATTGAGGAGGCTGCAGCCGTCTATTCTGCAGACCTTGGGGTTGACACATCTCTGCCTCGCGCTTTGAGACACCCGGGTAATGTGTGGGCTTCGCATGGGTATCATGAGTGTTTGGTCAAAATGGGGCGGAAATATGAGGCGCGCGCCATGTTACCGCAATTGAAGAGTTCTTTAGCCTGGGCGGATGTGCCTATTAAATCATCTTGTTTCTGTCGGCAGAGAACTGAGTGATATCTCTTTCCTATCTTGGGGGTATGTCTTTTGATCTTTGGAATATTGTTGGACATGAATTCGTTTGAGGTGGCCGGAATACATGCTGTGGTTCGTGAGCCTGATATATCACTGAGTCGTTGACATAGGTACTGACTCTAACCTTTTTGGCCGTACTAAAGAACTGGTATGAGAGTGTTGAAGTTTACATCTTATCTTGTCTACTAGATTGGGCGACATTGTCAAGTGATGTCTCAAATGTCTCATCATACTGTATATGTAAGGGTTTAAAACTGTCACAATAAGTCGGGCAGTTTATTGGCCACAGCGACATTATTCTCTGCCATGGTCAATAGACGTCCTACCTCAAGATTCTGTCAACCCTCCAGTAACGACTAATACTTCTGATATCTCTATAATTGGCTCTAGGTTGAATCAAGATGACCTTTCGCTCCATGGAGCTTGAAATATTGAATCAAATTCGCTTGATATCAAACTTCATCTGTAGATTTCTGAAAAAAGTCCATGTGTAAATTGCATCGATACGATGTGTGCCTCTCGGCCAAGCCCCCAGAACCAGACGAGCCACCCCCTTCCTAGCTTTGTGCCCAGAAGCTCCTGGTACTCTCTAGTACCATATTTCCAGCACTGAGGCTCAGGATTGTCAAACCAGTCCAAACCATGACGAGGGTATAGATGAAGCTCCACGTAGGGCCAGGTGTACAGGTTCTGAACGTTGAGAAAATAAACATACCGGAGCGTATCAACGTGGTTATCGAGCTGGTATTGCGCTTGAGCCACTTGAGCCCAGTATGGCCCAAATCGTCTTGCAATGTTCTCAACGAAAATAGCCCCAAGTCCGGTACGGTGCTGGTAAACTGTCTCGCCCTGTTGGCGACCATGATCCCAGTATTGATATCTTCTCAAAAGGACATAACGCCAATTATTACCCATCGAGAGCCCGGTTGATTCAATGTTTCCCACTTCCTCGGGTGTAGATCTAAGCTCGTTGAGGCACACGTCGAAGCTGTGCTCTTCGATCGGGTGATCAACCAAGTCTGCCCAGGTGATTTTTGATCGTTGAATTGGACATTCTGTCGTGGTTAGACCGGCTATCCATGCTTGATATTGAGCTCCAATGGCTCGGTAATTGGCGACAGTATCATCTGAGAAATATTCATTCCAAGGTCTTTCAGAGGGGAACGGCAGAGGCTGATCAGAAGGTCGTCTCGCTGGTATTAGAATGGCATCTGAGAGTTGCCATTTTGGGTTTGTTTGCCGCAGTGGCCTTGCTGATTGCGTTCGAGGTATCTGGGGTGGAGAAGAATCATGTTCAGATGATTCGTTCTCAGAGCTGCACCGTCGAGTAGGCTGGTCAGAAGACGTGTCATCTTTGGTGCGGTTGGCTCTCCTCCGACGAGCTGCTGAGGGTGATCGGTGGCCTGCTGGAGCGTCGCCAGGTCCGTCAAAAGAGTAGTGGCGCAGTGCAAAACTCTCGGCGCTGGTGTTGGTAACAGATGTTTGACGTATCAGGCGTGAAGTCGAGGATTGTTGTGGAGCTAGTTAGTTAGTTGTCATGCCGACATTTTCACTTTCTGGTCTGCCTCACCTTGTCTGGTCCCGTCTTGGCTAGCACCGTGTTGACTACTAGGCTCAATATCGCGAGGGAGGTAACGTAGACCTTTAGACATTGATAAAAGGCGTTGCTGTATCATCTTCAAATGAATGGAAAGTGTCGTTAACTGAGTTGTGGATTGGATTTGTTTGTGAAGGGTGGAAGTTTTTAAAGTGATCCCTCGGCAAGTGATTGTCAAACTCAGTGTTATTCATTCCTCTATAAGTGACGATATATGATATTTTAAGATTCATGGTCTTCATTAATAGAATTTGGCCCGAATAGAACGAAAACAAGAAATGTGATCCAAGATACCAACAGACATCTGGAGATGGTTCTTAAAAGTAACCCCAACAGATACCGGAAATAATAGAAATAAAAAGAGATAGTAGCAATAGTAGCGATGTTAGCAATAAAAACTACTTTATACAGGGACTCTTGCTTTTTGGGGGGTATCAATCAGATCAAAATATTCAAGATCTTAGAATGAAGTCAAAGCCATGATGCCCCAGTGATCGCACTGTTTTATAGCAGATTCTGACAGGCCGCCATTCCGAAGTCAAGAAAACTCATACAGAGATGCCATCTATGACGGGATCCCTCATGTTTGACTCACGTTTCTCCAGTCACACTTCGCAACGAATTATATCTCGCTCACCAAATCCCATTTTAGTCTCTGTTATCAAAATTTTAGGGAAGTTGGTTGAGAACCACAGGTGTAAAGTGAAATATAGCTGAAAGACCGCGAGAAACGAAATAATAATAAGTATTCTTGCCTTCATCTTACCAGAGGTCATGTATTTCTCTCTTGTCCCTTATAAAAATTCAGCAAAGCCAGTTCCTCGTTCATGATAACGTTCAAGAATGCTAGTTGAGGTACTATGTAAAAAGGCATAGACTTCAAGCTGAGATAACATACCAATCATCATACCGTTTAATAAAGAATGAGATGGTGATAAAAATTAAAGTGGCAAAGAAAATGGTTAGTATGTGCGGATTCACCAGCATTTAAACATCGAATCAACTGCATCTTTTACCTCAGCTTCGCGTTATCCACTAGAGGAACTTTCAAAAAGTAAAAGCTAACATATTTATAGAAAAACTTTGATTTATCTCAAGGCTTTGTGATATGTCACTCCCTTCCTGTCCGAGAACAACGCCAAGGCGAGCTAAGACAACCACTCTGGCGGCGAAGTACTGGTGCAAATGGCTCATAGTTTAGCTAAATAGGTAAGTAAGAGGCTCATTTGGGGGGGTGCCAGTGTGGGTTGGACCCTGCATAAATGCTCTGTAGCCTATTCATCGAGGATCGGAATTTGTGGGGGGTCATCTTAGATAGGCCCTTGGCGTTCCAAGCCACCTCATCTTGAGGGCTGTGTTAGCATATAAGAGGCAATGATTGGCATGACGTGTGAACAGTTGTTGTGCTTCATGTGGTCGCATACAAATTATATAAGTGCTCTTGTCATGGTTTGTCCATATCGTCTCTTCTTTACTCTACACTAGTATTTAATATCCCATGCTACTTACAACCATGTCTATGGCTTTGAATCCTCAACCTTTCCCTTCTTTCTGCATTGAAGCAGTACCGAGAAAAGAGAAAAAATGGCTCTCGCTTCTGTCGCTGCGATTTGGCGCTGTTCTATGTACCATAATAGCGATAATTTGCTTTGCGTGGGCGATGGTTCAACATCATGAAGGAGTTGTTTCAAGCGATGGGCTAGGAGAAGCATGGTCTAGCATCAACCTAGGCACAGTGAGTCCAAGTATACCCACTACAATGGTTCTATTAGATGTTAGAGAGACTTACTGACTTTACATTCCTGTCATGTTCAGGCATCATATGGATTTGTATGGTCAACTATCTTTCTCATCGCCGTCTTTTACAACTACGCTATACACCCTGGTGCAATCATTGCATGTGACTGCATTGCTTTCATTGCCCAGTTAATCACAGTCTGCTTTGATTTGCATGAGCTTATCTATTGGAACCTCGGTGGTTATTCTTACTCTAGTACCCATGATGTTGGCCCATTGTATGGAGCAGAGTGTTTGGGGTGTTCCATGATACTTCTCGGGATGTGAGTTCATTATTTCTCCTCGTTTTCATTTTGTTTCTATATCTGACGAAAAATTATTCTTCAGCCTTTTCAATCTCATCCTTTGTATGCGTGCCTCTATGGCCTATCATAGGCTACGAAAGGCTAGAAAGCGGTTAAATACCAAACAGACTTTCGACGCGTGATATTTACTGGCGGTTGTTCCTATATGCGCTATTGGAGGTAGTTTTGTGACTTATTCCCTACTGAGTGACGTTAAATTTTAATGTTTAATGCTTAATTAGTGTTGCAACGTTTGTTTATAGTCTTATCCGATACATCAATATTCTATGTATCTATCTTTGAGAACCTTTGGCATTGAGCTTACTCCATGGCCAAGTAATCTTAATAATTGCGCTTAAGGTCTGAGGACAATCATTGTCTAAAACTTCCTAATCTTGGTCATCACGCCAGCAACTTCACGTTGGCAGTGATAGCAGTCAAACTCGTTTGCGCAAGAGACTTCCCATTCGCTCCAACAGCCTGGGCAATAAATCTAGCAGAAGGAGACAGCTCAAAAGTCGACTTCCAAATCAAAGCCGTCTCAAAGGAATTCCTATCCACTTGGCCAACTCGCGTCTTCTTCTTCCCGTCGACATAAAAGAATCTCCAAGCTGAAGTCTCGGTATCTCCATTCCAAGACACATACAGCTCGACAATATTAGAACATGTTTTTAGCGCAACTAGCGCCGGACTTTCCTTGGGCTTAGCAGTCCAGTTCCCCAAGAAACCACGGTAGCTGACCGACCCAGTCTGGATAAAAGCGTGGTACAGAATCTCATTGTCAACACCAAATTCTGTAACAGCACCCTCCGATCCCCAGTTAACAAAGATTCGGTCTCCAGAAAGCAGCTGCGCATTTCCTTGGGATTCTGCCTGCAAATGATAAGGTGCGGTTGTCTTGCGGAGCACTGTCGCCGTGCTATCTGTATGGTTGATCTGGACGACCAATGCGCGGGATACCTCATTGAATGTGATAGTACCGTCGCCAGAGTTGTCGAAGAACGAGATTACCTCAGTCCCGGGCTCGCTTAGTTGTGGTTGCCAGCGGGCATGGTGTTGGAATCCGAAGGTCCAGTTGCCGATTTGCGAAAAGCTAGGGTACTTGCCACCAAGCCGCCAGATGATTGAGCCATCTGTGCCGTTGATCTTGAATATCGTGCTCGTGTGTCGGGATGAGAGTAGGTAGTGGCCTTCTTCATCTTTGTCAAGGCTGTTGATGTGGAAGTAATCCCATGCGTTAGCGGGGGACAAGCCGCTATTATCATTTGTAGAACCTAATGTCACCAGGCTTTCTAGTTGGAGGTTAGCTATGGTCTTTGTCGAGTCACGGCAACTAATCTCACCAGATGGGTCAACATGTTCCAAAGCATTCCACTCAAAGATCAATTCTCCAGTGGCAATATTATTTTCTATGATAATAATTAGAATCAGCAAAGGTCATCATCCAGCTCTCCCGACCAACAAACCTTGAAAAATCCCATTCCCCAACCACTGCTGCGACGAATTCCCACCGTAAGCCGATAAATTTGCCGGAGTGGTATAAAAGACCTCAATTAAAGCTGTCTCTCCCCGAATAACATTGAACTCATGAAGCGACGAAACACGATGCTTCCCGGCGGTCGAGGTAACAACGTGTTGATAACTCTGATCCAGCAAAACATGCTGACCGAACCCTTCACCGTGGGACATATCCATATTCCCTTGAAATGCCTGGAGAACCTGTTTTCCCTTGTATGTGGTAGGATGGAAATTAGCCACGAACCCGGCATAGTATCCTGTGCCGGCCCACACTAGGTCACCGTCTTTGCGGTAGATATAAGGACCAGGCCTCTCGAGTGTCCCCCCCATAGAGTAAGGGGTAATGAAGATGTATTCGGACCCATTGGCGTCTGCGGCGGGGGTGGTGATGTTTAACTGAGGCGGTATGAGGTCGGGTCGTGAGCGGTAGTAGCTGTTGGCGCTTGATTGGGGTAAGGATCCTGTTGCTAGGGCTGCTAGGAGAGTTTGTTTTAGGAAAGACATAGCTTCGTGTGATTTCAATTGTTAATTGTCGGTTTTCTACTTTCTATGTTCCAAGAGAGTTGTGTAGCCATTTTATACACTAACACAACCGTTCTCGGATATATACTAGCAAGTTAGCGTTTTCGTAATATAATCCTGAATGGTATCATCGTGTCTGTACTATCCGTATCTATGCACTGTTTTATGGGGATTTTTCTATCTTTGGTTAGATTGCATTCTGTAGTTATTGTCTCACTGATTGTGCAAATGACGCAAGTCGAATATGTATAGCCGAGTTAAAACCATTTGCCGATAAGACTTTTTTTGTACTATTTTATACTCTTTCCCACTTATTGTATAAACATAATCCTTCAGACAGCTCTAGAATCAATAAAATGAGTAATGTTGGGGTTTCTCCCGAGGTCCTCTCTTGGCATCAGCCACATGGCTTGCTATTAATCCGTCCTTGGGCAAGTATCGGCTGTCATTCCCGCATGTTGGAATGGCCAATGGAACTGTGTCAGACCTGGCGTCCTTGCTTGCGACGTCGAGAGTTGAAGGATTTTTCAAATCAGAAAACATCGTCCATAATAGGATAATGGTTTAGCGAGCTACAACATTGTCTTTTTTTTCTACATCTCAAAACCAATGACAAAGGATAATATAGGATTGATGCATGCACTATATACTGTAGTGATAGCTCAACCATCCTCTAAACTAGGTATGCGACACGCGCATGGGATGAGCCTCAGTGTTGAACACGAACTCATTCTTTTGACCCTTCTGGACTTGCCATGGAGCATCTATACCAAAACGCAGCATTAGCAATGTTTGAGAAAGAAGATAGATGACTGGAAAGGCCAACAACTTACCCTCTGCATGTACAAGGTACGCATATTTCAGGACTTCGGCAAAGAGGAAGCTCTCCTCATTATCGTACTTTGAGCCACCGCCAGCTGCATTCACATTGCTTACAGCAGCAAAGCCCGAGTCAGTGCGGCAGGTGGCATTGATCGCCTTGAATCCATTCCACACCCAGTCGCGGTACTATATGAGTCAGTATGCTTGAAACATCAGTAGAGGAAAGAATGACACACGATTTCATTCCCTGTGACGCGGTACGCATAGTAGAAACTCTCGATCACTTCAGGGCGCAGGACGTATGCGCCACTATTGATGTAGAATCCGGCCTTCTCGTAGAACTCCTTTTGATCGGAAGGCACCTTTTTCGGATCCCACCCCCAAGAGTCTGGTCCAATACTAGTCAGGGTCTGGTTATAAGTAGCTTCGCAGCCATCCACAAGCTGCAAACCGAAATCGATAAAGTCTTGCCGATCCAGCACGGTGCCACCCAGGATAAAGCTGCCGCCGTCGAAGCAGGTCAGGTGCTGTGAGCTAAGATCATATTGGCCGTTGTAGTATGAGGCCAGCCAGGTTATTTCTGGGCGAGGAGCTGGGTGCGATTGGAGGTGTTTAATTGTCGACTCGGCTGCAAGGACCCAGCGGTCTTTGTACGACTTGAACCGCTTGGGGTCGTACACGTACATCTTAATCAGGTACTCGTAGAATGAGTCATCGCCGCCGTTCCAAGAGACTGCGCCGTCGGTGAAATGGCCGTTGGAGATGTTGATGTTGCTTCCCACCAGGCCGGGGAATGGCTCTCCACTTGATGGTTGAGGATTTAAAAGGTACGACTCGGCCTTTTGGCTTATATCGGCATACTCATCATCTCCAGTCAAATCAGACAATCGGGTCCACTCCAGCACCAGGGTTCCGGTTACTGCAAGACCATTGGTGCTCGAACCATCATTTCCCTTGGAAGCGATGTTAAGGTTATTGTAGGGAACACCAGATGGTGTATCGAAGGCAAACTTTAAAATATCCCCAAGTTTTTTGGACTGGGTAAGCAGGGCATCGACCTGACTTGATTTGGGGGCAAGATTCGCTGCAGGACCCTTGAGCAAATCATAGCCGGACAACATGCCACCGAGGTATCGGATTGTAGTCTCAAACAGGCTAACCTCGTCTTCAGTCTGCGAGAAGTCAATTGTTTCAATGTGGTCCAGGATCTTCTGAACAGCATCCTGGTTACCCATGATGATGGCGGTTGAAAGCGCATCGACAGCGGAGGCCCCCCATCCATTCCTATCGCGTGTCAGTTCACGGCAAGAACTGTATAATCGGATATGCTCACCTGGAGTCACCATAACCGTTGCTCACGGGGTGTAGCTCGTCATGAGGGAAAGCATATTTAACATATCCATTCCATGCATGTTGGAAGGCTTCCTTGACAGCATTGGCCTTGGCCTGCTTGTCCGAGTCTCGGCGCAAGACCACCTCTGGTTCAGGGTAGGGATAGGCGACAGCAGAGCCAACGAGGCCCAGCGCTGCCAAAGGAAATGACAAAGAGGACACGCGCATGATTACGCGTGTGATTGGATATAGATATACGGGGTATATTTAGGCAGGATTGCTCGGTGCAAGGGGCGTATGAATAATTCAATTGCAGAACGAGGGACCACCTAAGCTGCAACGGCAGCAGGCCAATGCAATTCTTAAATATGTTGGGGGTGTGGAATGAGGATATAGTGAGGTTGCAGTCGACGAAAGAAACAGGGCGAAAGGGGAAGGCAGCATGCAGGCGCGCGGGCACGCGACCCCGACTTGTTTACTATTTTCTCCATGTCACTTGCATTCTAACCCTCCATAAAATTGGGAATTGTGTGCATTTGATGTCATTCCGGGGAAAAGAAAAAGGTTCCACTCGGACAAGATTCAGGGGCCTTAGGGATCTGCAAGGACGCCACCAACTATTGGTGCGCAGGAGAATGCAAAAGTTGGCCGAAGTATCTTGGGTCTCAATTTTCAAGCTGAGATGTTAGGATATACCTAAGACTCCATATTCAGGTCTTTGATTCAGAGTTTCCCAGATCATAACTATACATATGTATGTATACGGGTGACGAAGCCAGACGACCAGTTGGCGTGATGAGAAAAGATATCATCTTCGGATGCTCAGTCCAGGATGTTCCTGACTAGTACGGTCTTGGCTGTTAAAAAACACTACTCCGTACTATCACGCCGCTTTGACATGCAACATACCCCTCAATGTGATGGGCTTTGTCACCGGACTGGAGTGTCTGACCTGTCAATACATCAAAATCGCCTCCAGTTTCAAAGCATGATCGATTTGCGGAGTAATTCCACGGAACATTTATGTCGATCAGGAACAGGTCCGTGCCGACATATTGTGTGCATTTGAACTCCAACCACCTGTCTTGAAAAATTGAAGTTCGGTTCGGTTGAGAATCCAACATATGTGCCGAATATATAATGGGTAATACCTACCAAAGCGTATATGTTCTGGAATTTCACTATATATAATTTACTCATAACATATGCTTTCTACGTTATCTACCATCTCTACACTAGATAATAATAGTAAGTCACCAATTTAAACTAAATTCTAGGATCATAATCTAGACTAGACTTTGTACTCTTGCCCGACCGACCTTCCATCAACCTTGTTGATATTCAGTTTCTCAATATCAAAGTCGCGCAGTAGTCGGACCTAATATAACTTAGTAATTGCAACGTAACTTTGGCCGTTCAACTTACATTAACGACAGTGATCGGTGGGGCTCCCTCTTCGAGAAGACGGATGAAGCAACTACTTCCACATTCCCCGCAGAATTGGTGCTTCGACTTGTGCTCGGCAAAACAATAATCTTTTAGCGCACCCTCGCCTTTTTCGATGGTAAAATCCTTGGTGAACGGATACACCAGCAAGTAGCCGTTCTTTGTGCAGATGGAACAGTTGCAGCTATTGGTGGGGTATTCATGTAGAGGCGGGGATAATGTGAAGTTGAACCGCACGGCACCGCAATGACAATTGCCGGAGTGGGAGCTGCTCTCACCAGTGGGGATAGGTGGGAATGGCATATTGGAATAGCATCGATTTTGCTCTGGTACTTTGAATGATATCTAATAGGTGAGATCAAATATAAAGTAGAACTAGGAAAGGAAGACCGGAGGCAGTTTACTCGTGGATTGTATCACATGGCACTAACTACATATGTACCTGTACGGCCGCACTTCTGGGCAGTTCCCTACCGATGGTTCGGCGGTCCTAGGTACATAGTAGAGCTATGTATGTGGTTTTGTCGGAGTAAGAAACACGGTCAACTTGACAAGGATGACCCGTGCTGGAATACAATCACAGCGCATTTCCTTCAAGATTCCTATAAGCGTCTCGCGGGAGTGAGGCAAGACCCATTATTCTTGTTACAATGGCATGGCTCGCCTTATTCTCGAGGGGCTGCTTGAACATTGATCACTCAGAGGTCCCCAAGGCACCAGTATCTTGGTATGGGGTGGCAGCTGTGAGTGCCTCTGCTGCAGAATCATTTGTTCTTTTGTTTGTATTAACATCAACGGCAAGCTTTTCGAGAATATTCGCTCGTGGTCGAAGCAAGGCTAAAGTCTTCCCTGGGTTAGACTCTGTTCCCCAGGGATTCCAGAAGCACTAGCATAGCAAAATCTCTAATTCATGATTAAGATAGACATAGCTCTAGATTCCTCATAAATGACGCATCATATTAAGTAGAAATACAGTATATCACAATTTTATAGATCACTAAATAAAATCACTAATATCAAAATTCCGTAGAGCTAATCGATGATTCAGCGGGGCTTGCGGGCCGAAAAAAAAGGTTGCACCAGAGGGAGTCATCGTTCTCCTCCACAATTCCCCTTCCCCCCAATTGTTCAAAAGGGTCCTATTATTCAGGAGATATAATTCTCCTTCTCAGTTTTTTTGTTCTTAATATACTACATCTACCCATCATGGCGACCCCGTTCCTTATCTCCCACGACCCCTCCTCCCCCACCTCCGACTCCGGACTTTCGCTCAAGCAGATCGCCTACTTCGGCCGTGTACTGATCAAGGTCTCGAGTCTCGCCCAGGCAGAGCAATTCCTGCGTCAGAACTTCCGCGCCCTCGATGTCTTCGTCGATGCAACTGAGATCTCTTCCACCGGCGATCTTGTCGATATCCTTAACGCCGGTGCTGCCAAGATCTTGATCAACTTGGACCAATTAACTACCCTCTCCGAAGAACAATCCGTGCCCTCGTCCCGTCTGCTCGTTAATGCCCTGTCAGACTCTCAATTGGATACTTTCCAGAAATGGATCGCCGTCAATACTGAGCGCAGCGAAGCTAGCGTCTGCACAGCACCTTCCACCGTCCCCGCCGCCGCCGACAAATTGAAGATTAGCTCGGACTCCCCACGGCTCTTCACTACCTTCGGTACTCAGACAGTGTCAGAAAATGCCATTACGCAGGTTACAAAGCAGGGTGCCATTGCTATCGTTCCCTCGCGGGCATTGACCCTTGAGCGGGATGTGGCTGGCCAGATCTCTGCCGCTAAGCTTATTGCATCGACCGCTGTTACGGACCAGGCCAATGGTTTGTATGCCACTTCTGTCACTAATGAGCGGGGAGCCTGTCTGGGCTTTGTTTGGAGCAGTGATGAGAGCATTGTCGAGGCCTTGCGTACTGGCACTGGTGTTTACCAGAGCCGGAAGCGTGGTCTGTGGTACAAGGGCCAGTCCAGCGGAGATGTGCAGGAGTTGATTCGCATCGGCTTCGATTGTGATGCCGACTGTTTGGTCTTTGTTGTCAAGCAAATTGGACGTGGTAAGAGCCAACTATCTACATCGATGGATGATGTCTACCTATATACTGACCATGATGACTCGTTAGGATTCTGCCACCTTGGTACTGAAACCTGCTTCGGCGCATCTACTGGTCTTTCTCGTCTCCAAAAGACTTTGGATGCTCGTAAGGCGGATGCTCCGGCTGGATCATACACTGCGCGTTTGTTCAATGAGCCCAAGCTCATTGATGCTAAGATCATGGAGGAGGCGGATGAGTTGTGCCGTGCGGAAACCAAGGAGGAGATTGCTTTCGAGGCCGCTGACCTGTTGTACTTTGCCCTGACCAAGTGCACTGCTGCGGGTGTTAGCCTGGAGGATATCGAGCGGAACCTTGACCTCAAGAGCTTGAAGGTGAAGCGGAGAAAGGGCGACGCTAAGGGACCTTGGGCTGAGAAGGCTGGCCTAGCCAAGCCTGAGTCGAAGCCTACACCTACCCCTGCACCCGCACCCGCCCCGGTCGAGGATCGCACATCCCGAATTGAGATGAAGCGTGTGATCACTGCCTCTACTACCCCCCAGGTGGTCACTGATTACCTCAAGCGTCCTTCCCAGAAATCTAATGAAGCCATTGTCAATCTGGTGAAGCCAATCATCCAGGATGTCCGCGACGGTGGCGACGCCGCGGTGCTCAAATACACCCACAAGTTTGAGAATGCTACATCACTTACCTCCCCCGTTATCCACGCGCCGTTCCCCGCTGAACTCATGAAGCTGTCCCCTGATGTGCAGGAGGCACTTGATATCAGCATTGGCAACATCGAACGCTTCCACTCCGCACAGATGGGAAGCAATGAAGCCCTTGAGATGGAGACCATGCCCGGTGTGGTCTGCTCTCGCTTCTCGCGCCCCATCGAGCGTGTCGGTTTGTACATCCCCGGCGGAACCGCTGTGCTACCCTCCACTGCCATGATGCTAGGTGTTCCTGCCATGGTGGCGGGCTGCAACAAGATTGTCCTGGCCTCCCCTCCCCGCTCAGACGGCAGCATCTCCCCCGAAATCGTCTACGTCGCCCACAAGGTCGGCGCTGAGAGCATCGTTTTGGCTGGTGGTGCCCAGGCTGTGGCCGCCATGGCCTACGGCACCGAAAGCATCACCAAGGTCGACAAGATCCTTGGCCCAGGCAACCAATTCGTGACAGCCGCAAAGATGTTCGTGTCCAACGATACCTCCGCAGGCGTCAGCATCGACATGCCCGCCGGTCCCAGTGAAGTCCTCGTGATTGCCGACAAGACTGCCATCCCAGCCTTTGTTGCATCCGACCTTCTCAGCCAGGCTGAGCACGGCATCGACTCACAGGTGATCCTCATCGCCGTCGACCTAAGCGAGGCCGAGCTGCGTGCCATTGAAGACGAGGTTGATGCACAGGCCAAGGCCCTACCTCGCATGGATATCGTCCGTGGCTCCCTCGAGCACTCCGTCACATTCGTCGTGCGCGACATCAACGAGGCCATGACCCTCAGCAACGATTACGCGCCCGAGCACCTCATCCTGCAAGTCCAAAACCCTGAGTCTGTTGTCAAGGATGTCCAGAACGCCGGCAGTGTCTTTATTGGCCCCTGGACCCCCGAGAGTGTTGGCGATTACTCTGCCGGAGTCAATCACTCGCTGCGTAAGTCTCTCTCTCTCGGCGGCTTTCCCTCTTACCTTCCTGTCTGAATCTTGCTAACATTTTCGTTTCCAGCTACTTACGGCTACGCCAAGCAGTACTCTGGTGTCAACCTCGGTTCCTTCCTGAAGCACATCACCAGCTCGAATCTGACGGCCGATGGCCTGCTCGGTCTCGCCAAGACTGTTGAGACCCTCGCCGCTGTGGAGGGCCTGGAGGCGCACAAGCGTGCTGTGAGTATCCGAGTTGCCCACATGAAAACGAACCAGTCATAGGTCAGGTAGACCATATATATATATTTTTCGTTCTCTTTTTTACTTTTCGGTTTTTATCATGATGGGATGTGCCATGAACATAAATACATAGCTAAAAAGCAATTGGTCGCTATTTGACTTGAAATTGGTTATGTTTAGACAATGAATAGAATATTTTAGAAATCAGATACATATGTAAATTGTATCAGATCAACGGCATTGAGGCTGATCGTCCCACTTATCTGATCTTAGGCCTAATGACGTTGGGCTCCACCCAAAATTTCAGTTGGAAATCTTCAATGAGTCACGATCAAATAATAAGAAGAATAGGATATAATCAAATTAAAGCCAGACGCCCCTAGCATAATTTTGTATGAATTGCCCCCCCAAAAAAAGGATGAGAAATACCCAGTGCAAATACCCAATACCCCCACTTCCGTCATCAAAAATTGAAGGAAAAAAAAAAGAGAGTAACCCAGAATCGTAAGGTAGAGATGATATCTCAAAGCTGTGCAACATCATTCAATATCTGAACCTCCTGGCCAGGCTTAAAGGCAGGAAGACCCATATAAGGGCAACCGTCACAGCGGAAGGCATCACCCAGAGCACAGCTTCCACAAGAACCAGTCTTGCCCTTAACGGTGAAATCCAGCTCAGCCAGGTCGTCCGTATCCAGCTTCATCACTTTCAATTCTTTATCTGCGTTTGCGCGGCGCTCTCTATCCTCTGCTTCGAGTTTGTCGGCTAGACCACATGTGCAATCTTTACAGGCGCGTCGCCGGCGGCCGGTCTTGGGTTGGCACTCTGGGGCTGAAAATGGAGTTAGATGAGATAGATCTTGTAGGAATGCAATGTTTGAAGGGAGGGGGTGTAGGACATACGCGGCATTATGGGTCTTGTTAAATCTTCCTCGGAGAGGAGCGTATCTTCATTAATGAGCTCGTCATCGTCGTCACGGTCGTGATTAGTTGGCGCATCTATCCCCATAGGTGCCGTAAATCCTGTGGGAATATTAGGGACTGCAGTTGGCGTAGGCTTATTCTTCTTCTTCAGGCCAAACTTTAAAGGAATAGCAGCGGAGGGCTCGAAGTTTGGCTTCTCGAAGCCGTTATCGGACTGCACGAGGCCAGCCAGGATGGCTTCCATGGCTTCTGAGGCATTGAGAGTTGAGTCTTGGGTTTGCAACTTGGCGCCGGCCTTCATGGCGGGGACTAATATAGCGTATACATCTCGGGTGAGAAGTTTCAGTGCCTCGGAGCGTCGTGTGCCGTCTGTGTCGGTGAGTATGAGTATGAGGTCATAGGTTGTTGCGGGAAGGGAGACGACGCCTGCGGAGAGACGATCGAGCATTTGTAGATCTGTGGTTGAGCGGTCGAATGTGCTGAAGAGGCCTCGGAGTTTGTCCTCTTGGGTGGCGATGGAGGGGGGTGCTAGGAGAAGGGTGCGCTTGGCCTGGACTGGCTTGGGCGTGGAGAAATCCACGTCCATATCGTTATTATCAATGGTCACAAATGAAGGAGCCATTGTACTTTTATTTTGAGATATGAGGTCCTTGGAGGGAACAAAAGAAAAAGAAAGAATATAATCCTCGATGGAGGGGTGGCAAATGATTATTAAGCCTTGTGGATGCGCTCCAGTGCCGATTAGGGAGAGAGATTGTCCTATCAGCGATGGTGTGATTACTTAGACGGCTGACTCTTTGAGTATCACAACCTTGGAATCTTGATGCCAGTCAGAGATAATGATTAGCAATTGTGGCGTTAATAGTTTAATAGTACTTAGATCTAACCTATGTAGGTATTAGAAATGGCACACTCAACTCTTGTCACATGACCAGCCTCATTCCGACTCTTCGATGTTCTTCCTAAGTAGGCAATCGCACTCGCACGTGGGTTGGGGATATCGACCTTGATCAGGCCTTCATTCCTGATATCTTTTCAGCTAGTTAACAAGTCAGTTATACAAGATGTGTTGAAGCTTCCAGAGTTAGAATACTAGGCTGAAAGATACACTATGTAATTAACTCAACTACTTCATTTTAACGTGGGCTTTTTGTAGGGACATGTTCAGCACTTGATTGATAATTGGCATTATCTCTGACTTTATTATACATTCAGGAATCAAGACCTACCCTCAAAATTCCTCAGATTTTCGACTAATGGCGAGATGATGAGTTGAAATATCTCATCTTGCATCTGCTCGCTTTCCAGTGAAGATTCTTTGGTTCCAGGCCAAAGGAGATATCGTCTCGCTACCTTTTCGTATTCTGCACCGCTTTGCTCCTCCACCACTTGCAAGAGGCGAGTCGCAGTCTTTAGATTCACATATGCTTCCACACGATCGTCATCCTCCGGTATACGTAGCGCGTAGTGTCTGACATAAAGAAAGTTCGACCAGAACGAGGCCCAAGGGAAACAAAATCTCGCTTTGGATGAGCGAGAATGTTGGCTTGTCTTTGCATAGACTCCAGGCATCCAATTCACAGCCTACGTTCCAAAGGACGCATGGCTTATCGATATCCCCAGATGAATTCTTCGTAAACATAATATCTCGTGATCTCCATTGTGTTTTCAACCAGCTTCCGTGAAACTGGAGCACGCTGCAGGTTAGATTGACCGCAACTGGTGTCCCATGTGAAAAGAAAGCTGCCCCCACTAGTCACCTTGAAGATATCACTTGAAGCTGCGATGAGCTCAGCAAGTGATTGCGATCTCAGATTCCCGGCGAGCTTCCGAACATAATACATATTATGCCGGTGGTTTTCATCGGAGATAAACCCAATAAGTTCATTTGATTCGCCGTGGGTCTCCACGGTAGACAGCGTTGAGCAGATGTCCACAATTGGAGGCACCGAAGGCAATATCAGATATCATGGATGGTGCAACATCTTCAGATGATTCATCGAACGCAAACTGTACCTTGGCCTTCTTTTTAGCGAAAAGGAAGTTCTCTTCACTGCCCTTGAGAGGAAATCCGTTCAACGGATCCACGCTTGATTGGATGATATCCGATTCTATAGTATCCGATTCGGCTTCGATCTCGCACCATCCCTCTGCAAGATCTATGGAGCTGTTGGAAGTGAAAATCATTCGAAACCGAGAGCAATGGGAGGACTCTTTTGACCCATCATTCAAGTCCTCTGGCAGATCACTAAGAACGAAATGAATTGAGTGTTGATTCAGACAAGCACATTTCCAATACTTGCCCCGTATTATTGCGTTATGCAGACTGCGAGCTACTTTCGGAGCCCTTTTCTGGCGCAATTGGAGTCTTTTTGATACTCTCCGTTTTTGTATCGTGCTTCGATAATCGGACTGTTCCACTAAGATATTCAGAATTATATTGGCTGCGTCGATACGAGCAAAGAGACTGAGGTAGATGCTTTTCGAGAAAATATCTTTGAACTTTTTGACCTCCTTCTTGATAGAAGACTGGTCGGCCCGATAGTTCTGTAGTATTATCAGGGCGCTGGTTAGTCGAGGATTGAAGCATTTCATTGTCGATCACTCACGTTCACCGGGACATTCTTGTCCAGTCCTAATTTTCGGGACAATTCCTCCAATAGAGTCGCAATCTTTATCATCTTCTGGTTGAAAGGATTGAAATCTCTTTCTAGTTTTTTATGAAGACTCGCTTGCAGACTCGGCCTTTTCCACAAATTGCCCAGAGGATTGTTCCTTAGTTCATCCAGCCCATCTTCATATTCTACCACTCCATCCAGGGCCCGTTCTAGGGTATTGACAAAGATGGCTTGTTGGGTTCCAAGACTTGATGAATAGCTTTCAAGTTCCCTGCGGTAGCGCTTGGCTCCGAAGCTCTTGATAACCTCAAGACCCTGGACATAATTATCGAGCTGATTGATGAGAAGCGGGAGAATTGCCAAGGCAATTCCTGCTGCTTCCATTTTCGAGCATCAAATTGAAGCGGACAATATGAATAATCGCCTAGGGTAAAAGGAATCCAAAGGTCATGCCGCGTAAGCGCGGGGCTTCCAATTGACATCCATGTCGGCCACAACTCCGCCAGGATCCCTGTCAACCCCAATCGCATAAGTCAGGTCTCACAAAGTCAGGTGCTGTTCTTTGTTAGAATATTCAGAGAAATGCAAAGGCATTTGCACAAAATCTGAAAGAATGGAAGGTCCCAAAGCCACTAAACCAGAGCATTCCAAGCGGAAGAGCGGTTCCCAAGATGAGAATTCCACAACCAATACCCTGGCCCCAGGCGACCAATCTGTAATTTCAGACTGTCAAGACCTGAGAGAGCAGCAAAAATACTTCATTTCTGCTTCTAGTGCGTATAGTTCGCCACAACTCGCGCCCCAGCCAGAGTACAGTAACGTGGCCGATTTGAGAGCCTCTCAGATAGCAACTGATTCTGATCGCCTCAACCTATTTCAATCCGGACTCCAACAGCTTCAGGAGACACTCGATACTCCAATGTCACGATGGAATTATGAAGCGGATCCGAGTCAGGAGATTGCTCGCCACTATGCACCACTCAGTCGTCCTGATTCCTCTATTGAAGAAACTGTTCTTGAGGATAGGTCTGACAAAACGGAAAACAATATGCAGGGCTCATCCCCAATTAATAAACCAAATTTCGATAAGCAAGCGGCCTTTTCGGAGAGGCCAATTGGGGAGCATGGGGGGGGCGCCTATGCTGGAGGCGACCACAGCCCCAGCTGCGAGTATCTCTACGACAAATATTTCGTCAAATATTTCGTCTGTCGTGGTACAATGTCTCAAAGATTTAGGTCGGCTCATTTCCGAAGACTTGTCATCGTTCGCATCGCAAGTCCCGCCAGCACTATGGAAAGATGAGCTAGGACGTTTACGGGTTTGGGCTGCAAATATTGGGGCGCACCAGACTGGTCAATCGTCACTAGATCATCGATTACGAGACGCATCGCACATTAAAGAGCAGACACTTCGCGTCCTTCGGCGGCTGCAACAGACCACCGAAGATATCAATGATGTTTTGCATCATTCACCCGAAGATAACGACTTCTCGGATCTAAGCGAGGATGAAGATGATGACGAGCATCAAACCGAGATACAGTCTATATATCATGCTCTGCGAGATACCGTCAACAACCTTTTCCAGTTGTCAATGGTCATCCGGAAGCCAGCCCAACACGATCGACTTCTTGGCACCAAAAGATCAGATGCAGTCTTCTACGAACCTTTTGACCGGCTACATGTCGTAGCAAAATACCCACAAGCGGATGAAGATATACTGAACCGTCTTGGGCCGGCAATATCACAACGTCGAGCCGTTATGCGGTATCGTGAGCGTCATCGCACTAAACTCGCTCAGGGTCTCAATCGGGTTATTTTGGATCAGGCAGACGGGCAATCAGCCATTCTATCAGACACTGTCGCGACTAAGTTCGTGCAAGATTTACCGGCGGCAAAGAATGATTTAGAACTGCTGACTGTCGCCTCTCAAACTTCGTATGCTCAAACTATATTGAACGGGGCAAAAGGGACTGTTCTCCCGCCTCCTCCGAAAGATTCGGCTGATGGAGCCCCCTTTGAATGTCCCTATTGTTTTGTAATTATCACCATCACAAACCGAAGGGCCTGGGCTCGTCATGTCTCTAATGACTTGATGCCATATCTGTGTATCTTCCCTAGCTGCCCGACACCCCATCGACTGTATGAAAGCCGCCGGGCTTGGTTTTCTCATTTGCAGAGCCAGCATTCCATATCTGAAACCCCGAGGATACATGTGGACTGTACACTTTGCCTATCTTCGGTTCCGTCTGGGAAGCAGCTTGAAAGACACGTGGGCCGACATCTGGAAGAGCTGTCGCTCTTTGCGTTACCGCGGTCCGAAGAAGAAGACGACAATATAGCTGCATATTCTTCTGATGAGGATTCTGGTATGTCACGCTATTCGATTGGTAAGGGACGATGTTCCTAATGTGAGCAAGTCTTCCCCGACCTACGAGCTCATATCGTGACGCACACCCAAACCGAGCGCCCAGAAAAGTGCCCCGTCGTAACATGCGAGTACCACACCAAGGGGTTCGTTCGCGCATACGATAGGAAGCGCCACGTCCTGATTCACTACAAGGGCATCATGGTGTGTGACCTTTGCTTAGGCTCTGGAAAACCAAAAGAAAGGAGCTTCTATCGGGCCGATGTGTTCAAACGTCACCTTGTGTCTGTCCATGGGGTGGAGCAGATGCTACCAAATCAGCGTAATCACAAGCAGACTTCTTCCATCAAGATAGGCATGAATCACACCAGTAACTCCACTGGAAATTGCTCTATCTGCAGTGAAGTCTTCAAGGATGCCCAGGACTTCTACGAGCACATTGACAATTGTGTAATGCTCAAGGTGATGCAAGAAAATTCCCCCGAGGCTGCCAATCACACCCACCTCGCTGGGGTGGACGATGATGGAGAAATGATTGATCGTGGCCGCCACTCTAGCACTACTGTTCTTGGAAATTATGAGGATCAGCCTTACCCGCGCAAAGGGAAGACCTGTATTCCTCGTCACCTTACTCATATCCACGCCCTCGTGGATTTAGGGTATGCGTTTAAGGAAGAGGTTGGTGTTTTGTTTTTTGATAGTGCTATTATCGGCTGCTAACCTAAGTAGAAAAACCTGATCGTCATTCAAAGCGCATTATCGAAGGCCCCGATCGACGAAGTACTTAGCTTAAGCCGCGATTTTAGGCGGTCTTCACCCGTGGAAAGTGAGCGATATCCGTATCCGTACCCCCAAGTTCATACAAGGAAGAGTAACACTAACTCGATTTCTAGGCGTGGAAGACCCCGTCGACCAACCGGACTATAACTACTCCCCCACTGACCATGATTCGAGTTCAGAACTATCCGGAGATAAATATGCGGCAAAGAAAGAAACAAGGCCTCAAGGGAGTCAAGGCATATTAGAACTAGAGCCGGACCTTCAGTCTGCGAAGGAGGATAACTTGCCTGGGAAGATTAATCTCGAGGTGCATGAGCCAGCAATCGGCACCTACGATACACCCAACTTTTGGCGCCACTCGTCAAAAGATCACTCGTCACAAATTAGGGAGGATGCTTTCAGTTATACCCCGGACTATCTTGTGGACGTGGGGTCCACAAAGCCAATGCACTGGGACCGCCGATGGGACGCTGATGAGAATGAACACGATGGGAGTGAACACTATGGGAGTGAATCTGATGAGAGTGAACCCGATGTTATCGCTCTTATTCACTGTGGAGCCATATATCCGCTTCTCTTCCGCGCACATATCAATGACGGTGTGCTCACTGTTCGCGACCTGCGGCTGGAAGCTGCAAGGAAAGTTGGAAGCCCTTTTCCCAACCTTATTAGGTTAATGTATAAGGAAAATCTTCTAAAAGATGACAAACAAACGTGCAAAGCAGAGGGGCTCCGGCATTACTCACAAGTGCTATGTGTCGTCTCCGAAATAGGTACTGATACACTGAGCGACTCTTCCGACTATGAAAGCGGCGGTCCGCCTCAGGCCCATTCCAAAATTGATGTCAATCAGAGGAACAAGCAGACTATACATAGTTCTCCTCTTCGTGATGAAACCGAAACTGCATAATTACCCTCCTCCCATCACGCCACACATGGAACTAAAAAACATTGCGTACAGCGATGGAGCAACTTTCTACCTTGGCTAGGTATTTTGAACGTGCTATCATCCCGCTTTGTGATTTTGTGACGGATATATAGCCCACTAGTCGGCCAATATTGAGAAATTATATGTCAAGCATATGAAGCTGAGTGAGACAATCATTGCGCAAGTGACCAATCCAGGCGGCGATATGGCCATACGCAATTCCCGCAGGGCCCTCATCAAACAATCGCAACATCCTTTAAATGGATTGGATGCGGCCAAACCAGTATAGTTATATCGTCTATACCCTAGATTCCTGTATAGATATGCCTTTTGTAGGTTTGTCAGTACAGAATGGACACTCTTTTGAGTGTTCATAAGTTTTATCAAAGAAAGAGAAGTCGGTTCTGATATTGTTTCAACAATCACATCTAGATGTAGATGTAGCGAGGCCACAGTACTTTATCTGGTGGTCGAGTTTACTGGTATATCACAGGTCTTCCAGCAATTGCCTGACACAAAGCTCTTGATATTACCGAACTTTCCAGGAGTCGATGGCCAGAACTGAAGTGGGTTCCTTGAATGCTACGGTATGCGCCGGACTGCCTCTATGGTAATTGGTATCAATATGTACAAAAAAGATGATAGCGAGTCATCACTCATAAACTCCGTCGAAACAAAATGCACTCAGCGCTTGCGCTCACGGATCTTCCACTTGATTCCGTCCTTGTTGGTGCCTCCCACGGAATTTTCCATCTTGGCCCGCTGCCAATCAAGCTCTTGTTCTGCAGTCCGAATTTCGGCATGTTGCTTGCGCAGCGCAGTTAGCTTGTTGTTGCGAGCCTCAATGGCTCGCTTCCGGAGCTTGCGAGCCCGCCGAGCATCCGCAAGTGCCTGCCCCTCAGCCTGAATCTGCTTAGGTGTCTTACGAGCCTTGCTTGATGTCTGATCTTCTTCCTCTGAATCCAAAGCAGGTTCTTCCTTTTGTATCCTCTGCTTCTTCATTGCCAATTGGGCTTGTCGATCATCCGCAAACACCATCTTGGTTGGTTTCTGTTGCACCGGGGCTCCGAAATCGAAATCGGAATCATCGTCGAACCCGTCATCCTCGTCGTCGCTCTCCTCGCCCTTCTTCCCTTCCTTGCCAAGGGCCTTGTTCATGCCATCTTGCAATTCCACATCGCGCTCCAGGCGCTCGATTTCGCGGCGCACCCGCTCGCCGACTGTCCGAAGATAACCCTTATCTTGCGTCTTGAGCAGCTTGATTGCCTCATGGCTCAGTCCCTGCGCTGCGGCAGACTCTCGTGCTGTGCCTTTGCCACGCCCGTGTCGACCCTGAGTCCGGTTCTTGTCTCCCATCATACCAAAGGCAAACTCATCGGGGTTGCGATCCCGCGCCTTCTCTTCGAGGCGCTTCAGCTTAGCCTTCTTAGCATTGTAATCTTTGGCACGGAGCGAGTAATCCTGTTGAAGTTAGCATATGTCTTGAGATTAGGCATGAAAGTAATCCTGGATCATTGGTAAATATCCCAAGAGCTTCTCCACAGAAACTGACCTTATGCTTCTCGAGGAGACCCCATTTCTCGCGGCCCTGAACCTGACCACGCTCTTTGTGGTTCCGCCGTTGGACGGCGTTGCGCATGGACGACATGCTGAGTTTTAAGGTCGGTGATTCCCGGGACAAGAAGTAGAGCAGAAGAAAGTGGAGAATAAATAAAATCCCGAAAAACGAAAAGATGCAAAGTCCCTAACAGAAGAGTGTAGTCTTCAGATGCAAAGTCGGAGAAACTTTTTTTCTGATTCTGCCAATGGTAACATTCTCTCCGCCCGAGCTCGGCTCACTCGCAATCAACACTCCCACTTGGCCGCGATCTTCTCTGCAAAGCCATTTAGTAAACCTCTCTTAAACCTACTTCTACCTCTCTCAGTCCGTTTTCCTGAGCTCCGGGGCAGCCCAATTCACATCTTGTGCCTCAGCAACTGGGCCCAATCCCCCTCGAAAACAAACTCTCCGATCGACCGTCCCATACACTCAATCTAGTCAACTTCGATCTTTGAAATTGATCTACAGTCCCAATGGCTGCGTCTTCCACATCCTCCGATACCTCTTCAACAAGTGCACCGCAAAGTGCACCCCAAAGTGCACCCAAACAATATAATCTTCGCAACCCGCTTCCACTCTCAGCCCCCCAAGAACAAGAAGTGAAACTGCTGTACTACAAGCGAGTACGCGCCCATTGCGCTCCCGAGATTAAAGGTACGCAATTTGCATTGCTTTCTATGCCATATCCATCATCTCTTTGCAATCAATGCATAGCTTTGAACTTGCAAAAGCCGGTCATGAGTCTCGAGCGGCCACACCTGGAAGATGCCTAGAACAACCTACTAACCTAATTATGGTATAGCATTTGCCGAGTGCGCCGTTAACCGGACTGTCACTGCAACATGGGTCTGCCGCCAGCAACGTCTCGCAATGAATTCATGCATGCTTGCCCACGCGAAGCCGGAAGAAGAGGACCGCGCACGTGAGGAGTGGTTCGCATCGTATGAGGAACGGCGACGCGCACGCGAAGAGGAACTTGCACGTGTTGAGAAGCGGCGTGCGGAAGTTATTCGCATGATGCGTGAGGATGAGGCGCGGACACGAGCGGCGGCGGGAAAATGATTGGAGATTTTCCTTCTTACTCCATGTATCCCTTCCTCTCTCGCTCTCTTCACTTCTTGTGTGAGTATTTCTTGTCTATATGGGTTTCGGCGTCTTGAGTATTCTGCTTCTTGCGTTTCTCCGAGGTCGGAGGGCGAGGGCTTTCGTGTTTGGGCTAAGCGTTTGGACAAGGGGAAGGGAGGTGTTGGACTCTTACCTGACCTGACGGCCTAATTGGCTGGACCTTGTACATCCCAAAGTACTTGGCCCATAATTCACAGTCCTGGTGGCCCAGCCTGGCCCTCTTCCCGTCCTCAGTATGATCGACGGATATCAGACTGCCCCCGCTGGACAGGTCAACCCTGGACTTTCTTGGCCAAGCCAGACTCGCTCATACTTTATCTTTCTCTCTCCCCTCATGGCGCACAAAGGCAAACAAAGCAGGCGTTTTGCTGGGCATCTTTATTACATTGCATGACCATCCCGAATGCGGAGCGATGGGATGGACTGAATTATGTACAATATACACACAGACGATTGCATATTTTGGCTTAATTGACCAGAAAGATATCTTCTTTATCGATTTATTTGCCTTCATGGTCAGGGGGGGGAATTTGACCCCAATTTGTAGACACAAGTCATGAAACAGATGCTCTCCATGATAGTAAAAAGCAGGCCTTGCCCCATGGCAGATTAAAAAGAAAATGCAGAATGACAACACCAAGCGCCAGAAACACCACCAGTCCGAGGCCAAATGGCAGAAGAACCCCTAGACGTAAATGCACTCCCTTAAACATCAGTCATGTTCCGGTCCTCATCTCCATCGCCTGCCTCGCCCATAGTAGTATCTTCGCCGAATAGATCCTCCATCTTGCCATCATTATCATCCTCTTCTTCATTGTCTTCAGCTCCATCACCACCAACACCCCTCCCAGACCCAGGCTGCTGCATCACATCCGGCAGATCATCTTCCTCGCCCTCACTGTCCCACTCGTCCTTCATATTCCAGCCCATTCCAGTAAGACAAAAGCGCTCAGGAGGCAAGCGCATGCCGCCAATAACAACACTCTGGTTCGCCGCAGGAACAGCACCATTAGCGCCGGCAGCAGGGTCAAAGCCGCGCGATACACCGGGCAAGGCGATACGATTCCTCTCCGACGCAACCTCCATAAGAAACTCCTTCGGCAGCCCTGTCTGGAACTGGAAATGCAATCGAGAGGCAATAGCCAGTCGCAATGCAGGCAGAGAAACACTATTCACTTCGCCGGAGGCCTTTGCGCCGGGAGTACCGTCTGTTGCCGCAGCGTATCCTTCCGTCGCAAGGTGCACGGAGTCTTGTAGTACATTGGCGGTGTAGCGGTAAGCGAAGTCGAGCAATTGGAGTGGCACCCGGTCTTGGTAGGATGTTACCCCGAGGGAGGCGAGGAGCATGTGGACCAGCCGCACGTCCCGTGGTCGTCGCGTTTTACCGCTGTCTTGAGTTGATATGCCGGGGACTGGTGGCGGCTGTGGAGCTGTTGCCGAAGGGCCTGTTGCCGGGACATGGGGTTGGCTCTGGGAGCTTGTTGTGGCGGGCGCGGAGGCCCCGTTCGCAGCGGAGGAAGATTCGGCGGGTGGAGTGAGAGGTTGTGTTGTGGGCGCTTGGCCCTGTGTTTGGCCTGGAGATGCCATTTTTTTGCTTGGATTTCTAATCAAAGGCAAAGCACGAGGCTAAGAGCGAATTGCAATGTTACGAAAGTGGTCAAGATGTTGAATTAAGTGGTGATTAGAAGGCCTGGAAAAGGTAGTCGAGCAGGATTCCTATCACAATTCTCAGGGGCTAGAGAATAGCCAAATTTGCTAGCAGCATTCAGTGTATGGATGGAGAGAGAGAAAGTGATAGCTAAATGAGGCCGAAAAGAAGCATGCATGAGTTCCAGGGCTCCAGCCAATATCACGATTAGGTAATCGCGTTGCCTGTGGACCTAGGTAGGTACCTACCTACCCGTGGACCTACCTACCGGGAGGTTAGATGAGCTTGAGAATGCTTTCACTATGGAATATCAACAGATAAATTATTAACCATTCAATGTGTTTGCACAAGTCTATTCACTTGTTTCATTCATTACATCCCATTCATCTCATGACCCTATTCAACCCTCCAAGTATGTGCGCCATGAATGTACAAAAACAAAACCAGAAACGCCATGAGCACCATGAATGCCATGAATTAGAAAGAGTCGGGCACAAATGGCCGTTTATAATGCAGTATGCAACTCCAGGTCTGCATGCAATAGTGTTGAACGCGAATATATCGCTGTCGGAGCAGTCTACTGCAGAATCTGACTCAGTTAAGCACTCGCAAGACGGGTATCTATGACGCAAGAAATGCCTAGGATCGACCCCTTATCAAACAGGCATAGCGGTGAGTGTATGTTCAAAGATTCTGAGGCATCTTAGACCGGATGGGAAGAGAATTTGTGCTTGGCTCAGTTGCTGCTTCTGGTTTCTCGGCGATAGGAGACAATTCCTCTTCAACACCGAGATCCCCTTCAACTGACTCGATTATTGAGCCGGCTGGGTTGGATAAGGCAACCGAGTCCTGCGACATGTAGCTTGCGCCGAGATCCTCGGCCAACTCAGCCTCGTCAAGGTACTCGCTGCCTTCATCCTCGCTCAAGTCTTCGTCGTATTCTTCATCATCATCATCACCTTCTTCGTCTTCTTCAGCCAGGTCTTCATCGGCATCTTCCTCGTCTTCGTCTTCATCCTCATCCTCATCCTCGCTGTCTGTTGTCGAGAAGTCTTCGAGCTCATGCGGTGTGTTTCTCCAGTAGGTGAAGTCCGTATATTCCTCGCCACCGGAGTGCACAAGGAGGCTGGTTGGTGGAAAGAAATGATCGAGCAGCTCTTGCATCGTCACATAACTGCTCTTGTACTTGTTGAGACTAAGTAAATCCAGAGACACCTCAGCATTAGAGTTGATTGTGAAAATCCGAGTAGATGGAATATTCACAGAACGATAACTCAATGCGTCTGTCAGTCGATTTCCGAAACCAGCGTAGAAGGGATTTTCCTTGCCGCAAAAGAGGTTGAGAATATCCCGCAGACACGCCATCTTGAAAACTTCGGGTTTTCTCAAGTAGATCTCCCGCCGCAGAGCGGCCATCGTGCGATCTGGGCTACAGATCACTGGGCCCCTTGGTAGTCTGTAACCATCTTGGCAAATGCCGTTGAGATATGCCCGGGTGGTATCTGTTTGGCCTACAGACCGACTCGTAAGATACATGATATTGTATCCATTGTTGACAATGTCGGTGTACAATTTTGCGACTCCGGCGTGCGTCCAATCGCGTCCGATCATGTTGAGAACATGTCCCAACGCATCCGACTTAGTGATAGTTCCATCAATATCGGAAATCACGATCGGGGTGTTGCCATTCCACAAATACATGTTCGCAGTGCAAACTGCTCTGTTGACACTGAAAGACATTGTGTTGCCGCCAGGCTTCAGTTGCAAGGCTTTAAGTTGATCACTTGTCAAGCGGAGTGTCTTGGCGTAGTTCCGGGTTTCAACGGGGAAATAATCATGCAAAGGTGAGTGAGGAGGTGTGGGAAAGCCTGGCTGGACGTCTGATTTAGTTCGGTGATGGCGTGTAGTCAATGATGGCTCCAAGACAGCGTGTTCGCCTTCACTGTGGTATCCCGGGTCAGAGAGAGCATCATCACTTATCCCTATGTTCGGCCGCATCGAGTTGAGGGTGGCTCTCCGATCAGCCAGTTCCTTTGACTCTTCGCTGCTGTAGATCCATAGGTTGCCGTGTTCATCGGCACCAATCAGTGCTCCGATATCATAACTTCCTTCGAGTTCTTCCGCGAGAATCTTGCGCGCAACAACCTCCGCACGAAGAGCATCTTCTTCGTTGCTTTTATACCCAGTCATATCCAACATCAAATCTCCAGTCTCTGTGACATGTGATGGAATGTTTGAACCAGATAGCTTCTTTGACAGTGAAATAGCACGAGACACCGCTTCTTGGGGAGACAGAGGAGGGCTACGAGAGCGGTTGTCTGTTTCGCCCTCGATATCATGGGGTTCGCCATTCCCATTTGCAGAGCGATTTGGCAGAGATAGTCTAGGAGAGCTGGTCGAAAGTACATTGTCCGACAGTGTGTGATCAAGTAGTGGTTTGGCGCTCAAGGAGCCGTGCCGTGAATGAGTGATGTCGGATTCGTCGGGAGATTGCGATAAGGGAGTTATTGTACCTGTTGAAATGGTCAGCGAGATAGATCGAGAGTCAGGGTGAGAGGTCTGTCCTACCTAAATCTGTGTTTGCCCGTACCTGGTTCGATGGCATCGGTGGAGTCTTTGCGCCTTCTGACAAAGTATCCCCATTCCCTTTGTCCAAGTCAAGGTAATCTGGTTCCTGCAACGAATTGGGAATATCCGGCTCACTCTGGGCTCTTGGGCTGGCTGCTGGAGACACCAACGGCGAAGTCTGCAAGGATGCGGGGATGTCATCGGTCGTTTCGAACACAAAGAATGCCTCGCCCGCCTCTCCTAGTTTCATAGCATATTCTTGTTTTATGCCGTTCACCTTGAACTCCACCTTCTTCTCAAATGGACGCAAGAGCGAAAACTTGCCAAACCGAACATGAAAGGGCGAACAAGCGAGGGTGCCTTGAAAGAGAAAAGCCAAATCAGTATCGTGTGTGAATGCCACTTCTCGGAGATCTGTATATACCATCTTCTTGCTCTATAACAATAACATCAATAGCCCCGCTAAGGGTGGCTGGGTTGATAGAATTCCATGTCTTGGAGACGGAACCACTTATAGAGCGATAGAGCTGCATCCCGCCAAGTGGTGTCTAGCACCTCTAACAACGGCTTTGGGTAAGTTTTCAGGCCAATCCGAAGTAACCTTGCAAATTCTAGAAATTCGGAGAGGTAAAAAGAAGGTCTGAACGGTCAAAAAGACTGAGATGAGTTTTGGAGAATCGGGAAGTTAACTTTGGCCCATGTGACTGACACTTGGAGACAAATGGGTCACGGCTACATAACCACTGTCACGGGACAATATCAGCACAATGTCGGTGACGAAAATGAGAGGATAGAGTCTCAGGCTGATGAGAAAGAAGGACATATAAATTATTCCGAGATACTCCGTATTTCTAACATTTGTTGGTTTCGTCAACAGCATTCAACGCCCAACAATTCCGATTATGTCAGCACTGGGGAATGGATGGATGCCGAGGTCCCGTAGCGGCTGATCTCCATTTGGCACTAACCTATTTTGGGTGGCCAATAATTTGGATCACGTGCTCATATCCCACCGCCCACTCCGTAGAGCCATTGGCGATCCTTGCAATTCTCCTGTATCCCGCTGCCCGCGTCCAATGGGTTACAGACGTTGGGATGTATGAGCCGCTATACTTTGCATTTGACGCTTACCCAGCAGTGGTCCCTCGCGTGAGAGTGCGAGGCGTCATGGCACTTTTCCTCGCCGTCTCGATATTATGGGCTTTGATCTGGCAAGTCCTTTGTCCATTCCAACGTTTCCTTTGCTCGGCTGACCCAATTTATGAAGGCTTCTATACCGTGCATGGCAAGTATGTCAGACTTCAAATGAGGTCCTGGTGGAGAAGTTGGGTCTCGACATTCCTCCGCCGCCAGAGGTCACCCTCGAAGAGATCACAGCCCGTGAGATCCGCCTTGCTTGGAAACAACCCGACTTCCATAACTCAATACATAAGCATATCATTCAAGTGAATAACGTGAAAGGTATGAGATAGACTTGGCTCTTTCCTACAACGAAGCAAAGCACTAATAGCCTCTAGTTGGCGAATCCAAACGAGCAGAAACAGCGGTGGAAATATCAAATCTATTACCTGGGAATATCTATCACATTTGTGTTCTTTCCGTTAGCGCCGCCAACTTCCAAACACCCAGCGCGATCCTCCATGTTCGAACAAAATCTCTTCCGCTGTCCGAAGCACAGCAGAATGGCAACGCTGGAGGTCCCATTATCCGCGCCTCGATTCCTAGGTCTACAGTAGGCCTACCAACGCCATCCGCCCCGATAATGTCTCGCGAGCATAGTGCAGGCCAATTACCGGGGAAACGGCCCTCGGCAGGACGGAAAATTTCGCCCGCGGCTGGTACCACGGACGTCTCACACGGCAATTTCGAAGAAACATTTAAGAGCAGAGCAAAGACTGCCAAAGACGAGACTTTGGAGCAATTAGCAGACCGCTTGAAGTCGCTACAGCACGAGAATGAGAGCATGGAAAAGCAGGCAGCAGAGGAGGAAGATGAGCATATTGCTGTCCTGAAGGACCTTGAAAAACAGCGCAGTGAATTGCGGAAGCGCGTCAGGGAGAAGGACGAAGCAAGCGGCGATTTGAAAAAGCATGTCTATAAGTTAGAAAGTGTCAACCGAACCGTGCAGGGCGAGAAGTCTAAGCGCATGAGACTGCTTCAACAGAAAGAGGCGGAGCGCAAGAAGCGCAAGAATGACATATTGCGATGGCAGGAGAAGATTTCGCGCATGAACTCCGATGCTATACAAGCGAAGGATGACAAAGCCAGGATTGAAGAAGAAGGCACGGTGCGCGCAGATGAGGTCCGAGCCAAGATCGCGAAAGAGCAGGGGGAGATGAAGACCATCGATGATGAGATTCAGGATAAAGGAGGACGGGTTAAGAAGCTCGAAGAAGAAAGAATGGGATTACAAGAGGGCGATAGTGAAGATGGCAAGGAGCTGGATCGGATCGACAACGAGCGAGCTCGTCAGTGGGAGCACAAACTGGGCAACCTACATGCACGTTATGCCACACTTGTGAATCTGCACGCGCAAGCCCAGCAACAATATCAAGAAGCCCAAGAACGCCTAAAGTGGCTTACAGCCCAACGACCCAGCAGCTCAGGACCCTTTTCCTTCCCGACCTTGGATCTCGATATGTCGAATTCTGCCACCATTCGGCCCCGTCGCCATCGCAGCTCACTCAATAGCAATATGTCTTCCCCTCTGAACTTCCCGGGTATCGAAACGTCATTTCCAACTACCATCAACTACCCGTCCGGTCATTCACCTACATTTCCTCCGAGCTCTGCGTTTTTCAATATCAATAATGGCATGGCTCTTCCGGGCCTGTCTGATCCCCCCGAGATCATGCGCTCAGATACGGAAGCTGCCTTCAATAACCCGCAAATGAGTCCCCGTGCAGATGCTCTCTTGCCATCCGATCTCCTTGGTGACGAGGAATCGCCAGAATTCCCACGATCTATAACTCGTCCAAGATTCGCAACTATGGAGGCGTCTAGTACTCCATTAGACAGCTTCGGCCATGGCCCAGTGTCGCCTGTTTCTTCGGACAGTCGAGCCGGCAGCATCTTTGCCAGTCCACTAGAAACTCAAAATCGGCAGGACGAATCCCAAGGTGTGCATTTGTCTGCTGCTGGGGATGCCCCGAAAAGCGCATCCCGAAAGCTTTCTGGACTTTTCGGCTTTCACCGGCCTCGTGGGAAAACCCTGGCAGATGAATCTCCTATGCTGGGTAGTTTGAAACCCGGTCAGAGTCAATCATTCCCTCGCAATATTGATGAGCTGGATCCAATCGGTGCACGCCGGAGACGATCGAGCTATACTGGCAATTGGGCAAACCCGATGTCATTGTTCCCTCGAAGCAACACGGCTGGTGTCACCTTGGACAGCTCTTCTGATCATGCACCCTCCCGGCGAGCTGCTTTCTCAAATATCTTCTCATCCAGCAAGTTTGGCTTCGGTGGTGCTGGCACCCGTGGGAATCCCGATCTTAGCAGTGGATACAATCAATTCAGTCCTCGACATGATCCTATTGATCCATCATCACTTCTCGGTGGCGTTCGACGAGGTTCTCTGTCTCCGCGACCTTCATCGACCTCATTCGACATACCGAATCAGCTGCCGCACACCTCTACAGACAACCGCCATTTCGGGTGGCCATCGACTGAGAATGCCGGGCATCGCAACAGCCCGCTTGGATTCGACTGGGCTGCGCCATCCACTTGGTCTCGAGCCCCTTCTCGGCGACCTTCAATACAGTATGGATCGTCCGGTCATCTTCCTCTCGGTCTAACCGGCGAGCCTGATTTCGTTGAGGACACGTTTGACCGCCACTATCGACCCCTCCAGGCACCCATTGGCACTCGCCCATCATCGTCTCATCGACCACTGACCCCAAAGCTAAATCCAGCTGCTCCATCGTTCACGGCGGTTTTGACGGACGAGAAGTCGGAAATAGGCACAGGCAAGAGCAATGATCCTGACAGTCCACTTGATATTCATGAGTACGATGGATCTCCTTCAGAGTCTCGTACATCTCGTTCCCTCTCCCTTTTCACTGGCGATTCATATGAATCGTTGGAGCTCATGCCATCCGCGACTTCCATGGACAATGCCTCTAAAGAGTCGTTCATTCGCAAGATCACGCGTAAGGGCAGTTCCAGCAAGTTCAGCTCATGGAAGGATCGCTCGGGACTTTTCTCTAAGAAAGCTGAATCCTCGCAAGGTGATATTGACGAGGATGTAGCGAGCGAAGCGCAGCTCGGCAAAAGTGTCGATAGCACTGTCTCAAGCGTGACATCCGCCGACCGCTCAACCCGCAGCAGCCTGGGATTCTTTTCTCGTAAGTCCCGCAAGTCTGACAAGGCCAGCGAGACTAGCGAACGAGCCAGTGAAACTGGCGATGAAGAGATACCCGAGGAGATTGAGAATTCTTGATTCTCACGTGTATCTATAGACCATTTGGTTCTGTCCTTTCACTTTCATTTCCTAGATTCTAAAGCATCATCCTCCATTAGGGTTTTTGATATACATCTCAACGACATACTAGTTTTATTTATGGAATTTTGATTCTGAATAATAGCTACCTAAGTATCTGTAGATTATGTATTAGCGTGTAGTCTTTACAAAAAAAAATGTATTACTCTTATCCATTAAATCACTTCCAAGTCCTTGAAATCAAGAACCTTTCGAGTTGACTGGGGCAAATGCGGGCGGGCAGAAATCGCACAAAATGAGAACTGCCATTCTTCGGACGTATTCATCACTTAACATCAAAGTCCAATAAATCAAACAATGGCGAACTCACGGTACGTATTGAAAATTCCAAAAAAAAATTATATCCAGCTCCTAAAAGAATACAGATTCGAGTACGTCAAGTCCTTCGAGCAGCCGGATGTGCTGCTCCCCAATACCTGGATTGTGGTCCGCATTGATGGACGAGGATTTCACAAGTGAGTCTCCATCTCTTGTTACTTTTAGGGATGCATGTCTGAGGAATCTTCATGCAAGAAGATAAAATAGCATCTACATATCCATATTTCTATACATATCTTTCACTAAGATATGCTGTTCTTCTCAAGCAATGCATCCATCTCTGTATTCCGGATCTAACATATATAGACTCTCTGATCACTACGCGTTCGCGAAACCAAATGACCGCCGGGCACTGGATCTGATGAATGCTGCGGCAGTTGAGGTCATGAAGGAGCTTCCGGACCTATGTATCGCCTACGGAGTCAGTGATGAATTCAGGTGTGTTCAGCTCGTTTCATCGGTATCCTCGCAATTACTACTAACAGTACTCTCTCAGTTTTGTTTTCCACCCCAACTGCCAACTTTTTGAGCGGCGTAATGGGTGAGTATTTCCTCTTTGCTTCTATCTCGTGCGGTGTAATTTGCAAGAACGGCCGTTGACAGGACTTCTTCCATCCAGGAAACTAGTGACCACCATTGTCTCTACGTTTACAGCACACTACATTTACAAATGGAGCGAATACTTCCCTGAAAGACCTCTCCTACCATCTCATCTGCCATCTTTTGATGGGCGTGCGGTCATCTACCCAAATTACCAAATTCTCCGTGATTATATGAGCTGGAGACAAGTTGATTGTAAGTGACTTTGTCATGGCGAAATGGCCTCGCAATGCCCCTAGTTCCGAACCACATCCGACTGACCCAATATACCTAGGTCATATCAATAACCTCTACAATACTACGTTCTGGACAATGGTGCTGCAAGGTGGAATGAGCAACACAGACGCCGAGCAAGAGTTAAAGGTGAGCCACTATTCTTCCAATTCGAATTGCAGGCAATTGACTTGATATTAGGGCACTTTGTCTGCCGACAAGAACGAGATTCTCTTCAAGCGGTTTGGAATCAACTACAATAACGAGCTAGAGATCTATAAAAAGGGCACTGTTCTCTATCGCCAGGTATGTACCAGTTTCTATGCCGTGTTTCTCTGTTCTGTATTTCGACGCGTTTTAACATTCATCTCAACAGTATGAGCTAGAGGAACCTAAGCCTACAAAATCACCTGCAGGCAAAGAACCACCAGTGGTCGAATCTAAGCAGTCAAGGTCACAACAAGATAAGATTCGCAAACTGCGCCGGAAGGCACAGGTCGTAGTTGACCATGTCGATATCATCAAGGATGAGTTCTGGGAGAAACGACCATGGATTCTATCAGGTAATCCTGGAAAATTACCAGCGTAGTTTAGCTTCCCACACAAAAACCAAAGATAGGCAATTACATTTCCTATGGTTGTAATACTCATGATTTCGCCAAACAAAAAGGGTATCTTGGTTTCTAGATGGCATAAGAAAAAGTTGGATATGCAAAATTTTATACATGGTCCTGGCATGCATGTGAAGCGCTCCAATATCAAAATAGTTGTAACAAAATGAACACATCAGGCTTTGGCTTCCTTGCGGTCCTTCTTCTCCTTTTTAAACTTCTTTTTTAGGACTTCGGCATCCACTTCACTCCCTGTGCTCTTAATCTTCTTGCTCTCCTTCTTTTCCTTTTTCGTCGTCTTCTCCTCTAACCGCGTAACAGCCTCATCTGTCTCCGTGGTCTCTGCCCCAGTCTGATCAGATTCCTGATCAATCGATGTGGGCGTAGGATACTCCTCCTCAGAAGCAGTCCGCTTCTTCTCCTTCAAAGCCTTCTTCGCGAGCTTCTCAGCAGCCTTCTTCTCCTTTTTCTCCGCCTTTGCGGCCCTCTTTACACGCCTCCCCTCCTTCCTCTCCGCCTTCTCTAGTTTCCGCGCAGCCTTCGCTAGTTTCTTAGCCTTACGATCAAGGCCATCGTCTTCATTCTCCCGCTTGCGCTTCGACTTGGAGGTAGATGTTCCGTTGTCATCCTTCTTCTTCTCCGCCCCCTCAAGCGTACCAGCCAACCCATCCCCCCTCACAAAATGCCGATACAGCTCACTCGTCAGCGCATTGTTCTCGCGCGCAGATGTAGCCTCAAAACTGTCATTCCCGACGCCCTTCAGGGCATCTTCAAACCCGCGCAGCCACCACTGGTTTGTCGGGTCTTTTGTTGTCTTCTTGCCCACGCCGTGGTTGTTGGCTTTGCGTGATACGAGGAGCGGACGGGTGAGGCCGAGTCCGCTGTGTGCGCCCGGTCGTTTGTTTGGGTTCAGCGGGTTGCCTGGACCGGACCAGCCGTGCTTGATTAGGTAGGCTTGGGCGTCCATTTTGTGGGTATGTTTAGTTTCCCTTGGAGGTGTGGGGTTTGGGTGGACAATGAGGTTCAGTTATTGAGACTTGGATATTTTAGGAGTTGAGCATGTACCTAGGTACGTTGTGGAATGGGAGGAAAAGTAATTTGGAGCTGGTCCCTTGTGCCTGAAGAAAAGTTTTGATACGGAAAAAAATGTTTGAGATAAGATTCGACACCTCAAGGATCAGGCTACAATAGGGGACGTCAGTGTACAGTCAGAGAATGTTCCCTGTTCAATGCCGCGACTCCTATTTTCGTTGTTTTGCTATTCATTCTATCACAATACACAAATAGCTCTGGGTTTCTTTTTATTTTAGAAAGAGTAAATGTGATTTTAAACCATATAAATTAGTCCAATTGGTAGGTAGTTCTTATAATGGATGTTGTTTGATTTGGAATTTATGCCCAAACGTCTAGGAATATATTTCCAACATCTATACTATCAACTCAATGAACAATTATTTTACACACCACAGCAATTCAAAAACTAACGAGATAACCTCATATGATTCAAGTGCGGAACTATCTATTTTTACCCACACCCCAAACACCAATGATACACAACAGACCGTCAGCAGCAGATGCATTCACCCGCACACAGTACACAGACTAGTACGGCTTGAACCTATCCTTCTTCTTCTCCTTCGGCCGAGCCTTTGCAGACCCAGGCTGGACTGGAGCATTACTCTCCTCAGCTGGTCTCCATGCTCGCACGAAGCCATCCTCGCCGCAGGTGAAAACTGATTGACTCTGATAGACGAGGTAGTGGGATTAGCGAGGGTTATAAAAAAAAGCCAAAAACAGCCAAACAGATAATAACAAATAACAAGAATCATTCCCTTCAAACGTACCTGTTCATCTAAATAAACCGAGCGCACAACCTCCTCGCAATGAGCACGGGGCAAGCGCCACAGATTATCCCGGTCTAGCTTCCACGACGGGCTGGAAACGAGTGGGACAAGATCGAGACGGTTGTCACTACAAGTCATTAGTTAGCAAACACCTAAAAAACTAGCCCACGAACAACCCAAGAAATACAAGCACACCAGCAGGTGTGAATGTGTACGCCATCACTTCTTCACAGCACGAAATACACACACAAAAAAAAGACACAAAATAAGAGAAAAGAAACATACATCTTATTTCCAGCAGCGATATACGGCCCCTGTGCACCAAGACACAGCTGCGCAACATACTCACAGCCCAGCGGGTCGCGCACGTCACCGAAGTGCACAGGTTCGGGCTCCTGCGAGGCGTCGTCCGGGTCCGTGGCCGGGTACACGGAGAAGTGTTCGTCGTGGCTGAGGGCGAAGATTGTGCGCTCCGATAGGAACCCGGCATGATGTACAGAGCCGTGGTTGATCACTTGCACCAGGGCTTCGTCTTCGTCTGTTACGGTTGTATCGTAGATGTTAACTAGTCCGTCCGTGCTGCCGGACAGTAAGATGTTGCTGCGCGTCGGGTGATATTGGAGCTGTGTACCACCGGTAATAGGCAAGGTGCCGATGTAATGGTTAGTCTGGCTGGTGCTGCATGTAGGCATTAAATGGGGATGGTGGGGAATGTTGGAGGGACTGAGCTTAGAATGGAGGTACACTTACCTCGGTGATATCGTCGTTGTGACTCTCCACATATTGGAGGCGGAATTCCTGGGGGGATCGAATATCCCTGTTTATTGATTAGTGGGACTGGCTTTTGATAATAGAGCACAGTTGGTCTTGTCTTGAGGTTGGAAGACATATCCCAATACAGTTATCAAATAACAATGCTGGGTCCAGCATTCAAATCAAAACCGAAGTGTTAAGATGAAACCTACCAGAATGCAACAACAGCCTGTGAAGAGACAAGCTCCGTACCCGCAACAATAGTGTTTGTCCCCGGGTTACAAGCCACAGACAGAACAGGCGAATTTTTCGCTAGAGACGTAGACAATTAGCAAATATGCATTTGAGGAGAACAGCAGCCATATTCCAATCAAGCCAGGACCATCCTTGAATCCAAGCGCCGATAAATTCTCCGAAAACCAGTAACAGGCCACCGGAAATGCAGCAAAACACAAAATGCCCTTGTCCCTTGCCACGGCAGGTTCCCGAAGACCAAAAGAGGCAATAGATGCATAAAACCATTTGTTTTTCTTTCTTTTTTTTTTTAAAAAAAAAAAAGCTTGAACAAAACAAACTCACCGGTTTTCATCTCCACAACCGAACTCCCATTCCCAGTCCGAACATCCCAAACCTTCACCTTCCCATCCCGGCCACCCGTAGTCAAGAGGTGCGCCTCGCCCATGGCGAAGCTCCGCAATGTGGTAACACCATTGTGAGTAGCGTTTGAGATCACAGACCCACGATCAAGATCGGCGGCGTCAAACACGCGCAGCGAATCATCTGACGAGATGGCGGCGAATGTTCCCGGCGCCGATGGGACGATCGAGTAGATGTAATTATCGGCCGGTAGCGACAGAGTCGATGAGGCCACTGCTTTGAGTGTGTGCATTGTAGAATTTGAGAGCTAGTTGCTGCTAGTCCCTGCAGTGTTGTCTGGATTTGATATAGAGATATTGATCTCTGGAGGGGTTGATCCCACTGTGGCTGATGCGATACAACACGCGATTATCCGATTTGTTTATTGTCTTCAAGTGTGTTGGCTGTAATGATGTTTGAGTATTACGTTGTATTATTAGGAGCAATTTAATCAATTCCTGGGTTTGGATGAAGTTCTTCGGGGGAGGGTTAGGGAAAATTTCCTGGCTGTGGGGCCAATATCTGCGCATATACGATGTACGGATGTACGATGTACGATGTATCGATGTATCTTGTTCACTACAAACCTATTTACTCGAATAAGACTATACAACATTGTAAATGTAGGAAAGGATCGATTCCCTTACTGTAAAACATCGAGCCAAAAAAAAAAAAAAAAAAAAGAAAAAGGGACTTGTTTCCTAAAATAAGGGGCCAAAAAAGTACCATGTACAATGTACGCTAGATGTTAGTCCCAAACAATGCACTATGCACACTAAACCCAATCCCACCCGGGCATGTAGTTGGCATGAGCTGTCAGTACCAAGGAGGGTTGGTAGAATATCCCCGAGTCGGCGACCTCAATACGTGGAGCAGCGCGGCAAGCGCCTTGTATATTTCACTTTCCTATATTATTGTAGATTTAATGTACGATGCAAGGAGAGAACTCGGGATTTGACGCTATGACCATATATATATTTCTTTGTACACTACGGAGTACTTTCTACTAGTAGATCAATCCCTGTCGGGCTATTTGGGGCATAGGTAATATGTATTAGTAATATGAATCCCGGGGTGGAAACCGACCCGGTGTCCTGGGAAGGCTAAATGGGGAAACACCATTGGGAATGTTGACACGTATGATAATATCGTAATACATATATGTACATTATCTATGTATGCATGTGGATAGTCCACGGGTACTCCGTATAGAATTAGAAACAAAATATCTCATGTGCTTTGACCTGAGACCCAGCACGGTGGTCCGGTCTTAGGGTCATTCTTACATATCACAAAGTGGTAAAATGATTTACCAGGGCCAAGGTGCTAAAAGGCAGCTAAGGTGCCAAGATGTGGTATCTCATTTGATTCGCTCCAATGTCACATCCACGGACCCGGGGATTTGGGTTGCGGTGAGGGGGGGACTTTATCAGACACAAAGTCCAGAGTATAGGTTTTATATATATATATATATAGAGAGAATGTAAACTCATTGGAGATAGACATTCCCCGGGCACTTTTTAGAGATATGGATAGGGATGTATATATAATGTAATATACTCTCCGTATTCCCGTATCCAAGGCAGAAAAGCGCCACGCCGTAAGTAAACGCCTTTACCAATCTACTGGGCCTAACTATTAAATCTTTTTTTTTCATTCCCAGGAAATGGTAGGCCCAGACGGTCCGCGTCCCGCTACGTGGGTCAACTTTTGCTCCCGATCTACCTAAGACATTGGAATTCCTAGAAGTTCCTATTTAAAAAAGCAAAAGAAGAGAATAAAAAGAATAAAATCCTATATGTGTACGGAGTATATATATATATATGTAGAATTACCCCCTAATTGGTTTAGCTGTTTCTTCATCCGGTGTTCTGGGATTCCTGTGCATAAAGTGTACAAAACTGAATATATATACTACTCCGTACATAGAAAAAATCAAATAAAAATATATAAATATACATTAAAAAAATAATAGAAAGAAGATATAAACAAAATATAAACAAACTATCATTTCAAATATCGTAAGTTGCTAGAAAATAGATATTCTATGAAGTACTTTCGACTAAATATTTTTTTTTAACACCAAGTACCAGTCGCCCGGGTCGTACTTTTCCCTTCTGCAAAAGTTCTGCAACTTCTGCAACTTCTGCAACTTCTTCCCCTTCTCTCATCCTTGTTTTTCTTTACCTGCTTGGCCCGCACCCCGCTATCCCGCCCGACGGGAAGGAAATCGCTTCACAACCTTAAAAACCCCCTTCACCCCTCAGCTCTCTTTCTTTCTTGAGAGCTACCTAGCTATATATATATATATATATACCTTGAACTGCTTCCGAGTCAGTTTGGGAATTCGAATGAGAGCTTCACCCGACCGTCCATTCCTCAAATCCTCACGCCATTTACCTCTTGCTCGTGTGCTTTCGCTGCGTTTTAGCATCTCAGAGAGCTAATCTGCTTTTTTTTTTTTTCCCCTTGGAATCTTTTGGGAGGCTTTTTTTTGTAACTGGCATAATCACTCGATTCACAACCGCCTTAGATATCTTGCACAATCATTGATGGTCGATATCAACATGTCTTACAGAGAATCTTCTGGTTCTTTCCCTGTGCCTGACCGCACATCGCTGCCGAAAATGTTTAATGGGGATACCAGGCTGCGACACCTGCCTCCCATTACTTCTCCACCCCCACCCAAACGATACAAGTCCGAGTCAACTCCAGGGAGTGATGCCGGCCATTC